AATGAAGTTTTCGTGATTTAACCGCTTAGGCCTACATTCTTTAAATCATATTAAATATATTCTTCCACATTTTACGCCAATTTTCAAACGGGTTGTGTCAAATGTTATGGTAAATAATCGTTTGCAATTTCAATCCAATGCGATATGTTGTTCTTGAGTTATTGTCTCCACAAAAAGTGTTGTATTTTTGTTTAATAGTGTTTAAAGTGCTGACCAGCGGTTGTGTAGGGCGCCCTCTTGTAGAAATGAATTTTTCGTAATTCTAAGCACTTCTTTCCTTTAATCATATTAAATGTATTCTTCCACGGTTCAAATCAATTTTCAAATGTGTTGTGTCAAATGTTATGGTTAATAATCATTCGCAATTTCAAACCAAGGCAATATGTTGTTCTTGAGTTAACATCTCAACAAAGAGTGTCAAAAGAGACAAAAAATCGGAATGAATTGCTCGTAATTGAAACGCTTAGGCCTATTTTCTTTAAATCATATTAAATGTATTTTTCCACGGTTCACGCCAATTTTCAAACGGGTTGTGTCAAATGTTATGGTTAATAATCGTTCGCAATTTCAAACCAATGCAATATGTTGTTCTTGAGTTATCGTCTCAACAAAGAGTGTCAAAAGAGACTAAAACTCAGAATGACGTTTTCGTGATTAAATTAAACGCTTAGGCCTATTTTCTTTGAATAGTATTAAATGTATTCTTCCTTGGTTCACGTCAATTTTCAAACGGGTTGTGTCACATTTTATTGTCAATAATCGGATGCAATTTCAATCCAATGCATTATGTTGTTCTCGAGTTATCGTCTCAACAAAGAGTGTCAAAAGAGAATACAATTCGGAGTGAAGTTTTCGTAATTAAATTAAATGCTTTAATAGGCCTATATTCTTTAAATCATATTAAATGTATTCTTTCACGGTTCACGTCAATTTTCAAACGGGTTGTGACAAATGTTATGGTTAATAATCTTTCGCAATTTCAATCCAATGTGATATGTTGTTCTTGAGTTATCGTCTCCATAATGTGTGTCAAAGAGACTAAAATTCGGAATGAAGTTTTCGTGATTTAACCGCTTAGACCTATTTTCTTTAAATCATATTAAATATATTCTTCCACTTTTCACACCACTTTTCAAACGGGTTGTGTCAAATGTCATGGTAAATAACCATTTGCAATTTCAATCCAATGCGATATGTTGTTCTTGAGTTATCGTCTCCACAAAGAGTGTCAAAAGAGACTAAAATTCGGAATGAAGTTTTCGTGATTCAACCCTCAGGCCTATTTTCTTGAAATGATATTAAATGTGTTCTTCCACAGTTCACGTCAATTTTCGAACGGGTTGTGACAAATGTTATGGTTAATAATCGTTCGCAATTTCAAACCAATGTGATATGTTGTTCTTGATTTATCGTCTCAACAAACTTAGAGTGTTGTATTTTTGTTTAATAGTGTTTACGGTGCTGACCAGCTGTTGTGTAGGGCGCCCTCCTCTAGAAATGAATTTTTCGTAATTCTTAGCACTTCTTTTCTTTAATCATATTAAATGTATTCTTCCACGGTTCACATTAATTTTCAAACGTGTTGTGTCAAATGTTATGGTTAATAATCATTCGCAATTTCAAACTAATGCAATGTGTTGTTCTTGAGTTATCATCTCAACAAGGAGTGTCAAAAAAGACTAAAATTCGGAATGAATTGCTCGTAATTGAAACGCTTAGGCCTATTTTCTTTAAATCATATTAAAAGGATTTTTCCACGGTTCACGACAATTTTCAAACGGGTTGTGTCAAATATTATGGTTAATAATCGTTCGCAATATGAAACCAATGCAATATGTTGTTCTTGAGTTATCGTCTCAACAAAGAGTGTCAAATGAGACTTAAATTCGGAATGAAGTTTGTCGTGATTAAATTAAACGCTTAGGCCTATATTCTTTGAATCGTATTAAATGTATTCTTCCTTGATTCACGTCAATTTTCAAACGGGTTGTGTCACAGTTTATGGTCAATAATCGGATGCAATTTCAATCCAATGCATTATGTTGTTCTCGAGTTATCGTCTCAACAATGAGTGTCAAAAGAGAATAAATTTCGGAGTGAAGTTTTCGTAATTAAATTAAACGCTTTAATAGGCCTATTTTCTTTAAATCATATTAAATGTATTCTTTCACGAATCACGTCAATTTTCAAACAGGTTGTGACAAATGTTATGGTAAATAATCATTCGCAATTTCAATCCAATGTGATATGTTGTTCTTGAGTTATTGTCTCCACAAAGTGTGTGAAAAGAGACTAAAATTCGGAATGAAGTTTTCGTGATTTAACCGCTTAGGCCTATTTTCTTTAAAATCATATTAAATATATTCTTCCACATTTCACGCCAATTTTCAAATGGGTTGTGTCAAATGTTATGGTTAATAATCGTTTGCAGTTTCAATCCAATGCGATATGTTGTTCTTGAGTTATCGTCTCCACAAAAAGTGTTGTATTTTTGTTTAATGGGCAGATTGTTGCCGCGTGCTGACCAGTGGTTGTGTAGGGCGCCCTCCTAAGGAAAAAATCATAGAGGATAGCAAAATCTGGCACATGCACTGTTGGCCGTTGGTTATCACGGTTCCAGTCGATTTCCACTTTTTCTGTCATTACATCACGACTTATTATCGAACAAAGTTTCGTTTCAGAACAAATTGTTTTTCTAGAGTTACTGTCTCCAAAGAGTGCTTCATTTCTTTCAATTAAAATAATTCAGTGCAATGTGTTTTTCTTGAGTTATGATTGTCTCCGACTTCGTTTGGGCAGATCGTGATCCGCATTGACAGTAGTCTTTATGGTGGTGACTAGTATTTGTGTAGCGCCCTCTTTTGGAAGAAATCGTGATTTGGCTGGCGCAGGCAATTTTGGACCGATTTACTGGTCTGCAACCTTACACACTGTAGTTTTTGTTTTTGCTATATTGATTTTTTTCTTCAACAGTTTCTGTCGAATTTCAAATTTATTGTGTGGTATATCACGGCCAATTATTGGACACAATTTCAATTCAGTGCAATGTGCTTTTCTTGAGTTATAGTCTCCACAAACAGTGCTTTATTTGTGCTCAAATATAAGTGACTTGAATTTGGATTGAATTTTTGGCAATTAGTACACTGTATTTCCTTAAATCATATTAATTTTATTCTTCAAGGGTTCTCGTTGATTTTCTAAATTTGTGTGTCGTGTGTCACCTGCAACATCATAGTTAGCCGAAATTTCAAGGAAAAAAAGTAGGGAAAAACAAAACGCGTCGCCGTACCACTTTTTGGGCCAGCTCTTTACCAGAAACCGGAGACATTTTTGGCAAAAAGGTTTAGATAAAACAAAAAGCTGTAGCATCTAGCATTTCTGTTTTTGTTTGTCTTTATTTGAAATACGTACAACACGGAATAATTAAAGGAAAAGGCTAGTGGGTATGTGAACAAAGACTGTCTGTTAAGTTTAATTATACTAATCAAATCAATCAACAAATCTCGATCGAGACTTTGTGTAGGTTTCTTTCCTTTAAACCAGACATTTAAAATTATAAATAACAATTAGTATGGATAGCCAATCCGAAATATTCAATCTTGGAGATCTCCGGGCAAGCAGAATATATACATGTAATCAGTTTTACTTTTATTAAAATTTATAATTATTGCAGTGGTTAATATTTATTTAAACTTGAAAGTAATACTGAATTTGTCATTATAGAAATTGCCATTGTAGTTGCCATTCGAACCTGCTGTGTGGCAGCCGCGGTGCTACTTAAAACATTTTCATATCATTTCATATTATTTTAAGTAGTATCAGCGTCGGATCTACGGGGTGGGGGAGCCCCCTCGACCGCAAAAATGGAAAAGCTCTTCAGGTAACGAAGCACATCTCTAATACTAACTCCCCCCACAGCTAATCCCCTTGAGCCAAAGTTAGGTTCTTCCCGTAAAATTAATATTATAAACATGTTTTATCCACAGATGGTCTGCTGAAAAAAATAATAGACTAGCACATCTGGTTGTACCTTCCGTTGCCATCAGAGCTGTAATTAGTCACTACGAGCAAATGATGACTCGACCAGCAAAAATAAAAGCAAAACCTTGCGAGAAATACTTGCAATGAATTACGGGTGCAAAATTCATGTTCACGGCACTTTACGAATACAGCACGGTACAGCAGTATAGCTTAATTGTCACGTACAAACAGATATCGTGTCACAGACTCCCACTCAGTGGTTCTGGAAATGCACAAAATACTATCCCGGAACTGCGGACTTTAAACGCATTTTCCAAATCGTGGTATCATCATTGGCTTCGGTCGATTCCTTATTAATAAGCTTTTGGGTTTAAACGCCGGCTAAAATGTATGCCCTCTTTTAAAAATATAATGCACACATGCCCACGTTTAAATAATCAGAAATAGTTATGTACAATGCAATTTGGTAAAATGTTGTAGCGATCAGCAAAACAAAAAGTAGATCCGAACTCCTCGAAGCCAAACCAGATAGAATATAAGATCGAAGTTCTACTTCTTAACTGTTAGTGATACAAATGACTTATCTCTTGTCCTTATTTGTGACTCGAATTGACTCGAGCTTCATATTTGACTCGACTCGACTCGACTACACACTGTGACTTGACTCAACTCGACTCGACCTTATTGACCTAATGACTCGACTTGACTCGAGTCACAAAAAAGCAGTGACTAGTAACTCTGGTTGCCATGTGCCATCGTTGGTCTTCTTCCGCGGTTCGTCCTTTGGCGGCATACTCCAGTTTACATGAGTGCCCTAGACACACTCTACCCGGACTTTCTAGAAATAACAGGCTTATTATAAAAGAGGTCAAAGATGGTACAAACAGGGTCAGCCCCCCCCCCCCAAAAAAAACGGAACCCTAAGAAATATATTTCATATTTAACAAAATATTTAGCACCAAAATGAATAATGACTGGAAAGCCAATTTAATAAACTACTTTTAGATGAACAAAAATTCAATTGCCCAGTCCGTTCAAATTATATCACCATTCATTTTTAGGCATTCAAACGAAATGACCCTAAAATCCGCTACGTCCAAACATGCGATTTCAAGAGGTGTCGTTACAATAGTCTTCAAACATCACCAGCGATAAAACCTCAGTATGAAAGTTAAAAATATTCAACGAAGTCCTCGTGAAGGCCTGTCTTTAAAAAAAAAATGGATTTTACAAATCCTATTGTCAGCCAAAGCAGGGTTGTTGATAAAGATACTGTGTACTACAGTTATTGAAACAAGTATTCTGTGTCATTCTCTTTGTTGTTCCAAACAATCAGAACACGAAATAAATTGGTTTTGTTGGACGAAACTGATTTTAGGGTTACTTCGTTTATAAAATATTGTTAAAATATTAACGTGTAGAGCAAATTATTGAAATAATTTTCCTCACTTCAAAATTAGTTTAATAAATGGGCTTCAAAATTGTAATTATTTTTTGTGTTACATATTTGTTTATAAGAAATATATTTCTTTGTTTTGGGGTTCCGCTTTTTTGAGTCATCCTGTAAATGTAAGGAATGACAATCGCCTACCATAACAAAAAAAATCCTTATTTCTTCTGTCCGAGATCATTACTGCTATACGCGAAGCGGGTGACAAGCGGCATAGCAATATGAATGACTGTTTGCATAATGTTTATGTTTGTTACAGTAAGTTCATTTCTTGTCTTTGAATTTCGTTATACCGTAGTCCAATAGTACAAAGATAAAAGCACAGAATTGTAGACCTGCCAACAGGATGAATGTTGCCTTGAAGCTTCCAGTCACATCATAGAGCCAGCCTATAGTTAAAAAAAAGGGTAAGAAACGGAATAAAAGACATCTCTATACGGGTGAAAATTTTTACTGCGGCTACTAAAATATAGTCTGGGAAAATTCGATTAAGAACGAGAAAGCACTCAGAGAGCGCACACCTCCGCCAAGGCTAAACAATTCCCCGCCAAATTGTCAGTACACCCAGAAGAAATACTCGCATAAATGGTGAATAATCCTTAAAAGAAATCCTGGATCCAGACGCAGATCCGCATAACTTCCAAAATCTAATCGATTTGCACTTACATGCATATCCGTCCATAACTTTATGAGTTATCTTATTAACAGACAAACCAACCAACAAACCAACCAATCGACAAACAAAATCCGATGAAAACATAACCTCTTTGATGGAGATAATAACGAACTGGAATAAAATCCTTTTACTTTTTATGCAGTGAAAACAATTAGCTCTCATGCACTAAATATTACGAAATCGATAGCATTATTGTCGATATAAAAGGTTTAGTTATAGGAATCTTACCCGAAGCGAAGCCACTCATGACATCGCTGAGTCCTACAAACAGTCCCTGCCAGGAATACATACTCAGCAACTGATCATCTGAGGCCAACTCACGATACAAAATGAACTTGACTGTATTGGTGATGGCAATACCTGATCCTACCGTGCACGCCACGACCGCAAGGCTAGCAAAAGAGGTCAGAAAGGGATCAGCAAAAAACGAACAACTTGCACAAAGTGCGCCAATGCACATGAACCATCGTGCGTTGATTACATAGGTCTGAAGAACTACAGCTGCGACGACTTTCCCTACGAAGTTTCCTATGCCATAGAAAGTTGGCAGGAACGATGATTGTGTAGGGTTCAAGTCATGGTCTATCCCATGCGGCACGACATACACCTCCCAACCGATGAAACAAAATCCCGTAACACAACTTGCCAGAGTTATCAAAATGAAGTGAACATCTGTCAAGATGGCAAAGTCGAATGCTGCCAGTATTGCCTTACAGCAGTGTGTGCTCTCCACTTGACTGTTATCCGAGGTGACGTCGGTCTCGTTGTCTTTACAAGCAATCCTGCGGTAGTCGTTTCTGTCGTCTTTCACCCTGGACGCTTTGGCTACTGCGGCGCACGGAACAAGGTGGAAAGTCAGTCCACAGATGATCATCATTGTCCATCTCCAGCCGTACGTATCAAGAAGTACTTGTGTGATTGGACCGTACAGCATGTCCCCACACGATTTACCAAGATTAGCAACCAGAAGGGCTATAGGATAGTACTTTTTGAAATATGAGGCAATGATAGCCAGAAACGGGTAGGCGAAACAACCTGAGCCAACACCTGCGGAAAGAAAAGGAACAGAAAAGAGTGGATATATTCGAACATAATCAGAAAAAAATCAAACAACACCAATACAAATTGTGACCGGATCCACAAAAAAGGGTATTAAGTTGCGCTGAGCATTATTGTGTAATGGTCCGCTCATTGAGCGGGTGAACATTTCATCAAAATTTGATCTTCATTTTTTGTCTTGAATGACATCTTTGATACCTACAGTTTCAGGTTTCATTCACAGAAATGTTGATTTTGATGAACAAACTGGAAAAAAAAAAACATTTTGTGTGCATCATTCGATTGTTCTACAACAAAGCCAGCTATTTCAATGCCTGTTTTATCAGTTGTGTAATTTCAACTCAAAGGAAATAATTAATATGCAAATACGTCATATCTCCAGAACAGGAGGGGCTATGGAATTCTATTATATACCAAATGAAAGCTTAAATTGTGGGCTTTTCAACCATGTATATAACTCAATTTCACTTTTTGCGACATAATACCCCTTTTTGTGGAGCCGGTCACAATTGACAACATAATAATTACAATAATGATTTGGGAGGCTAGGCATCCATACTCACAGCTGAGAAGCTGAATTGCGAAGGACGCCGCCGCGCCAAAACGTGGTCGAGCCGCTGGCATGTAAAGTCGCCTATGGCAGCCAGCCATACGACCCATATATGACCACGGAGCACAGCCAGAGATCGAAAGTGTTTGATTTTTCCGGAGGGAGGAAAACCGGTAGTCTATCCGCTCCGTTCACAAGTACCCCCTCACCGGCAAAGGAAGTACAGTTGGGGGTGCGCGGCCACTGCGTGTACATAGAACAAATCCCCTGGTGTACGCGTGTCAAACACAAGGAACGGTGCGCGTCAACCAGCAAACTGTACCGCCCATGGGACGTCGTTGCTAGGTAAAAGGGCGCCCTCTTTTGGTAGCGCACGGAGCTTATAGTATCATCCGTTATCCACGGAGAAGTCTCCTGTATAACGTCTGATAATGTCAAAGCATGCAGATTTATGCGATCTCGCGCCTCAGCCAATCGGAGTCGACTTTACTAAATCGTGACGTCATTTCATTCCCAAATCAGGACTAAACTGTGATTGGTCAATTCGAATGCAGTGTTCTAATACAACAACAGTCGGGCGCGTGTCGCGTTACATCATACAGAGCGCGTGACCACAGCCTTTGTTTCTGTGTCTAGGGTGTTGTGTTATCCATGACTTGTCTATGACGTGACAAACGGTGCATGACCGAATACCCGATATAGAAAGCGCCAGCGAATCTGCTCATGGAACCATGGCTTTCGCCATGGTCTATCACACAGGCTAGAAAAGTCGGAGGGCCCGGAGAAAAACCCGCGTGGCGCAAGAGAGAACCAACTCACAACTCTACCCACGTACGTATGCCATGTATGGTCCGCGGCCAGGATTCGAACCAGGGCCACAGTGGTGAGAGGCGAGCGCTTTGCGCACAAGCCACCCATGCCACAACATCTTCTAAAATGTATGTGTGTACCTGCAAAACCAACGATAAAGACGCTCCACTGTAAGAAGGTACAGGACCATGATGCCAGCAGGTACCCGCCGGTTGCCATGACACCACCCAATAGCATGACGAGACGACAGCCAAATACGTGCATCAGAAATGATATGACAGGTCCTACGATTGTTCAAGAGTAATCGATTAGTTGACATTTTCTAAAATCATGGATCGAAACATGATCGATAAACCTGCTCAATGCATTGATATGAGATATCCTACGAAAATAAACCCCCAAAGAGTGCTTAGCTCAGCTTAGTAAAAACTTAGACGTTCTGTACATATGCAAAGACAGGCCCAATGTAACAAAGCAATGGTAATTACTAGTGCAGGGCCCATCGAAAAATGCGCCTGTTCGGTGGGGGCAATTTCAAACTGCTCATATCATGCAAACAACGCACACGATTCAATTGTGTTGTTTTCACAGGTTGAACTCACACTCACAGGTTGAACGCACTTTGTACATGTTGCCAGGCCATCCCCGGCACTGATATTCACCCATACTGGACAATGGTATCGCCGTCCAGTGATGGTTGCTCAGTCGCCTGCAAAATACATGTGCCCATGCAGATACTCACGTACGTGAGTTCCGGCAACATGGTACGCAGTGCGAGCTATATTCACCAATACTCTGGACAAAGATCGCCCTACAATGCGTGTGCCCCATAGAGCTATATTAAATTACTAGCTCTATGGTGTGCCCATCCTTTTCCCATTGTTGCGTCATTGTTGCGCATTGAGGTTTAAGCAACGTCGCATACAGCAAAATGACTTTACCTAGCAATAACTGCACAGCCAGAGACATTGAAGCAACCCATCCTACCAACCATAAATCTGTGTCATATTCCGTTGCTATTGTTTCTGCTAATACACTCAGCGCTTTGATATTTCCGTAGACGAAAACCTGAGCCATGAATGCAGCAAAGAGCACCACCCAGCCCCAGCCACCTTCCTGGTAGTTCTTCATGATTGATTAGATCTGTCCTCACAACAATTGCACCTGTAAAGATTTATACAGCCATCACTCAAAAACTATTATCTCGTTGGCATGACGTATATACCTTCCCATATCATACCGTCGCCAACACCACGAAGTAACACCCAAGCCCACTCCAGTGTTACTTCGTGAAAACCGCTACATGACAAATTTTGGGTTCACGAAGTAACACCCGAGATAGTGTGCGCGCGCACACCGGACACTGGCGCAAACGATTTTCGGGGGGCACGGGGGGGGGGGAGGGAGGGCACGCTTAGTGGGGTACATGCCCTTTGTATCAATGTGGTGATTTGTGGTAAGGCGGCAGAACGCTATGCCCCAATCTATAACAAATTAGCTATAATAGAAATAAAAAAGCTCAATTGACACTCATTCAAATGGGCCATATTTTGTCGACCGTGAACTCGAAAAGTTGACTCTCCATGGCAAACTCTTGGTGGCGCACTGCATTGTAAATCGCCCGAATTCCCAATAATGAACCCTTCGGAATATGAACCTTATTTTTGTTTCGGACTATTGAACCTTCGGACTGATTAACCTTATTCTAAATTCGAACTACCGAACCTTCGGATAAATGAACCTTCGGACTAATGAACCTTCGGATTAATAAACCTTCGGATTAATAAACCTTCGGACTATTGTATCAAATGTTCGGATTAACGAACCTTATTTCATTTTCGGACTAACGAACCTCCTCTTATGGAAATTGTATGCATTCGAACTATCGAACCTTCGGATAAACAACCTTCTTTCTATCGGACCTTCGGACTATTGGGCGGCCCCCGATGCGCCCCCCCCCCTTCAAGGCTTAACCCTAGTTACGCCTCTATAACTTCCATAGCGAATATCAGACGAAAAATCAGTCTACATTACAGATCAAGGGAACACAACTTTGAGTTGTATTGTAATTGATATTGATCATAGTGAATTTGAAATAGTGCATGGTCTTTATTGTACTTGATTTACAAAGTGTTTACGCATAAAGAGTTAAATGCTTGGAGGTAGGAATAAGTGATGTTCGTATCCCTTTCTATGTCCGAGAACAATGGGTCCCCAGGTAGTATTCCCATAGACCTTATTCTCGATGAAGCCATTTTCGAGTTAATTTCGACCGTGTTCTTTCAATCTATTTTATAAATTGTAAGCTGTTGAATGGGAGGGTGCCATAATGGGAGTGCAGCTGGCCTCATTTGTTTTAATGGACTGAAGCATTAGGTTGTGTTTAAAGGGAAAATACAACATGTGCAAACATCGAAAAATCAAACTACCATATTTTAAAGAAAAATCTTACTTATATGTTGGTAAATGACAGTCTTAAGCATCCTGTGAAATAATGGCACCTAGTGTGAAGTCATTTTCAAGAAAATGGTATTTTTGTATACATTTCCAACAGTGGTCAGCCGAACTCCGTGGGGCAAACCTAACTATTTTTCAACTACTGCTCCAAATTTACCATTTGTTTCAGTCGAAATTGTGTTTGCTATTGGTTACATGTTCATGAACGGGTGCAGGCCAGCTAGACTGGTTCCTTTACCTTACAATTTCTGGCATCTATAAATTATTGATCCATTTCATCTTTAGTGGAGTCAGGGAACCAGACTACTTCAACATTTTTGTTTTTCTTGATTTTTCCAGCATTTTCAGACACAACACTTCAAACATGTCAGTGTAACAATATTTTGATCTATTATACTAACCCTTCAACTAGTTCATTTCTGAAAATTACAGCGAAAGCCAATGATGTACATTCCCTTTAACCACAAATTATAAGTTATTCATCAGAGCAGACAAATCTTTGTAAATGCAAAACAACGTTATACAGTTAACACCTTTTATCACATAGTAGATAAAAGTCCTTATACTCAGCAAACACTTACCGTCAGCGTCCTGCAAGCGCAGTAGCTAAACAGTTTTCACGTACATGTACGTCTGGTAAACAAACGATTTGACCCTTGACACCCTTGACACTATAATTATATGTACATAATTGTATAGCACCGGGTTTGTGTCATGACCCATCACCCGGCTTCGTGTTTTTATAGTATGCAAATGAGCACGCTGGTATATGTAGATAAGGCAATGAGGTGTGGTGGCCAATTAAAACATGTGTATTGGTATTAATGAGCGAGCTGAAATGCAAATAGGACAGGGGAAAGTGCATGGGCCATTTAGAAAGTTTGTTGCGCGTAAGGACGCTATTTTCCGCAGGGAATATCTGGTTTTGTTTATTCTGTCACAGTCATCCGAAGGAGGCAGAGGGCTTGTCGATTTTCATCCATATTTCAGCAAATAATTTAAAGTTAATCGTATGAAATTGATTTTAAAATGTTCACAAAGTATACACTTACTCACGTACATTTACGTACATTAACGTCGGAAGTTTATGTACCTCTTTATTATTCGTTTCCTTAGAACAAACGATAATTTCGCGTTTTATTCACGATCTGTTAAGTGTTCATGTGACATTTCATTTCATTTCGCCATGGTCTATTACATAGAATACGGCTACGGCGACACGCGCGAAGACCAGAAACCGGAGCCTTTTTTTTATTTGGCCTTAGCGATGGTTCTTTAACGTGTATTGCACCACACATGGGTCCTACCGCTTTACGTCTCTTCCGAAGGACGAAGCAATAATGGTAAAGTGCCTTGCTCAAGAGCACGATCACCATGTTCCGGTCAGGATTCGAACCCATGTACCACGTACGGCACACGAGCATACTGGAATTGTGTATCCTTGTGGAGTCAATTCTTTGTTCTTGTGTACTAGAAATCTAGAGTTTGAAAGTGTAGTTTCAAAATGCTCCTATTTTGACCAGAACTAATTTCCTTGGCCGAAATTTGGACTTAATATCCCTTACATAAAATACTTCAATTTGGGACAACTAAATCAACGTTCGCACGTTGGAAATTCCTAGTTTTTGAGTAAAATCCATAAATCTATTTTATGATAACCCTGTGGAGACGTATTCACCTATAGAAATTGCTCTGTGGAGACGCAGTCAACATTTTGTTCCCTATTATGCACATAGCCACAGATCATGCGTAACAGATCACCATGACCATTGGACCACAACCCCACCGAGTGTATAACTCGACACCCTTCCCAGACTCCATATCCATGCACGAAGCTATCACACTGTGAATAGAAAGTCTCTCCAAACGTTCTATCAAATGTCACTTCATTACCGACAGCACGACCAACCGATACCACATCGACATCATATTTCCTAATTACCATTCCATGTAAAACTGAAGACAGTACTTACCGTCAAGGGCTGCAAAATGACAGCAAAATATGTACATGTACATGTATGTTTTACTGCCGTACGTTTATTCAGAGCAGAAGTGCAAATGACCTTAATCGAGCCTGCATGCCTGCATGCATCTCATGCATAACAAGCAAATAACCGATGGCTTATGGAGTTCCAGTGAATGAACCGAACACCGCAATAATAATGGCACTTCAAAACTTTGAACCCAGACTGATCTGAGTGACTCAGGGGCCGTATACGGGTTTTCTTTGGACCATGACCCCGATCATTACGGTAACGAAAGTATGCGAAACATGTAACCGGTAAACCCTCCTCATAGTACAAGTGATGGCACTTATAATTGTTAAAGGGGAAAAAGCATACTTGAAAATGAATCAATTTCAAATAAGAAATTTTTTTTTAAGGCCTATTTTCTTCGAATCGTATTAAATGTATTCTTCCTTGGTTCACGTCAATTTTCAAACGGGTTGTGTCACATTTTATGGTCAATAATCGGATGCAATTTCAATCCAATGCATTATGTTGTTCACGAGTTATCGTCTCAACAAAGAGTGTCAAAAGAGAATAAAATTCGGAGTGAAGTTTCGTAATTAAATTAAATTAAACGCTTTAATAGGCCTATTTTCTTTAAATCATATTAAATGTATTCTTTCACGGTTCACGTCAATTTTCAAACGGGTTGTGACAAATGTTATGGTAAATAATCATGCGCAATTTCAATCCAATGTGATATGTTGTTCTTGAGTTATCGTCTCCACAAAGTGTGTCAAAAGAGACTAAAATTCGGAATGAAGTTTTCGTGATTTAACCGCTTAGGCCTATTTTCTGTAAAATCATATTAAATATATTCTTCCACATTTCACGCCAATTTTCGAACGGGTTGTGTCAAATGTTATGGTTAATAATCTTTTGCAGTTTCAATCCAATGCGATATGTTGTTCTTGAGTTATCGTCTCCACAAAAAGTGTTGTATTTTTGTTTAATGGGCAGATTGTTGCCGCGTGCTGACCAGTGGTTGTGTAGGGCGCCCTCCTAAGGAAAAAATCATAGAGGGTAGCAAAATCTGGCACATGCACTGTTGGCCGTTGGTTATCACGGTTCCAGTCGATTTCCACTTTTTCTGTCATTACATCACGACTTATTATCGAACAAAGTTTCGTTTCAGAACAAATTGTTTTTCTAGAGTTACTGTCTCCAAAAGAGTGCTTCATTTCTTTCAATTAAAATAATTCAGTGCAATGTGTTTTTCTTGAGTTATGATTGTCTCCGACTTCGTTTGGGCAGATCGTGATCCGCATTGACAGTAGTCTTTATGGTGGTGACTAGTATTTGTGTAGCGCGCCCTCTTTTGGAAGAAATGGATGTTGGTAAAATGTACGGCAGTGCCCTTACGGTAGCAGACCAGTAAATAAACGTCCATAGACTCCAGTGGTATAAAATACCCCCACTTCAAAAATTCGGGAAAAATACTCACCACTCTCCAAGGTGTTCGAGACACACATCAAATTAAAGTTTGTTTCATCATCTTTCATTTTCTTTTCAATTTTCGGGGGTTAACTGATGACTTTAGGAGTAAATTCCATCCGAAGATGATCACCCCTGAAAAAAGTCCTGAAGCCCATCGCCAGGTTGAAAAACGATGCTTACACTCCATTGCAAAATAGAGCGCTTTAAGGGCCCAATTTCATCCACATTGAACGGAACTACAAGCTCACAGTGCTGTGCACGGCTTCCACCCATATGTTTTACAAACCCTCCAATTCATGGCCCACAGCATGCTCAAATACTGAAGATTTTGAGGGCATGCAAATCGTGATTTGGCTGGCGCAGGCAATTTCGGACCGATTTACTGGTCTGCAACCTTACACACTGTAGTTTTTGTTTTTGCTATATTGATTTTTTTCTTCAACAGTTTCTGTCGAATTTCAAATGTATTGTGTGGTATATCACGGCCAATTATTGGACACAATTTCAATTCAGTGCAATGTGCTCTTCTTGAGTTATAGTCTCCACAAACAGTGCTTTATTTGTGCTCAAATATAAGTGACTTGAATTTGGATTGAATTCTTCGCGATTAGTACACTGTATTTCTTTAAATCATATTAATTTTATTCTTCAAGAGTTATCGTCAATTTTCTAACGTGTTGTGTCCTATATCCCAAATAATTATTGGACGAAATTTCAATTCAGTGCACCTTTTTTTTCTTGAGTTATCGTCTCCACAAAGAGTGCTTTATTTTTGTTCAACTAAAAGTGACTTGAATTTGGATTGAATTTTTCGCGACACTGTATTTCTTTAAATCATATTAAATTTATTCTTCAAAAGTTAACGTCGTTTTTCTAACGTGCTGTGTCCTATATCCTGAACAATAATTGGACGAAATTGCAATTCAGTGCATTGTGGGGTTTTTTATTGATCGTCTCCACAAACAGTACTTTATTTTTTTTGCTTAAATAAAAGTGACTTGAATTTGGATTGAATTTCTCGCCATCGGTACTCTGTATTTCTTTACATCGTATTAAATTTATTCTTCAAGAAGATTCATCGTCGATTTTCTAACGTGTTGTGTCCTATATCCCGAACAATTATTTGACGAAATTTCAATTCAGTGTAATGTGTTTTTTCTTGAGTTATCATCTCCACAATGGGTGTTTTATTTTTGTTCACTTAAAGCCCACTTCGTTTGGGCAGATCGTAATCCGCATCTTTAGGGTGGTGACCGGTATTTGTGTACCGCGCCCTCTTTGGGAAGAAATCGATGTTGGTAAAATATACGGCAGTGCCCTTGCACCCTGTAGTTTTTGTTTTTGTCGGATTTCAAATTGATTGTGTCGTATATCACAGCCAATTATTGGACACAATTTCAATTCAGTGCAATGTGTTTTTCTTGAGTTATCGTCACCACAAAGAGTGCCTTATTTTTGTTCAATTAAAAGTGACTTGAATTTGGATTGAATTTTTGGCAATTAGTACACTGTATTTCCTTAAATCATATTTATTTTATTCTTCAAGGGTTCTCGTTGATTTTCTAAATTTGTGTGTCGTGTGTCACCTGCAACATCATAGTTAGCCGAAATTTCAAGGAAAAAAAGTAGGGAAAAACAAAACGCGTCGCCGTACCACTTTTTGGGCCAGCTCTTTACCAGAAACCGGAGACATTTTTGGCAAAAAGATTAAGATAAAACAAAAAGCTGTAGCATCTAGCATTTCTGTTTTTGTTTGTCTTTATTTGAAATACGTACAACACGGAATAATTAAAGGAATCAAGCATAAATGTGCCCCCTCGAGATGAAAACAAAACTGGCCCGAAAAGTTTTGGATAATTTGTTTTCAGAAACCATTTCCCAAAATGGTATGGAGAGAGCTGTTATGAACGAGGAATTTGAAAACACAGACCCAAATTTAAACCCTAACAATGCGCCCTGAAAATACCCCCCCCCCCCCCCCCCCCACTATTTAATTTTACGGAGGTCAAGTGTCCGGTGAAAAAAAAAACATTTCAACCTTTTAGCACATAGGCCTATGTGCACAAAAAAAATACTGAACAAGTGCCCCTTCTTGGTGACCCCCCCCCCCCCCCAGTTTGAAAACTGTTCTGCCGCCGCTGCACCATAGCGTCCTCAAGCACTAAATATCATGTTTACCAATTGGCTATTACTGGAAAATATCTGATGTTTTTGATTTATCCCGGTATCCCAACAGAACCAGTGTCAACTTCATCTTGCCGCAGGGTCAGCAGCACCTCTGCACCAGCCATGACAACTCCTAGCACACTGCCGCTGCTGCCACCACTCACTCCCATGGGTGTCTGCAAGGGTGCGGTTTGCATAACAGCCATGGCGTTGACAGCCACCGTGGGCTCGGTCTTCATGATTGGGCCCATTCTACCCCTCATGGCCATTCGGCCACGGCTGTTCCGCTGGGTGGCGGACTGGATGATGAACCTGTGGCTGCTGCTGCCGGTGGTAAGTTTACTGGTTTATGAGCATGCTGGTACTCATAATATTCGTGGACCTCTTAAGCACAGAATTCAATTTACTAATCACTGGAAATGTGTCTGAATCAGTTAGGTCTTAATCAACTACTAATAAGTATTAAAGGTACAGTCCATCATTTGTAATTTGTGCATTTTGTTCGTTTGAAGCAACAAAAGTGCTCAAAATCTAAAGAAGAGTGCTGAACAACTAACCTGATGAAGTTTCAGCTCAGCTTCAGCTGTATATTCTGAGGAAAACAGCATTCTAGGATCTCGATTTCAAATCAAAAGTTGCTGAAGCATGTTTTGAATTGGACCTGAATTCAGTGTCCAAGACACGTTCTCACTGAGCTGATTGCAGCTACTCGATGTCGCGCACTGATCCGACGAATTGTAGCAAGCGCGTGTACGTTGTGCCAATGCTTGCGCGTGCTTCGCTGAATTTAAAAAAAAAAAATACTAATGGAAATATCCATTGGAAAGGCCTTCTTTCATTGATTTCTTCAAAATGACAGAAGGGGGAAAAGGAAAAAAAACCACCTTTTTCAGATAATAAGAGAATAAATGCCGGAGTATTTTGATACACCACAATCTTCCAGCATACATACATTTGGTGAAAATGCAGATGTACATCCCATTGGCAAACTTTGACTGTAAGGATACAGTCTGAGTCCAAAATACATTAATAATCAGCCCAGAAAAGAAAGTAAGAGATCATGTCGGACAGATTTTCATTTCATGTACGTGTATAATGAAGTCATTCAAATACTTTCTTAAACTAGTGAGGGTTTGCGGTAACACCACGTGGAAGAATCTCTTTTGAGAAGATGCGTAGTTCTGAAAAGAACCAGTTGGTTGTGAAACTCAATGTTCCAATCAGTATGCTCTGATTGTCTTCTCCAGTGAAGACGATGAGAGTAAAAGAGATTCTTCTGGATGGTGTTACTGCAAACCCTCACTAGTTACACTACCGCCACATATTACAAATCTTACTCAAATAATTTCTTCTTCTTTTTTCTTCATGTCTCCTAACTGGATCCTGTTCTACCAGGCACTTATGGGTAAGTTGGTTGAGATTTTGTATTATCCCAAATAGGGATTACAGTGAACAAGCAATCAGAGAATTTTGTTGTCATTGAATAGATATTTTTTTCTTTTCCTACAAATCTATTATAATTAAGCCCTGATTTGAAGTTCAAATCACAATTATTCATGTTGGCCACACAAAAAAAGTTCTGCTTCCGATCACATGGCATTTGAAAATAAAGTAGGTAGGTAGGTAGGAACATTTTTTTGAATTTTTTTTGCCAATTTTTTTGTGTACTATCATATGGAGGCATCTGCATGAAGTCAAGGGTAAAAGGTAGAAATTGATGGTTTTGGGTGTTTTTCCTCATTTTCCCCATAAAAAAAAAATAGGGTAGGGGCTGTCAGAATGGGGTAGGTAGGGAACTGGAAGCAGAACTATTATTTTTTGGGCCTTGTGCACATGTTTCATTGGCTCCATCAGTGTTCACTATTAGTGGCTATGGAATCACCTCACACATAAATGTCAACCTGAATCGCATTGACCTCAAAGTTATATGTATACACGAGTAAAGTTAATAGACACAGGACACTATTTGTAAACATTCAAAAAGGAAAAAAAATGCCAAAATATTAGGAAATATCCTACTTGATTGTAAGTAAATAATGTCCAGTAAAATCAATGAGCACGTACGCATGTAGTACCCATGTGCTCTCATTTTCAAGTAAAAAGGAATTACAATGCACTTCATTTTCCTCTTGAAACCCTCGTATCAAACAGTCCCCAATTGACCAAATTTAGTTTAGTTTGCAATCTGTTTCATATCCGTGAATGAGAATTACTTTACCCGAGTGACAGACTCGGGACCACACCACAAGAGGGTGCAAATCAAAATGAATTTGTAGGAATTAGTTATACTGTCCTACTTTAACTCCGAGTTTAATGCAAGTTAAATGACTCACCAAGTTGAAGTATATAAACAGCCAAAACTGGGCCGAGTCCATGCACAACGCAACGCGAACGGGGCAACTGCCCGCGCCGTGAATGCGGGGCGAGTTGGTTTTAACTCATGTGGTGAATATGCACACAAAGTTCGGTCAATAAACACTCACAAAAATCCACGAGAGAAGCTTGGATTGCTCACTGGAATAGCTCTGCCGATGTTTACTAAATCATGTAAAGAATAGTGTTGATTCTAGCTTGTAACTTCCAAGCGAAAGTATAGGAAATGCACTGTAAATATTACGTGTGTGACAGAGAACTAGTATAGACGAACGATAACGAAACAACACTCCATGAATGAACGCATGAAGGTTGACCTCTGAACTACATGTAACATATATACAAGATGCGTTAAAGGCGCAGTACAGTGAAACTTAAAGTGAACGCTACAAATTAATGAGCATTTTGGAAGGGAGGGCTTTCAACAGAAACCATGCTCGCAAGAAAAACGAAATTGCATTTATTTCTACAGATTTTGCTTTTCTACTGATTTGAAATTTTGAGGGGTTAGTGTTTTATTCATTGCATAGCCTGCTTCATGTTTATTGAATTGTTCCTTAAAAATTAAAAAGCACTTTTGCTAATGGTGTCCTTTACCTGCAAGCTCAACCCATTGATTGACTCTTCTCAAAAGCATACCTGCATGGCTTCCTATGCATTCTATATATGTAAAGGCATGATTTTCCTGAACAACTGTCATAAAGCTGTAGTTGACTACAGTTTGTCGGACATGAGTTACATTAGAAGACTAAGAAAGAACCACTGCGCCAACCTGACTCTCACATACATAAAGACTATCAATGTAAGGGCTTATGCCAACAAAAAAAGTCTCTGGTTTCTGGTATGAAGCTTGCCCAAAAAGTGGTGCGGCGACGCGGCTTTTTTTTTTTTTACCTGATATTTTTGCTTCAAATGTCGGCTGATGACTGCAAATGGTGCCCGACTAAACTTAGTGCAAATATATGGGAGTCCAGAGAGGCCACATAAAGCTTATTCTCGACCATAACCCAATCTAAAAACATGTTAAAATTGTGCAGCAGCAGGATTCCAGTCAAACCAGTGAGTTTGGCGGTTTTTGAGACATCGTCTTTATGACTTTTTTTTTTGGCCTTACATAACATGTATATAATTACGGTATGTCAAGTCATTCTCATATTCAGAATGCTGGATTTGTTTTTTCCTTTTGATAAAAGAGTTATTCATGGGGGTTACAATCATGACCTCAGGCGACACACTGCAGTCAGACGAGGGCAGCATAATCCTGATGAATCACCGCACGCGGCTAGACTGGTTCTTCTTCTGGGCGGTGCTCCATCGCCAGAGCACGCTGCGGACAGAGAAGATCTTGTGAACAAAGACTGTCTGTTAAGTTTAATTATATTAATCAAATCAATCAACAAATCTCGATCGAGACTTTGTGTAGGTTTCTTTCCTTTAAACCAGACATTTAAAATTATAAATAACAATTAGTATGGATAGCCAATCCGAAATATTCAATCTTGGAGATCTCCGGGCAAGCAGAATATATACATATAATCAGTTTTACTTTATTAAAATTTATAATTATTGCAGTGGTTAATATTTATTTAAACTTGAAAGTAATACTGAATTTGTCATTATAGAAATTGCCATTGTAGTTGCCATTCGAACCTGCTGTGTGGCAGCCGCAGTGCTACTTAAAACATTTTCATATCATTTCATATTATTTTAAGTAGTATCAGCGGCGGATCTACGGGGTGGGGGAGCCCCCTCGACCGCAAAAATGGGAAAGCTCTTCAGGTAACGAAGCACATGTCTAATACTAACTCCCCCCACAGCTAATCCCCTTGAGCCAAAGTTTGGTATCTTCCCGTAAAATTAATATTGTAAACATGTTTTATCCACAGATGGTCTGCTGAAAAAAATAATAGACTAGCACATCTGGTTGTACCTTCCGTTGCCATCAGAGCTGTAATTAGTCACTACGAGCAAATGATGACTCGACTCGCAAAAATAAAAGCAAAACCTTGCGAGAAATATTTGCAATGAATTACGGGTGCAAAATTCATGTTCACGTCAATTAACGAATACAGCACGGTACAGCAGTAAAGCTTAATTGTCACGTACAAACAGATATCGTGTCACAGACTCCCACTTAGTGGTTCTGGAAATGCACAAAATACTATCCCGGAACTGCGGACTTTAAACGCATTTTCCAAATCGTGGTATCATCATTGGCTTCGGTCGATTCCTTATTAAGCTTTTGGGTTTAAACGCCGGCTAAAATGTATGCCCTCTTTTAAAAATATAATGCACACATGCCCACGTTTAAATAATCAGAAATAGTTATGAACAATGCAATTTGGTAAAATGTTGTAGCGATCAGCAAAACAAAAAGTAGATCCGAACTCCTCGAAGCCAAACCAGATAGAATATAAAATCGAAGTTCTACTTCTTAACTGTTAGTGATACAAATGACTTATCTCTTGTCCTTATTTGTTACATAGTGCAATATTCGTGACTCGAATTGACTCGAGCTTAATATTTGACTCGACTAGACTCGACTACACACTGTGACTTGACTCAACTCGACTCGACCTTATTGACCTAATGACTCGACTTGACTCGAGTCACAAAAAGCAGTGACTAGTAACTCTGGTTGCCATGTGCCATCGTTGGTCTTCTTCCGCGGTTCGTCCTTTGGCGGTATACTCCAGTTTACATGAGTGCCCTAGACACACTCTGTCCGGACTTTCCTAGAAATAACAGGCTTATTATAAAACAGGTCAAAGATGGTACAAACAGGGTGAGCCCAAAAAAAAGCGGAACCCTAAGAAATATATTTCATATTTAACAAAATATTTAGCACCAAAATGAATTATGACTGGAAAGCCAATTGAATAAACTACTTTTAGATGAACAAAAATTCAATTGCCCAGTCCGTTCAAATTATATCACCGGCATTCAAACGAAATGACCCTAAAATCCGCTACGTCCGCTGCGATTTCAAGAGGTGTCGTTACAATCGTCTTCAAACATCACCAGCGATAAAACCTCAGTATGAAAGTTAAAAATATTCAACGAAGTCCTCGTGAAGGCCTGTCTTTAAAAAAAAAATGGATTTTACAAATCCTTTTGTCAGCCAAAGCAGGGTTGTTGATAAAGATATTGTGTACTACAGTTATTGAAACAAGTATTCTGTGTCATTCTCTTTGTTGTTCCAAACAATCAGATCACGAAATAAATTGGTTTTGTTGGACGAAACTGATTTTAGGGTTACTTCGTTTATAAAATATTGTTAAAATTTTAACGTGTAGAGCAAATTATTGAAATAATTTCCTCACTTCAAATTAAATTAGTTTAATACGGCTTCAAAGTTGTAATTAAATTTGGTGTTACATATTTTTCTTATAAGAAATATATTTCTTTGTTTTTGGGTTCCACTTTTTGAGTCACCCTGTAAATGCAAGGAATGACAATCGCCTACCATAACAAAAAATCCGTATTTCTTCTGTCCGAGATCATTACTGCTATACGCGAAGCGGGTGACAAGCAGCACAGCAGTATGAATGACTGCATAATGTTTATGTTTGTTACAGTAAGTTCATTTCTTGTCTTTGAATTTCGTTATACCGTAGTCCAATAGTACAAAGATAAAAGCACAGAACTGTAGACCTGCCAACAGGATGAATGTTGCCTTGAAGCTTCCAGTCACATCATAGAGCCAGCCTATAGTAAAAAAAAAAAAAAAAAAAAGAAAAACCAACAGGGTAAGAAACGGAATAAAAGACATCTCAATACGGGTGCAAATTTCAAGTACGGCTACTAAAATATAGTCTGGAAAAATTCGATTAGAACTAGGAAGCACTCAGAAAGCGCACACTTCCGCCTCTAAAATAACATAACCTCTTTGATGGAGATAATAACGAACATAACCTAAACATAACCTCTTTGATGGAGATAATAACGAACTGGGATAGAATTCTTTAACTTTTTATGCATTAAAAACAATTAGCTCACATACACTAAATATTAAAACATAACAGCGTTGCTGTTGAAACCCCTCAGCTGAAGTTTGTCGAAAAGGGCAAACTGACATCCAAACTCAAATATCATGTTTACCTGAAATTATCATGAAAAAACATTCATTCACCACAGTGACCTTGACCTTTGACCTTTGACCCCCAAACCATTCCCAACTTGCCTATTTCCAAGGGCAACCCCCTACCTAAGTTAGACACCAAAATGTGATTTCTAACTCAAGTTATCATCCGGAAACCATTTACCTTAAACTCACCACGGTGACCTTGACCTTGGTCCAATCCCAACTTGCCTACTTCCAAGGGCAACCCCCTACCTAAGTTAGACACCAAAATCTTATTTCCAACTCAAGTTATCATTCGGAAACCATTTACCTTTAACTCACCAAGGTGACCTTGATCTTTGACCAATCCCAACTTGCCTACTTCCAAGGGCAACCCCCTACCTAAGTTAGACACCAAAATCTTATTTCCAACTCAAGTTATCATTCGGAAACCATTTACCTTTAACTCACAAAGGTGACCTTGATCTTGACCTTTTGACCCCAACACCAATTTTAAATTGCCTACTCCCAAGGGCAACCCCCTACCTTAGTTAGACACCAAATTGTGATTTCTAACTCAAGTTATCATTCGGAAACCATTTACCAAAAACTCACCACGGTGACCTTGGCCTTTGACCTTTTGACCCCAAAAGCAATCCCACCTTGTCTACTCCCACGGGCAACCCACTACCAAAGTAAGACACCAAAATCTCATTTCTTACTGAAGTTATCATCCAGAAACCATTTACCTTTAACCCACCACGGTGACCTTGACCTTTGACCTTTTGATTCCAACACTAATCCCAACTTGCCTACTCCCAACGGCAACCTCTTACCAAAGTTAGACATCAAAATGTCATTTCTAACTCAAGTTATCATCCGGAAAGCATTTACCTTTAACTCACCACGGTGACCTTGACCTTTGACCTTTTGACCCCAAAACCAATCTTAATTTGCCTACTCCCAAGGGTAACCCCCTACCGAAGTTACAATCCCAAACAACATTTCTAATTCAAGTTATCATCCGGAAACTAAGCTGCCCGGACGGACGGACGCCCTGACAGACACCACGGACATACGGGCGGACGCCGTAGGCGATGACAATACCCCTCGAGCCTCTCGGCTGAGGGGTAAAAATCGATAGCATTATTGTCGATACAAAGTTTAGGTATAGGAATCTTACCCGAGGCGAAACCACTCATGACATCGCTGAGTCCTACAAACAGTCCCTGCCAGGAATACATACTCAGCAACTGATCATCTGAGGCCAACTCACGATACAAAATGAACTTGACTGTATTGGTGATGGCAATACCTGATCCTACCGTGCACGCCACGACCGCAAGGCTAGCAAAAGAGGTCAGAAAGGGGTCAGCAAACAGAGAACAACTTGCACAAAGTACACCAATGCACATGAACCATCGTGCGTTGATTACATAGGTCTGAAGAACTACAGCTGCGACGACTTTCCCTACGAAGTTTCCTATGCCATAGAAAGTTGGCAGGAACGATGATTGTGTAGGGTTCAAGTCATGGTCTATCCCATGCGGCACGACATACACCTCCCAACCGATGAAACAAAATCCCGTAACACAACTTGCCAGAGTTATCAAAATGAAGTGAACATCTGTCAAGATGGCAAAGTCGAATGCTGCCAGTATTGCCTTACAGCAGTGTGTGCTCTCCACTTGACTGTTATCCGAGGTGACGTCGGTCTCGTTGTCTTTACAAGCAATCCTGCGGTAGTCGTTTCTGTCGTCTTTCACCCTGGACGCTTTGGCTACTGCGGCGCACGGAACAAGGTGGAAAGTCAGTCCACAGATGATCATCATTGTCCATCTCCAGCCGTACGTATCAAGAAGTACTTGTGTGATTGGACCGTACAGCATGTCCCCACACGATTTACCAAGATTAGCAACCAGGAGGGTTATAGGGTAGTACTTTTTGAAATATGAGGCAATGATAGCCAGAAACGGGTAGGCGAAACAACCTGAGCCAACACCTGCGGCAAGAAAGGAACAGAAAAGTGGTCATATTCGAACGTAATAAGAAAAAGAATCAAACAACACCAATAAAAATTGACAACATAATAATTACATTAATGATTTGGGAGGCTAGCTTATCATCCTTACTCACAGCTGAGAAGCTGAATTGCGAAGGACGCCGCCGCGCCACAACGTTCGAGCCGCTGGCATAAAAATATACGATCCATATTATATGACCAAAGAGCACATCCTGAGATCGAAAGAGTTTGATTTTTCCGGAGGGAGAAAAACCGGTAGTCTAAGTATCATCCGTAATTCGGGCGATTCACAATGCAGTGTAACACCAAGAGTTTGCCACGGAGAGTTCATTTTCAAAGTGCATTGTGGGAAATGGTCGACAAATTTGCAGTGCGGGACATTTGAAGTCGTTAGTTTTTCCGGTCAGTGGTTTCGTAAGCGTATGATTCGAGGCTCTGTTTGCCCATTTCTTTTCATGTTTTCAATATGGTGTTTTTGGTTAGGCGGAAGAACGCTATGCCCCAATCTATGACATATTAGCTCAAGTTGTCTACCGACACTTATTAAGATAGGCCATGTTTTGTCGACTGTAAACTTGAAAAAATGGACTCTCCGTGGCGAACTCTTGGTGGCGCACTGCATTGTGAATCGCCCGAATTATCCAAGGAGAAGTCTCCTGTGCAACGTCTGATAATGTCAAAGCATGCAGATTTATACGAACTCGGGCTTCAGCCAATCAAAGTCGACTTTACTAAATCGTGACGTTATTTCATTCCCAAATCAGGATTGGTCAATTCGAATGCAGTGTTTTGTAATGCAACAACAGCCGGGCGCGTGTCGCGTAACATCATACAGAGCGCGTGACCACTCTATGACGCCGTGAAAGACCGAATACCCGATACAGAAAGCGCCAGTGAATCTGCCCATGGAACCATGGCTTTCACCATGGTCTATCACATAGACTAGAGAACCGGAGGGCCCGGAGAAAACCACGCGTGGTGCAGGAGAGAAGCAACTCATAACTCTACTCACGTATGTACAGTGGTGACAGGGATGCGCTATGCGCACAAGCCACCCATGCAACAACATCTTCTAAAATGTGTTTGTGTACCTGCAAAACCAACGATAAAGACGCTCCACTGTAAGAAGGTACCAGACCATGATGCCAGCAGGTACCCGACGGTTGCCATGACACCACCCAATAGCATGACGAGACGACAGCCAAATTTGTGCGTCAGAAATGATATGACAGGACCTACGATTGTTCAAGAGTAATCAATTATAATCAGTTGACACTTTCTAAAATCATGGATCGAAACATGATCAATGAACCTGCTCAATGCATTGATATGAGATATCCTACGAAAATAAAGCCCCAAAGAGTCGTTTCTAAGTCACTTGCAGCCGGGGGTGGCTTCTTATGGTGTCAGAAACACATAATGAACGATTGATTGTGACATCAAAGTATGCTGAACGTAGTAAAAACTTAGACGTTCTGTACACAGAGTTGCACTGACTCGAGTCAATGACTCGACTCGAGTCCGACTCGAGTCACAATGTTGGTGACTCGACTCGACTCGAGTCCCTAAGGGTAAAAGACTCGACTCGACTCGAGTCACTACGAGCAGATGACTCAACTCGACTCGAGTCCCTCATCAGAAGACTCGACTCGAGCGAAGGCTAATAAGACTCGAGTCCCAAAAAATAAAAGCACAGGTTTGCGAAAAGTATTTGCAATCACTTACGGTGCAAAGTTATGCTCACTTCGCTTTGCGAACAGCAGTCATGTATAAATATACAACGTGACACAGTCTCTCACCTCATGGTTCTAGAACGCACAAAATGCTGTCCATGACCCAGATTTTTAAACACATTTTCTAATTCATTCTGTTTCATCATTGGCTTTGGGCGATTTCTTATAAAGCTCTTGGATTCGAACGCTGGCTAAACTTATGGCCTCCTTGTATCAGTTTTGGCATATAGTGTTCAAATATTCGTGACTCGAATTGACTCGAGCTAAATATTTGACTCGACTCGACTCGACTCGACCTTTTGACCTAATGACGCGACTCGACTCGAGTCACTTCTTGAAAATGACTCGACTCGACTCGAGTCACTTCTTGAAAATGACTCGACTCGACTCGAGTCACTTCTTTAAAATGACTTGACTTGCGTCGAGTCACAAAAATCAGTGACTCAGTACAAATGCAAAGATTATCCCAATGTAACAAAGCATTGGTAATTATATAAACTCAATATTCTACGCTTTCGTCTAGTATGAGGATCAGACGTTCACGTTTGCAGGGTCACAAATTGTATGCGACCCCGCGCGCCAGCCATTCGGTGCCGCCGTTAGAAGAAGTTATGACGTCAGGTTACCGAAGATACACTATAAGGCGCCCGCTGAATGGTCAAAATCTGGAGTTCAAGACGCAGTTTTGTTTTGCATAACCTGCACGTATATCATAGAAACAAGCCGATGAAATTCCTATTCCATAGTCTAGCTTCCAGCCGTGAATGAGTTCCAGTAAACTCAATACAGAGGGCGGCTTCATGCCCAGGCGCATTGAGGTTTAAGCAATGTCGCATACGGCATAATGACTTACCTATCAATAACTGCACAGCCATAGACATTGAAGCAACCCATCCTACCAACCATAAATGTGTGTCATATTCCGTCGCTATCGTTTCTGCTAATACACTCAGCGCTTTGAGATTTCCGTAGACGAAAACCTGAGCCATGAATGCAGCAAAGAGCACCACCCAGCCCCAGCCACCTTCCTGGTAGTTCTTCATGATTGATTGGATCTGTCCTCACAACATTGCACCTGTAAAGATTTATACAGCCATCACTCAAAAACTATTATCTCGTTGGCATGACGTATATACCTTACCACATCATGCATATTAAAATCAATTTCATACAATTAACTTTAATAAATGCAGCAATTTTTTTTTGCGCAGAAGTATTTTCTATTTAGTTCATATAGCCCCAACCCAGCCTAAAAAACATGACCAGCAAACACTTGAAATCTGAAGCATTTGATTAATTATATTCGTACAGATACAAGTGAATGCTTCAACATTGGTATTAAAAACAAATCATAGTTTTTATTCATACGACCCAATAGTCCAACTTTGTCCACGAATTCTGTATTGAACCTTGGATCCCTGCAATTTGAACGTTATTTCATATATTTTTTTGCAGGCATCCTCGTCGTAAGACCGTGTGCTTTGCAGAAACCATAATAGTATAAGACTATACATGACTTATATGTTCACAAAGTATACACTTTAATCACGTACATTTACGTCGAAAGTTTATGTTTCTGCAGTTGCCAGCTGTGGTATGCCGTGGCACACGGCTAGTGGGTAGTTCCACAGCTGCTGCTTTTGCGCAGTCCCGTTACCACACAAAGGCTGTGCAGTCATGCGGGCCACTTGCTCTATGTGTGGAGGAATGTCCCCATTACACCCCGTCCTTAAGGGGTTCTTAAGTGATCCTGTGAAATTTCATGCCATTTCGCCATGGTCTTTACATAGACTACGGCTACGGCGACGCGCGCGAAGACCAGAAACCGGAGACTTTTTGTTTTTTGATTTGGCCTTAGCGATGGTTCTTTAACGTGTATTACACCACACACGGGTCCTACGGCTTTACGTCCCATCCGAAGGACGAAGCAATAATGGTAAAGTGCCTTGCTCAGAAGCACAATCACCACGTTCCCGTCAGGATTCGAACCCATGTACCACGGCACACGAGTGGAACACGCATACTGGAATTTTGTGGAGTCGATTCTTTGTTCTCGTGTACTAAAATTTTGGAGTTTGAAAGTGTAGATTCAAAATGCTCCTATTTTGACCAGAACTAATTTCCTTGGCCGAAATTCGGACTTAATATCCCTTACATAAAATACTTCGATTTGGGACAATTAAATCAACACACGTTGGAAATTCCTAGTTTTTGAGTAAAATCCATATATATATTTCGTGATAGCCTTGTGGAGACGTATTTACCTATAGAAATTGCTCTGTGGCGACGCAGTCAACATTTTGTTCCCTATTATGCACATAGCCACAGATCATGCGTAACAGATCACCATGACCATTGGACCACAACCCCACCGAGTGTATAACTCGACACCCTTCCCAGACTCGAAATCCATGCACGAAGCTATCACACTGTGAATAGAAAGTCTCTCCAAACGTTCTATCAAATGTCACTTCATTATAGCTCGACCAACCGATACCACATCGACATCATATTTCCTAATTACCATTCCATGTAAAACTGAAGACAGTACTTACCGTCAAGGGCTGCAAAATGACAGCAAAATATGTACATGTACATGCATGTTTTACTGCCGTACGTTTGTTCAGAGCAGAAGTGCAAATGACCTTAATCGAGCCCGCATGCCTGCATGCATCTCATACATAACAAGCAAATAACCGATGGCCTATGGAGTTCCAGTGCACCGAACACCGCAATAATAATGGCACTTAAAAACCTTGAACCCAGACTGATCTGAGTGACTCGGGGGCCGTATACGGGTTTTCTTTGGACCATGACCCCGATCATTACGGTTACGAAAGTATGCGAAACATGTAATGGTAAACCCTCCTCGCAGTGGGATGGCCCTTATAATTGATTAAAGGGGAAAAAGCATACTTGAAAATGAATAAATTTCAAATGAGAAGCACAGTGGTGGCGCCATCAGACTCTAAAATTGGAGGCCGGGCGGCAATTGGGGGACAAGGAATTATTTTTTATTTTTATTTTTTATTTTATTTTTTTGGTTGGGGGGAAGTCAATGGTCCAGAAATAAGCCTTTAGGGCAACTTAGAAGAATAGTCTTTTTATGAATGAGAAATGTATCAAACCGCAGAATGGTGTATAACACATGCATATTGTCCAAAGACGTTCGCTGCACACTCTATGCTACGGCTGTATGCAAATGTGCCATTTTTTTTGTCTATTAAAGTACCAATGTTCTTTTGCCTAAAACGTGTCCACAGATGATTCACTCTCTATATTCTCTATCTTCAACTTATTATTAAAATAAATATATTTTTTGATAAAGTGGTGCGGAAAAACTGGGGGGGGGGGGGGGGCAAGGAAACAACTGCATGGAGGAGGGAGGGGGGGCAAATGCCCCACATTTCCCCTTCCCCTATCGGCGGCAGTGAACAAGCAAAATCAAGGCTCTGTATGCCACATTATTGTGTGTCGTTGGTGCAAAGTTTCTTCCCCTATACAAAAAAAATTGCAAGGAATTAGCAGCAAATAGGTATAATGAGCAGCAAAATGAGCAAATGAGCAACAGAGCAGGAAAAGAGCAAGGAAGAGCAAATGAGCAAGAAATGAGCAAAAATGAGCAAATGAGCACGTAAAGAGCAAAAATGAGCAAAATGAATACAAAGAGCGCACAGGCGCACAGGGAACATGCGCAGGGAATGTGCGAATTAGTTCAAACATCGCACAACAGGTGTTGGCACAATATTATATTGAACGAATTCATCCGTTTCTTGTCATTCGGGGATCAACCTTTATAACGTCAACATGAATTTATTTCTGCAGTCAAACCCTTTGCTTGTCACCAGTGTGATAAAAGCTTTGGTCGGAGATATAACCTCTTGAGACATACTTACTGGGGACATGTTTACTTTATTTGAACTTAGTTACTGCCTCGGCCAATGGAGGTTTATACGTAGCAGACATGGTCTAACGTTTTGAATTGCATTTCTGGTGCTGCACATGGCTACTCAAAAATAGAATCAGTATCAGTAGACTTCAGTATGGAGTTTGACGGAGCCTCCACGTCCTTGTAGTTCATGAAACATAATTATGCTTAGGCCTATAAATGTTTTATGCTTTTATCTTTGCTTCGGCATAATACAATTCTGCTGTCAGCAAACAAAGGCTAGACTTGGCTAGACTGTACAAAATTTAATTTTTGTTTTTGCATTAAGATTTGAGAGGAAAATTGGTGAGGTATGATTTCAATCAATTATGACGGGAAAAGAAATAAGGTAATGATTAGAACGTTGGTTAATGCTTTGTGTGATTTCATACAAAACTAACCTTCCGTTGTGATCCCAAGAAGATCGAGCTCGATTTTTGAAAATTGAACGCACCCTAGACAAGGGCGGATCCAGGGGGGGCCAAAGGGGGCCATGGCCCCCCCCCAAAAAAAACGAAACCAATTTTTTTTTTTATGTGACATCGCAATAAAGGCAGGCAATGAGTACACCACCATCTTTTCCTCAAAAAAACATTGGTTAAAGTGGTCAGAAGTTGCCTCAGATCGCACCACAGAGCATCTAGAATCCAACAAATTGTCGGGGCCCTTAACCGGGCCCCGATCCCACGCCGTAATTTTTTTGACCCACTTTTTTGGGGGACCAACATTTTTTTTGGCCCCCCCAAAAAATTGTGTTCTGGATCCGCCCTTGACCCTAGATGGAAAGGACTTATACTGTACCCCAAATTTGAGTAATCTGTCTTTATTTGTAACGCCTCATTGGGTATTCTGCCTTTTGTTTCTAGAGATATCTGGTTAAGTAATCAAAATCAAAATCAAATGTCACAGTTTAAGAAAATCATATGAGCAAAGGCAGTAAAATATTTCATTTGGAATATTGTTTGTATCTAAAGTAACGGTACACCCATGATTCTGTACTGAGTTCAGAATAGAATTTCCTCCAGCAATTGTTCATAATGTCTCACGATCGCCAGTCTAATTTCATGAGAACTCGTTAAACAACGAAAATAATATGACCTAATCAATTAATGCCATAGTACATGACAAAAATATTCTATGGTTCGGGTGATAAGTCAGGATTTACTTGTTGTATTTGATTAAAATTCCGTCCAATAATTCTTCATGATGTGTTACATTCACACATTCACGGGTATATTTTCATCGGAATTATTCCAACAAGGAAGAAAATGAGATCGAAACAATTTAGTGTTTTAAACGTGAAATATAAAATCTGAACGAGAGCAACGTTTATGACAAAAATAAGTCCTACTCGTTTTCGAGCAATAATCCAAGAAATTTCAAAATAAGTTAATTTGTTACACTTTTTTACAGGACATTTTACCCAAACACTATTTTCCAGCTATTCACTTTTCGGGTTTTTTCTTCTCGCACTGAGACACATGCACACATTGGTCACTATGGTGACGGCCTATAGCATGCAGCGTCAACACGAATGGGATATGCCTCACTATAGTATTGAGTAAAAAGAAGACACACTCATGGTTCGAGCAATATCTCAAGAAATACTGAATGTTTTAACTCATATTTCCTTGAGTAATTACTCACGATCGCCAGTTGAATTTCATGAGAACTCGTCAGAACAACAAAAATAATATGATCGAATCAATTAATGTAATCGTAAATGACAAAAACATATTCTATGTTTCGGGTGATAAGACTCGATTTACTGATTGTATTTAATTGAAATTCCGTCCAATAATTCTTCATACTGTATCACATTCACGAGTAAATTTTCATGCGAATCGACAAGAGGGAAAATGAAATCGAAACAGTTTTAGTGTTTTAAAAGGTGAAACATAATACTCTGAACGAAAGCAACGTTCATGATCAGAGAAGTCACACTCTTTTTCGAGCAATAATCAAATTAATTCTTAAGAAGTTCCTTTGTTTCACTTTTTTACAAGAGCATTTTACCCAAACACTTTTTCCAACTATACACGTTTCGGTCTTTTTTTTTCTTACGGAGACAAAAGTACCAAGAGCTCAAGGTTTAATACTTGTTTTTCAATAGAGGGCGCGCCACATGCACAGTGTTCTTTTGTTTGTTTGGAAACATTTATTTCAATGATGTCATTCATTACAATTATGTACAATCATGTATAAATTAAGAAAGGTCAGTAGTAATATATATGACAGTTATGTACACAGTGATTACTAATAAAGGGTAAGATTAAATGACAACAGTTAGGTATAAGGTTAAGCAGCGTCAACACGGATGCCTCACTATTATTGAGTAAAAAGAAGACACTCATGGTTTGGGCAATATCTCCAGAAATACTGAATGCATAACCTCAATATTTCCTCGATTAATTGTTCATAATGTCTTACGACCGCCAGATTAACTTCATTAAAACTTGTTGAACAACAAAAATAATATAAACGAATCAAATAATGTCATCGCACATGACAAAAATACTCTGTGTTTCGGCTGATATTTCACGATTTACTGATTGAATTAAATTGAAATTCCGTCGAATAATTGTCCATGATGTATCACATTCAGGAGTATATTTTCATTGGGATTCGTCCAACGAGAAAGAAAATGAGATCGAAACAATTTATGTGTTTTGAACGTGACAAAAAAAATTCCAATAAAATCATCGTTCATGACAAAAAAGTCACCACTTTTTGTGCAATTATCCAAGAAAATCCAAAGGAGTTCCTTTGTTTCACTTTTTTTCAAGAGCATTTCCCCCCCCCCCCCCAAAAAAAATATTTCAACTACAATTTCTTTTTCTTTTCTTTTTTCGTACGGAGACAAATGTACTGAGCGGTTTAATACTATAATTTTATTTCAATAGAGGGCGCGCCACATGCATGGTGGTCTCCACTACCCAAACAGTCAACACGGATGCCACACAAGCATTGAATAAAAGAAGACACTCATGGTTCGGGCAATATCTGAAGAAAAATTTAATATATTCACTCCATGTTCCGTCGAGTAATTATTCATAATGTCTCACAATCACCAGTAAAATTTCACGAGAACTCGTCAAACAACAGAAACAGTATGAACGAAACAACTTAGAGTTTTTGAACTATTTAGACTTGGTCATGAAAAAGTGGCATTCGGAATATTGAATATGATAAATAGTGACAAATAGTGTATGCAACATTTATAGAGCTCTTAAAGGTCACCAGGGGTCAAATATGAATGTTCACATTTGAAAATTCTGTTCATGTCTCGAAGAGCCAACTTTCAGACTTGGGTCATAAAAGTGGGGTTTTTTTATAGTAAATCTTATAGATATTCATAAATAGGGTATACAAAGTTCACTGGCCTCTTAAACGTCACCAGAGGTCAGATATGAAGTGCCATTTATATGAAAATGTTTTTCATGGCATGAACACCTAACTTTTAGAGTTGGGTCTTAAAAAAAGTTGGGTTTCAAGGCGTAAATCTTATGAAGAACTATAAATACTGTGTATATATAGGTCATTGACCTCTGAAAAGTCACAGGAGGTCAAGTATGATATTTTTGTTCACATCTGATCATTATTTCCCTATACTGGAAACCTATGACATAGACTGAGGTGATAGGAAATTGGTGTTTTCAAGAATAATTATTATAAATGGTGTAAGTAAAGATCAACGACCTATCAAAGGTCACCAAAGGTCAAATATGAAATGTCTCCACATTTGAACATTTTCTTTATGGCATGAAGAAACAACATGCGAGGTTTCAGGCCTTAGTCACAAAGCCCACAATTGTATCATATTTGACCTTAACAGCCCCACTATTACCAACAAAGAGGAGAATCTGACAAAATCTGACAAAATCTGACATTTTGCTTTGGATATCAATCTAATGTGATGCTATGTAAGTTAAGCCAAATGTCACGTCTGTGGACTGCCCAAAATGCTTTGCGCTTCAAACTGTGAAGGAAAACAACCCGTCACATAACCTTGCAAGTGTTCTACGGTAGAGGGCGGTGGGCATGGGTGCAAGTTACAATTTGCGGTGAATAATACCCACATTCTGCTAATCTACAGCGACCACCTCAAGAAATTTTAAAAATAAAAAAAACAAAGCCAGTAGTCATGAAGTCACAAGGGTCCTGCAATCTTCCGCTTAGTCGGTGTTGTAAGTTTCGTTCGGAGACAGGTCTACACAGGCCGACATGGTGTATCCTTCGTTGTCAGGTGCCGCAGTGACTGCGCTGACCGTCACCAGGTAGTCGGTACCGCCGGAGCTGAGAGCCATGCTGAACGGCAAGGAGAAATCTTTGGAGACAAAAAAGATTCCGCAGTACAGTTTGAGCAGGATAAATTACAAAACAATTCTTAGTTCTAATGAGCAGTTCTTAATATTGTTTTACGGGCCCCTTTCCACTCTTTTCCCGCTTCACCTTAAGTAGCCCTTTAGAGGGTCTTGCGATGCATGATCGACTTTTATTCTAAGCAAGGCCAAAATCTATTCACAGTTGGTAATATTAACAGCACGTGAATCTTATCTTCGGAGTATTTTTCCCGGCATGGTGGTTACTATCTTTAAGGTTTCTTTTCATGAATTCTTGCAGAGGCAGCTTCAACTAAAGCTTCAATTTCTAATAAAGTTTTAAAACGAAAGCGATATACAATCACTCAATCAATCAATCAATCAATTTTTTTTCCATACAAGACCTCTGAAGCATTCTTACCGGTCTCAGATTTGGAGTCCAGCTTTTTGTAGTCCTTGTCCCTGACATTAATGGTAATTGTGGTGTCGCCGCGTTCATCATACTCGACATCTAGAACTATGAATAAATAGGAACGAGGAGTGCAAATACGGTCAACTGTCATATTGTAACAGAATGAGCAAAAAAAAAAAAACACCCGAATGTCGGGACCATTATTTTAGTGAAGTTCTGCATGTGGTACTTTCAAAATCTTGGATATGAAAACCCAATTCATAAGCTTTCTTTTAGTACGAGAATAATTCAAATCACTCACGTAATTCTCAAGTTACGGAATTTTACAAAAAGGTAAGTGTTCTTTCAGCAAAACGAAAACAAATCACATGGGGATGTGCGTGAATTGTTTCGTTTTGCTGAAAGAACGCACACCTTTTTTGTATTCCGTGGACTGAACTTAAAACGGTGGTTGTGTTTAAAATTCCGTAACTGGAAAAGTACATGAGTGACTTCAATGATTCTTGTACTAAAAAAGCCTATGAATTGGTCTTTTATTTACTAGATTTTGAAAGTGCTTTATAAATCATCATCATTATAACAATAATAAAAAATAATATAATGTGGTGCTTGCATAGCGCTTTATATTAAAGGTCTCAAAGTGCCTCACAAATATTACCCCTGTTCATCAGGTCAGGAGACCAGTTTTTGTAGCAGCTCGAGATCAGCGAATTCTGATCGTTACCTTCATATGTACACATTTATACTCCTGGGTGAAGAGAGTCAATTGTAGCAGAGTGTCTTGCCCAAGAACACAAGCACCATATTTCCCAACAGGGTTCGAACCCACGTACCACGGCATGTGGGTCGAACACCCCAATCTTTGGAACACAGCGCCCTTATAATGAACAATCGCAAAAAAAATAAACGAACACTTACTTCGTTCTCCATCAAGGACTTCATAGGAGCAGATTCGGCCGTAGCAATACCACAATTTCTTGTCTAGATCCTTCAAGTTTCCGTTGCACTCTGAGAACAAACATTATAACAATCATAAGCCGCGACAGTGTAGGCCTGACTCATGATCGCGGTGGTGTACGCTAGTGAAATACTGGGGCCGTATCATAAGTCCTACGCCTCATAAGTCCGAAATTTCGGACTTATGAGGCGTCGGACTTATGAGGCATAAAATGTATTTATTCCGCCTCATAGGTCCGACGCCTCATATTAAGTCCAACGTCGGGAAAACGAGGCGTCGGACCTATGAGGCGTCGGGGCTATGGGCCGTTACCAGAAAAGGTTCATTTGTCCAACAAGGCAAAAACGATATTTAACAAATTACGACGTTTTAAGCCCGCGAGGTTGTCTGCTTACGAACGGCGCACTGTGCACATCAAGAATTAACTGGCCGTAGATCAGTCCGCCAGCGCGCAGTTTTTGGCGGAAGGGTTGATGCTGCGGGTGTAAATCCGGAGGAAGGGGGGGGGTGTCTGGTGCATCCCTTAATATCAAAGTATAGTCGCTAACTTTAACAATAACAGGCGCTAACATTCTGACATTTAACGCAATGTTTGTATTAATTAATAATGGCTGTCGGACTTATGAGGCGTTGGACTTATGAGGTGTCGGACTTATGGACAGAAATAAAAGTAAATTTAATTGTCGGACTTGTGAGGCGTCGGAGCTATGAGGCGTCGGACTTATGAGGCGTCAGACCTATGAGGTGTCGGACTTATGAGCGGGCCTCGAAATACTCACAGGTCAATCACTTATATCAGCTTCAGTTGTAAATGAACTCAACACAAAGATATTCAATGAAACGGTGACACAGGCATTCCTTTGTTATCACAGTTGCTTGAGACTTTGCTTGCGCATGCGTTATTGTAAGAATGACGTGTTAAACGAGTAATCAACCTCGTTCCCGTGGTTTACTTTCAGCCGTGGCAATATCTTGAGATGGTAAGTTGCTTCTTTCATTTTAGATGAGGTCTCGCAATAACAAGTAACACATTAATTGCAATTTGAAGGGAATATACAGCATTTGCTTTTGCTGTTATTTTCAGAAATGGATGGATTGGGGGGGAATTAATATTTATAGCAAATATTGTTACACCGACTTGCTTGAAGTTTTGTGATCGGTAAATTCTGGAAAAATCAAGGAAAACAATCGTGTTCTTTTAGTCTGGTTTCCTGATACCACTTAAATTGGAATGGAGCAATTTATAGACGTCAGGGAATAATAAGGTCAGGGAACCAGTCTAGAACGCTTGTATCTATTCATAGATGTGTAATCAATTGCAAACAAAATTCAGACAAACTAAATATGGACAATTGGGGGCACTATTTGAAAAAAAGTCAGTGTTTTTCCAACGCTGGCGGCCGACCAGCGTTGGAAATTGACACAAAAATACTTGAAAATATCAGCACACAAGGTGCCATAATTTTACAGGATGCTTTAGACTGTCGTTCACTAACAGTCTAGTAAGGTTTTTCATAATAATTTGGCAGTTTTGTTTTTCGATGTTTGCAAATGTTGTATATTCCCTTTAACTGGTGATCTGATATAGACTCGACTGCAATAACCTGGTTCATCTATGTAGCAGGGCTGCGTTCCGGTCACACAGAAGTGTTTGCGTTCGTTAGATAGGCTTTGCGAAAATGCAAACCCCAATTGGAACGATGATGTCCTCAAAAACTGACGTGACCAAAATAGCGGCGCCCTGTAGGCCTATGTCTCTGGTTGGTTATGACAGTCTTTAAAAACCTCAAAAATACCTGTGATAGAAAGTGGAATGACACCATTAATATTAAGTATAGGCATGTGAACTCACTGGAGAAGGAAAACGAAAAACGTCAGCCCGGCAAGATCATTGAGTTAATTGTGTGCGTCGGTCATTTTTGGAAAACATACCGAGTGACTGAGGCAGGCCGTTATTAGCCTTTGTTGCCAACGGTCGCCAACCTTCGCCAACGTTCGCCAACGTTGATGGCAAACGTTTAGTACCACTTGCGCAAACCTTGCCAACGTTGGCAAACGTTAGCATTGTTCACGTAAGGTATGCGAACTGAATTTTAGATGTGATAAATGATGTCCTCACCCTCTCGTTTTACTTCTTTTATCTCCTTCAGTTCGTGAATCAGACGTGTGAGCAGCTCTTTTTCTTGATTTTCTTGGTTCTGATAATAAGAAAGGGAGAGAGAGACAAAATTGTGCGATTCGTTAATATCTCGTTGAATTATAAATCAAACGCACTTCAAAAAGACCTAGTTTGCATGCACGCAGGGGATGGTTGGGGAGATGGTCGAACGAGCGGAACGACTCTTCCCAAATTCGACGTAATCGACTTTTAGATGTCAACTTTTAATTAAACAAGTAAACTTGATTAGTACTCTGACTGTATTGTCTGAGGAATAAACCCATGCGCACGTTTAGGTTTACAGCAACTGCGGCATTGATTGTTTTAGTGGGGGGAATAACTAAAAAATGTCGATTTCTTTTTTGCATATTTGTAAATATTCAAAAATGAAACTGTCATTATATTATGGATAGAAAATAAACAAAAGGATAACACATTGTGACAGAGAGGAATTACTCTCTAAATTCCAAAGAGTGAAAATTCACTCCATTCGAGTGAAGATTCACTCCCACAGTCGGAAACTAGGGACTAGACGTTTTAGAGTGAAATTTCTTCGACTAAAGTGTTTTATATTTCAGACTATTTCAATCGAAAATGAGAGTGATTTTCACTCTAAAACGTCTAGCACCTAATTTCACTCTTTGGAATTAAGAGAGTACCATAATTTTCTCGCGATGGTTCAAACCGAACTATCGAGAGCACCTCTCGCTCAAAAAACGACTAATCATTACAGATATTCCTTAGCTATCCAGCCGTACTCTTTATTTGGCCCAAAACAGTGATAATGAGTACGAATTCGTGCAGTTATTTATGACAAATGATACCGCAAACAGTTGCACCTTTGTATATGTGCAAGTTTGTGGTGCACACTCCCCTTACACGTATACAAAATTGCAATTTTTTTCGGTAGCATTTGTCATAAGTTGCATAATTGTGTACAAATTGTCACCGTTTTGGGCCAAACAAAGAGTATGGCTTGATTGCTAAGGAATTTCTGTACTGATCAGTCGTAATTTGAGCAAGAGGTTTGAGTTGGACAAACAAGTATTAAGGGGGGGGACTTTCTTTTTTGGTTGAGTGTACATTTTAAATGCAGTTTCAGAGGTGGATCTAGCTTTCAGGTCAGGTGAGGAAGGTTTGATATGAAACTCATGTGAAGTTTCAATGAAGATTCATTTTCACAGTGTTCAAAGAAAAATATATCAACAAAGCTGAAATTGTATTTACTTTTATTAACCAGTTTCAGATTGATTGTATTAATTAGCCTTGAATCAGCAAAATCTATAAGAGCTTTTTTCAAATAGTGTCCATTTCCTTAAAAACAACAAAACAAGGCCCAACCCCCTAGCCCTAACACCATAGTTATATTATATGGGCCTGACGTGAGGAGCACTGGTCTTATTGTAACATTGTAGACTGCATGCAACATCAGTTTCATTCCAGGTGCCTGTGTAGTGGATCCTTCCTTCTAAAAACCAAACCACGTACAAAGAAACAAACTTACCTTCCGGAACTGAGCAGAAACAGCCCCAGTCAGAATCAGGCACAGGGCCAGTGACACAGTCAAGAAACGAAACATCTTGAAGACGGTGAAGATCTTCTTTCTTCTGGATCGGACGCAAGGTTTATCGCGATATGCTTATGCAACGACCTACAACGCACACTCCACAGTTCCCAACTCTATCAATTTAATATCTGCGTCAAGGAGTGGCCTGTTGTACTCGGCTTTCACTGTGCACTTTCTGGTTCAGCGACACCACAGTGGTATAGGTTTTTTTTATTCAAATTGTCGCATTCTATTCAAAAAAATTTTTTTTTTCCAAAGCTTGATCTGGTGTATAGTTACAGCATGACCTTTCTGAGAGACGGCTTTGTAAAGGGGCTCTTTGTGTCTCGACTTGCCCGAGGGTTTAAGTTCATTTCTATGGTCACAAATTGAAAACTAGAGGTTCGCGTTTGTTTGAGTTACAAACGCAGAGTGGTCGGGCGGACAGCCTTTTCATTATACACTGCCCAGTTAAGCTAGGAATATATGTTTGTGTAGAACCAGGATCACGAAATTAAATCCCTTCCAGTACAATTGATTATTTTGTTACTGGTATCTTTAACGGTGTGATAAATTTCAGTTAACATTTTATGTGCGCAAAAAAAGGTTTTTTTTCTGGTTTGATGATGTCATCAGTCAAAACGGTAAGTGAATACTGATAAATTTCGGAGAGGATACATTTTCATTGTGAAGTTAAAATAACGTATTAAAATATGGGAAATATAATTGTTTGTATTATAACACCTAACTTCCGGTTTGATGACGTAATAATAACACCTAACTTCCGGTTTGATGACGTCACAGCATTATATATCCAAAGGTGATCATTGTAATGGATATCATTATTTAGCCTACGAAGATATGACAGGGATCAAATGATAGAATTAAATTAAAAATATGATCCTTTTCTAAATTCTCCTTAAAAGTAACTTCCGGTCTGATGACGTCATGAATTTTAAACCTTGGCAAGTTATCTGTGGTTAATCAGAGATTATCAAGGAGCGATTTGGTAAAATTTGGAAGGATGGTTTAAAAATTAAAGAAAGCAAAACTCTCTTTTTATGTGCCGCTAGGGGTCGCCCTTTCGGATGATGACGTCATCAAACTTTTGTGTCCGGTATTCCTCACTTAACACTTGCATAATTTATATTTGTGTAGTAAAATGCTTCCGCTTTTGAGTTATATTCTGATTTTATTGCACTTCCGGTAACACCGGAAGTAAAGGTCAAGCGGTGTCAAGAAATGTTTCTCTAGGCATAGTCTACAACCTCACGAAAAAACGAACACGATACTCTATTTAGTTCAAAAGATATAGCGCAAACTATTTTGTCTAAATTTGCCCTTAAATCGTTTGTAGTTTGATACCTGATGACGTTATGATGCCATTACAAAGATTATAACATCTTCGCAACATGTTACAAGTTCACACTAGGTTTGATGATCATAGCGTAAACCGTTTGGAAGAAATTTTGCTTTGTTTTGATTTCAGGCTAAAGTCTTCATTTTGAATTCACGTAACTTTGACCTTCCGGTAGACCCGGAAGTAAAGGTCAAGCGAGTTCACGTAAAATGTTTATCAACTAATGGTCTATCTGATTGCAAAGTTGGAACATAAATTATCATTTTGTTTAAGAGTTATAGGTGAAAGTATTCGGCCACTTTTTCCTCTAAAATCGCTTGTAATTTGACACCCAATGATGTCATCATGACGTCAGAGTAATATGCACCACTAGGGATGAGGGTCGATATATGTTGAAAGTTACAAGTTCATACCATATATCGTTTAAGAGAAAACCCGCGGAAACTTATTGTCCGGAAAAAAGAAAGAAAGAACGAAGATTAATCGTAACAACTCCAACTAGAGGTTCGCGTTTGTTGAGTTACAAATGCAGAGTGGTTGGGCTGGCATATTTTCTTGCGTTTACAGTGACTTAATCATAATTGAACCGCACATTACCCCTCCCTTACCCTGCACCCATTACCCTGTGTTTTTCACAAAGAAAATCACACAACCTGCAGTTGAACTTGTTGCTACCTCGACAAGACTTGTAGGCCTATCAGGAAGCGCACATCTGGTGCTGCATGGATGGCTACTCAAGCATACAACCAGTTGGGACTATTGGTAGAGTTAACGAAGCCTTTAACGTCGTTGGAGTTTATGCAACAGAATTATGCTAATCTTAAAATAAAATGGCTTTTTTTCTTCTTTTCTTTTTTGTCTTTTGCATGGGCATAATAAAATTCTGCACTAAGGTTACGACATTGACAGGGCGTCTCACGTCGTTAAAGTTTATGAAACATAATTATGCTAATTTTAAAATAAAATTGCTTTTATTTTGTTTTTTTCCTTGGTGTTTTGCATGGGTATAATAAAATTCTGCACTGAATTTATGACAACGGTAGTCTTGACGGAAACCTCTAACGTCGTTGGAGTTTATGCAACATATGCTAATTTCATCATAAAATGGCTTTTATGGGTACTTTTCTTTTGCATGGGCATAATAAAATTCTGCACTGAGTATACGACAGAAAAGTTTGTGGCTAAAAGCTGTAGAAATATTAATTCTCAGCATTCAGATATGAGAGGAATACTGGCGAGGTGCGATTTCAATCGGTTTAATATGGCGAAAAGTATCAGAAAATGGACGAGAATATTAGAATTGAATTCATGGTCGGAATCGGAATCGGTAGACTTGAGGGAGCCTCTATGACGTGTTTGGAGCTTAATATATGCAACATTTGATTATCTCAATATGGTGGAAGCTGTGCACAGGACTGTGAGCTTGTTGTTCTGTGCAATTTGGATGAAATTGGGGCCCTACAAGCGCTCTGTTTGGCAATGGAGTGTAGGCATCGTTTTTTTAAATGGCGATGGGCGTCAGGACTATTTTAAAGGTCTGATCATCTTCGGATGGAAGTTTCTCCTAAAGGTCATCCGTTAAACCCCTTGTTACAACTGATAATGTAGTAACCAACCGATAACGTATCACCAACCGATAATGTATCACAAATTGACCGATATTGTATCACTAACCGATAATGTACCAAAAATTGACTGATAGTGTAGTAAAATTTGTATCCGATAATGTATCACGTGTCGACGGATAATGTAACTACAAAATAAGTGTATCCGATAATGTATCACCACGGAACGGATACTGTATCAACCGATAATGTATCAAAAATCAACCGATAATGTATCAGTATTGGGAAAAGGTGGAAATATTGCAAATTAATTAAAGTCTAATAAGTGTCTTTACTATGATGAGTCCCCACTCAAGGAAGTTTATCATTAAGAATATTTTTTTTTAATTTGGGAGGTAGGGAGTTGCTCTGGTTTGGAGACGCTCTACTTCCAAGTGGGCCTAGGCTAGTGGCGTATCCAGCTTTTGATGTCGGGGGGGGGGGTAACCGCACTCGCACATCCGCGCCGAAATGTGGACAAATTCTTTTCTCCAGACATTTGACCTCCATATGGGCTCCGTGCTGCGACACAAGAGGGCGCGTTTTACCACTTTTGAGAGCCACATGGACGTACGGGACCATTGATCCCCGTATGGAGATCAATGGACGGGACACAGCATGTGTGTACTGTACTGTACTGGTTCGCACGCAAAGCTCCACACCACTTCCAGAATGTGCCAGAATGTGGCTATTAGCAGCAGTGTCTTCGCATGAGCGTCAGGCAACGTCGGCGCGCGCATACGTTCAATTTAACTTGCGATGGTCTCCCAGACTATTCCCTCCCCCAACCTCGTGCCCAGGGTGTCGAGCAGTACGCGCCCACCACTACCTGCTCTCTCACCCTGGTATTGGATCATTTGCATGTGCAAGATTTTTGCACACGTATGCAAATGAGGAACAGTCTGGTGCCTGGATATGCGTTACACATTAGCGTTTGTTTCTGTATGCGGTGTCTGGGGTAAAAACATTGTCAATTCGTAGCAGCGCGAGCACGGCGTGAGTTACGAAAACACGATTTTTGAAATCAAACTGTTACGATCTTATCGAGACAACATGCAGTATCATATTTCATATTAATATGAGCAAATTGGAAAGGAAATTAGTATTTTCGAGAAGGCGTGGACGAATGATCGCGAAAACACGTACTGCACGTTGTGAATATATAGCACCAAGTACACGATAAAAATTCATTACTAGCCAATTGCGGTATCCAATCAGGATACAGGAAGAAAGTTTCCTATCCAGGGTTTACTATTGGAAACGCGGTTGGAAATAAAGTAAGCACTGGGGACGAGGTTGTCCCTCCCCCAATAATTTTGCATCATTCAAAATACGCGCTGTGGATGAACCGGGAACACAGTGGCGAGGCATGTGTATAGCAAAACTACCATCTGAAATGATCATGTAACTTGAGCTGTCACAAAAGATACAATGTAACAAGTTTACCGGATTTGGGCGGCAATCGTAGAAGATAGTGTAGATGCGATCAAGCTTCATGGGTCCCTTGTCGACCCCAGTCGATTTTTTTTCTTACAGATTTGAAAAGGGCACAATCACAGCATTACTGCTCATTTAGTGGGGGGATGAGGGGGGAGGGGGATGAGGGGGGAGGGGGATGAGGGGGAGGGGGATGAGGGGGGAGGGGGATGAGGGGGGAGGGGGATGAGGGGGGAGGGGGATGAGGGGGGAGGGGGATGAGGGGGGAGGGGGATGAGGGGGGAGGGGGATGAGGGGGGAGGGGGATGAGGGGGGAGGGGGATGAGGGGGGAGGGGGATGAGGGGGGGGGGGGGTCGTGCCATATTTTCACCGGGGAGCGCTGATAAAATCCTGCAATCATGTACACAAAATTACTGTTCCGTACAAAATAATGCCCCGGCTTTTTTAGGGGGGGGGCACCGTTCGCATGTGACGTCATTTGTTATTTGTCTACCCACTGACTTCAGTTTGTTGAACCCATACAGTTTGGAGTCCAAACGTCACGAGCCTGCCGTTTCCTTGATTCCAACACAGGCGCGGATCCGGGGGGGGGGGGTCCCAGCTGCAGCTGTGTCCCAAAACAAGTTGCATACTCCTAAAAAAAATAATGCACCCCCCCCCCCTCTGCTGTGACACCCCCCCAAAAAAATTACTGGTATAATGTCCGCCTGTTCAAAATGCGGACGGAGGCAGCTTAGTTGGGGGTATTTTTACACCATTCTGTAATCCAGTGTTAATAATTGTCAAATTTGAACAGCGTCCACTATTGAAATATACCCCCCTTCCCCCAGTTTTTTATTTTTCGGAGGCCAAGTGTCCGGAAAGAAAATCCTGTGTACATTTTCAGATTGTTTTGCTGATGACCCCCCCCCCCCGCGAAAATTCCTGGATCCGCCCCTGCAACAGTAGCGTAAATCTGTGCTGGGTACTTGGGGATGGGGGATAGCCAAAAAAAAGAAGTCCTGGCCGTGAAATACAAACGGGGGGGGGGGGGCCTTGCTGGAGACCACATGACACTGGGGGCGCTGTTCATGATACAGACGTCCCAGCGCATTTCAAGCTATTTATATTTTTTCTCCCTTGCTCAGTACTATTTAATACATTTCGGCGGTTGGAAAGTTTGAAAAATACCTCAAAATCTGCCCTTTTTCTCTAAATACAAAATAATAGGGGTAGTGGTGATCAACTAGCCCAGACCCCCCTCCCTGGTCAAAAAGTGGGGCGGGATAATCGGACATAAAACAAACATTTGTGTACACCTTTTCCCCATACTGATACATTATCGGTTGATTTTTGATACATTATCGGTTGATACAGTATCCGTTCTGTGGTGATACATTATCGGATACACTTATTTTGCAGTTACATTATCCGTCGACACGTGATACATTATCGGATACCAATTTTACTACACTATCAGTCAATTTTTGGTACATTATCGGTTAGTGATAATGTACAATATCGGTCAATTTGTGATACATTATCGGTTGGTGATACGTTATCCGTTGGTTACTACATTATCAGTTGTAACACCCCTCACAAATTGAAAAGAAAATCAAAGCTGATGAAATAAGCTTTAGTTTGATTTCTCGAACCCCTTGAAGAGTTGTGAGTATTGTTCTTGCATTTCTGAAGTGGGGGCATTTATCATTGGGGTCTATGGCAGTTTATTTACTGTTCTGCAACCTTTAGCGTAGCAGCAAGCCATGTTAGGCCCCAAAAAAGTCTCCGGTTTCTGGTATGGAGCTTGCCCCAAAAGTGGTTCGGCGACGCGGCTTTTTTTTTTTTTTACCTGATTTTTTTTGGCCTCAAATGTTGGCTGATGACTGCAAATGGTGCCCGACTAAACGTAGTGCACATATAAGGGAGTCCAGAGAGGCCACATAAAGCTTATTCTCAATCATAAGCCCTTCCAAAAACACGTTAAAATTGTGCAGCAGCAGGATTCCAGTCAAACCAGTGAATTTGGCGGTTTTGAGACATCATCTTTCATTGAAAAAAAAAGAACTTTTTCATTTTGCCGACGCGCATGGCTACGGCGACGCGCGCGCATACCAGAAACCGGAGACTTTATTTTTTTGGCCTTAGAGGCCAGTGCCTATGTTTTGCCGCGATATATGCATAAGTGAACTTTTTGTGAATTCATTGCTATTGAATAAAAATAACAGAAGATGCCGTTTAAGATGCCCGCTGCCCATTATGGTCTATTCTGAAAAGAAAAGACTCAAAGACTGCGCGTCGAAGAACACCCCCCCCCCCCCCCCCCCGTGAATCAATATATTACTCAGTTTTTGTCACCTAATTAACGTCGGGGTCTACAAGGTTGCAGACCAGTAAATAATGTTCATAGACCCCAATGATAAATGCCCACAAAAATACTCACAACTCTCTGAGGTGTTCCAAACGTTCATAAAATTTAAGCTGATTTCATCATCTTTTATTTTCTGTTCAATTTTCCGGGGGTTAACCAATGACTTTTGGGAGAAAATTCCATCCCAAGAAATTCACCCCTAAAAGCAGTCCAGAAGCCCATCGCCTTTTTGAAATGCACACCTACGCTCCATTGCATAAAAAAGAGCCGTTTTAGGACCTAATTTCATCCACATTTCACAGAAATACGAGCTCGCAGTCCTCTGCACGGATTCTAACCTTCTTTTTGACAAATCATCAAGTTCACAACGTTCACAAATCGTCATTTGGTCGACGAAGGCAATTTCGGCCGATTTACTGACCTGCACACACAAACTAATGTAGCCTTAACTATCCCATAATAGCAGGCGAGCAAAGCTACATTCGCCAATGACAGCCTCTGTATACTAACAGCTGGTGTACAAAAGTACCCAACCCATCAATAGGCACGGCAAAATACCGTCATGTGGTGACCATCCCATCCTTGGTCAAGTTGTTCAGCATTGGCCACGATCTGTTCTGGATGCCTTCAGATAAAGTCACGTATACCACCTTAATACCTCTATAACTCCGCTCAGTTGTGCTTTGGGTTACAGGGCAAGCGACCATCGTAACCGTATTTGTTCCTTTATTTTTAAAGCATAAGAAAGCTTTACAATGTGTATTAAACATCAGTGGAAGGAGCAACGTCTTTGCAAAATAGGGGGCGCCATTTGGGTGTATGTTCTTGTTTATCGAACGACAGATTGACGCGGAATCACTTGAATCAATTCATTTAGTTTTCCTTCAAAACTTCAACATTCGGAACGGGTGTATTGATGCTGAGCGTCTCTTATGCTAGGTTCACACATTCCCGATTTTTAAGCCGAATCGCTGCGAATAGCAATTTTTGAGTAAATCGGGGAATGGTTCTTGGCTGCCTCGGGATGATTCTGTTAGTTCGGTGAAAGATCGTTAAAGATCGGGAAGCGCCCCGACAATTTTGGACATGTTCAAAAAAATTGCGGTGATTCGGGAAACAGTTTTGATTCTTGGTTTATTCTTTACTAATCGTATTCGTTACTAATTCGGGATATTCTTACAACATTCTTAAACGTTTCGTACAATGATTTTTGGCATTATAACAATCCAGAATCATGCCGAATCATTACGAATGTATCAGGAAATGTACGAATTCAAATAACTTTAATACGAATACACTAAATCGACATAATTCTGGGTCATTCTGGATGGTTCTTGAGTTATTCGAAGGTTATTCTTGACAAAATTACTACAATTCGGCTTTATTCTGCACTAAATCGCAATCATTCGGCTTGGTTCGGTCTGATTCGGCTTCCAATTTGTACCCAGCTCCTGATTATTTTGTTTCATTCTTATAAAGTTATTCTTAGAAACAGCGAATCGGGGCTAATTTCTCCCGATGCTATCAAGAATTTTCATTCGGGATAGATCGGGGTATTCGTGGCAATAATTCGGGAATATGTGAACCTATAGCATTACTTAACTATAAGAGAGCTTGCCCCGAATCATGTGATAATGGCAACAGTGTCTTTGGTTTGGAGAACTCCAAGTTAAAACGTGCCAAGTATTATGAGCAAGTAAGTGTGCTAGATGTTATTCAAATTTAACTCCCAAAGGGTATGGATTATTAGCAAATTGCTTAATATCCGATTTGCTGCCAAAAAAGTATTATACTTATAATGAAAAGAAATTTAAAAGTTATATCGACCGGTTATGGTGCTACAACCTTACATGTTCAAACCAGTGTTCCCAGTAATCATTCATTTTGATATAATGTACGGGGTACCGACCGAATTGCATAGGCATAAAGCGGCTGGTGTTTTCATAATTTTTGGACACAAGGCTCCGCTGGTGTAATAATATGCAAGGTCAGTTTTTTTAATTCGTCATATACCGGTAATAAAAATGAAATAGAAAATCACCAGTAGGCCCAATTAAGGTAATAATAATAATAATAATAAAACAGCATTTATATAGCGCAATATGAATCAAAGATTCCTCAAAGCGCTTTACAGTAGAACAAGAAACAGTAAAATAAAATTAAACATCCCAAATAATGTAAAATACTGTAAACTGTTAAATACCGCAGTACCGCACATAGTTAAAATACCATTAAAATACTGTAAAAACTTCATTTGAATATTAAAAACCCCAATCACTGTTATTACTAGTAAATGCATGGACAAAAACAAATGCAAGTAACGCTTCAAATGAAAACTAAAACATGAATAAAATGCAGACTTTTGTTCAATTACAGTTAAAAAGATAGGTCTTAAGTAATTTCTGAAAATCATCTACCGACTTGGCACATCTAATAGACAATGGAAGTTCATTCCAAAGTTTGGGAGCAGCTGCAGAGAATGCTCTATCACCATATGATGTTGATGTTGTGGCCAGTTTCAGAAGATGTTTGCTACTTGATCTAAGTGAGGTACACTCTACTTTCCAAAAAAAATAAACATTAATATCGAGAAATCCGTCAGATTTAATAGGGACTATCAAATACCAGCAAGTAAAACGTAGTACAAAAATAAAGTACGACAAATTAAACTCCCAACCGCCTATAGCCGACCAATACTTTCTTCAAGCTCTCTGTATGTACTTTATGTGCACGACGCTTGCGCAAGCAATGTGTGTGGATGGATGATACCTTTACCAACAGGCGAGGAGAACAATCTGACAGAATCAATCATTTTGCTTTGAATATCAATCATTCTTGATGCTGTATTAGTTCAGCCAAATATAACGACTGTCGACCACCCAAAATGCTTTGAGCTTCGAAATATGTAAGAAAAACCCTTCACATAACGGTAGAGGGCGGTGGGCATGGGTGAAAGTTACAATTTGTGGTGAATAATACCTACATTCTGCCAACCTACAACGATCTCCTCAAGAAATTAAAAAAATCAAAAAACAAAGCCAGTAGTCATGAAGTCACAAGGGTCCTGCAATCTTCCGCTTAGTCGGTGTTGTATTAGTTTAGATGGGAGACAGGTCTACACAGGCCGACATGACGTATGCTAATTTGTCGAAGACTGAAGTGACTGCGCTGACCGTCACCCGATAGTCGGTGCCACCCTTGGGGAAATCCATGCTGAACGGCAGCTGGAAATCTTTGGAGAAAAAAAAAGATCCGTAGTACAGTTTGAGCAGGATTAATTAATAAACAATTCTTATTTCTAATTAATAATAATAATAATAATGAAAATTTATAAAGCGCCGGTATCCGCCGCTAGCGGCGCTCATGGCGCTGCACTGCATAACAACCCAAAAACAATAAGAATAAAGAAGCACCTGGTTGACTCGACCCTCCACCCGTCAAGATGCAACGTCATGCTAAAAAGGCGGCATCGTCAAGCAGCAAGCAGAAACAAATTCATCCAAATGCTTCCCTATGCAGGTAGGATTTTAAACTGTTCTTGAATGTGCTAAGTGAATTTGAAAGCCAAACAGTTACAGGTAGGGAATTCCAAAGTCTTGGTGCTGCAATTTGAAAGCTTCTCTCCCCCCATCGATGATTAGCCATGTTTTCCAATGTTAACAGTTCTCAATATTTGTTACGAGCCCCTTTCCACTCTTTCCCACTCTTTCCCCACTTCACCTTAATTGGCCCTTCAGAGGGTCTTGCGATGCATGATCGACTTTCATTTAAGCAAGGCCAAAATCAATTCACAGCTCGTAACATTAGCTGTCCGTTAATCTTATATTCGGAGTATTTTCTCAGCATGGTGGTTACTATCTTTGAGGATTCTTTTCATGAATTCTTGAAGAGGAAGCTTTAACTAAAGCTTCCATTTTTAATATTTTTTTAAATTAAAAACGAACGCGATATACGAGACCTCTGAAGCATTCTCACTTGTCTGTGATTTGGAGTCCAGCAACTTGTTGTCCTTGTCCCTGACATTAATGGTAATTTTGGTGTCGTCGCGTTCATCATACTCGACATCTAGAACTATGAATAAATAGGAACGAAGAGCGCAACGGTCAACTGTCCTATTATAATAATAACAATAATAATAATAAAAGGCCCCCCTTTAGAGGCACAATTTTGTTGTCGTAATTAGGTTATAGTTGTTGCTCGTGGTCTAATTAGTTAACATACCAAATTTCGTGGAAAAATTACAAGGGAATATCGGGTTAGGGCACATTTTTAAAAATTTTGTGCACAAATCTATGGGGATGTCTCCCAAATGTCCAATCCAGGGTAATTATTATTATAATAATATGGCGCTAACATAGCGCTGTATACCAAAGGTCTCAAAGTGCTTCCCAATTATTACCCCTGTTCATCAGGTTATGAGACCAGTTTTTGTAGCATCTCGAGATCAGTGAATTCTGGTGGCTACCTTCACAGGTACCTATTCATACTCCTGGGTGAAGAGAGGCAATTGTAGCAGAGTGTCTTGCCCAAGAACACAAACACCATTTTCCTCGACAGGGTTCGAACCCTCGTACCAGAGCATGTGAGTCGAATGCCCCAACCACTGGAACATATAGCGCTCTTATTATCTTATTATGGACATTCGCAAAAAAAAAAATCTTCTTTGAGTGGAATATTCATGTAGATCGAAAACACTCTAAAGGTCGAAATGTGACAAAATGTTCTCGTTGTTACGAACACTCACCTCGTTCTCCACTAAGGACTATATAGCTGCAGGATCGGCCGAGGCACAAATATTTTTCGTACTCCTTAAGATCCTTCAAGTTTCCTTGGCACTCTGAAAACAAACATTATATTATAACAATCATAAGCCGCGAGAGTGTAATGCCTAGCTCATGATCGCGGTGGTACTAGTGAAATGCTCACAGGTCAATCACTAATATCAGCTTCAGTTGTAAATGAACTCAACACAAAGATATCCAATGAAACGGTGACACAGGCATTCCTTTGTTATCACAGTTGCTTGAGACTTTACTTGCGCATGCGTTATTGTAAGAATGACGTGTTAAACAAGTAATCAACCTCGTTCCCGTGGTTAACTTTTAGCCGTGGCAATATCCTGGGATAAAGTTGCTTCTTGTATTCAGATGAAGTCTCGCAATAACAAGTAGCACATTTGTGTTGCACTTTAACTTATGATCAATAACCTGCATGGTTCATTTATGTAGCAGTTTAATTATTTAGCGAAACTGTTATGACACAGTGAAGCGCAGGGCTGCGTTCCGGTCACAGACAAGTGCTTGCGTTCGTTAGATGTGCTTGGCGAAAATGCAATTTCCTCGAAAACTGATGGGGCCAAAATAGCGGCGCCCTGTAAGCCTATGTCTCTGGTTGGTTATAGCAGCTTGTAAAAACCTCCAAAATACTTGTGACAGGAATTGGAATAGCAGCGTTATTGTATATATAAGCATGTGAACTCAATGGCGAAGGAAAACGAAAAATGTCAGTTTCGGCAAGATCACTTCAGTTCAGTTCCGGTCAGGTCCGGAAAGATAGATAAGTTCATTGTGTGAGTCGGTCATTATTTTTGGGAAACATAACGAGTGACTCAGGCAGGCCGTTATTAGCCTATGTCGCCAACGTTCGCCAATAAACGTTGCTGGTAAACGGTTGGTACCACTCGCGCAAACGTTTCCAACGTTAGCAAACGTTGGCAAACGTTAGCATTGTTCACGTAAGATGGGAACTGATTTTTGAGTGTGATACAATTATTTCCTCACCCTCTCGTTTTCCTTCTTTTATCTCCTTCAGCTCGTGAATCAGACGTTTGAGCAGCTCATTCTCTCGGTTCTGATGATAAAACAGAGAGAGGAAATTTTAACGCACTTTAAAAAGACACCTTTTCGTTCACGCAGGGCCGTAGCCAGGGGGTCCAACGAGCGGAATACCACCCGATCCCAAATTCGACATTATCGAATTATAGCTTTCCTATTTTTTTAATCAAGCAAGTAAAATACATTGTTAAGTATATACTCTAAGTGCATGGTCCGAAGATAAAACTCATGGGCACGCACGTTTAGGCATTTTGTAGCAACTACGGCACTGATTGTCATAGTACCAACAAATTAAATTTGTAATAAAAAAGTCCATTTTGTGTTAAATGGTAACGGTTTGCAAATAGTCAAACATGAAACTGTCGTTTTATTAGGGAAAGAATATAAATAACAGGATAACACAATTTGATACATGAAAAGGAATTACCATCATTTTCTCGCTATGGTTCGAACCGAACTATCGAAAAAGACTGAAAATTTGCGGGAGAAAAACCCAAACGGCATTGTTTTATTTTTCAAATAATGTCCAAATTGACCGAATTAAGTCCCGATATAGAAATCGCCCGGTGATTGGTCAAAATCTAGAGGCCCAGAGGCGGTTGTCTTGCATAATTAATCAGCGAATCAGCTCAGATATCATAGACCCTGGCTTTCGCCAGCCTACAGAGACAACACCCCCTGCCCCCCCCCCCCGGCCCGTCCCCGATCCGCCACTGAGTTTGCAATCAGTTACATGTCCGTGAATAGGAATTAATTTTAAGTGACAAACTGGATATCATACCAAAAGAGGGTGCAAGTGAAAAAAGTATTAATAGAAGAATAGGGAATACATATGTGCTTGGCCGGTTTTAAACAAAATGCATGCGTTTAAACTGGCGGGGCTTGGACGCGGATAATTGTTATCCGTGACCAGTCCCCTATCCGCTCCGTTAACAAGTACCCCCTCACTGGCAAAGAAAGTACAGTTGGGGGTGACCGACCGACGCCATCTTGCCTGACTGCAATTTGCCGCGACGCGCGGCCACCACTAGCACTGCGTGTACATAGTACAACTAAATCCCCTGGTGTACGTGTACGTGCGTCACACACAAGGAACGATGCGCGTCAACAAGCGAAATGTCCCGCCCATGGGACGTCATTGCTAGGTAAAAGGGCGCCCTCTTTCGTTGGCGCACGGAGCCCATGGTGCAGCCGGCTTTAAACGTAGGCCCACTCGGTCATAAATTCACAATTTCAAGCGATTTTGGTCAACAATGTTACTTCAGGTTTTGTGAAACACTTATTTGGAAATTGGAGCGCCCGCTTGGCGCGTACTGCGCGATGTGGCGCAGAACGCAGCGGTGTTTTGGCAACGGTTTAAAACCACCCACGTGACGGGCTCTCGACCAAGAGGAATGGGTAAACTGTCTCGGGTATTTATGAATGAACACTGAAGGGAGGGCTTTCAACGCATGCCTTGCTTCGCGTCGAGAAAAATGAAAATGTATATTCACAGTGTCAAAAAAAATATATATATACATCCACAAAGCTGAAATTTCGTCATTTTACTTTAATTTTAATGGGGCCGTATCATAAGTCCGACGCCTCATAGGTCCGACACCTCATAAGTCCGAAATTTCGGACTTATGAGGCGTCGGACTTGTGAGGCATAACATTTATTTATTCCGCCTCATAGGTCCGACGCCTCATAAGTCCGACGCCTCAAAAGTCCGACAACGGAAAAACGAGGCAATTAATTTGTCGGACTTACGAGGCGTCGGAGCTATGAGGCGTCGGACCTATGAGGCGTCGGACTTATGAGGCGTCGGACCTATGAAGCGTCGGACTTATGGGCCTTTATTTGGTTAGGGGATGCGATTTTGTCGGACTTATGAGGCGTCGGACCTATGAGGCGTCGGACTTATGAGCGGACCCCATTTTAATATAACCTGTGTCAGATTTATTGTATTGGCCTTGAATCGGCAAAATACATAATGTTTTTGGCAAATGGTGTCCATGTTCTTAAAAAGAACACAAATAAAAACAAACAAAAAAGGCCCAACCCCTTGTCCTAACCTCAAGGTTATATGGGCCTGACGTGGGGAGTACTGGTTTTATTGTAACACTGAAGACTGCATGTAAAATCAGTTTCATTACAGCTGCCTGTGTAGTGAATCCTTCCTTCCAAAAACCAAACCACGGACAAAGAAACAAACTTACCGGCCAGCCCTGAACAGCCCCAGTCAGAATTAGGCACAGGGCCAGTGACACAGTCAAGAACCGAAACATCTTGAAGACAGTGAAGATCTTCTTTTCTTCTAGATCGGACGCAAGGTTTATCGGGATATGCTTTTGCAACGACCCACGAAACACTCTCCTCAATTCCCAACTCTACTTTATGTAATATCTGCGTCAAGGAGTGGCCTGTTATACTCGGCTTCCACTGTTCCCTTTCTAGTTTAACGACTCCAAAGTGCCACGTAAGGTTTATGCAAATCTTCAGTGATCTTTTGTAAGGATCTGTTCACAAAGAATGTTGTTTCCCAAAGCTTGATCAGGTGTATAGTTAGGCCAAAAAAAAAGGATGTTTAGCGTCCCCGCCCTCTTCCTTTTTGGAGTCCGCCGCCTCCTTTTTTTCATTCTCTAAGCCGAAAGAAATGATAAATTTTTAACAGTGATATCATTTTGGCCTCTTTGTCTGTTGCATCTAGCCCATCTGGTATGTCATTTCCTGAGTCCGATGGCGGCCATTTAAAAAAACGCCTGGCGGCCATATTGAAAATAGTCCGGTCGGGCGGCCACTTTGGAGGGAAAAAGGGGCCTCCCGCTTCCTTTTTGTTAAAAAGACAGGACGCTAAACATGTTTTTTTTTTATTTGGCTTTACATCATCAAGACCTTCCTAAGAGACGGCTTTGTAATGGTGCTTTTTGTGTCTCGACTCGCCCCGGGGGTTTCAGTTCATTTCATGGTCACACAATTCCCCCAATTATTTCACTATCTGCTGCACTATGAAAAGAAATTCAGACATTTACACTAACGTTTTGTTTTCTCCCGTTTATATCAGACATAATAAGGACACGGTTAATATCTGAACGACGACGTTGGAACAATTTACAAAAATATTCTCTATCGACTTTCACAGTGTTGATACAATGTACAACACAACTCGTTGTGTACACGGGACAGTGAAGTAGTAATTTATACTTTACATGACATATACCACCGGCTTGCCATCGAGTGCGTGCGTATTCACACGAACCAAAGTGAAAAGGTTGACAGAATCTATTCAAAGGTTATTTGTAAAGGATTGAAGAGATTTGTGTCAGGGTAAAAAACCAGGGACTGTTTTGAAGAGACGGTTTAGTCAGGCAGCTTAGTAAATGGATGTGGACATTCCGGACAAAAGCGCCACATTTTCCATACATGCTCCTGAATGCCTTAGCTTTCAATTTTTGCTAGGAACCAACTGTTCCCATGACATTATGGCGGCCATCTTGGATTTTAAAGATAGCGGCCTATATCTACCAATATCTTATCTTCTGAGCCACTTAGGATTAAAGTTTTGGTGTCTAAACATACATTTTCAGGGTTCAAATGGTTAGTTTATCCAAATACAGTATTGTGGCCATCTTGTATTTGAAACATGGCCGCCATTTAAAACCTAAATCTCCGAATACGTGTATTACATCTTTAAGCCACTAAGGATCGAAATCTTGGTGTCTAGCCATATTATATTTACAGGGTCATGGAACGCAACTAACAATTTGGATTAGTACTACATGTATTTGGAATCGTGTCAAAAAAGTCTTTAGTTTATCCCTATAGATACTTAATACGGCGGCCATATGGTTTGCCGTAAAAGGACCAACACTGGCCCAATTCAGGCTATGTACCTTTTTGCTATGATAGTTTGACTTGAAATGGCCGGCACCGGTCCCATCAAGGTTGTGAACCGTCTTGCCATTATGGTTTCCCATAAAGGGATCAACACTGGCCCGATTCAGGCCTTTTACCGTCTTTTCATCATGGTTTATCGTAAGAGGACCTGCAATGGTCGGTTCAGGCTGGGCGCCGTCTTGCTGTTATTGTTTGCCTTACAAAGACCAGCACTGGTCCGATGTAGGCTCTGAACGGTGTTACCATTACCATTTGCCATTTAATGGGGCGAGCACTGGACCAATTCCGACTCTGTGGTGTCTGTACCGTCAACACGGAACCGTTTTGGCGCAATCGAGCCAGTATTAGCCCGCTTCTGGTCTTTTTAATTTTTGTATTTTGTTGTTTTATTTTTTTCCCCAACCACTTTTACGGCAAGTTGAAGGATCTGTTACTAGTATTCCGTCAAAAAAATTGAAAAAAAAAAACATTATTCGAGGTCGATATTAGGCCCGAAAATAGTGTTGTTTGTGCCTGCTAGCTGTACAGCGCCCCCAACAACATTGAATTGAGTTTCAGCTTCTTTGAAGCTGAATATACACCCCCCCCCCCCTTTTCAACTCGAAATTGATGTAATCGGCTAATAACCTGCGACCCTCTTACGATTTGGGAGCATCTGTTGCGGAAAAAACCTGGTTGATACCTTTGAAATACTTTTTTTCCCCCTCCCCGTAGGTTCCACCCCCTAAAAAAAAAACCGCCGCGGCATAGCGCATGCACGGCGCCCCCATGATTCTTATTCTCTTACAGGGTGCAACAGTGCAAAAAAAATCCCATAGCCACTAGTGCTAAATGACCATTCTTCAAAATTCTTTTTAAATTACTCAGAACTCTCACAAGTATTTAAGCTGCACAGAAAAATGATGATCGACATGCCATCTTTTAATTTCTTTTCATTTTTTGGTGGGTTGACCATTGACCTTTCGAAAAATTCCCGCCCAAAGAAGACGACGACTATTTTCCCCAAAGCGGAACAGTAGCCATCTTGAAAAACGATCCCTCCACAACATGGCAAAATAGCGCCACTTTCGAGCCCAATTGTATCCAAATTGCTCAGAATTGAAAGCCCCGAGTCCGGGCCAGAGATTCATTGCCATATCTCTTCAATTATTCCTCAATGTTACGGCTCTCAGAACTCTCTAATATAGAATATTTTGAGGGTATAACTTTTATTCATGAGCTCGGCGGATGGATTTAGGCCTATTTACAGGTGTGCACCCATGAGACGTCGTTGCTAGGTAATGGTGCTTTTTGTGTCTCGACTCGCCCCGGGGGTTTCAGTTCATTTCATGGTCACACAATTCCCCCAATTATTTCACTATCTGCTGCACTATGAAAAGAAATTCAGACATTTACACTAACGTTTTGTTTTCTCCCTTTTATATCAGACATGAGGACACGGTTAATATCTGAACGACGACGTTGGAACAATTTACAAAAATATTCTCCATCGACTTTCACAGTGTTGATACAATGTACAACACAACCCGTTGTGTACACGGGACAGTGAAGTAACCTATACTTTACATGACATATACCACTGGCTCGCCATCGAGTGCGTGCGTATTCACACGAACCAAAGTGAAAAGGTTGACAGAATCTATTCAAAGGTTATTTGTAAAGGATTGAAGAGATTTGTGTCAGGGGAAAAAAACCAGGGACTGTTTTGAAGAGACGGTTATGCCTAGGTGATTTTGCATGTGTCTGGGATAGCTGAGAAGTACAGTTGAACTGTCCCAACTTTTACACAAGGTATGGGGAAATGGGCAAGGTTTGCTGAGGTTGGTTTGCCTTTGTAAACAAAACTAAACCGTCATCACCTGAGCGTCGTTAAAGGGCAGTGCGGGAGGCGTAATTTTTATTCCTAGGAGGGTTAGGGGCAATGTCATGAATAATTCATGTTTATCCATGTTAGTTACTCAACTAGTTACAATACATTAAAGCATTTTAAAAGAACGGTTGTCGTCGAGCTACCACCACACAGTAGCCTAGTGGATAGCCAGATGAGCTATGGATACAAAGATCCCTGGTTCGAATCCACGTCGTCGCTGCTCATTTTCATCAGCTATTTTTCTTCTCCAAATTTATTACTGAGATAATTTTAAATTAAGGGGAAAATAGAACGAGAACTTAAGTCTTGCAATGATTCAAAGGAAAAACTGAATTATTCATGACATTGCCCCTAACCCTCCGAGGAAAAAGAAATTACGCCTGCGGGAGTGTCCCCAAATGTTACAGGGTCGTATTTATCCGATTCTTTCTTTTCTTGTTTACAATGCAACACACAACATCACTCCAGCTAGGGTCAACAGCAGGTCGAAACCGCCCGACGAGGGCGCCCCATTCCCACCACACTCGTTCCCGCCGAGTCGGGCGGCGTAGCGCACCACGTGCGCGATGTAGTTCTGCTCGTGGACTCCGTGGAAGAGGTGGGACATGGGTCCGTTGGCGTAGATGGCCACATCCTCGCCGCCGTGACTGCCCGTAGCCAGTGGGATCAACGCGGGTTGAACAAAATCCGGTTGCTCTGTGGAAATAATGTCTGAATTGTGTCAAAGGTTAACATGATGTCATTTCTAAGCACGCTGATTGGACGAGTGAATTATAACGCATGAATAAGTAATGATACACCTACTTAGGATACTCTGGGACTGTATTAATTATATTTGTGGGTCCTGTGACCTTGTATAAGCCACCCGTCTGGGAAAATTATACCATATATTGATGTTCATTTACATCGGCTGATGAACCATCTCTATAAACCTTATGCGTAGCAGCATGTTAGCGGCCAGTGCCTTTCTTTTTCCGGGATATATGCATAAGTGAACCTTTTGTAAATTCATTGTTATTCAATAAAAATAACAAAAGATGCCGTCTAAGATGGCCGCAACTTATATGGTCTATTCTGAAAAGAAAAGAAAAGACTCAATAACTGGGCATCGAAGAATACCCCCCCCCCCCTCCCGTCGGGGTCTACAAAAGAATGTAGGCCTAGACTATCCCATGATGCCATGCGAGTAAAGCTTCATTCGCCAATGACAGTGTCTGTACACTAACAGCTGGTGTACAACAGTACCCCATCCATCAAAAGGCACGGCAAAAGTCCACCCTGTGGTGACCATCCCGTCCTTGGTCAAGTGGTTCAGCATTGGCCACGATCTGTCCTGTATGCCTTCAGATAAAGTCATGTACAGGGTCAGTAAAAAAAAAAAGCGAAACCCAAATGTCGGGACTATTGTTTTTAGTGAAGTTCTGCATGTAGCACATTCAAAATCTAGAATATGAAAGCTAAATTCATACGCTTTCTTTTAGCATAATAATCATTCAATTCACTTATGTACTTTTCAAGTTACGGGGTTTTAAACACAACCACCGTTTTAAAGTTCTGTCCACGGATCACAAAAACAGGTGTGCGTTCTTTCAGCAAAACGAAAACAATTTACACGCATCCCTATGTGATTTGGTTTCGTTTTGCTGAAAGAACACAAACCTTCGTGGGATCCGTGGATGGACAGAACCTTAAAACGGTGGTTGTGTTTAAAACTCCGTAACCTAAAAAGTACATAAGTGATTTGAATGATTCTTGTACTAAAAGAAAGCTAATGAATTGCTACATGCAGAACTTTACTACAACAATGGTCCCGACATTTGGGTTTCGTTGTGTTTTTTTTTACTCACCCTGTATAACTCCGCTCAGTTGTGCTTTGGGGTACGGTACAGGGCAAGCGACCACTGTAACCGTCTTTGTTCCTTTACATGTTTTTTTAGCGCTTCACCCTGAGTGGCTTTCTGGCTTGTAATGAGTGTCTTTTTACATTAAAACATGGCAAAGTGCCTTACCCGTGTCAGTATTAGTCAGGTTCCGTCTCATTCCAGTGTCTTCGAAGCTCTGTCTCTCTTTGATACCCCCAGGTCCCCCAGCGTAGGCCAGGGTGGTGTAGGGCAGTCCGTCGTCCATGAGTAGCCTGCCGGACGCAACTGAAAGACAAGAAGCGACGTGGATAGTTTCACAATAAAGCTATTTCTAAAAAAAAAGCTAATAATCAGTGTTGTAGTCGAGACCCTGCAAGACCATCACAAGACCATCACAAGACCATAACAAGACCAACACAAGACCATCACAATACCATCACAAGACCATCACAAGACCATCACAAGACCTTCAGTCTCAATTCAAGTCACAAGCTATTCAAATGAACTGCAACAAAGGCATTCCTTTGTTATTGTTCATTCAGTGTTACTTGAGACTGGACTTGTGACTGGTCTTGTGTCTGGTCTTGTGTCTGGTCTTGTGTCTGGTCTTGTGTCTGGTCTTGTGATGGTCTCGACTACAACACTGCTAATAATAAAGTTTTGTAGTAAAAAGCAGCTTATTTAACATAATTTACAAAGATTTACTACGTTGCGCCACTCTGCCTCTATATGTCCTCGCTAATGCTCAGGATATTATGGTGTCATGCATTTGTTTACATCCGATAAACACAAATACATTCAGAAGCTTCATAAATGAAAACATTTTTCACAGATACAAAATATAACTTAAACCATGAGCTACCAAAAGATGCAGCATTGCCTAATTAATGCAACATATAGATTTATATCGCTTGGCAATATGTATTAACGGCTGGTGAGTTTTCCCATGATGCAATGCGAATAATGAAATCCCATGTCATAGAAAGATATGGTCTATTTTAACCTTATAACTAAAGTATGTTCAAGGAGGGATACGAAATACATTTGCAATGAGTCATTATTTCACAGAGTCCAAATTACGCACTAAATCGGCAGTACGCACTTTCCAGTTATTTTTCGTTACCCATAATGCAAACGGAAAACCACCTACATCCTTTGGCGAGGATGGGATTCCCGCGCCACGGGTACCCGCTGATGCTTAACGTGTGACTGTGATCGGCCGTGACGATCACCAGCGTGTCATTCTCATTGGTCAACTCAATCGCCTTGGCAACGGCCTCGTTCATAGCAACGGTGTCGTGGAGAGCGTGGTAGGCGTTGTTGTCATGGTGACTGTGGTCGATACGACCGCCTATTAAAAATAAAGGTTTGTTTTATTAAGAATACTGTTTCAGCTAACATGGAGACTGCTTCTCAAAAAAAAATCTTCAGATTTTAAATTCCATGTTGAAAATCAATAGGGGGTTCGTCAGAAACTAAAACAAAATTAATTGCACTTAAAGGCTCGAAAATAAAGGACGTCAAACAGTGATAGGCAAGCCCCACCATAGGCACATTGTATTGGCCTAAGCTGTTAAGTAATCTGCAGAAGGTTTTACAGTAATATGGGTATAAAAAATACAAGCAGGTAAGGTCATAAACTTGGACGATCCGTTCAAGATCCGATTTCAGTTGCTTCGCACAAATTGTTTTTCTAAGCAAGTGTTCTTACTGAACCCGGCTGGAAACCAAAACAGAAGATACATATTTCTACCTACTGAACTATATGAATTACATTGCAACGTCTGTAATGAGATGATTCAGGCATACTTTCGATTGGAAACTTGACAGAACTGATCAAGTTTTTCGGGGAAACTTGTAAGAACTGATCAAAAATATTTGTGCGAATTTTGTCTTTTAAACATTGTTTAATGACGTGTTGTTCCTTTTGTTTGCGTGTGTTTTATATTTCTATATATATTTCTTGTATATTGATTTTAAAGCACTTTGATGTGGGGCAGCAGGTCCGCGGACTACAGTATTTTTACTTTTGTTGCCCCTGGCCCATCTCTGTGTTTGTAATTTTGGTCAAATAAATAATAATAATAATAATAACAATCCCTCTGTACTTGGCCACTTTGTACGAATATGAATAGAAAGTCGCTAATCTTTCCGACACCTACCTTCCACCATGAGAAAGTACCCGTCGCCATCTTTTTGCAGGATCTTGATGGCCTTTTCCACCATCTGGGCGATAGAGGGCTCCCCTGCGCCGTCGTTGTTCCCGTTTTCGCTGTACTGCATGTGGCTGGGCTCGAACAATCCTGTGTGGACACGAGAATGAAACGTGCTTTGCATAAAGGTCAAAGGTCAGTCAAGATAGGCATAAGGGACCTTATGTACACGCATTCAGAGACTTTGACTTAGTTAAATTCTGATGTGCTCAGTGTCTGGAGACGTTCGGATAACCCTATAGAAGTCTGTAATTGTATTTGTCACATAACTGTACTTTAGAGGCCACCGTAGAGTTTACACCGATTACAATATTAAAATTTCAAATCTTGATGTGTCTGCAGAATACTACACGTTATCTTAAGTTACACTAACTTAACCAGGGTTGCGTTAACTCACCAAGTATATAGTCAGTTGTCTTCGGGTCGACTGCGTTAAACTGCTCCGCTTTCCAAACGTACTCACTGGTTGTAGGATCCTTACCCGACACCCATTCATCTAAATGATTAAAAAGCAAATATATGTATGTATTATTTCTTTTATATGTAATCATATTTCCTCACACAGTAATCTCTGGAGGTCGGCAATGGATTTTTAATCAATTTTTTTCCTAAAAATGGGTAACTGAAATATTGACTGGTATCGGTCTTTGTGGGTAATAGGCCTAACAATTAAACGACGTGCCACGACACCTTTACTGTCAAGTTGAAGCCAATCAAAGCTTGAGTTTACTTATGTGTTTACTAAGGAATAACATACTTTTAAACGAACCGTTTTCTATTATATTCTCTTGAATCAAAATTTGGGAAAAGTTTACTAGATTTGAATGACACGAGGAAAGACTATAAGGTATTACTCTATTGAGAAACAAACACCGCACCGATAAGATTGCGGCCATCCTGTCTGGTTCCCTTTTGGTTTGGGTATTCTGGATCAGCGGCAGTGTTAGGCATCATGTTAGCCCTCCCACCTCCCAATATAACCTGCAAGAAAAGGGAAATGTGTCAGGGAATAACACTTACCAATCAGCGTAACAAAGTACGAGAGCAAATGCTATTTTATTCTGTCTGTCGTTTGGAGCTCTGCCCGTCTGATCAGTCAGTTCATAGTTTGGTTTCAAGCAGTGCACTGCTGCAAAGTCAAATTCAAATTATCTGTTTTGAAACTAATGAACCTCAAAAGATTGACCTTTCACTTTTACGAAAGCTCTACAATAATTAATATTACATGCATCTTTGATGATAATAATGTGTATTAATAAACTTGTTCACCCTTATTGTGCTCAAGGCGTTACATCATTATTACCCCTGCTCACAACACCAATGAAACATTCCAAATACACTCTCAGCTCCGTGGGGAGTCTACATGCTCGATGCCGCCATTTCGACACTTTGGTGAAATCAATCACAATAACCATCTCAGCCCTCACATGTACCCATTTACTCCTGGCTGGGAAGAAGCAATGAGTGACAAAGTGCCTTGCCCAAGGGCACACGCACCATAAATCCAGGCTGGACTCGAATCCACAACCTGCAGAATTACCCGCAGACCACGATTTCAGTGCTTCAGTCTACGATGCCATGGAAACCCATGGTGTAATGACAGACAAGTCTCATTTCTCATTTTGTTGTTCTTGTCTAACAAAACAGGTTTCTCTTAACAATTTGACAGCTTACAACAGCAATAAAACAGCAGCAAGTAGTCTGAAAAGTAACTGAATGCTATATACATAGTAATATTATCATGTCCTATACTCAAAGACATTTTACAATATCCAGAGACCAGGCCGTCACAACAGCGTGAAATTTACATAATTCTTTATTTCCGAGATTAGGTTACACTTATAACTAAGGATTTTGTTTGATATTGCAAGAGTCTTGATGCTTTGACACACCTTAGTGTTCTTGCCCAGCGTGATGAGTTGAGATGCGATATCTGTGCATCCCATGGCGGCCTCCTTCTGAGGGATATCTGCGTCGTTCTCCCAGTCCCGGTCCGGGGAATGGGCATAGAGTGCTGACGGTGTGGCGTGCGTGACGCGGGCCGTAGTTACAAATCCTGTTGACTTCCCTGTGATAGATGATTTGTATATTACATGGCTTTCTTAACACCAACTCAAACCTGACCCTGGGAATTTTGGCAACCGGACCCAAGAATTTCGAGCATACTTTGCGCGCACTATGCGGCGCGCGTGGTTGTCTGAGCACAGCTTCATGGTCTTAGGCTCATACTTTCACGTGTGCAGAGCCGGTCACGGTCGAACGCCTGATAGTTATATCCTAACATGCAAATTCTATGCGACCATGCGCGCGAGCCAATCGATGTCGACTTCAGAAACTGTGACGACGTTCCGATCAGAAATGTGGACTAAGCTATTGATTGGTCTATTGCGATGCCATGTTTTTGTAATACAACAACAGGTTACCGAACACCGCTCGCTGAATGGTCAGAATCTTGTAGTCAGGCCGCTGTAAAGTCAAGTTAGGCATAATTAATCGCCAAATCGGCTCGCATATCATAGACCCTTGCCTTGCTGCGCAAGGGGATATTCCATAGTCTACGCCCGTGGGGGATGCTTGGAATTTTGGGGCTCCGAGTGCCAAAGTTCCCAAGACTATATTTGATTCAATCTGTTGAAAGCGCGCCCTCTATCAGAACAGCCTTATCGCGTTTCCCACGAACACTCTCCATTGGGGAAACCCAAAACCCAAATCCAGTCTTGGATTCAAATAAAGAGATGGACTGACCAGCCTTCTCTGCCGAGATCATGACGGAGTCCACGGCAGCTGCCTGCCCGGTCTTGCAATCACCAAGCATTGCCGAGTCGTCCACGCCTACCAAGCCGGACTTGGTCTTCACGCCGCAGAAGAGCGCCGTAGCGGCACCGGCACCGTCAGCCACCTGTCGGTCGGTTGTATACGTCTAGAATCGTAAAAGCAAGCATTCGTTGAACACACGAGAAAGTAAATTTCTTATCTTCGTATTTATGGACGAACCATACATTTGAGCGGCCTATAACCCAGTGCATTCTATCCCCCAACGTTAAAACGCATCTTTTTTTAAGCTCTGGCAGGGGCTTTTACATGTCATTTGGTGGTCGGTCGATCTGTTCCCGGAAAATTGACCAAAATAAGGCCTCATAAGTTTCCCACAAAATATAACTACCACATTTTAATGTTCAAACAAAGCAAATAAAATAATTAAAATACTTATAACAAAAAACGTTTGTAATAATTGGAAAAGAGGTTTATGAAAAGTTTGTAAATGGAGGCAAAATATGTGCAGTTATGTTTCAGTCACGTGGTATTTATCATAAATCCCCATAAATCTATGTAAACATTTGAAGTATGGAGTTCCATATGTGCCATCGGCGTCAAAATTTTGGGCGTCGCATTTTTCAGCTCTGGCAGGGATCATTTTGATAGATTCCACGTTCCACTTTCATGCAAGACGGCCAGAGTTTATTGTGCACCGGCACTTGTTTTAATATGCATAGCTAAACCACGCTGTCATCATTTTGGCAGACGCTTAACTAGGCATACAGATTGCCTGACCTTTAAAAATTACGTGGGGTAAATTCTGTGTTGTAGTGTAATTTGGCTTTTATCCAGTGGCATGGCATACTCTGTGAGCAAACTTAATGCACAACTTGTGTCGGGTTCCACAGAAAAAATCCTGGAAACTACAAAAAACAAACTGAAAAGCGAGCGCCTAAACTGACGTCACAGAAACAGCTCTTCATAGATCATATCAGTAAGATAGCACTCATTATGCTACCTGTAAAAACAATTCAACTGTTTAAATTGTAATCAATTAAACCAAAAGGCCATTCCCATATACATATCAGAGGCTTAATATTTGCACGATCGTATGGAATGCCTTTCAAATGCTTTAGCTGGATCTACAGGTCTACCTTTGCCATTCCCATGGTGGAGAAATTCTCCCATGCGAGGATAGTTTCCTCGCCTTTCATACCGTCCAGTTGCCCCCTCAGGATCCTGCTCGCCACCACGGTGGTTAACCCCATGCCGGAACCCACGAAGAACACCACGTTCTTAGCCGTGTTGGTGTTGAGTGTCTCCTCCCGGAGAATGGCCTTCTTGAGCGTATCATACGCCTGATCGTTCCAGACCTGGGCAGCTGAAAAGAAATAATGCTTATCTCAGATGGTTTGGTATCAATAAGCTTGTCCTTTTCGACACTAACAAATCAACTTCCCGGATAAAAAGCAAAACACACTTTAACCACAGTTTAGGCCTACATTGCAGGAAAGAGAATCCCCAAAACAGTATCCAGCTTACTTATACCAGTTTTCATTTGAAAACAGATCATGATGTTCAGAATCACAGATTGGCATAAAGCAAAGCAAAACCATATATAGTTTCGTTAGTTTGGTGTACTTCTTTACTTACCCCATGATAAAACATGGTAGCGAACTCTGGCTTAAGAGTGATCGGGATATTTACAAAAAGAACAGACTTTTCATCAAAAGTTGTAACACTTACGTTGTGACTGCACTGTCCGTACTGACATTAAAATAGTAATCAATGCGGCAAGCCATCCAAACGTCATCGTGGACATCATACTGTAGAGAAGGTGGATTGAAAATAAAATAATGTCAAACTTTTACGACAACAAAAACAAGATCTTGGGCTGGGAGTGTCTAACCGTCAGTGATATTATCAATAGCATAAGTTGTTGCAGCAATTATCCCAATGCTTAAATTAACTGGCTTCTTTCCAACATTAGCATCTAAACACACCACCTCTCTGAACTTTGGTGTATGGCCTTTGTCAAAGATAACAAGTGTATGCCAACCCACAAATATAGATCCGGGTTGAGAGGTCCATGAATGCTCAGTGAGCATTGATATTATTCCTAGAACAGAATGTGTTACCGAGGTATCGATGAGGGTCGTTGCACTAGTCTCCACGTGAACAAGAATATGAATCAACAAAGTTTCAGTCATCAAATGCCAATCACGATCATACTTCTTTGGACATAGGCGGGTTTTTTTTACAGTTAACATACGTTTTGTAAGCAATCCTTTTACATTGTTGATCTCAAGCTGGCTTGACGCACTTGTGATTTGACTTGTGAGGGGCATGACTGTAAGCCTTAAAGACACTAGTAATTTTTGTCTTCAATTCGGTTAAACAGAGATGATTTTCTATGTATAACCTGTCGTCGTTTTGACAGACACCAATATTGAACATTGAACTCTTCACAACAATGCAATATGTTACCTTATCATGATCATATTATTTACACAAACATCTGTTTTGGGGGGACAACCCCGAATTTGTCCAACAGTGTTTACACTCTTGAAGTTCGTACAATCTTATCGGTAGTCTGGTTCCCCGACCTGACAATTTCCCCCGACGTCTACACGTCTAAATTGTAGGTCAGGCAGCCTCCGTGGCTAAAAATAATCATGACGACATTGACGGCCCTTTTTCAAAGCTCGACTTCGTTTCCGAATTCGCTTACTCACATAAAGCTTTTAATGTTCCGATAATGTATTTAAAAATAAATCACTTGCTTCATATATCATACAGTTATGATATACAGTTTAATACTTCTGTAAAAAAACATCGACTTATTTTAACCTGGAATCTTCAAAGTTGGACACCCAAACAGCACTGTTAGCAGGCGGAGCCGAATTGAGACCACGCCGCGTTTTGGAAAATGCCGGTAACGGTCGTCAAATTCAAACTAGTGCATGACGCAGCAAAAAGTTCGCCCCTCGAAATCGTCGTTGAATTTCAAGTTTTCTAAATAAAAGCAATGGATATTAATTATCAACTAGTTTTTAAAAGTTTTTAATAAGCAATTAGCAGTTAATAAAACCTATATTATACTCGGAAATACTCGGACACTATCCGATTGTCGACGAAATGAATTCGGCAAACTTCGGACAGTTTCGGAAAAAGGAGGAATTCCTCCCGTTTTTGTCAGGTGATGTAAATTGTAATACATTGTATTACCGGAGGCTACCTGACCTAAGATTCATCAGGAATAGTCGGAATCTGTTGGTCTGGGAATCTTATCGGCTAATAGTGCGTATGTCATTGGGGCTAAATTCTTCACTTATAAACTAAAGGCAGCATTTGTGCTGTCTTATTTAATCCTGAAATTCATTGTACATACTCACGGAAAGAAAATGAATACTGATATTCATAAATGATGCTGTAATACTTTTGTAACTTAACAAACTCAAAACTATGAGACCAATTCCGGTTTGTCACCTGATGGACAAAGCGTTGAACATGTCACGTGACCCCGTATTACTGGGAGTATCTAACTGTCAGTAATATTATCCACAGCATAAAGCCCGGTTCATACTCGGCGCGAAAGCGAAAGCGAACGCGAATTTGTGATGTCATGGCCAGTATTCCCGCTGCGAATTCGTAAAAGTTGAACATATTTCAACTCGGGCGAATTTCGCAGCGAATGTGCCATGACGTCACATTCGCTTCGCATTCGCATTCGCGTGAAGTATGAACCGGGCTTTAGTCGTTTGTAGCGATTATTCCAATACTTAAATTAACTGGCTTCTTTCCAACATTAGCATCTAAACACACCACCTCTCTGAAATTTGGTATATGGCCTTTGTCAGAGATAACAAGTGTATGTCAACCCACAAATATAGATCCGGGTTGAGAGGTCCATGAGTAATCGGTGAGCATTGATATTATTCCTAGAACAGAATGTGCTACCGAGGTATCGATGAGGGTTGTTCTAGTCTTCACGTGAACAAGAATATGAATCAACAAGTTGCAGTCATCAAAGGCCAATCACGTTATACTTCTTTGAACATAGGCGGTTTTGTTTTTACATTTAACATACGTTTTGTAAGTATTTCTTTGTCATTGTTGATCTTAAACTGGCTTGACGCACTTGTGATTTGACTTGTGAGGGGCATGACTGTAAGTCTTAAAGAAACTAGTATTTTTTTTTTTTTCAGTTCGGTTAAACAAAGATGATTTCTATGTATAACCTGTCGTCGTTTTGACAGACACCAATATTGAACATTGAACTGTTCACAACAATGCAATATGTTACCTTATCATGATCATATCATTTACACAAATATCTGTTTTGGGGGGACAACCCCGAATTTGTCCAACAGTTTTACATTCTTGAAGTTCGAACAATCTTATCGGCTGTTGATATTGCGTATGTCATTGGGGCCAAATTCTTCACTTCTAAACTAAAGGCAGCATTTTTGCTGTCTTATTTAATCCTGAAATTCAGTGAACATACTCACGAAAAGAAAATGAATACTGGATTCAAAGATTATGCTCTTATATGCTTTTCTAACAAAGAAACTAAAAACTGATGATTTTCTATGTATAACCAGTCGTCGTTTTGACAGATACCAACATTGAACATTGAACTTTGCACGACAATGCAACATGTTACCTTATCATAATCATATTACATGTATTTACACAACCAAATGTTTTACAGGGAAACCCCCGAATTTGTCCAACAGTTTTACACTCTTGAAGTTCGAACAATCTTATCGGCTGTTGATATTGCGTATGTCATTGGGGCCGAATTCTTCACTTCTTAAATAAAGGCAGCATTTTTGCTGTTTTATTTAATTCTGAAATTCAGTGTACACGCTCACGGATAGAAAGTTTATTACTGGATTCATAAATTATTCTCTAATGCTTTTCTAACAAACAAACTAAAAACTGATGATTTTCTATGTCTAACCAGTCGTCGTTTTGACAGATACAAACATTGAACATGGAACTCCATACGACAATGCAACATGTTACTTTATCATTATCACAGTGTATATTACCATGCTTTTCGTTTCTGATTCGTTTATGGGCAATTACTTTCATCGTTTGGTCATTCAAATGAATACGATTTTTAAGTGATATATATTCCTATTTTCCTCCGAGGTTGATCTTCCCCAAAACGTCTCGGTGACTGTAACATTTACAATGTAACAAATCAACTGATATGAGGGATACGAAATGTACCGACATGAAAAGGGCTAAGATAATTTCCTTTCCACTGTTGATCTTTTCTACTTGTTTAAACGTTTGATCAAGGGATTTCTTTACGTTCACAGAAAACACAAAGTGAGTAATTTGACTCATTATCGTAAAAAATGAGACATTGATATTATTACACACTTTGGCTCAAAGTGTCTCACCACACGGACAAAATGACTCATTTTTTACGATATTGAGTCCAATTACTCACTTTGTGTTTTCTGTGTTGATGATTTCTTGACGTGCAAGACATCGGAGCATGAAGGTTTGGCAATGGTTGTACCATCGGGAAACTTCTCTTGGGTGATTTCTTAAATGTTTTCTTGCGTATGTCTGACCGAACACTTATCTAAATGGCCCCTTGAAATGGAAACTTTGAAAATACATCTTTGTGTTAATTTTAACTTTCTTTTAAAGTTTTATTTTTCCATTGAAGTGTGTTTTTGGTGCCCTATCCGTTTGTATGCATATGCAAAGTTCCATATTTACACATGAGCAAAATGTTGATGTCATTTCGGGCACATTAATGTTACATGGCTTTTTCAGCACAAAAAGTTGCTAGAATTTTTGATATGGTGCTGTCATAAATTTCTTTTCTTCAGTGATTCTTTGTTGTGTCAGTACTTGACAGTAAGTCAATGAGCAATCGTTTCTCACAAAAGCTTTCACGTGGCAAATTTTTGGTGAATAATTTGAAAGAACAGTGTCTTCCTGAAATGACATCACAGCAATGGCGCGCTCAGTAGTCCGGCAAAGCATGGAAGCTTGTAAATGTTTAAAGATGTGCACTCACTTTGCAATGAGACTTACACAAAAAAGATGTCAAAATGTATAGTTTTCAAGCATCTCAGTGTTGTAGTAATTTGCAAAAAAAGTATTCCTGAGAAGACTTCATCGCACGGACCCTTTAATTAATAAAGAGAGGTGTGCATTTACGGATTGAAAACATCAGATAAAAAATATGATAAACGCCGAGATAATTCAGAATTATCTTAAAACATGCTTGACAAAATATGAAATATGTTTGCCCATTAATGAAAATGAATGCCCGATCTACCACTTACTGCTGGTTCAGACGAAACTGAATGAACAACGCGATACTTTTAATATGAAAGCATCTTTAACGGGGACGAGTGATAGATTGCTGGGATAGTGAAATTGAACGATTCTTTTTTTGATTGTCGAATGACGATCTGCGTGATCTTTCAATTTCAATCTAAATTGAATGATCCAGGCGTTAAATTGAATGAAAACTTGGTGAAGTCGGCCGGGAAAACCTATACTATCAACTGTTATCATTCTGAGAGCCATTTTAAAATAAACTATAGTGACAATCTTATGTTTCAAATACAAATCCTACACTGTATTCCTTCAACGCTAATGTTTATTAATTCATTTGAATGTTTTATAAGCACGAGAACCACAGCAATTTCTATTATATACTTTTGTACATAAATAACAATAACAAGATATAAATCTTAATCTCAAACTACAATTTAAACAACTGGTAACTGCAAGGGAAGATGTTAAGACTTTAATACATGTATTCATTTTAAAAGATCCAGAATCATTCAAGTGTTTTTGATAGAAACAAATTAGCTGTCCTAGGTAATAACCTTTGGCATAATTTGTCGGTGCTCATGCTAACGTTCAGTGTGAAGCTAAGACGCCATTCTAAAATTCTTTCAGCGAAAAAAATTATTTGAAACATTCTGATTAAAATGAAGTTTCAATAGGCTTCCTTAGACAAACTCATAACTCAAGAGGGGAACGGGGGCATCTCTCAAGGTATATATTGCCAGAGTGCTCCCGCCACCAAGTTTATGAAACAAAAAGACCTCTCTATTGTAAGAAACTATATGACAAACCATAAGCGCCTCCCAAAAAAATGTGTACCCCATGTGCCCTACTCCCACCTCTAGTCAATGTCCTTTAGATCTGCATATGACAGAGGAATTAGAGCTGCCTAGATTTGCCACAACGGCAGAAACAGAGCTGTGAAGATCAGTAAGACTTCGTGCAGATGAACGGCTGAGCTCCCTCCTGATCCTGGGCATCCCTGGTCGTCCGGGTCATAGTGGGATATCGGCGGTACGACCCTCTCCGTGTCGCAGTGCTCCTTGTAGTCCAGGCAGGCGGCGTAGCGCACCACGTGCGCGATGTAGTTCTGCTCGTGGACTCCGTGGAAGAGGTGGGACATGGGTCCGTTGGCGTAGATGGCCAAGTCCTCCCCACCGTGGGTCTCGGAATCAGTGTAGAAGATGCAAGGTGCTTCAAACTCGGGCTGCTCTGTGTGATTCACGGGAAAACAGAAAAACGGTGATTGTCACTATTGACCTATCGCCATTTTGCGAGTTAGCCACGCCCCTCAGACAATCCCATGTAAGTTTTGTACACTAATAAGTTTTGTTTGTCTCAGATTTTGCGCGTTCCGATTAGGCTACAGAAATAAACTTACGGACGTCGGCATCCGTCAGGTTCCTCCGCATTCCGTTAGCCCCGTAGCTATTCTGGTCTTGTTTTGCGCCGGGGCCGTTACCGTATTGAAGAGTTGGGTACGGCAGTCCATCTACAGCATACCCGCTGTCATCCAGCCCTATGCAGCACAAAGAGCGTAAACAGAACGTGTGGCCCTTAAAAATAGTTCTTGCTTAGTAAGTTCGGTGAGCTGGCACCTGCATTTCGGGAGACTCTTACAGAATAATGTAATAAGTCAATGTAAATGAGGTTAAAGTTTTGAATTTCTATAACAATATGCCAGTAACTGGAACTGATGACTGTAGTTTAGTAACTGTAATTACAAACAAAAGTCTCTTTTCTGGATGGGGTTGCTGTAGATTTAACTTAGTCTGATAGCCTTTATATGGAGCAAAACTTGAAAATTAAACAATTGTAAAAGACTAAAGGCTATACTTTCAGTTACATAGTCTATATTTTTAGTTACATATTATACAGGGTGGTTAAAAATAAAAGGAAACCCAAATGTTCTACTTTCAAAATGAAGGATATAAACGCCCAATTAATAGCTTTCTATAAGTGAAAGAATCATTCAAATCGCTCATGTACTTTTCCAGTTGTGGAATTTGGAACACAAACACCGTTTTTAACCTTGTCCAGGGATCACAATAAAGGTAGGTGATATTTCAGCAAATCATAAATTATTCACATATCGAACAGAACACTCTCATACCCATGATAACTGGCACTTATCATAACATTTATTTAAAAACCTGCTGCTACCAATGTTAAAATAACATGCTTTACAGTGTCAGGAGTTTACAGTCTTGCCCTGCGTTCTACCTGGCTACCCCGGAGACTAATGAGATTATTCTGATATCATTTTCAGGATTCGATATGGTTTCATTTTTAATACTGAAATATCACGTATATACCTTAAATCTGATCCGTGGACAAGGTTAAATAACGGTGCTTGGGTTGAAAATCCATAACTAGAAAAGTATATTAGCGATATGAATGACTCTTTCACTAAAAGAAAGCTTATTGATTGGACTTTCAAATTCTAGATTTGGAGAACGCTACATGCAAAAATTCGTTTAAAAATAGGGGCCACCATTTGGGGTTTTTTTTTTTTTACTCACCCTGCACAGTTTTGCAGCCCTGTCAATGGAACTTAATATAGCATACTCCATTATTTTTCTAATTACCCTTTTTTGATAAGCTCTGAAATATATTTCTAACCATACCCTCCTTTTATACATCTTACTTCTATTTACCTAAAATGGGATTGCCCCGGCTTGGGTTACCGCCCATGGTGAACACGTGACTGTGATCGGCTGTGACGATCACCAACGTGTCCTCCTCATTGGTCATTTCCATCGCCTTGGCAACTGCTTTATCCATGGCAACAGTTTCGTAGAGGGCCTTATATGGCTTGCCGTCGTGATGTCCATGATCGATGCGAGCACCTTATGGAAAACAGGACATGGCAAGTCTAGAGTTTACAACATTCTAGTTAAAGGTATATTTGCTTCTTGTGCAATTTTTTTTCTGAAGAAGGGTGCGTAACAACTGATTACTTTTGAGAAGACAGACAAAACGTATGCACAAGTTTCGGGTCTCGCAACTGGATTCCGTTGCTAAAGCCCCCCCCCCCAAAAAAAAAAAAACCTGTGCCCGCGGACACACTTTTTAAAACCGTTTTCAATGATTTTTTTCGTCCGAATGATACCATATTAGGTAGAATAATTTCAAGAGGTATTTGGTATCTGTCTTATACCTTCACTTTGAGCAAGGAGTGTCTCGTCAAATCGGTAGGTACTCTTAAGCCTACGGGTAATTGCAAAAGTTCCTTTACACGCCTTCAATTGATTCAGAATTGTTTGGGTGGTAGTAACACGATTACAGGAAAAACCCACTTTCACCGTTAGCAGGGAGACTTGTATTTAATAGATTGATGTTGATGGATTGATTTATTGTTTTCCAAGTTTTGAGGGAATTTACAGTTAGTAGTAAACCAGATGTAAAGAATGTAAAAATAATTTCAAAAAAATAAACAAACTAAAATTGGTGTGCAACAGAGAAGTGCCATCGGCAAAAAACAACAACAGAGAGAAGAGGAAGTATTAGATCATTGATATACGGTAGAAATAGAAGGGGACCAATATTAGAGCCTTGAGGAACACCATGAAGAATACCTTGCTTAGACGAAGAACAATTATGAACAAAGGTAAACTGCTTTCTGTTAGAGAGGTAACTGTAAGGCCACTCATGGGCAACACTTCTAATTCCATAAAGCTCAAGTTTAGACAGAAGAATAGAATGATCAGTGATGTGTGAGACATGATTTAACTTAAGCCTGGGTGATGTGGTGCTAATTATGTATCATGAAAGTACTAAAAGAATGCTACATCACATACGCATATAGCCAAGCCTCGTAAAGCCGGTACCAGGCTAGTGTAGGCCTAAGGCACACGTGACAGACAGTCAGGTAAGCAGTCTAAGTAGATAGATAAGCAGTCGTTTTTCTTGCTAAGCAGTCTAAGCAGATAGATAAGTAGTCGTTTTTCTTGCTTAGCAGTCTAAGCAGATAGATAAGTAGTCGTTTTTCTTGCAAAGCAGTCTAAGTAGATAGATAAGCAGTCGTTTTTCTTGCTAAGCAGTCTGAGTAGATAGATAAGCAGTCGTTTTTCTTGAGTTTGCAGGGTGAAGCAATATTATTTTTAAAAATTTCCCAAAATCAATTTATTTTCACTCATATTACACCACATCAGCCGGGTTCAGAACATGCATGCCTTGCAAAATTACAGGATTATAAATACAGGATTTTACACAGTGAACGTAGGATATACACTGTTATTTCGGTTGTGTACTATATGAACCTAGCAACCAGTTGTGTAAAAAAAACTGAACAAGTTGTGTAATATTTTACACAAGTTGTGTAAACAACAGTTTACACAACAGGTTGCTAGGTTCATTTAGTACACAACCGTTTGATTTTTACACAACCGAAATAACAGTGTATGGGCCCACAGAAATGGCAGAGATCAATTTACCCTCGACCATGAGGAAGAAGCCTTTTTCGTCCTTCTGCAGGATCTTGATGGCCTTCTCTGTCATCTCCGAAATGGACGGCTCGCCTGCCGTGTCGTCGGCTCTCTCGAACTCGTACTTCATGTGGCTCCGCTCGAACAAACCTGGAGCGGATTGACGGAAGATACTGTCTAGCTATACTCCTTCATTTATATACAAGTGCATTTAATAATCTTCAAAGACTATAGCGGATAATACGTCCTCGATTGGTGGCACGACCTCAGTTTAAAATCGTGTACAAATCAAATGAGGATTTCTCTAAAAAAAATATAGAAATTAAAAAATAGAGAATTAGATTTGTTTAAGCTATTGACAAGCAATCAAGAGTGCATTAGAAGAACAATGGAAATGCCTTGGTGTAGGCCTACGTCATAAATAAACATGTGTATGTTGTTTTCTGAATCGAGCATGAAAAGCGCTTAAAACGTAATAGAAGCGGTTGATAAATTGTCCAAGTGAGGTTCAGTTCAGTGGATGTAACAGATATGTGGGGATGCTTCAATATTGTTTGTAATTTCCCCTATTTGAATGACATAATTATCTACTTAGGCCTAACTGATAGGTAATAATACATGTACTTCCATAAGAGACACCGAAATTAGTGCCCCACTTTCAATTTAACGTTGGTGCATCACAAGATGACGATAAAATCCATTCTTTGTTTTATACTGACTGGAATTGATCAATCAATCAATTTATGGTTGTGGCCAAGGAGTAACGACAGAATAATTATCAGCTTTACCTAAAAGATAATCTGTCTGCTCCGTGTCGACTTTGTTGAAGTCATCCAACTTCCAGACATACTTGCTTGTGTCTGGGTCCTTACCAGAAATCCATTCCTCTGAGATTAAAAGAAATTAAAACTTATCAAAGACTGCAATATATTTTTAATGAATTGCCGCCATATTGTCGGATTCCCTGACGTCTCATCAAACACAACTCATTGAAATGAGGCCAAGTAACCAGACACCGATAAACCAAGCCTTGTTCAAAAAGGTATTATTTGTTATGCTATACGTACCAATAAGGTTTCGTCCATCTTTGCGTAGGCCTTTTTTGTCGGGATACTCGGGGTCAGAATCCGTCTCCGGCATTAAGTACACTCTCCCTCCTGCTAATATTACCTTTGAGAAGTTCGAATTAAAAATGACAGCTTGTTTATTTGTTTTTCTTTACATTGGCACCGGGAATGTGACCAATGATGTAATGCGTTTAAACATATACGATTATCAGGGGCACAGAGAAGCTTGTTTAAATGAGTGTCTTTTCAACCATAAGAAACTTCTTGTTTTCAGCTTATTATGGACAACTGTATGAATTAACATGTGAATAATATACCACAAGAAAAGTAAAAGGATAAACACCGTAAGGAACCTTTGTCATTCTTGGCCAAAAAAACAACGGACTGGCTCACATTGGTATCGTTGGCACGCGTGATGAGTTGTAGAGCGATGTCGATGCAGCCTTTGCCCGCCTGATCGGCCGGTATGAGCATGTCGGCCTCCCAGCTACGCCTGGGGACATGGGCGTACAGTGCCGACGGTGTAGCGTGCGTGACACGTGCTGTCGTCACGAAGCCAGTCGCCTTACCTTCAATAAAATGAAATCCAAAAATTTCATATTCCATATTTTGTGTTGATATCTATATGCTTCTGATCAGTAACGGCTCGGAGCGCAGGGGCCCCCCCCCCCCAAAAAAAAAAAAAAACCGCTGACCAGTTTTCGTCCTTCAATCGGGGAAAAAGTGGTACAATTTGTGAACGCACATTAGCTTGGCAAAAATGTTATGTCCAAGTATCCTCCAGATTTTGGGAAAGGGGAGGCATTATGGATAGTTTTTCTGGAAAATGGGCACAACCTCGTTTTCGCTTTCCCATCACACTCAAATACTCGTGGAGAAAATGGGACATAAGCACAGAGCATCTAGAATCCAAAAATTTTTGGATTCTAGATGCTCTGTGGTGCGATCTGAGGCAATTTCTGACCACTTTAACCAATGTTTTTTTGAGGAAAAGATGGTGGTGTACTCATTGCCTGCCTTTATTGCGATGTCACATAAAAAAATTAAAAAAATTGGCTTCGTTTGGGGTGGGCCATGGCCCCCTTTGGCCCTCCCTTGATCCGCCCTTGTTACAATATGGATAGCTCAAATTCCCCCGAAGGATCTATTTGTTTTCTAGGTGGGTCATGTCTCATTTCAATTTTTGCTTCGCTATGATTTTCAAGATGGCGTACCCTGATAAAGATTTATAGTCCGCGTTTGTTGAGTGGCCTATACCGCCTCGCTTTGGTTGCAATTATGGCGACTACGTACTCCGAGCTTATACTGTACTTGCCTGCTCTGGCGGCGTGGGTCATGACGGAGTCCACGGACGCCGTGTCGATGTTGGCCGAGCATACTCCGTATTCCATCGAGTCGTCTACGCCTATCACGCCGGATTTGGCCTTCACGCCGCAGAAGTACGCCGTGGCTGTGCCGGCCGAGTCGGGCGTTTGACGGTCGGTAGTGTAAGTCTGCCATATAAAAAAATAACATCTTTATCATCATCGGTACACAGGACTGGCCTATACAGTGTGCAAATTAATACCAAATAAACACAATAAGTCCCCCGACCCAACGAAAATTACCTCAAGTATCTAAAGCTACCTTATACAGATACAATCCATTGAAACAATATTGCCTCTGTGATGGAGCATGAGCTACTAAGACAATGCCATACAGTGATCTTTTGTAATAAAGAGTTAAGTTGTGTCTTTTTAATGCGTATACAAACTAATCACTAGTCACACTCAATTTCAGACGGTTATTGTAACAGATTATAGATGACCCAAGCGATGCCTGCATTCTTCCTGAGAGAAATTAGCAAGAATTGGAGACCCATGTTTGTGTTTCATGACAACAAATAACAGGTCACACCTTACGACGAGTGTAACAACAGTTTGTGTGTACCTTCGAGAGTCCGAAGCTGGGGAAATCCTCCCAAGCGAGGACGGCCTCCTCCCCGTTCAAACCTGCCAGTTGCCCCTTGAGGATCCGTGCCGCCGTTACGGTGGAAGGCCCCATCCCGTCACCCACGAACATCACGACATTCTTGGCCACCTTTCGGTTCAGATTCTCAGCCGACCTGATGGCCTCCTTCAGTTTGTTCTGGGCTTGATCGTTCCAAAATTCGGCTCCTTTGGGGGGAGGGGGTTTGGAGTGGTACAGAAGATGATTAGACGGGCGATTGTTAGTGTCCTTGTTTGATGGGACCGAGAGAACCAGTGAAAATAATTCTTCCTCTCTTGAAAAAACTTCAACGAAAATAATGTTGATTGTGTAACTTTGGCTTTTAGCCCTTCAGCGATGTAATCCGGGGGATTGTGATAGTCTTGCAATGATTCAATATCTGTGGCGGCTGGAGCTTCTGCACCGTAAAAACGTTGGGCAAAATGGATTGATATTGTAGACTAACGTTGGTCAACATATCAACAGGTTAAACTCTTGGGCAAATTTTTCCCAATTTTTGGAAATTTTTTACTCAAATTGGGTATTTTCAAACCAATGTTGGGTAAAATTATATTGCCCAACAGTGTTTTGCCCATTAATTTTTGCAGTGTGTTAATTAAAAGCTTTAATTAAATACAATTTAATACTTAGGCATACGCATTGTTATCTTTCCAAATTGACGACTGCATTATAGTCCTCTCTTTCCTTTCGTAACAAATCGGGTTTGCATGGCGGTACTTTCCTCGCTTTCCACCGCTGTCACCCGTGTTCTAATCCAGCCTTGGTCAATATGTGGATTTGGTTTTCAGTCCCTGCCTGATTCCGTGGATTTTTCCAAGAATATCTGGCTTTTCCTCCCCTCTAAAATTGTAATTACTTTTCATTGTCTCCTCTCTTACAGGTGACTTTAGGCTTGCGAGCTACATTGTCCATAGGGCGCTTAAAAAAAAATCCTTGGTTTCATTATTCCAGGAACGATAAGTTATAATAACAATAAAAAGCATTATAAAAAAAGTATATAGAAATAAAAACTTATGTTCTATCATTAATCTTCTTCATTGTTTTACTTACCCTGAGAATGAACCTCGACCATCATCCCACACAAACCAACTACTGCCGCGAACCAAATTCCAAGCATGGGCGCCATTTTGTAAGTCTACGTGTATAACCAGTTCAGAAAAAGATTGGACGACCGGCACTTTTCCGAACCAATTCGTATGTGTGCGTGTTCCTTTTTTTTACCCGGATCCCGGACCAATTCACAATTATTTCGACTCATGCATTCACTGGTTATCTTTGAACGGCTAAACTTAGACTTCCGTATGCTCTTTGACATTATAAACTTTAACACGGACTTTGCTCTAGTGACGTGTTTATTTTGTTAGTCATTTCTTGCATTAGTAGTTGAAACATTTTCTTTGGTCTAAATCAATAATTGTGTTCATCTCACGGGTTATGTATGTTCTAGTCTTGTTTATCTTACGACAGATTGACGCAAAGTCATTTGAGTCAATCTGACTTTAAGTTTTCCTTCAAAATTTCAAACAGCTGAAACAAATGTTGTGTTTTCGTTATTGCATCCCAGCTTATCACACCGATCATGTGACGCAAAACACCAATTTCATAACGTGCTTCGGCAAGGGCGCCACCAATGTTGATATATACGACCAAGAACATTAATTTTATACTGGATGCTAATCCACTACCCATATACTGCTGGTTGGAGAGAGGCAAATAGGGTGAAGTAGCTTGCCCAAGGACACAACATATGACCAGCAACTGGATTCGAACCCCTGACCCTCTGATCATGAGTCACGAACCCTAACCACTAGGCGACACTTCAAGTGAGTACTGGAATATAATTAAACGAGACCATTAAAAATAATAAACTTTGATAACAGTAATACAAAAATGAGTTTCAAGGTTAAAAACATACTTTTATATTGTTTACAAAAAACAGTACGATTTTATCTTTTATCTCGATTTTATGATGTAGTTGATCTAATTACTTTAGTACGGTAAAGTGCTAACATTCCTGTTAAAGTACTAACATTCATGTTAAAGTACTTACATTAAAGTACTAACATTTAAACTAACATTTTAAAAAGTATACAATTTAGTGGGCGCTCGCCGGTAATCAATTAGTTTGTCAATGTACTGTATTGACAATCATCCATAATCCATTCCTTGGGGCCATAGGGAGGTAGCTAGACGACTATTGACGATTTTAGCTGTTGTTGCATGCGTCGCATCTAGTTTTCGTCAAGGACCCAAACACTAGACGTGAATTTGCCCTTTTTTGCTTTATATGACAATTCAATATCGTTTGGTTTTTACAACTTTATTAATCCTTGGGCTTAATTCGATAAAACTGCTTAATGACAGAGTAGTTGGCACAACACAATTTTGGGTGAAAAGTGCGAGCAGGGTTAAAGGGGTATTCACGATTCTTTTCAGCTATATCTCAATAGGGAACTTGTGGGGAAAATGAGGGAGTAATTGAAAATTATTTTAAAATACAATGAGTGAAAAATAGTTTACACCGATTGAAAATATTGTAAAACATTTAGGTCCTAAGAAAACATCCCTCGACCTCGACGAGTTATTTCGGCAAAATGAGAGCCATCCATAAATTGACCAAGACTGCGATCATTGTAACGCCCCATGATGGCGCCGACGAGGTCCCGCTGCCACAGGGTGCCACATACTCGTCGCAGTGTTGCTTGTTGCCCAGGCAGGCGGCGTAGCGCACCACGTGCGCGATGTAGTGCTGCTCGTGGACTCCGTGGAAGAGGTGGGACATGGGTCCGTTGGCGTAGATGGCCACGTCCTCCCCGCCGTGGGATTCGGAATCGCGAGGGACGATGGCCGGTTGTATAAACCTCGGAGTTTCTTTTGGAAGAACAGAGAACAAAGCAACGTTACCACTACATAAAAATACCAATTTAACCAGAACTGTAGAACAAGTTCGAAATGATCTCTATGTGCAGTACAGTACTCTAGCCCCGATGCGAAATGAGTGACCTCGTGACGCAATTTTCCACGACTGCAATTTGGTAGCTGGTCAGTGGAGAAGATGCACGTGTTGTTGCGAGGGCCCAAGAAACAAGGCGATTGATTGCCAAAAAAAGTTCAGCTGTAGAACATTTTCACGAGTAAGAGTACGAGTGCAAATTATGAGTATATGTTTTTTTGTTTCTTTTCGTTTGAGTACGAGTACAAAAGAAGTGCTCCTGTATGTTTATGATTGTTTAAGTACTTCAGAACGAGTAGATGAACTAGAACACATGCCTTGGTGTAGCGTAAATATTTTGACAGGAATTTTTGCAATCCTTAATACGGATTGGGCAGTTTCGCTACCAGGAGTTTGACATGGAGAGTCCGTTTTTCCAGTTCATAATCGACAAAGCATGGTCAGTTGGAATGAGTGTCAGTAGACAAATTGAGCTAATATGTTATAGATTGGAGCATTGCGTTCACCACATTGATTAAACAAAACCCAAGTAAAGGACAAACACATCCTCGATCGAATCATATGCTTACGAAACTACTGACGGGGAAAGCTAAAAAAAAAAAAACTTAAATGTCCCGCGCTGCGAATTTGTCGACCATGTCCCACAATGCACTGGAAAAAAACTAACTCTCCGTGGCAAACTCTTGGTGACGCACTACATTGTGATTCGCCCCAATTGATCACCTGTGTCAGCGTCAGTGAGATTGCGTCTTTGGCCGAACATTTCGTAGCTGACTCGATCCGCAATGCCACCAGGTCCATTTGCGTAACCGATCGAAGTGAAAGGAAGACCGTCAGTCCCGACACCCAAATCGTACAAACCTGAAACAAACAACATTGTTTCGTTTTAAGTCACTGAACTATACACTACAAGGTGACCCCCAAAAAGTTGTGCAAGCAGACATCTTTAAACTTCTCAAAAAGTATCCAACACCAGCATTTCATGTTTATGGAGTATATTGTTGGTACTCTTGTGTATAGTCACAGCGAACACTTGAGCGATTTCCAATGCAATGTGTAATTCCCATTGGAATGGCTGAAAAACACATAGCCTTTTATAATCTGTTACATCTCCTGTTTTCACGAATGGGTTTCTATGACACTTTAACAAATTATACACAAGAGTATAATCAATATGCTCCATCAAAATGAAACACTCAGGTGAGGTACTTTTTGAGAAATTTAACGATACCTTCTTGCAAAACTTTTTGGGGGTCACCCTGTTGTTGACTTGCTGACAAGATGTCCTCCCATGGAAGTAGCCGGCCGCCATCTTGGCTCAACCATTCAAAAGCACGCGTGAAAAAAATATACAAGTTTCACGGATAGCTTGGTATGTAATGTCTTCATCACAGGAAGAGAAAATAATAATTGTAGTTTTCGCTCGACCTTTAAAATTGAAACAAGCTTACTCTTACGACTGGCAAACATCCATACAATAAATGATTATAGCGGGAATTTGTTGTCCTTAATGAAAAGAAAAATGTCGCAGATTGGTTGTATATTGACGTCTTGACGTGACGTTTTCCATATCTAAGATCATGGGGAATCATTTGCTTAATGACGCATACTTAATGGCAACTTACTGTCGCAGCAAGTCCAGTTAGCATGGAGGTCAGTGATGTGCAGTACGCTATAGTTTACGTTGCCAAAGAAGCAAAAGCGAGAATCAGAAGCAGAGTCGTATTTACCCAAAATAGGATTACCCCGACTGGGGTAGCCACCAAGTGTCATCACGTGACTGTGATCAGCTGTGACGATGATTAGCGTGTCCTCCTCATTGGTCAGTTCCATCGCCTTGGCAACAGCTGCATCGAAGGCCACGGTGTCGTTGAGGGCGTAGCCGGCGAAACCACCGTGATGAGCGTGGTCTATACGACCACCTTAGATTGATAAAAGTAAAAGAACAAAACAGAGGTGGTTTTTTTTCGTGTTGCAAAATATTTTCTTCATAATTCAGGGAAAGTCGTTATTGTTTAGCAAAGCGTTGTGCTTGTAAGCAAAATCGTCATTCCTGTTTGCAAAACCTTGTTCTTCTCGACACAGCTGTCAAGCCTGTTGGCAAAAATTACGTTTAATTGTAAAGAGAAAACTCTTCTTTTTGCCAAGCATAGCTGTCGTCTTACCATGAAAAATTGTAATTTTAAACGAAGAAACAGTCTTGTTACTAAAATCGTTGTTAGTCATTGTCAGCAAAATCGTGTAACAGCTGGCAAACGCTATTAACACGGACAGCGCCACCTATTTGGTGTAAAGGTCCGTTCACACAGCCGTATAGATACTATTAGATATACGCCTTCGTCGGTATGTCTTCAACAGCGCCCTTTCGTGTAAGATGATGCTACCTTCTCCTACAACAAAATAGTACGGTTCTTCATTCAATGTTGGTCGTACCTTCGACCATCAGGAAGAACCCGTCTGAGTCTTTCTGTAGGATCCGAATGGCCTTCTCTGTCATCTCGGCGATTGATGGTTCGTTGGTGCGCTCGGCTTCGTACTGCATGTGACTGGACTCGAACAGACCTACAGTACCAAAATGACCCGTGAGCCTTTGATTTGTTAGGATGTGATGGACACAATAGACGGACGCTATGGGTTAATTTGGGGAAACTGGGTTTTTCCCATGCACACAGAAAATAGCGCTTCCTGTTGCGTCCACCATATCTCAAAAAGGCTAATGTCAATGCTTGTTCCAAAAGAAAAAGTTCTTTAGTCTAGGGATTCCCTTTATACCAGAGTCATTTCCTTCCGTGTGGGAGGAACCTCTTAGGATCAAAGCCAGAGACAAATAACAAAAGGAGGCGACACAGCATTGTCCTTGCTGAATTTTGTGGCAGACGCATACGTATTTCCAGCCGTATCCATTCAATGTACGGTACACGTTGTGTGTGTGACACATAATAATAATGCAATGCACTGATGGAACACGTGCGGCAGGATTCACGACTAGCACTCAAAAACTCGATTTTTGAAAGTCAAAATTTTCACCGCCGAAAGTAGATATTTCAAGAGTAACACAAAACGCACAGGTTTCAAAGGATGGTTGTGAGGACGTTTATCCCTCTTTTAAATGCTCCTTCAAATTAACACCATTTCGTTTAAAATGCGTTTTGTAGCTTAATTGGGCGCTTTTCATGTCGTCATGTCCCTTTAAATGCGTGTGTATATACTCAAGTGATTCTTAAAAGGTCAAGAGGTGATCTGCATAACAATGTAAATATAAAATTTATTAAAAAAACGCAGGTCAGTTGACATATAAAAGCAAAACGCACATGTCGTGAAGTCGCAAAAGTTAACTTCGCTTCACAGGTATGATTTGTTTCATAAACAAATTGCACAGCTCGTAAGATTGGGATCTGTTCATAAGAAAATCAAGAAGCTTACTTTATAGCTGAAACCACGAGTGTTATCAGGTGGTTGCAATTCCTTTTTTTTTTTAAATGAGCTGTGGCCTCGATCTGGCGAGGTTCTCCGAGCCTTTTTTGCCTTCTTGTCCAGTCTCTTTTCAAGGGGTCCGCGTGAGGCCAAACATTTTGGACTTTGATTTCAGAGACACTCACCTAGCAGATACTCCGTGTTCTCCGGGTCCACCTCATTGAACCGGTCCAGATTCCACACGAAGTGACTTGTTTGAGCGTCTTTACTTGCCAACCATTCATCTATCGAGACCAGACAAATATATGAAGATAATTCAACGCGGGAGGGGGGGGGGAAAGAGGTCCCTATTGATCAAAATTGTATACCATTCTTTACAGTGTTATTTCAAGTTATTTGTAGAGTTATTACGGTGAAAATTGCAGATTTTGAATTTCGTTGTATCGTGTGTACAAGAACAAGACCCAACAGCAGAACAATACTGAGTTCTTCACATTCAAAAAAATAATTCCTTGTGTTTCGTTTTAATTTTCCAAGCAATCCCCTTGCCACACGTTTCAATAATTTTTTCGTGTGATCCTTTTACTTTCCAACTCTATTTTTCGGTATCACATACGGAATATAATGTGCTTGACCGGTTTTAAACAAGGCCGTTTAAGACCGGCGTGGGGAATGGACGCTGATGATAATAACCCGAGCCGAAGGCAAGAGACGTTTTCGGCGACCAGGCCCCTCGCCAGTCTTAAACTGATTTGTTTAATACCGGCCAAACACATATATAATCCCTTGCATAAATACATTTTTCGCTCAAAAAGTCGAAACTTTTTTTTCCAAACACCCCTCTAGCTATGTAATGGTATGTGCCTCTCGCAAGTAGTCATAAACAACCCCAACCTCGTCCCCAGTGCTTACTTTATTTCCAACAAAGTTTCCAATATTAAGCCCTGGATAGGAAACTTTCTTCCTGTATCCTGATTCGATACCGCAATTGGCCAGAAATGGATTAATATCGTGTACTTGGTGTTATTATTCACAACGTGCAGTACGTGTTTTCGCAATCATTTGTCCATGCCTTCTGAAAAATATTAATTTTCTTTCCAATTTGTTCATATTAATATGAAATGTGATACTGCATGTTGTCTAGATAAGATCGTAACAGTTTAATTAAAATAAAATCGTGTTTTCGTAACTCACACCATGCTCGCGCTGTGACGAATTGATTCTGTTTTTACCCCAGACACCGCATACAGACTAGTCCTCATTTGCATACGTGTTCAAAAATCTTGCACATGCAAATGATCCAATACCAGGGTGAGAGAGCAGCTAGTGGTGGGCGAGTACTGCTCGACAGGCTGGGGACGAGGTTGTAAACAACCCCTACCTGGTTCTGAATGACGTCACACTTCGGTATTCTATGAAGATTTGTTCGCACGTGGCGTGTACGGCGCACGTGGCGCGTAATGCGCGATGTGGCGCAGAACGCGGCGGTGCCGGTGTTTTGTGTATTTGGAACTCTTAAAACACGGAGTCATTGGTATTATTATTGCGCATAAGGGAATATTGTGAATGTTCAACCAATTAAAGGGTAAAAGGGGCCAACCTAAAGGAGTCCAAATTTCGTGTGACACCGAAAAAGTTTTTAAAACCTTTTAAGCTTAAGACCAGGCAAAAGTCGGACTCTAAAACAATAGGGATGGGTAAACTGTCTTCGGTATTTATGAAAATTAAATTAACCCGTGATTTTTTGCTTCAAATAGGAGTCAGTGAAGTTTTCATATCTAATCCCCGCCTTCTGTTGAGCATTACCTACGAGATTCCTGCCGTCTGTGCGCTGGCCAGTCAGGGCGGGGTACTCGTAGTCCGTAAAATTGTCCGGTATCATCTCCCGTCGACCACCGCCCATGATGACCTGAAAGGGTGTTAATAATTTAATTTTAAAAAAAGTTTTGAAGACAACGACTTATACACGGGGTGCATAGGACTAGGGATACGCCTGTATGGGTATAAAACATAACACAGCAGCGTGAATGTTGATGGCAGAAAGGTCATTGACAGCGCCATCAGACGGTGACCTCAGTATGATGTGAACAAAGCTATAGCGTCTTCGCTCAAGACAGTGAAAAATGTCATCAGCAATGCCTTCGAGTTTCACTCTAAGTGGTCTCCGCAAACTCTCCCTTCCTCACCGTTAAATTAGTAGAATAAACACTTACTTGTGAAAAGTGCGCCCTCCTAAAAATCTATTTAAAAAAAGAAGAAAGAAAAAAAGAATCTCATACCTTGATGTTTTGGCCCAGTGTGACCAGTTGGTGTGCGATGTCCGTACACCCAAGCGCCGCCTCTGCCGCCGGGATATCCGCGTTGTTCTCCCAGCCACGGTCCGGCGAATGCGCGTACAAACACGCCGGTGTAGCGTGAGTCACGCGGGCAGTGGTGACGAACCCCGTCGCCTTGCCTGGAATGACCAAGTAACAAAAGGGTACTTCTGTGGAAGTCACGCATGCACCCTCTCTTCACACACTGAAAAGGTAGCTACGGAAGCCTTTGTGGGTACATTCCAGACCCTCTAGTCCAAATAATATTCTGTGGGACTGTCACTAAGTTCCAAAGGGCCCCCTCCATATCTCACCCTTTTGAAAGAGAATGAAGAGCGTTACGGTGAGATAACGGCGTGTACCCCGTAAAGTGTTTTTTTAATTCAACTCAAGAAGACATCAACGTTATACTCCTTAACATCAATAAATAAAAGAAATCTTGTACATAGCAAGATAACAAATTTTGTAAATATGTCACACACACACAAAAATGTAACAAAAGTAAAATACGCATAATGATAAACTGACTTTGGTTTATGTACCGGTACAAGACAAAATAAGGAGTATGGGGTTGTTACAGTAAGCCGAGGCTTGTAAGAACCAACCCTTACAGACAACAATAACAACAACAAAAATAACACTATGAGGAGACACGGACGAGACAGACAAGACAAAAGTGACATGACGAAAGCTGTCGGCCAAAAAAATTCAGGAATGCAAAAATTGTAGAAGTACAAAATGATTATACATCGTATTCCGGGCAAAACGCGCACGAACCAGTCTGTCCTCGCGCGCGCACGGGCCATATCTTTCACTCACTGCTGCTTCTAAAACACAGTTTTGTGGCCCTTTTCAGTATATTTTAAATATTTAAGCCCAAAATGATCCTTTGCGTGTCAATAATGAGTTCGATATCCTTTCAATGAGACGATGGCCGATGAATGAAAGATGTTTGTTTTATAGCACCTTCTTTTTCTGCATCTGTCATGACCGAGTCCACGGCAGCATTCAGGCTGGACTGACAGTCTCCTTCTACGGCCTGGTCGTCCACTCCGATCATCTGCGCTTTGGTCTTGACGCCGCAGAAGAACGCCGTGGCTGTGCCGGCTGAGTCCGGCACTTGACGGTTGGTGTTGTAGGTCTGTCATAGGGTAAAAGAACGGACTAAATCACCGCTAATGGGGATTGATAAGGAACAAATGAGGAGAAGTCAATCGCCTTAGACATCGACACTGTGATCGATACTCTTATTATCATCTGTCATCTAATTGTCACAGATTTTCTATTCACTTTGTTTTATAATACAGTTGCAAATATTAGTAATATTCTATTTAGTTTGCTTTTTAGTTATTGTTCATTGAAATTGGGTATTTTATGATATCGTCAATCAAACATTGTTTATGTTTAGTCTTTTGACTTTTGTTAACGTTTGATCCTGATCAAATGAATAAATGAATCCTTGTCATCCGTTCTTGTCGTTGTCATCTGTCGACAGTGCCGGTATTTGTGTTATCAATTCAGTACGTGCAATCCAAAACATCATCACCAACCGCAGCACTGAATGTGAACTAAAATTGTAAACGTATGGCCAAAGTAACATAGATTGCACATTGGCTAAAGAAGATCACAGTCATTTTCACTGTTGTTGTTAATGTCGTCGGCAATGTCATCGTCGTGTATTATCAGTGGAGATAAAGTACTCCAAACAGCACTTGTTGCCGAACCTTTGACAGGGCGACACTGGGGAACTTCTCCCAGGACAAGACCGTCTCCTCCCCAGTCATGCCGGCCTGCTGACCCTTCATGATCCGGGCTGCCGTCACGGTGGAGACGCCCATACCGTCCCCGAGGAAGAACACGATGTTCTTGGCCACGTTGCGGTTCAGGCTGGCTTCCCTCGTCAGGGCCTTCTGCAGCGTGTCCTGGGCCTGGTCGTTCCAGAACTGAGCATCTAAAGACAAATGAGGCGAACAAAATGAATAGCCACTGCCTGTTCTGAGTATCATCTGTTGCTCAACGGTTAACAGAGCCCTCTCCGTTGAACCAACGGCTGGTATTATGAACACACAATTTGTACCGGACCCCACACGCCAGCCAATCGGAGTCGACTTTTGAAATCGTGACCTTATTTCGAACAGGAAATGTGGGCTAAGCTATTGATTGGTCAATTTGGCCGCCATGTTTTGTAATGCAACAACGGGTCACATACCGAAAACCCGATGGAAGGCGCCCTCCTAATGATCAGAATCGCCAGGTCAAGACGCAGTCTAGTTTTATTAATCGCCAAACCCGCTTGTCGGGGGGAAATTCATGTCCAATATCTGGCTGTTCAGGTGGCAATTAATTTTTTTCTGCAACCAAGTAAAGTCATTGACCAGAATGCGCGTGCGTTAGTTGGTAACAGAATGGTTCTCAGGATTATTCTCCCTTAAAAACAATCCCCGAGCCACGAATGAGAAGAAAGGGTGACATTTATTTTATCAATCATCAGGACTTGATTAAACAAAATTTAGGGAAGAAAATTCACTTTTGGGGGAAAAAATTAAATGGCCAAATTCCCTCAACGACTCGAACCTTGAACCTGCAGCATCCAGACCAGCGACTTCACGCAACTTCTATAGTGAAACCTCGCTAATCGCCGTGGAATATAAGGTTGCAGACCAATAAATAGGCCCTAAATTGCCCACGCCGGCCAAATAGGAACTGCATGCTCTGACAGTCTTCAATATTATTTTGAGCATATTGTGGGCCATGAAGTTGAGGGCTTGTAAACAAAAATGCACAGGACTGTGAGCTTGTAGTTCTGTTCATTTTGGATGAAATTCGGGCCTGAAAGGCGCTCTATTTTGCAATGAAGTGTAGGCACCGTTTTTCAAAATGGCGATGGGCATCACGACTGATTTAAGGGGTGATCAGTTCTCAAAAACGCTGCAAGCAACCAATACCAGCGGCCAAGCAATTTGCCCCTTCCGTACAGGCACATTTTCAACGCATAACGGGCACTGAACTAGTTTAGATAATTACAAAGAACTATTAAGAACTATTAGATAACTACTGTTTACCCTTTAGATAGAAAGTGCGGTGAAACAAATCAATATTGGCACGCTGATGTTGAATATATAATTGATTCCACTGAGTACACAACGCCTTACACATGTGATCATCACAAGGAGTTCCATAAGCCACGCATTAAATAGGCCTAACGTATAACCAAGCGAGGGTACGTGACAAGATTATTACCACCGGGTCCAAAGTCGAGGTTCCAGCCGTTCAACCATGGCCACTGCCGGATCGGTTGTTGAACCAACGCCCTATACTATAGAGCTGCCAAAGGGCGTTCTTTTTTCGTCGTCGATAAACCTTCACCTCCCGGAATTAAAGGGGAGTATTTCTAAGAAGACAAAGAGGGTGCCTCTTTTCGGAAGGGCGTGACTCCCGTTTTGTTTGCACATTTGGGTGTTCTATCCGTAAACGGAAGTCTTAAAGCGAAACCAATACAATGTAACATTTTAGAACGCACACCCTAAATGAAATAGAAATCGCTTGCCACATTCGACGCAGAGTCGAGGCTCTAATTAGCCTGATATTTTTCGAGGTGAAAATGTCACATTTCTGGGTTCTCAAATGACACTTTTGCCGAGGTTCCTGGGTCCAAATTAAACGTATTGAGACAAAAAAAAAGGACCCAGGTTCCGCCACAAATCAGACGAAGGAGTGACTGTATGTAGATTGCAGTATATTGACGTATGATCAATTCCCCTTACACTTGGTGGTCCAAAAACACAGAACCTCATACTTCCACTACCCTGAGACTAAAACCACATACGATGCATGGAGAATCTTTTCAGAAGGAAAATGAAACAACAATCGCCCGATTATGTCCAGTGGTTTTTTGTTAAGTGAAGCAAGGTGGGGGTCATTTGTCCCGATGAATTACTTAACCGCGCCCGGCAATTTGACTTAGAGACTACATTGTAATTGATTGAGGGACTGTTATCTAATAGAAGTATCCTTCACAAAATAGGCTTTGCAGCAAAAACTACCAGACCGAATCGAGATCTCTTGGTATCATAATTCTTCTTATAGGTTTCTCCATCAATTGGTAAAGCTGGTTTGAGTCTCAAGGTAGAGGAAGTATGCGGTTACGGGTTTTATTTTTGGGGAGGGGGGGAGGGGGCACCCTGTATCGCCTACACTGCCGATAAAGCTTTTGGAATTAACGAGCCGAACCTTTCAATAAATCATACCAAATCGCAACTGGAAATAAGGTCATTTCAGATGAAGGAAGGTTTCGTTTTTAGGGAATCGATGAATGACGGACTAAGTATGTTAAGTTGATAGAAACGCAGACTTACTCTGAGCCAACGAGCCGGCAAAACCCAGACACAGAAGCAGCCAAATCATCGTCCGACCCGTGTATCGCTTAATCGGAATCGATTCTAAACAAGCACAAAGTTGAAAAAAGGTGTCTCCCAAAATTTGGTATAATCCAGTGATCCGAACTTGAAGACGTTGGTGAAGCTTCACCTTTGACATTTATTTTATCAATCATCAGGACTTGATTAAACAAAATTTAGGGAAGAAAATTCACTTTTGGGGGAAAAAATTAAATGGCCAAATTCCCTCAACGACTCGAACCTTGAACCTGCAGCATCCAGACCAGCGACTTCACGCAACTTCTATAGTGAAACCTCGCTAATCGCCGTGGAATATAAGGTTGCAGCCCAATAAATAGGCCCAAAATTGCCCACGCCGGCCAAAAAGGAACTGCATGCTCTGAAAATCTTCAATATTATTGTCAGCATGTTGTGGGCCATGAAGTTGAGGGCTTGTAAACAAAAATGCACAGGACTGTGAGCTTGTAGTTCTGTTCATTTTGGATGAAATTCGGGCCTGAAAGGTGCTCTATTTTGCAATGAAGTGTAGGCACCGTTTTTCAAAATGGCGATGGGCATCACGACTGATTTAAGGGGTGATCAGTTCTCAAAAACGCTGCAAGCAACCAATACCAGCGGCCAAGCAATTTGCCCCTTCCGTACAGGCACATTTTCAACGCGTAACGGGCACTGCACTAGTTTAGATAATTATGAATAACCATTAAGAACTATTAGATAACTACTGTTTACCCTTTAGATAGAAAGTGCGGTGAAACAAATCAATATTGGCACGCTGATGTTGAATATATAATTGATTCCACTGAGTACACAACGCCTTACACATGTGATCATCACAAGGAGTTCCATAAGCCACGCATTAAATAGGCCTAACGTATAACCAAGCGAGGGTACGTGACAAGATTATTACCACCGGGTCCAAAGTCGAGGTTCCAGCCGTTCAACCATGGCCACTGCCGGATCGGTTGTTGAACCAACGCCCTATACTAGAGAGCTGCCAAAGGGCGTTCTTTTTTCGTCGTCGATAAACCTTCACCTCCCGGAATTAAAGGGGAGTATTTCTAAGAAGACAAAGAGGGTGCCTCTTTTCGGAAGGGCGTGACTCCCGTTTTGTTTGCACATTTGGGTGTTCTATCCGTAAACGGAAGTCTTAAAGCGAAACCAATACAATGTAACATTTTAGAACGCACACCCTAAATGAAATAGAAATCGCTTGCCACATTCGACGCAGAGTCGAGGCTCTAATTAGCCTGATATTTTTCGGGGTGAAAATGTCACATTTCTGGGTTCTCAAATGACACTTTTGCCGAGGTTCCTGGGTCCAAATTAAATGTATTGAGACAAAAAAGGACCCAGGTTCCGCCACAAATCTGACGAAGGAGTGACTGTATGTAGATTGCAGTGTATTGACGTATGATCATTACACTTGGTGGTCCAAAAACACAGAACCTCATACTTCCACTACACTGAGACTCAAACCACATACGATGCATGGAGAATCTTTTCAGAAGGAAAATGAAACAACAATCGCCCGATTCGGTCCAGTGGTTTTTTGTTATGTGAAGCAAGGTGGGGGTCATTTGTCCGGATGAATTACTAAACCGCGCCCGGCAATCTGACTTAGGGCCTACATTGTAATTGATAGAGGAATTGTTATCTAATAGAAGTATCCTTCATAAACTAGGCTTTGCAGCAAAAACTACCAGACCGAATCGAGAACTCTTGGTATCATAATTCTTCTTATAGGTTTCTCCATCAATTGGTAAAGCTGATTTGAGTCTCAAGGTAGAGGAAGTATGCGGTTACGGGGTTTTTTTTTGGGGGGGGGGGAGGGGGCACCCTGTATCGCCTACACTGCCGATAAAGCTTTTGGAATTAACAAGCCGAACCTTTCAATAAATCATACCAAATCGCAACTGGAAATAAGGTCATTTCAGAGGAAGGAAGGTTTCGCTTTTAGAGAATCGATGAATGACGGACTAAGTATGTTAAGTTGATAGAAACGCAGACTTACTCTGAGCCAACGTGCAGCCGGCGAAACCCAGACACAGAAGCAGCCAAATCATCGTCCGACCCGTGTATCGCTTCATCGGAATCGATTCTAAACAAGCACAAAGTTGAGAAAAAAAAGGTGTCTCCCCAAAATCGGTATAATCCAGTGATCCGAACTTAAAGACGTTGGTGAAGCTTCACCGGACAAGTTGAGGTCGATCAGCCCACTGTAACTGCACGTTGACCTGCACCGGTACCAGTTTGTTATACCCTGTCTGAGTTACAACACCTCTGTTAATGTTATAAGCGGCTGATACTTTATCAATATCAATATATCTCTCATCTGGCAAACACGAGGCGATAAAACACTAGTTGGGCCTTGATAGGAAACCCAAAGTCAATACTGGGCCCCTTTTTTTGTAAAAGCTCCTTGCAAGAACAAGAGAGGGCTTAATAACCACCTTTGATACCCCCCTGTATCCGGTTCGTTAGTGTGACGTCATCTCAATTCAACCATGCGTACTTTACACGGTGTAGCATATCACAACCTCGTCTCCATTACTTACTTTATTCCCAACCTCGATTCCAATAATAAGCCCTGGATAGGAAACTTTCTTCCTGTATCCTGATTCGATACCGCAATCGGCTAGTAATGGATTTATATCGTGTACTTGGTGTTGTTATTTCCAACGTGCTGTACGTGTTTTCACGATCATTGTAATTATAACGTCCACGCCTTCTCAAAAATACTCCTTTCCTTGCCAATTTACTCATATTAATATGAAATGTGATACTGCATATTGGCAGGATAAGATTATAACATTTTAACTTAAAAAACAATCGTGTTTTCGTAACTCACGGCGCGGCGAGTTGATGTTGTTTTTACCCTAGACACCGCATACAAAAACAAACGCCAAAGTAACGCACATGCAGGCACCAGACTATTCCTCATTTGCATACGTGCAAATGATCCAATACCCGGGTAAGAGAGGAGGTAGTGGTGGGCGCGTACTGCTCGACACCCTGGGGACGAGGTTGGCGTTAGTCTACAACGAACAACTTATAGGTAGATTGTGTTCATGCATGGGGGAAAGTGTCGATCACAATCGCTCCGAAAGAACAAAAACGAAAGTTTTTTGTCCACAACTATGGTGAAAAACCAAAAAGGTACCAGGCGCCATCAAGAGGCGACGACTGGTTCTATTTTATAAATAAAATGTTCTTTCCTTTGTAGCCAACGAACTAGAAACAGGTTTAGACCACATCTGCAATTATAAAGGAACATTTTATCTACAATACTCATTTAATCAGCCGCATACAAAGTTAACATAAATCCATTGGGTTGTTGGACACGTTGGCTTGGCTTGAAAATAGTCCATTTAAATAACTATTTCTATTTGGCACAAGAAAATGAGTTTACAACGTTACAAAGATACTATGTCATGTAGGCACTAGTTGAATAAGAATGCTTTTAAATTATTACCCGTTATTAAATAATTGCATAATCTTATTGGTAAAGTATGGTAAAGCACTGCTAGTACAAAGAACTGCTAACCATCCATTCATTGTGAGCATAGGAAGGTTGCAAAAGGTTTCAAAAGGAATAATAATGTATTGACCATTTACTTTCTGTCGCTGGCGTCAAATTCTAGTCAATTAACCGCTAAAAATACGTGAAAATAAGATCTTGCCGAGAATTCACGCGATTTTGCAGGTTAAAGTCTTTTTTTATATGATTTTCTGATTCTTTTTTGTTTCATACGACAATTAATAATATGAGTGGTTCTTATAACTTGCATTTGGTGGGGGAGTGTGGGCTAGTAGTATGGCCTTTCTGACTCATGATCTGACGGTCATGGGTTCGAATCCAGCTGCTAGCCATATGTTGTGTCCTTGGGCAAGCCACTTCATCCGCACTTGTCCTCTCTCCACCCAGGAGTATAAACGGGTACCGGCATTAGCTGGGGAGCAACCTGCGATGGACTAGCATCCCTTCCAGGGGAGCAGACATAGTGCCAGTTATGTATTTCGTACCACTGAAACCGGAGATAAACACCAGCCTAGTGGGCCACAATGGCTCGTGCCAGACTTCACTTCTTCTTTTTTACTTAGGCCTATATAACTTGGTTCCTTTGTTAATTCGATAAAGCTGCTTAATAACCAATTACACACAACACACAATTTCAGATGAATGTAGCACTCATATTGACCTGATACACCGTGCCCTCTGGAGACGTGCACACAATAAGGAACAAAAGATTGTATACGTATCCACAGGGCAATTTCTATAGATGAATACCAAGGTTTTCACGAAATAGATATATGTATTTTACTCAAAAACTAGGAATTTCCAAGGTGGGTTGATCCGTCGCAAATGGAAGAGTTTTAGAAAAGGGATATTAAGTCCGAATTTCAGCCCAGGAAATTAAGTCTGGTTAATATAAGAGCATTTTGAAACTTCACTTTCAAACTCGAAAACTTTACTACACGAGAATAAAGAAATGTCTCCACAGGGTTACAAATTTCAGTATGTGTGAGTTAATGAAAAATAGTTTTCACCGATTAAAAACATTGTGAAACATTTAGGTCTCAGGAAAACATCCCTAGTCGAGCTATTTCGGCAAAACAAGGGCCAGCCATAAGTTAAGCAAGACCGTGATCATTGTAACGCCACCTGATGGCACCGACGAGGCCCCGCTGCCACAGGGTGCCACGTACTCGTCGCAGTGTTGCCTGTTGCCCAGGCAGGCGGCGTAGCGCACCACGTGCGCGATGTAGTTCTGCTCGTGGACTCCGTGGAAGAGGTGGGACATGGGTCCGTTGGCGTAGATGGCCACATCCTCGCCGCCGTGGGTCTCGGATTCGCGCGGGACGATGCCCGGTTGTGTAAACCTCGGATTTTCTTAGGGAGGAGGAGAGAACAAAGCAACGTCACAACAAAATAAGAAGACTAAATCGACAAATGTTAAGCTAAGGAGTTCGGCATTCTCTCGGAATTTAAAATTCCTATAAAACTCAAGTCAGAATTGTACGGAAGCCTTTCGTGCCAGATTTTAAAAGTATAACAAAACAAAATATGTAAATGGGTAGAAAATCCCCAATGTTTCCTTAGATTCGTGAAATAACACTCGTCATGCAATCTCCAGTCATTCCTTTAGGTCTTTGGTCCCATTTATTATTTGTTATCCACTAACCCTCTTTACAAATCCAGGATTTTTTAAAAAGATTTTGCACCATTTTGTATGTGCGAATATGCTACATGTAGACAAATTGGGACACTGTCTCTGAACGAAGTTCCACATTTCAACAGAACATTTTTGTTAGTACGATCGCGAATGTGAATACAGGTTTTTTTTCTTCTTTTGAGCACGAGTACAGAAGAAGTACTCGCGTATGATTACGATAAAAGTACTTGAGAACGAGTTGGAGTACTAAACACTTAACTTGGTGTAACTATTTTGACAAGCATTTAGTAAGCCTTAATTTGGATTATATAATTTCCCCCAGAAATAAAAAATAATGGCGAATGCAGCTGCAATTGATCACCTGTGTCGTTGTCAGTGAGGTTGCGTCTTCGGCCGAACAACTTGTAGCTGACTTGTTCAGCAATGCCACCAGGTCCATTTGTGTAACCAATCGAAGTGAAAGGAAGATCGTCTTCCGCGCTGCTCAAATCGACTAAACCTGAAACAAGCAAAATCGAGCTCTAAAGATTTGGGGCTAATAATAGTTTAGGCGCTTCTTAACAGTTATCAGAAAAGTTGTCCCTACTATAGAAGAAAATCGTACTAACCCAAAGGGTGCAGGCCAGTAAATAGACCCGAAATTGCCTATGACGGCCAAATTTCAATTGGCACGCCCTCAATTGTTTTGCTATTAAAGCATTTTGTGGGCCATGAACTTGACGGTTTGTAAAAAAAAAAAAAAGTGTAAAAGGTTAACAGCCATGAACATGACTGCGGACTCGTATTTCTGTGAAATTAGGATGAAATTGGGCCTAAAATTGCTCTATTTTACAATAGTGTTTTTCAAAATGGCGATGGGCTTCAGTACTCATTTGGGTGGAATTTTGGAACAGAATTTTTTAGGAACAAAAAATGAATGATAAGGAAATTATCATTCATGCATGTCAATTTACATACATCCCTATATTGTTAATTCGTTTTGCTGAAAGAACACTTACCTTTCTTGCGATCCGTGGACAGAAGTTTAAAACGGTGTTTGTGTTAAAAAATTCCTCGAGTTATTTGAATAATTCTTGCACTAAAAGAAAGCTTATGAATTGGGCTTTCATATCCTAGATTTTAAAAGTGCTACCTGCAGAACTTCACTAAAACAATTTGGTCCCGACATTTGGGTGTCGTGTTTTTTTTTATTTTTTTTGTTTTTTTTATTCAGGCTGTACACTGCAATTTCCATTGACTTTCATACTGCAAAATGTACTGTTCAAAAACAAAGAAGCAAAAAGGAAAATCGAAAGCCAAGAGCCGTATTTACCTAAAATAGGGTTACCACGGCTTTGGTAGCCACCGAGAGTCATCACGTGACTGTGATCAGCTGTGACGATGATTAGCGTGTCTTCCTCATTGGTCAATTCCACCGCCTTGGCAACAGCTGCATCAAAGGCCACGGTATCGTTGAGGGCGTTGCCGGCGAAACCATCGTGGTGGGCGTGGTCTATACGACCGGCTGAGATTGGTGCAAACACGAAAGGTAAAATAACCAGCAGGTGTTTTTTTCCCGTGATTCAGGGGCAGTCGTTATTGTCAGCAAAGCGTTGTGCTTGTCGGCAAACTCGACGTTAGTAAGGGGAGTCTTCTTTTTTGTGTGCCAAACTTGACGTTTATAATTATCAGCAAGTCTTTTTGCGCAACGACACTGTAATTTTTAACGAAGAAATTATAGTCTTCTTGTTGCAAAAAAGGTCGTCCGTCATTATCAGGAAAATCGTGTAACAAATGAAAGCGATTAACATGGACAACGCCACCTAGTGGTGTAAAGTCCCGTTTACACAATTGCATATACGCCTTCGTTTGTATGCCTTCAGCAGCGCCCTTTCGTGTCAGATGATGCTACCTTCTCCTACTACAAAATAGTACGGTTCTTCATTCAATGTTGGTCGTACCTTCGACCATCAGGAAGAACCCGTCTGTGTCTTTCTGTAGGATCCGAATGGCCTTCTCTGTCATCTCAGCGATGGATGGTTCGTTGGTGCGCTCACCTTCGTACTGCATGTGACTGGACTCGAACAGACCTAAAGCAACAAATAAAGCAGGAGACGTGAGCCCTTTCAGGTTAGGATGGACACAATAGTACGGGCGCTATTTGGTATTGATCAATTTCAGGAAATGAGTTTTCCCATGCACACAGTGCAGAAAATAGCGTCTCCTTTTGTGTTCACCATAATTCAAAAGGCTAATGTCAATACTTGTTCCAAAAGACCACGTATTGCCATCAGCTGGGTAGTCACGTTGGCATAGCGGTACTTTCCTCACCTTTCACAGCTGTGACCCGGGTTCGAATCCCAACTTGGCCAACATGGGTTTTCAGTCCCTACCTGATTTTGTGGGTTTCCCCCTGAATATTCTTCTTTGGTTTTCCTCCATCTAAAACTCTTAATTCTCACATTGTCTTTTCTTTACTGGGCCCCATGGGAGACCATTGGATTTCACTGAATGGGCTACCCAGTGACATTAGAAGGGAAAAAAAGTGGGGAAAAGGCAGGCGACATAACTTTGTCCTTGCTGAACAATATTATGAGGGACGAATCTTAAACTTAACGCCACTCATCGCTACCTAATTTCTTCCCAGAAGCCACTAAGTTAGTCGTCCATGCTGTATCTGGATGACATGTTTATGAAGACAGCTAGACCCAATTTTGTATAATTAAGAGTGTGTGGGGGTGTCTTCACTAAAGTGAATTCTACAAATCTCAAAATAATGGTGATCCGCCTAATAATTAAAAAAAAAAAAAAAAAAACTTGGACAGGTCGGTTGTTATCAATTAAAAAATACACATTTCATGAAATTTAATTATGTAAAAAATGTTATTTGCACGTAACAGGTATTAGTTTTTTAAATTTCTTAATCAAATCGCACAACTCGTAAGATCTATTCATTACAAAATCAAGAGGTTCACTTCAATTCCATAGCTGAAACCGCAAGTGCAGTCAGGTGATTGCAATTCCTAGCATCATTAAAAAGCGATCTGTGGTTCGGATCTGGTGAGTTTCTTCAAAGCCTGTTCCCCTTTTGCCCAGTCTCTCTTCAAGGGGATGGGGGAGGCCAAACTATGACCTATGGTTCACCGAAGACACTCACCTAGCAGATACTCCGTGTTCTCCGGGTCCACCTCATTGAACTGATCCAGATTCCACACGAAGTGACTTGTTTGAGCGTCTTTACTTGCCAACCATTCATCTGTCAAAACCAGACAAATGCATGAAGACAATTTTAGTCTGGAGAAACAAAATGAAGTCTTAAGTTGATTAAGATGACGTCCGATTCTTCGAGTGGCGCTCAATGTATCCTGGGAGGACCACGTAACCAATGACGACCTATATGGCGACCTCCGGAGGCAAACTCGCAGTCCGTCGGCTGTGGTTAGCAGGCCACTGTTACCTGCACCCGGAGTTGGAGGCACGCAAAGTCATTCTCTGGAAACCAACCCGCGGGCACAGGAGACGAGGAAGATCGAAAATGTCTTACACCGGGGTGCTGCAAAAAGACACCGGTGTAGAATCAACAGACAAACTGGCCACCCTCATGCAAGACCGAATTACTTGGAAAAGCCATACTCGAGCCCGCCTGTGGGCGACCGAGTGAGTGTGAGTGAGTGAGTGTGAGTGAGTGAGTGTTCCTGCTATTACAATCACGTGAATTATACATTTTGCATTTCGTCATATTGTGTTGCAACACATATCGAATTATAAAGGAACAATCGTACCTAATATAACCGAACAATGCTGTGTTCATTATCTAAAATATTGAATCCTTGTGTATCGTTTCTCCCGACTTTTCAAACATTTTTCCTTGTCTCTCGCCAGACTAAAACTGGAGACCATTTCCTTTTCCAACTCTCTGTTTCTGTAAAAGTAATACAAGACAGTGACGTTTCTCTTTAATTAGGAATCAGTTGAGTGTGTTTGTCTAATCCCCTGCCTTCTCTTGAACATTACCTACGAGATTCCTGCCGTCTGTGCGCTGGCCAGTCAGGGCGGAGTACTCGTAGTCAGTAAAATTGTCCGGTAGCATCTCCCGTCGACCACCGCCCATAATGACCTGAAAAAAGTGTATGTAAACAAACTCTGTTTGGTATAGAGGCCAAAATCGTATACCAATGGACGACAGCGTGCAATGGGCTATATTGGATTTTCGTGTACGTTTTTGTCGGAGAAACAGCAGGGTGAGTTTTGATGGCACAGAAGTCACGGACGGCGCCATGGGCCGGTGACACAAAGAAAGTTAAAAGGGGTCGTGGATAGTATGGTCACACCAAATCTCGTTAGGGAATGCCGTCTGCAACCTAGACTTCATTATCTTGGATCAGGACCACAATTAATACTTTTGTGGACGCAATAATAATTAGCGCCCTCATATTGTGTCAACAATATTTCCCACAGAAAGGGATGGAATCCGTGCGCCAACAAAAGAGGGCACCCTTTTACCTAACAACGACGTCTCATGGACGGGACACATATATTTCGCTAGTTGACGCGCGCGCACCGTTCCTTGTGTGTGACGCACGTACACCAGGGGATTTTTACTATGTAGGCCGCGCCTACACGCTGCAGTGGCCGCGCTTCGTGGCAAAATATTGCAGTCAGGCAAGATGGTGTCGTTCGGTCACCTCAAACTGTACTTTCTTTGCCGGTGAGGGGGTACGTGTGAACGGATAGTTATACGTACTTTAATGTTTTGTCCCAGCGTGACCAGTTGGTGTGCAATGTCCGTACACCCAAGCGCCGCCTCTGCCTCCGGGACATCCGCGTTGTTCTCCCAGTTCCGGTCCGGAGAGTGTGCGTACAAACACGCCGGAGTAGCGTGCGTCACGCGGGCAGTGGTGACGAACCCCGTCGCCTTGCCTAGAGAATGACCAACAACAAAATGTTTAGGATTATATGGACTCCATTCACGAGGTACATGTACACCCTCCACGTTTGAAAAGAGATTGAAGGGCACAATGAGTTGCATTAAGTCCGCAGCGGGGAGGGGGGGCATTGTTTTCTTCTGCAGGCTAGTCAAGTCATTTGCCTTAATACTCTTGCTTGAGAAATATCACGTGAGTGAGTAAAATATTATGTGATTGAACTTCAAATAGTTTAGATCCAAAGGCGGTAAGCGTGGTCTGTGGCCCGTTAGGACACAACGGGGGTCCAAATGCTACGGTTTCGAGTCACTTAGTTGTTCATTGTTATTTAATTAAAATGTGACTTTTCTTTCTTTCAATCATATCTTATACTAATCGAATAAATGTATGCTTGACCGGTTTTATATACTATGTTTAAGACCGGATGGAGTCTGGATGCTGATATCAACAATTATACATTTCCAACGATTTTGTTCAACAATTCTAGGCCTACTTCATGTTTTCGAAACAACCCTCTAGTCATATTATGTTTTTTTCCCTCTCGCGAGTAACTAGTAAACAACTCCTTTTATGGAGATTGGCGCGCGCGTTGCGCGTACCGCGCGGTAGCACCGAACGCAGCTGTGCCGGTGTAGTGTGAATTTTATGTTGTGTGAATTTATGACTTTGAAATACTGACTCACTGGTAGTATTGCGCATGCCTACGTGAGGATTGTGAAGGTTCAACCAATAAAATGGTATAAGGCACCGGATTTCACAAGAGTCAAAATTTCATGTGACACTGAAAAAAGAGTTTAATTAAGACCAGCCAGCTGGTCTTAATCAACCGTTAAATACCGGCCAAAAAAGAAAGTCTCCCTTTATACTTTTTTGTCTAACTCAACAACTTCTGGGCACATCTTGCTCAAATTACAACTGATCAGTGGAGAAATTCCTTAGCAATCCAGCCATACTCTTCGTTTGGCCGAAAACAGTGATAATGTGTACAAAATGATGCAATTTAAACAAGTGGTTCCGAAAAAAGTTGCACTTTTGTTCACTAGCAAGGTGAGTGTGAACCGCAACATGCACGTATACAAAGCGCAACTGTTTTCGGTATCATTATTCATAAATTGCACAAATTCGTACACATTTTTGCCGTTTTGGGCCAAATAAAGAGTATGGCTGGATTGCTAAGGAATGTCTGCACTAATCACGCAATATAAGCAAGATGTGCCCAGTAGGTTTTGAGTTAGACATAAAAGTATTGGAAGGGGAGACTTTTTTTTTTTTTGGTTCAGTGTAGTCCTTGGCTGTATTGGTTTCATGAAAAAATTGCCTGCGGGAAACTGCTGCACGTTTGTACATTCAAGCACAACTTGCTGAACCGGGTACCCGCGCAAACCATGTGTGAAAAAATCAAGGGCGGATCCAGGGGGGGGGGGCAAAGGGGGCCATGCCCCCCCCCCCCCACAAAAAAAACGAAACAATTTTTTTTTTTTATGTGACATCGCAATAAAGGCAGACAATGAATACACCACCATCTTTTCCTCAAAAAAACATAGGTTAAAGTGGTCAGAAATTGCCTCAGATCGCACCACAGAGCATCTAGAATCCAAAAATTCTTCGGGGCCCTTAAGCGGGCCGTAATTTTTTTACCCACTTTCTTGGGGGACCAACATTTGTTTGAGCCCCCCCAAAAAAATGTGTTCTGGATCCGCCCTTGTTGTACATCACCTTCTTTTTCTGCATCTGTCATGACCGAGTCCACTGCAGCATTCAGGCTGGACTGACAGTCTCCCAATACGGCCTGGTCGTCCACTCCGATCATCTCCTCCTTGGTCTTGACGCCGCAGAAGTACGCTGTGGCTGTGCCGGCTGAGTCCGGCACTTGACGGTTGGTGTTGTAGGTCTACCGTATTAAAGCCAAAAGAAAAACAAAATGATTATGTTACGTCACGATGGAAGACTCAAAGAATGTGGAGAGGTCAATCACGTTTGTCACTGTGGTCTTTACTGCCAGCATCATCCGCCATCTTCATCACCCATTCTTGTCACTGTCATCTTTCGACTGGGTCGTTGTCGGTGTCATCAAGAATTAACAATTCAAAACATTGTCATTAACCCCAGCATTGTGTGCGGAGTTTATACCTGTAAAGGTATAACGAAAGTAACGTGGATCACACATGGACGAATGAGGATCACATCACTGTTGCTGCTAATGTCGTCAACAGTTTCTCTGTCACCATCGATGTTTTCTTTCGTGCTGTTTGACACTGCCCCTTTAAGGCCAGGGCCGATTTCCTTGCGCTGCTCCACGTTTACGTTAGCACAAAACGTTGAACTTCCTATACTAGGAAATAAAATACTAACCCTAAAGCACTATTTAACGGAGTGGACGTGCTAACGGTTGCTCGCGCAGTGAGATTTCTATTTGTATGTCCATATAATAGTTTCAGCTTGATATTTGGCAACAGAAGTAGCTGTAATGATGTGCATCGGTCGGGTTGACCAGGTCAAACCGACCCGAAGCATTAAAGATATAAACCGAATCCGAACCGAAACCAATCTTAACTGTATCAAACCGACCCGACCCGACCCGACAAAAAAATAAGGTAAAACAGAGCCGAACCGACCCGAACCCGAATCGACCCGAAAAATCCCGAATACCTGGCGTGGACAAAGTGAACATTTTTTTATGCCTTTACCCACGTTGCGTGAATTATTTTGCAAAACCATCGTCTCTCTCTCATACTCAGTACTCCGCTTATTGACAAACGCAAAACGCCTGGTATTACCACGCAGTCTCATGGAAACTGTTACAATCTATCTATTTTACTGTCAGTCCCCATCCGACTGGAGAAATTAATACCATGGGAACTTGATAGTGCGCACGTTGGCTAAACCACAATGGGCTGCGGTCACAGTGATTGTCAATAATATAGCATCCCCTGAATATCTCAACTGTTTCGGTTTTTTCCGGTTTATTTCGGTTTATTTATTTTTTTTCAAAAGATGGCTAAACCGACCCGACCCGACCCCAAAAAGTAAATGCAAAACCGAAACCGACCCGATCCAACTGAAAAGATGGACAAACTGACCTGACCCGACCCGAAGTCGGTTTCGGGTCGGGTCGGTTTCGGATTTCGGGTCGGGTTTGCACATCATTATTACGGTGTCCTTGGAACAGACGGAGGTTGTGAGCAGAAGATCGTGTGCTTTAGGGTGCAACCAAGTAAATATGCCAAAAATCCGTCCGCCGAGCTCATGATACACATTCAAATTGCTCTATATTATTAGAGAGGTCCAAGAACCATAGAATTGGGAGATTGAAGACATTATGGCAATGCACCTTTGGCCTGGACTTGGGGCTTCCACTTTTGAGCATTTCGGATGCATTTGGATCCGAAAGTGTCGCTATTTAACCATGTTGTGGAGGGATCCTTTTTCAAAACGGCTACTTTTTCCAGTTTGGGAAATATCATTCGTTTTAGGGATGGCCTTCTTTGGGTGAGAATTTCTCCAAAAGTCATTGATCAAACCACCAAAAAAGGCATGAAAGGAAAATGAAAGACGGCTGTATTGATAATCATTATGTGCAGCCTAAACACCTGCGAAAATGCAGAGCATGTTTAAACAATTTGGAAGTATTGTGTCTGTAGGAATTTTATCTCCTTGGGAATTTATCTATTATTATACCCTTTAGCGCTTAGCACTGCTATGAAATTGAGCCCAGTACCGTTTGTTTGAAATCACGAATTGACCTCTTTATCTTATCTAAATTGTTGTTTGTCCACGACAATGGTACTATTTTTCAGCATTATGACAAAAAGTAAACAAAGAGGTGACGAGTTGTCAGCCTGTTCAAGTTAACAAAATGCCGAGTGAGTTTTGCACTTGAACAGGTGACCTTTGTTTAATGCTCAGCGGGAAGATCTTTGTTGCGATCTACAACGATAACATGTTTTATAGACCCTGCACATAAAAGGGCATAACGGCCTGAAATCACCGAAAAAAAAATGTTATGTTTTGGATTGTGTAGTTCATGGTTGAATGGAAACTAACCTAATGTCTTACCGTTTCTTGAGGAAAAACCCGGTTGTTTACATCGGTCGCGGTGGACATTTTCTATGGAATTGTCGATAGGACATGGTTAAAAATAAGTAATTCGTACGAACGAATTAGTTTTATTTTTAACCATGTCCTATCTACACTTCCATAAACACATCCATATAATTGAGATGAAAGGCGAGATAGTTAACTGCGACACTCGGCGTCCAAGTTAGAAAGAAGGTATCAGTTTGTTTTGTCTGCGGTGATAATTATTCCAACAACGGATAGGCCTAAGGTTTGTTACCGAACCTTTGACAGGGCGACGCTGGAGAACTTCTCCCAGGACAAGACCGTCTCCTCCCCGGTCATGCCGGCCTGTTGCCCCTTCATGATCCGGGCTGCCGTCACGGTGGAGACGCCCATGCCGTCCCCGAGGAAGAACACGATGTTCTTGGCCACGTTGCGGTTCAGGCTGGCTTCCCTCGTCAGGGCCTTCTGCAGCGTGTCCTGGGCCTGGATGTTCCAGAACTGAGCATCTAAAGACAAATCCGACCAACAAAATCATAGGATCATAATCGCGCCCATATCCCACGCGTTCTTTCAGCCCACAATACAACATCATCCACCCCTGCAGCTCTCTCCTGAAGATGATCAGAACACACTAGTTGAAACGTCGAGTTTTACAACTAACTGGTTCTCTTTAAAATCACAATTCTTCTCGAAAGATTATTACACATAGAGTTAATACCATAAAGCAAACAAGTATACACTACCACCAGGGGCGGCGGAACCGGGAGAGGGCGGGGCAATTTCCCCTTAGATTTACCCAAGTGCCCCTCGGACATAAATGTGCCCCCTCGAGCATTAATGTGAACCCCAAAATGGTATAGAGAGTTCTGATATGAACGAGGGATATGAAAACCAAGGCCCAAAACCCTTACAATGGGCCCTGAAACTGGGCACATAATGCGTAGTTTCCATAATAGCAACTAAAATTTTCTTTCTTGATCTTCCCTTTTGGCATATCGCACACTGTTAAAAGTGCCCGTAATTCTACGGACCTCGTAAAGTGAAATATTCCGTATTTTCGGCGTAAATTTACGGACTTTCCGTAAATGCAAATACTAATTATGCTAATTAGCGTGATTACAATCAACCACATCGGCCAAAACACCTACACATAATATGATACATCTAAGTAGGTTTTGTTATTTCACCCACAACCGTGTACATATGTCCAAACTCAATGTTAAGGGTCTGTTTATTTTACGGAATGAAAAAAACTTTCCCCGGAAATTTTGCTGCAGGAAAACGGAACGCTATTTTCGTGCTGGCAGCAAAATTTCCGGAAAAGTTGTTTCATTCCGTATAATAAACAGACCCTTATAAAATTATCCCGAAAATACATAATGTTTCACTTTACGGAGTCCGTAAATTTACGAGCACAGTGCACGCGATATTGGGCCCGTTGAACATCGACCCGCATTAACCATCCTGTCAGTCGACGAAATTTTAGTATAATTCTTAAGAACTAATAGATAACCAATGAATAATTAATTTCAGTTGAACAGTTGAACTGAAACAAATCAGATTTAGTGCGATGATACTGCGTCTATATTTATTGATTCAACTGAGTACGTACAGAAACCAGCAACATTGTGATCACGCGTGGGACTCCATTACTCATGCATCGCAGGCATATGCACAACCATGCAAGCAAGGGCGTGTGACAATATTGCGACTTTCGGGTCCAAAGTCAAGGTTCCGGCCACTATGGTCACTGCCGGTTCGGTTATTGCACCAAGGGAGTTGCCAAGTTTATTTTGTAGCCGATAAACCTTCAACTCCGGGAAATTCAAGCGGAAGAGTTGATTATTAAGCCAAACCCTGTTTTATAATAATAATTATAATAATTTATAATAATAATTTGGGAGGCTTATCATCCTTACTCGCAGCTGGTATGCTGAGTTGCGAAGGACGCGGCTACAACGTGCTCGGGCTGCTGGCACGTAAAGGCGCCTATGGCTGCCAGCCATATCGACCCATTATATGACCACGGAGCACAGCCTGAGATCGAAAGTGTTTTAGTTGAAGATGGATCTCCCAAAAGACTCGATCCACTAAAAAATTTTTACCCCAGCAAGGGTGAAAACTGCCTTTTCCCATACTTGGGTTGTCCTAAACCCTATTGTTTGGGTTAGAATTTGTGTTAAATTCAACCAAAACTTGTGGTCATACCAGAAGAAATTTAATTTGGTCTTGTATGATCATAAGTTTTGGGCAATTGAATAGAAATTCTAGCCCAAACATGGGTAAAGGACAATCCCATTTTTGGTAGTTGCAGTTTTCACCTTTGCTTGGGTAATATTAACCCAAGCAATTTTTCAGTGTGGGCGTCTATATATTTCGGGAGGAGTGCGCCTCACCCCCTCCCTCCATTTATTACCCTAGCAGCTTTAAAGCCGGTATTTTATTTTAGAACGAGGTCTACCGTGATGTACTTGGTACTTGGTACTTGGTTGGTTCTTCTCCTAAATACTCTGCTGTAGAGTTTCATCAGGAGACCAGAAACACCGGGGCAAACCCCTTCTCTAAGCGAAGAGTGTTACTGGGTTCTTTTACGCGCATATTGCATTACACAACACACGGGACCTACGGTATAACGTCCCATCCGAAGGACCCTGGTTAAGTGCCTCTCTTAAGAGCACAAAATTAATGTCCAGACCCGGATGTAGATTATATGGGCCCTAATCATTTTCCACATTACATTCCATAATGAAGGTAACAAATCCAGCATTGTGATAATCACCAAAACCTAAAGCCAGATCCTTTCAGATGAATTGAAAGATATTATTTTCATTGGAATTCGCATTTTGATAATGATTGAATGGTGGATTTCAAGTACATGTATTTAAAAAAGAACCGCAACCTTACTCTGAGCCCACGTGCAGCCGGCAAAAGCCAGACACAGAAGGAGCCAAATCATCGTCCAGCCCGTGAATCGCATGATCGGAATCGATACTAAACAAGCAAGAAGTTGAGAAAAAGCGTCTGCCCAAGTTTGGAAACCAGCCCGCGATTCGAACTTCACCGGACAAGTTGAGGTCGATCAGCCCACTGTAACTGCACGTTGACCTGTGTCGGTACCAGTTTATTATACCTTGTGTAAGTTACAACATCTCTGTTATCAGTGACTACACTTTTGTTCAACTTCACGCTATCCCTCATCTAACTTGCAAACATGACGCGATAAAACACTCGTTGATCCTTGATACGAAAGCTAGAGTCAACAATGGTGCTCTTTTTTATATTGGCTTAAAGGATCTCCTGCGGTTTAGTTTTGGTTGGCATGGGCGTCGCAAGGGGGGGGCATGGGAAAAGCAAAAAAAAAGGAAAAAATGGAAAAAAGACAGAAAAAGAAGCGCGAAGTCATATTGATATTAATTTTATTGGGGGGGGGGGGCAAATGTCCCTGCCCATCCTCGAAAAATGATAAATCGAGAATATGCTGAAAAAGTACAGGGATTTCTGGAGGGAAACGTGCTTTGCCCCCCTCTAGAAAAATCCCAGCGACGCCCAGGTTGGAAAAATATTTTCTATTCCTTTCAGGTTTAGAGTCCGGGGAGAATGTGCTACAAAGGGAAATTATTTACTCTGCAAATACAGGTTACAGACCAAAAGGTTTATAATCATTTTATTTGTGGAAACATAATCTCCTTTTTTTTTCCTAATGCCTGTTTTCGTGTCTCGTAGAGGTTTCCCCTTTTTGCATGAATAGTATTAGTTTCATTGTTGTATTCTCTAAAGTATTGTTTCATCATGCCATCAGTCAAGCCCTCGTATTTGTTTTTATGAGTGCATTTTGTGGGCCATGAACTGGAGGGTTTGTACGAAAACAAATGTGGAAGCTGTGAATAGGACTGCGAGCTCGTATTTCTGTGGCAAAAAGTGTGGAAAATGGTCTGTTTGGACCGGGACTGCACTCTCGCCAAGTTTTTCTCCGCGTTTACACAAGTCACTGTTGAGGGAGAGAAAAACAATATTTTGTCTAAATCTTCGGTCTAGTTTGTCTATTTTTCATGATTAATCACCTGGCCACCGTGCAATTTAATGCATTATATAATTTTTGAGATAGTTTGTCGACCATGACTATCGTTTCCGAGCAAAAAGTGTGGAAATTGGTCTGTTTGGACTGGGACTGCACTCTCGCCAAGTTTTTCTCCGCGTTTACACAAGACACTGTTGAGGGAGAAAAAAACAATATTTTGTCTAAATCTTCAGTCTAGTTTGTCTATTTGTCATGATAAATCACCTGGCCGCAGTTCAATTTAATGCATTACTTAATTTTTGAGATAGTTTGTCGACCATGACTATCGTTTCCGAGCAAAAAGTGTGGAAATTGGTCTGTTTGGACTGGGACTGCACTCTCGCCAACTTTTTCTCCGCGTTAACACAAGACACTGTTGAGGGAGAGAAAACAATATTTTGTCTAAATCTTCTGTCTAGTTTGTCTATTTTTTATGATTAATCACCTGGCTACCGTTCAATTTAATGCATTACTTAAAATTCCATCCAAAGATGATCACCCTTAAGCAAGACTGAAGCCCATCGGTATTTTAAAAACGGATGCCTATACGTTCCATTGCACCATAGCGCCATTTTAGAGCCTTTCATCCACATTTCACACTAATTAATACGATGCTCAGTTTGCAGTCCTCTACACGGCTTACACCCTTCAGGGTTTTTTTGAGGAATCCTCAAGGTCATGGCCAACAATATGCTCAAATACTGAAGAATTTAAGGGCATACAAATCGTGATTTGGTCGGCGTAGGCAATTTCGGACCGGTTCACTGGCCTGCACCCCAACGTTGAGAAATGAAGCCCGCCATCTGTCGTTAACGCCAATGTCACAGCGCCAAAGAGTGCCGCCCACCGTAGCCTTAATGTGAAACTCTTTTCTAGTTGTCACCAAACACAAGGCCTCATTCACACGTCAAACGAAAGCTCCAAATCTATCATTCTCCCGTTCCGTTTGTCAGCAATAACAAGGATTTTCCCAACGACGAGTATGGGTCTAACAACGCGGCTTCTGGTCCCGGTGGCTTGCGTCCTGTTCCTGGTCGGTGGCCGGGTCCAATCGCAGGGTGAGTTTCACTCCAACTATTTTTTTTATAGCTTCCTTCCCTGCATGGATCCAACATTTTTAAACTCATATCTTGTAGACCTATACCCACTTTTTTGACACGTTTAACTACGACATGTTTTCATTTAGATGTTTAAATTTTGACATGTTGCACTGGATAAACCGTTAAGCATTTATAATAATATAATAATAATAATTAACACTTATATAGCGCCCGGATCCATAATATGCTCTTAGGCGCTGTACTCATTAAAAAGATTTTAAAAATTGCAGCATAAATATGTTTAAAATGGTGAACATGTAGATCAATACATACAATTACATTACAAGTCCAGTGAGGAAAAATGGAAAAAAGTGAGGAAAAAAAAAAAGTGAGGAAAAATTAGCCATTAAGAAACCATACTTTTTCTTTTAGCATTTAGCCATTAATAACCGTTTTTGTGTGTGAATTTTTTGCATATTTCGAGAATCATTTACAGAAGTTGGAGCCAGACTTTAATGGAATTTCACTTATTTCAAGTTACATTAAGTAGAATGTACAAATGCAACGATAGGCCTAACCTACTTATTTTTCATGCCCACCCCCCCCCCCCCCCCCCCCGCACAAGATTAAAAGTGACCCCCCGGACCAAGCAAGTGGGGTTGCGAAATCCCCCTGCCCGGGACGCGTAATTTTGATTCCCAAGACGGTTGGAGCCAAGTCGTGAATAATTTAGTTATTTCGATAGGGCCAGTATGCTTTTTTTTCTCACAAATATCTTCAATGAGAAAGCCCCTAAATTGAACAGTGTCTTCCTAAAATGACACCACAGCAACAACGTTCTCGGTTGTTAATGTTTAAAGAAGTGCACTTTTCAATAAAATTCACCGAAAAGGAATGTCAAACAGTTTTCATACATTTAAGAACATTTAAAGTTCAATAAAATGTGTTCCTCAGAAAAAAAAACATCTCATGGACCCTTTAAGCGAACGTAGACTGTGCAGACAGTACGCGGCAAATTTGAGCCGGTGTCATATAAAAATCGGACTCTCATGAAAATCGGACTCTTTTTCCCCTTTTATTGGTAAAACCCTCTCACGTGACCGGTCCCCCTCCTAATTATCTATGCATGAGCATGCGCAGTACCCCCAATGAGTCCGTACTTCATAAAACCTAAATTCATGCTACTCCGGGTTCAACTTGCCGATCGTCTGCCAGGTATGTTGCGTCTGTAAGGGTTGTCGGCAACATTAGTTAAGAAACGTTAAGCGTTTCTTACGTCAATGTGAAAACTAGGCTTTACCGTCCGCGACTAACGAAAAGATAAAAAATAAAACATGGCAATGGATACTGACTTTACTTTTAACAGATGCCACATTTTGGAACGACCAGGCAAAACAGACGTTGCAGAGTGCCCTAAACCGCGAGCGCACGTTGAACAAGAACGTGGCTAAGAACGTGGTGTTCTTCCTAGGGGACGGCATGGGGGTGTCCACCGTGACTGCGGCGCGGATCCTGAAGGGGCAGAACATGGGCAACCCGGGGGAGGAGACGGTGCTAAAGTGGGAGGAATTCTCCAGCGTTGCCCTGTCGAAGGTAGGCGGACAAAAATACAGCTCTCTAAAACGTTCGGGTTATATTTTGACCCGGAATCCGAGTTCTTTTAGGCCTGACACGTTTCAGGGTCCAAATGACATTTTTCAGGGTCAAAATGACAATTCGTCACCGTTTTCACGAAGAGCCACATATCTCCAAAATTACAATTTTTTTCGATTTTGATTTTTTTCGACATTTCGCATTAAAACAATGTACTTAACCATTTTGACATGTTTCTGTAAGCAAAACATCATTAATTTCTAAGTTACATTAATGTTGCAAGGGGCAGAAATCTCGATAACTGCATTTTGCGTTTTCACGAAGAGCCACATACATTTTGGCCCTTTGAACGCGTACAAAACCCATTGCACGGAAATACGTAAAAGTAGGTCAAATGAGATTTGCGTTTTCACGAAGAGCCACATATCTTTGTTACATTTTCAGGCGCGCGCGCGTACTCACGCGCGCCTATGGAAATACACGTTGAACAGAAAGGGCCAATATGTCGGAAACGTGAATTTGCGTTTTCACAAAGAGCCACATATCTTTACTAATTAATTTCCACTAATTAACTGCTTTATTAAGTCTTATTACCGGGTTTATGTAAAACTTCAGCTCACGTAGAATCGTGTGATGGTTTTCTTGCTGCACAAAGTTGTTGCAAAGTAGTATTTCTTGCAGTTTTAAAATATGAGAAACTTCTTTTGTGATTATCTCGAAAACACTTTACTTCAAAATCAACATAATATATATAGTATGTGGCTGTTCGTGAAAACGGTGACGAATTGTCAGGGTCAAAAAGACCCGCAAAATGTGATAAAGAAATGTCGTTTTGACCCGGAAAAGTGTCAGTTTCCGGGTCAAATCAGACCCGGGAGTTTTTAGAGTGATAGGCCACACTTTTCTTTAGCAAACGAGGACGCTGCAACGATTACACATTTTGAACTGAGAAAACACACTCTAAAAACTCCCGGTCAGATTTGACCCGGATTCCGGATTCTATTTGGCCTGACACTTTTCCGGGTCAAAATGACACTTAATTTCCTGGTCAAAAGAACACTATTCCGGTCACAATGACCCGGAAAAGTGTCATTTTCGACCCGGAAAAGGGTTGAGCCCAAAAGAACAAGCATTTCGGGTTAATCTGACCCTGATGTTTTTAGAGTGTATTTACAGTTTGAGGCTTTGTGTGGTAAAACATCGGACTGATTCTCTCTACACTTAATCACGGTTGCTCTTTGGATATGACATGAGGTCGAGTTTCCAACGACCTTTTCTCTGTTTGTTCGTTTTGTCCCTATAGCTGTTTTCCCACAAACCCTGACCAGCAGTGGCCTCTTTACTGTGGACGTTCGTAATGCAAAAGACATATGGGTGTCATTATCAGCGTCCAGACTCCAAACCGGTTTTAAACATAGTGTTTAAAACCGGCCAAGCACATATTTTGTTCCTTCTCGTTAATAAGCACTCACGAGACGAGGCAGGATTTTTAGCTTCATGTTCTTTTTATCAATGACGGTTGCCGGACCTACGATATAATTTAAGAGACGTCTATATGGTTTATTAGGTCAGTGAACTAGACCACCAATTGGTGTGCTATAGGCATTTTGTATAAACATCCAGCGGAATATTTATGGGAGGCCAACTAGATCTGTAAAATACATGGTCTGTATAAAATCCAGTTTTCCAGTCACTTCTGTTTATATTTGGTCCAAATCTGAAGCTATGAAACAAGCCAGCATACACACACGCTTGACTTTCGTTAAAAAAAACCTTCTTCCAAACAATTTTTCGTTGAATAGGTAGTTCTACATGCTGAATACACGTGTTCGTCTATACAGTCCGCTCCACGAACTTACCATGTTTTCTGCCGTAGCCTTGATCTCACGTAACAAAGAAAGTCATATGAAATCCGCAGAATGATGTATGGAACCGAAACCAACCTGACTTTAGGCCTAGATGTATAATTGGGAATTATTGTTAACAAATACCAACAAAACACTTGCTCGAAAGCTACAAAATAGATGATGCACGACAGCTTTAACCTTTAAGGCCCCATGAGATGAATTTTTCTTTGGAACACATTTTTGTAACTTTCTACTCCTCTTAAATGTATGAGCACTATTTGACCTCCCTTCTTTAGTTAATTTTATTGAAAAGTGCACTTATTTAAATATTGAAAAATTTTCCGTGCTTTTCCAAACAACTGAGGTTGCTATTGCTGTGATGTAATTTTAGGAATTTGCTGTGATGTCATTTAGGGGCTTTTTCATTGCAAATATTTGTGAGAAAAGTTTGCTCATTGGCTTACTGCTGTGTACTGACACAACAACGAATCACCAAAGAAAAGAACATTCACGACAACAAAATCCCTACAATTCTGACGACTTTTCCTGCTGAAATAAATGTAACATTGACGTTTCTGCCTGAAATGAAATTACGCTTTTGCTCATGAATATGTAACTTTCTCATTAGGTAAAAACCAAAAAGGCACCAAAATTCCCTTGAAAGTGGCAAAACGAAAATTGAAAATCAGGTTATATGGAACACAATCTTGCTTTTTAAAGGAGTGCTTAAAAACCAATAACATTGCGTGGGCCCTTTAACCATTGGCCAGGCCAGACTGTACAATTTTTTTTTGGGGGGGGGCAAACTACGGGCAAACAAATCATTTTACGGTTGGGGGCAAGATGGGGGGCTTTTCAAAAACTCATAGTCACGTAATTATTTAGGTACACATAGCCGCGTTTTAGGACCATTCGCAGAGGGTTTCCAGTCATAAATATACAGTAAAATATCGACTTCGAGTCTCGTATTGTTTCGTTTACCTTACATTTTTCGCTTTTGTTCGATTTTGTTTGGAGAGGGGGCGGGGAATTGCCCCTTGCACTCCCCCCCCCCCGCCCCTAGCGTCGTCACTGACCTTAACCCTCAAGGTTTCTATCATTTGAAATTTGCAGAATCTTGTTGAATTGGGCATAGTTAATGGGGTTACCATTGTCAATTAAGAGTTACACCCTGACTTGAAAATACCTGAAATACACTACTGTATTTTTAGCTACATCAAGCCCCTTTTTGGTATTAAATCATCCTGTTTTCTGAAAAGTGTCCATCATGGAGTGTTTGCAGAATGTCCAAAAATGATCTGAAAAGTTGCCAACCTTCCCAAACTTTTGAAACCTTCCTTTCCGGCATGACCCATTTGAAAAGAGGGCACAGGCAATGTCTGTACAGCTTCAACGATTCCAATAGTTACCATGCGCATTGCTGACGATTCCCTCACCGTAGACTGGCTATATAAACTTACAATTTGAACAAGTGCGAGTGCACAATAAGCTTTGGTCCTTTCATATGCAACCCATACTTCAGATGTTTACCTAGATTTATAGCGATTTGTGATAAATATCACGTGACTAACATTACTGCACACATTTTACCTCCATTTACAAACTTTTCAAAAACATCTTTCCGAATCGCTAAAAGCAATTTTTGTTAAGTATTTTCATTGATTTTGTTTGCTTTTTTTGTAAATTAAAATCTGGTAGTTATATTTTGTGGGAAACTTAGGGAGCTTTTTGGTAAATTTTCCGGAGACAGACCGACCGACCGATCGACCGACCATACCACCGAGTGACATGTACAAGCTCCTGCCAGTCTGAGAGTTTAAAAACCGCAGATGCGGCAATGACGCACGTACGTGGCATGACATTCATTTTTGCCCTGCGGCAGGTCGCGATATTTTTTTAATCCGTGAGCGAGTGAAGCAATATATCACGAACAATTCAATAGTTTCAATGGAAAAAAATATGTTTATTCGTAAGAAAAGAACAATGACGCCAACACCATTGTAGCTACTCGGTCAACTACAGCACGAACGTCTGTCGTCTAGCCTGCCTAATCTTAGTAGTCTAGTCCATATTGGATAAAGCAACTATGGATCGAAAAATTCCTGGTTCAAATCCAGTACCGATGCCCATTTTTCATCGAGAAATTTTCTTCTGCAAATGATCTATCGTTGGGATAACTTTAGTTTTAAGGGGCAAAAAGAGCCCGAGAACCTGAGTGTCTTGCAGTGGTTCTATCGAAACTACTGATTTTTTTTCATGAATGGCTTCACCCACCTACGGAAAACAAAATATGTCGCCAGGCCAGAGGTCAATAATAAGTCATTTCGGTATACCAACTGCGCATGTGCGCATCATGATTTGACCATTTTTCTCTTTCGTGATAAACATTTCATCGTATGCGTGCAAAAGCATAGCGGGGTACCAGCAAAATTGAAGAGATCGTCGTGTTCTGAAATAACATTTTGCCAAAAAAAAAAACGTTTGAACATGCAGCGAAGTGTTTTTAGGTGTCTTGTGTGTCCAAATGTGTGTGCGAACGAAAGTTTCCATCTCTTTTCGATTGCACAAAAAATTACACAGAATGCAGATTCGGTTACCACGTCCCCCATGGCCTCGTGTGCATTTATCTGCCGCCTTTATCCCGAAAAATTCGTCAAATCTTGTTGTGTACCAGACTATTTTGAAATACCGAATTGACATATTATAAACATACGTCTGTAGTGACGTCTATAGGCCTATGACTTCAATCCAAAAAGAAAAGTAAAACCAAATTTCACGGCTTTGATTTCGTATTGAAAAGGATGAAATTTAACTAACTATGCCAGAATATCATGAGCAACGGTTAGCATATTTTACTGGCTGGCGGGGCCCAATTTCATGGCGCTGGTAACCACCGAATTCCGCGCTTATATGATCAATATGTGTGTTAAACCGCGCAAACAGAAAAATGTTGTGCTAACCCTGTAAGCAGTAAGCAAATAATCCTTAGTTACGGGATGTACGCATGCGCTGAAGCCAACATTCCTCGTTATCCCGTACTCTTTATATAGAGATCAGGGCCCAATTTCTTGGCTCTGCTAACCACAGAATTCCGTATTTACGATCACCATTTTGTGGTAACCGCCCTAGCATAACATTTCTGTGCCAATCCTGTAAGCACAGAAGCCCTAGTTATGGGATGTACGCATGCGCAGAAGCCACCAAAATTCCTCGCTTACGCGTGAAATACGCTCACCGTAGGCAAGGAATTTTCTCCTACAGTAAGCAGGGATTGTTCGCCTACGGTAAGCAGAGCCAAGAAATTGGGCCCACTGCATGGTACTTGAACTGATAACCCATTTTGTTAAGCAAAATAAGTTTCCTTGCTTAACGGCTCCATTTTTGTTCTAGATGCTCCGATCTGTGCTTGCATTGGAAGTACATGGGTTATCATGAGTGCTTAATTCAATGGTAAGCAGGTAAAATTGGCACTGCTGGTAACTTGTTTTGGTACGAATTCCATGTAGCCCTATGGAAATCACACAATCGCCGCCAAACTGATAACATTTCATCTCACATTGTGTTACAATAGAAGACAAATTCATTAGGCTTGGGAAAACTGAAAACATCTCAGGAAAAAGGTGTTTTCAGAGCACATTTTGGGTGCAAACATCGTCACGTTCGGAAAGCCGATCACGTAGGCAGCCATATTGAAGAATCTGGAAGTCTGCCGTGCGTATGACAATGCATTAGCCAACAACATTGCGGTACCTCATCATGAATCTTTAATTTCTCATGAATATTTAATTTATTAAATATTCATAAGTCTAATACTTTAACGGACACTTTAAATATATCAAATGATCTCAATGCCGGCAACGTAGCGCGCGTGGTGGAGCGGATAAGACTGGTGTATTTAATAATGACAGATTGAGAGCTCTCCAGGTTCGATTTCCATAGATGATCGTTAAGTAAATAACTGATTAATATGAGACAAACAGAAAGAAGGGAGGAGAGGGTGAGAGTCGAGGAGGGAAAGTAGAGAAAATAACGATACAGGATGTAACTTTTTGGCGCCTCAAAATTACATTGAAATAAGTGATGTCCGTAGATATGGATTTTTTTCAATTGTATTTCTTTTTTTATCTTTTCACTCCCAACACAGACCTACGGTGTGGACAAGCAAGTTGTATCCTCGGGCTCTTCAGCCACTGCGTTCTTCTGCGGCGTGAAGGCCAACAACAACATGTTTGGTCTGGACTCCAGAGGGCGAGATGGAGATTGCGCGTCTAGTATCGGTGCAGCAGTGGATTCCTTCCTGATCCTAGCCCATCGGGCAGGTAACCAACTTAGTCCCTTTTCCGGGGCCGATTGTAGCACCGTATAGCATTTAAAACTACTGAGGCAAAAATACCTCTGCTTTTTTTTTTTTTTTGAAGATTGCACTACTTTTGGACCGAGGGTATGTAAACTTGGTGTTTGAAAGCACATGAGCAAGAAAGTGTAATGACTTTTTGACATGTACTACAGTAGGCCAATAGAGAGCTTTGAAAGAACGCCCTCAATGTGGACAGGTTCATTTTGCTTTGTTTAAATTCAAAGAAAATTATGAATGTACACATTTTGTCCATTCATGCGTATCACAGACCATGGAGGAAGGGTTCTTTCACGACCCACCCCACATCCGGGTACCAAAAGTCAGCGTCGCCATTGAATAAGGTCCATATCACGGCACAGGTAGTGATCATTACGCAATTTTGATAAAGAAGTCGCAGTTACTTTACATGAAAATAATCCCTTCTGTCTATACTGAGTTTACAACGCACGAAGTGGTTGCTAACCAAACGCTTGCCTATGGTGGCCGACCACGCGGAAACCGGATTGCCTTTGGCCACGTGGTACTTTTACCTCATACAATCAGAACCTATCGCCTGCATGTCAAAAAAAAATGTTACTCATATATAACTCATATAGTGAGTTGTGCTTTCAAGTATACCAAATCTTGCTTGTGGTGGAAACAACTCATCGTGAAAACGCTTCCTTTTTTCGAAAGGAAAATCGACTGGTTTCGCTACCACGTCCCGTGTGACTCACGCTACACCGGCTGCTCTCTACGCCCACACCCCGAAGCGCTCCTGGGAAAACGACGGCGACATACCCACGGAGGAAGCGGCCAAGGGCTGCACGGACATCGGGGCGCAGCTTGTCGAGAACGGCCACGTGTTCGATGTAAGACTGGTTTCCTACAAAATTTGGATTCATATAAATCTAGACCCTTTTACCTGTACTACCGGTCTACACATATCGATGTGTTCACATTGTTCTGTGAACCGAGACATGCGCCGTGCCGCAGTGTATATAAGGTCAATGATTCGTATTTCGTTAGTCCGAAATTTTACATTTCACCGGCTCAAAATATCAGTCCAGAACCATTCACAAGAAATATAAATTTCATATCTCCCTGGATGAGCATTTTCACCAAGCAATTTTTTTATCAAATTTTTCGTAGTACTTGTGTTACCGTTACTTTGTCTTCCACCAATTATTTGTTTAGCTAAGTTTGCATTGGCCCATAAAGTCATCGAGGACAATTACCATAAAAATGTCCCTACAAATAACATATTTCACAGTACGTATAAACATTGCTTGTCCTTTGTGAGTTCATGCTAAAACTTTTCCCTCAGAAACATTATACAGTCCGTCCTCGTGGACACGAAACGAACAGTTTTGATATTGGTTTTTATATGCATGTACATGTGTACATGCATTCGGCGAGCGGTTCAGTAGGGACGAATACAGGCACGTCATCACTGTACACTAACAATTAGGTCCCCTTCAAATCCCGAATTCTCGAACTGTTTTTTTTTCTCAGGTGGTGTTAGGGGGCGGCCGCCGGGAGTTGACCGACACCAACGAGACGGACCCCGAGTACCCAGACGAGGTCGGACAGCGGACGGACGGCCGCAACATTATAGGTATTGAGACTCGACCAATATTGGTATCACCCCGCCGCACACGAGAGCTACGCGCTGAGCAAAGAGTCATTCGAGGCCGTTTGTTCAGCACGGAGCTCACAAAATATCACCGTGTACGGTGAATTTTGTTGAGTTTTCTGCCTCACGAGGCCGGGAGGAAAATATGTATCCTCGCGACCGGAAAACTCGGCAAAAGTTCACCGCACATACAACGGGGATTTGTGAGCTACGTGCTGAGCAAACGGCCTCGAATTACTGTTTGCTCAGCATGTTGCTCTCGTGTGCAGCGGGTTTAAGGGTGCAACCCTGCAAAAAAAATCCCATAGACACTTAGTCTAGTGCTAAATGCGCATACTTCAAAATTCTTTTAAAAATACTCAGAACTCTCATAGGTATTGAAGCTGCACAGAAAAATGATGATCAATGTGTCATATTTCATTTTCTTTTCATTTTTTGGTGGGTTGACCATTGTCTTTTCGAGATATTCTCACCCAAAGAAGACGACCCCTATTTTCCCCAAAGCGGAAAAGTAGCCATCTTGAAAAACGATCCCTCCACAACATGGCAAAATAGCGCCACTTACGAGCCCAATAGCATCCAAAATGCTCAGAATTGGAAGCCCAAAGTCCGGGCCAGAGGTTCATTACCATATCTCTTTCAGTGGGGGGGGGGGGGGGGGGGGCTTTGGAACGCTGGAACATTTCATGATAATTTTTGTTAGAAACTCAAAATCTCAGTGGGGGGGGGGGCGACTGGTAGCGACAAGGTTTCATCGCCCCCATCGCAACATGTATGACAACGCCATTGTTCAGAGGACAAACACAGTTTGGTATGAATTCTACCCAAAAAAAATACAAGATTGTAGAAATGTAATTTTTGCTATGTAGCAACATGTAAACCTACGTCACAAACCTTGTGAAATTACCTTCTCAATAACTTTGTGAAATACGATTGCCTGATAAGCGAGATGTGCTTACTTGATCAACCTCTGCCAATGTTCTCTCCCAAATGGGTCAGTAGGCTCTGTTCTGTTTACATTAATCGGTGTATTACAATTACCCAAGGCCCCCTTGAAAATTGAAATCACCTTAGAAAACATGAGGCTTGGCTATAATCATAAGTGACCGACTGTTGTTTCCACTCTTACAACTCAGAGGAATGGATGGGCAAGAAAGCAGCGGATCGCACCAAGTACGTCTGGAACCTTGAGCAATTCAACAACGCGGATCCGGCAGAAACAGATGCTCTTCTCGGTATGCTCAAACCATTCAAACAGAGTGGGTACGGGGAGACGCTATTTTCTATTAACCACTAAATGAGGTTGTTATTGATGTCAAGTTGTTTGCCTTTGACCTCAGGTCTGTTTGAGCCGAGTCACATGCACTTTGAGGTGGACCGCGCGGGTGATGAAGCTGGGGAGCCCTCTATCGCCGAGATGACGGCGAAGGCAATCAAGATACTGCAGAAGGACCCCCATGGCTACTTTCTCGTTATTGAAGGTATTCTTGTCAGAGTATTTGAGGAATTACTCTATAAACGGTATAACATCCGTAATGGAAGCCATAAAGTATTTGCAATTCTAATAATACTAACAACACCTGGAGGACGCAAAAGAGAGACGTCACTGGGCAACAGCGGCACGAGGAGTGGCAGCCACAGCGGACTTTCCTTGCCCCATCAATTCTGTGCAAAACGTCGTGCTTCCAGGATCGGCTTGTACAATCCACCCGAGGACGCCCAACAGATGAGTCGCACAGTAGCGTTGTCGTCGAACTCGACGGACTACCACGAATACTAACATAATAATAATCTGGTACTTTTAATATGTACCGCTTTATATCAAAGCGCTGCACAATTTATTATAAGCCCTGTTCATTAGGCCATTATACAGTCGAAAACCTTTATAACAAGGTCATTGGGATTCGACCAATTACCTTGTTATAACAGGTACCTTGTATTAACAGTATTGGAAAACAAAGGAAAACAGAGAAAACGAAAGATTTGGGACCTAACTTTTTGCTTGTTATAAACATAACGTTGTATTAACAGTGCTCTTCTTATCAGGGTTCGACCCAAGAACAATGACGCAATGTTCCCCGTCAGGGTTCGAACCCACGTATATACTATTGCACTTGAGTTTAGCACCTCAGCCGTCGGACCACGGCGCTCCACAATTTAAACTACCGGTTAATCCTTGTATAGTAGATTTAAGCGAAGTGAATGTTTCTACAGAAGTAGAGTCAGGGGTGACACTCTGTATATTGTAGTTGTGTTCAAAATTGTTCGTAAAATGTAAATATGTCTCGATCGATTTTTCTTTCTCCTCGACGCCCACAGGTGCCCGCATTGACCACGCCCACCATGGAAGCAATGCAGCACGAGCCCTGACGGACACTCTTGCGATGGAGGAAGCCGTGATCAAGGCAATGGAATTGACCAACGAGGAGGACACGTTGGTCATCGTAACTGCTGACCACAGCCACACTATGTCCTTCGGCGCTTACCCGCTGCGGGGCAACCCTATTCTAGGTAAATGATTGGAAGTGTTGTTTTGTGGTGGGATTGTTTTTGTTGATTTTGTTTCATGTCGCCGCTGTCGCTGTTGATGATGTTGTCGACTGTGCTGTTACTATTGTTACTGCTTTTGCTGTTGCATTTAAAATTGTTTCATATGTTGCTATACTGCTGCTGAGTTAATGGAGGCTGGAAGGCGAATATTGTTAAAACCGGCGCCGCTATTGTCGCTTTTATTACTGTAGTTTGAGTTTGTGGCCACGCTGTGTTGCCGTTGCATCTGAAGTTGTTTCCGCTACTTATACTACTCTTGATGTTGAATTTGAGGTTGTTACAGCTGTAGCTACATGCTGTTGCTGTTGGATTTGAACTTGTTTCAGCTGCTGCTACTGCTCTCGCTTGTTTTTATTTGGACTTGTTTCAGCTGTTGTCACTGCTGTTGCTGTCACATCTGAAGTTGTTTCAGCTTTTGCTACGTCTCTTACTGTTGCATTTGAAGTTGTTTCAGCTGTTGCTATACTGCTCTTGCTGTTGCATCGGAAGTTGTTTCAGCTCTTACCACTACTCTTGCTGTTGCATCGGAAGTTGTTTCAGCTCTTACCACTACTCTTGCTGTTGCATCTGAAGTTGTTTCAGCTCTTGCCACTGCTCTTGCTGTGGCATCTGAAGTTGTTTCAGCTTTCGCTACTGCTCTTGCTGTTGCATCTGAAGTTGTTTCAGCTCTTGCTACTGCTCTTGCTGTTGCATCTGAAGTTGTTTCAGCTCTTGCCACTGCCCTGTTGTTACTGTTGCATCTACAGTTGTTTCAGCTGTTGTCACTGCTCTTGCTGTTGCATCTGAAGTTGTTTCAGCTCTTGCCACTGCTGTTGCCTCTGAAGTTGTTTCAGTTGTTGTCCCTGCAGTTGTTGTTGAATTTGAAGTTGTTTCAGCTGTTGTCACTGCTCTTGCTGTTTCATTTGGACTTGTTTCAATGGATGGCTGGTGATGCAATTGTTGCTGCTGTTGCTTCTGTTTCCATACTGCTATTGCTACGTGTGTTGCTTATGATAACATCTTTGTTTTCGTATGGCAACATCTTTGTTGATGATGGCGATGCTTTTTCTGTTGTTGACACCGAATTGCCGCTACTGCAATTTGTTGCAACTATAGTTGCATTGATCATGAGTCAGATTGACTTTATGAACTGGTTGATTTGAATGTTCCTACTTCAGATGCTTCACTCTGATACACTGATCTTCACTTTCCTTCCAAGTAGATATGCAGATATAGGTATAATACTGAATTTACGTAAGTGAGACTGGTTTAATTTTAACTGTAGGATTATACGATGATGGTGAAGGCTCGGACGGTATGCCCTACACGACCCTGAACTATGCAGACGGGCCGGGCGGCGAGATAGAGAGAGACAGCTACAATGCTGTAGGGAGGAGACGAAACCTTACCAACGTGAACACAGGTAGTATATCAAGAGTTGTGCAAGGTGTATCAGAAAGGGTATTAAAAAGAACATGGTTTACAAGCTTCCCAGTGATACCTAACTTGTACCCCTTACATCATGGATGACTGAGCACCATTGATTTCAAAACAGAAGTAAATACCGTCTTTTTACAAGCTGGATTGGTTCTCCTAAGTGAGGATGAGTTGTCCAATACTGTAACCATGAACTGCATGCTTAAAGGGTAGGCACACACAGACCAAAGGGATGCACGATTGTTTTGCCAGATCAGGTTACCACCAAATCAGAGCAAATAAAAAGTGGTTTGAAGTCTTTTGTAAACGACACTTGAAGGGCAATTGACCAAGTTTAAATGTAACAGGAACATGAAAAGGGTGACACTGTTGACCTTAATGTATAGAACGACCAAATAATTATATTTAAACAAAGAAACAGAAGAGAGATTTTTGGAAAAAGAATCATCCGTTCATTGTTTGGTTATGTTTTCAGGTGACATTGACTTTAAACAGTCGGCCATCGTCCCGCGCAGTTCCGAGAGCCATGCCGGGGAGGACGTGGCCATCTACGCCAACGGACCCATGGCCCACCTCTTCCACGGAGTCCACGAGCAGAACTACATCGCACACGTGGTACGCTACGCCGCCTGTTTGGACTACAAGGAGCACTGTGACATGAGCAGCGCGCCCTCTCGCCATGGATTCAACCTGCGGCTGATATTGGTCACTGTATTCCTGAGCGTGCGTTTTTGGATTTAGAAAGTGACTCAGTTTCTCATGGGAATTTTTGTGGATCCGTATGATGTGCACCGAATACACAGAACTAAAAAGGAACATGTGAGAAAAATGTGTCATCGATTGACCAGCCTTCCTCAGTTGGAAATCGTGTACAAATCTATTGAAAGCAGTTGTACTGGGAGAAGAGTGTTATGTAGGAATTAAACAGAAGTTACCAAAGTTAAAGTGGGCTGTCCTTTGTATATTGGTACATAAATTCTCACCACTGGCCCTTTAGGTAGACACGTTTTGCTAAAAAAGGTTTACCTTTTCGGAGACAAGGTAGATCGAGAAATTAATTGAATGTCTCCCTATATATTATACTTGTTTAAAGCCAATTTCTTAGCATAAGTTTGCTGTCACAAATACAAATAGCCTAAATCGATTCCTTGTGTGATACCAAAACAAAAAGATTTACAAGTTTGGTGAGGGTAACTTTAGGTTAGGTTTAAATGTTATTCATAAATACCTGTAGACAGTTTATCCATTCCTATTGGTCGAGAGCCCGTCACGTGGCCGGTCTTAAACGGACGATACAGACATTGTATATGGAATCCCGCGTATTGTTAAGCGTTACATTGTCTTTTCGAAGCTGTCCCCCCTCCCACCCAATATTTTTGATTGTAGACCTATAACAGTTTCAGCAAAATTTCATATTACGTCTGGTATCCAGCGATCTATGACGTTGAATAAACCGAGTGATGGAACCGCTTATTTCAAAGAGGTCTCACCATTTTTTGTGAGCGTGTGATGGGTACTGGGCTTATGAAAGTGATTTGAAAAAAAAGTGGGGAAGGGGTTGATCCACGGTGTGTGGTAAAATAACTGACTGCATTAATTACACAATTTGGCTATGGGCAGAGATTGCAGGGAGGGGGACATTTTTTAACACGATTTTACTACTGTCATGGAAGAGGAGCGGGTCGGCTCCTGTCAAGGAGGACTCTACCTATGGTTGAGGGTGTGGACCTCTTGAAATAACATTCAAAAGCCTTGGATTAGTGGTGAATCTTGATAAGCCCATTTATTTAGATTAACTGGTGTTGTGACATCAATGGTATTGTAACAGCAAGAGTGATGATTAATGCATTGGTACAGGAAACTCAGCCAAAGAAATATTCCAGATACAAAAGAAAGAACGCCCCCGAGCCAGCGTGCTCTCACTCCCAGCCACCTACTGCAGTAAATAATATGGGTTCGAGTTGGTTACCTATGCACGATATGCACATTTCGTACCGTTTGGTTTAATCCAGCCATAAACTTACTATCAGCATACGGACCTGACGCCTATCACCCTCCAAAAAGGTTCAATTCTGCACACATAACGGCCAGCAACCATCAAGTTTTCTGACCTGGCAGCAGCTAACCAAAGCACTCGTTCTGAGTAAAGTTATTGCTCCGCAATGAAACGGTTTTAACTTTCAATGACAGTCAATTGATAATACAATTTACCTCTGAAACTATCCCAAAAAGAATCAATAATTAATTATGTCAACCAAAACCTCAGATTCAACAAGCATTTTTTTTAAATGTACACGAAAGCTTCGGAATCGGAAAGCGATCGGAAAGCGATCGGTTGGTGGTGTCCCCCCCCCCCCATCCCCCGACCCCGGCTACGCCACTGCGAAGAAGCACGGTTCAAACGTAATAACATGGTACTGTGACTGCAATTTCAGTGCGGGAAAGTAGGAAAATTCATTTAAACTTCATTGCACAGGCTAGAAAAGGCGTACAAGCTGTTGAAAATAAGCTGTTGACCTAATTGGTGATTTTTTTTGGTTTAATTTTTTTAATGAAATATAATTTACGGATCCTTCTTCTTGCCTTCAATGTGGCCTGGGGGAAATTGCAAAATTTCGCTTCTTTAAAAGGTGTAGACCAGTAAATAGGCCCAGAATTGCCTAGGCGGGCCAAATCACAATTTGTATGCCCTCATTTACTCTGTTTTTAGAGCATTTTGTGGACCATGAATTTGAGGGTTTGTAGGCAAAAAAAGATGGATGGTAGCCGTGCACCGGAGTGCGAGCTCGTATTTCTGTGAAATTTGGATGAAATTGGGCCCTAAAATTGCTCTAGTTTGCAATGGAGTGCAGGCATCATTTTCCAAAATGGCGATGGGTGTACAGGACTTCTTTTAGAGGTGATCATCTTGGGATGAAATTTTCTCCCAAAAGTCATGGGTTAACCCTCAAAAGATTGAACAGAAAATGAAAGATGTTGAGAAGAAGCTTTAATTTGATGTATGTCTCAAACACCTTGGAGTGTTGTGAGTATTTTTCCTGAATTTCGGAAGTGGGCGTATTAATCACTGGCAGTTTATTTACTAGTGTGCAACCATCGGGAACATGGAGAAATGAAGCCCGCCATCTGATGTTAACACTAAAGTCACAGCGCCAAATTCGTGTCACACACCGGTGGCTTTATGTGAAACTCTATTTTTAGTTGACACCAAACACAAGGCCTCATCACAGGTCCAACGAAAGCTCCAAATCCACAGTTATTTCTTCATGATCACTTTGCTAGCAGTCACAAGGATTTTCCCAACGACGAGTATGGGTCTAACAACGCGGCTTCTGGTCCCGGTGGCTTGCGTCCTGTTCCTGGTCGGAGGCCGGGTCCAATCGCAGGGTGAGTTTCTCTCCGAGTTGCTCACTTTTTAATCCTTTTGGGCCCGATTTCACGGCGCTGCTAAGCACACGCTTTTCTGCTAATAGAGCCTCTTTGTATTTCCCGGAGCACTCGGGTGCTATTAAAGAGGCAGATGTAATGCTTTTAAGAGTTCTGAGAGAAACCTCCCCGCAGGCAGTGGACGCAGGCGTTAGCATGATAACTTCGTAAAAAGGTTACGCTTATAGGATAAGCACCATTCTTCTGCATTAGTGTAAGCACAACTGTTCTGCTACTTTTAAAGGCATAAAGGGTCATTTGCATTTCATAATTTTTTTTTCGTTTCCAATAATAACACCACTCAAAATCCAAAGGAGAATGTAAAAACCTAACCAGTTGCAGGTCAGTGGGTGTAACACTTTTCGAGAAAACAGTGCAAAATTCCGAAAAAAAATCACGCACAACATTCTGATCACGAATCACGATTTCGTCAATAGCGCTCCTGTTTCCAAAAATCAGTCGATTGACTGATTATTGGAAATCACATATACATTTCCTGATTTCATGTACATAACGGCAAGCCAGACGAAATAACTAATCGAGGTGTTTAGCACCAGTACGATAAATCCAAGTAAGTTTTTCGGAAGCTAAGGTTACCTTGGGGATAAATGCAAATGACGTTTATTGCTTTGAGCGTTGCCATGAAATACATGTTACAGATCTAATAATAACGTAATAAATTGCTTGACCGGTTTTAAACACTATGTTTAAGACCGGTTGGTGTCTGGATGCTGATAATTACCCGCGACGGGCTCTCGACCAATAATGAATGGGTAAACCGTCTTGGGTATTTATTTATTTTATCTTCATCTTGTGCACCAATGAATGTCAAGCTGTTTGTTTGTCCTGCCGTCTGAGATATTGTCTCCATGGGCCGTTCTGTTAATGTTTAAGTTATAGTTTGTTTCAAGCTATAAATTACCTGACTGCTTCTAAAGATGTTTCACTGGCAAAGCGTCCATTGACTGTAGCAATGTCTAATGGAAATAATGGAAAAAGACCCCTCGAATCACTTCAAGGTGATATTGGAGGTTTCCAAGGTTAGGGGTTGTATTATTCAGTGTTTTCTCCCTTCGCAAACATGACCTGGCAAAGCGAATCCATGCAGTAGCCGATTCAGCAACACGAAACTTTACGTAATGACGCTGGCGTAACTCCACTTGCGCAACATTTTGTAGCGTTGTTCACGTTGTGCAGCACTTACTTATATGGTCTGCGACTTACGCATATAGATAAACAAAAAAGGCAATGGCTTTACTGACTTTATTTTGTACAGATGCCAAATTTTGGAATGACCAGGCTAAACAGACTTTGCAGAATGCCCTGAACCGCGAGCGCACGTTGAACAAGAACGTGGCTAAGAACGTGGTGTTCTTCCTAGGGGACGGCATGGGGATGTCCACCGTGACTGCGGCGCGGATCATGAAGGGGCAGAACATGGGCAACCCGGGGGAGGAGACGGTGCTGAAGTGGGAGGAATTCCCCAGCGTTGCCCTTTCCAAGGTAGGTGGACAAAAACAAAATACTAGGCCACATTTTCTTGGGCTGTAACCACGCCAGTTTCATGGTAAAAAAAATAGCGACGTTTACAATTTAGTAGCTTTGCTTCAATCTAACAATAATAATTTTTCAAAACAAAGATAAACCAAAGCAATACACTCTTATGAGATATGGAGTCCGGATTCTGATACTTTTCCGGGTTATGACATGACCTTCTATTTGAAAAAGGACCTTTCTCTGTTGGTCCGTGTTTTCCGGCCCTACTTTCCTGATTGACAGTAACCCTGACCAGCAGTGGCCTAGTTGTTGGGTCGACAGCTGTAAAACTGTATCGGATTAATGTCTGACCACCGTAGTGCGCTCCTATATGGGCAACTACTATATAATTGAAGAGACGTCTATATAGCAGACTTGCATGACTCGTGACTCGGACTCGGACCTGAGTCCGACTCGAGTCCCATTTTCCGAGTCACGATGACAAATGACTCGGGCTGTAGCGGCTGGCTTGCTTCCGATATGTTAATTTGGGAAATCAATTCATAGAAATAATTATGTACTCGGACTCGGACTCGAACTCGGACTCGGACTCGATGTTTGGTGATTCGAATACAAGTCCGCCAATTTGGGCTATAGACATGTTGTGTATACATATCCAGCGCCATTTGTATGGGTGCCCAACAAGGTCTGTAAATGACATCTAGCATTATTTGGTCCAAATCTGAAGCTAAACAAAATTGTTTGAATAGGTCGATCGTTCTACACGGTTACATGTACGTGTTCGTGCCGTCCCAGACACTACCTGACTCGGCCTTGATCCCTCGTACAAACAAGATGAAATCTGCAGAGATATATTTATGGAACTGAAAACAATTGAAACCCACCTGCAGGAAAGCTATAAAATTGTTCATGCACGACAGCTTTACCCCCTGAGCAGTGGGAAATATGTCTATTATTAAAGAAATGTAAAAAAAAAGTTTATGAGAAATATGAGACCTATAATTGTGTAGCACCTTTATAAGGGTTTACAAAGTGCTGCGGGGCATATCCTATTGTAGTCACTGCCAGAAACAGCGGGGCAAATCCCTTCTCTACAATTTTGGGGGCCAAGCGAGGGGCCAAAAAATAGGGGCAAAGAAAAAATCCGGTGGCGGGGCAACATAAGGAAAATAACCGGCCGTGAAAAAATTAAAACGGGGAAGGTTTGACATCATTAGGGCTTGGGGCGCTTTTCAAAAATTCATATACGTATTTATGTACAAAAAGCCGCGTTTTAGGACCAATTCCGAGACTTTCCAGTCTTACATACACAACAAAAAATTGACTTCTTGTATTTTTTACTTTTCTTTTACCTGAACATGTTTTCTTTCAATTGATTTTGTTTGATTTTATTGGGGTGAAACGCCCCCCTGCACCCCCCTCCCGGCCTTAGCGCCGCCAATGACCCTAACTCTCAAGTCTTCGATCATTTGAATTATGCAGAATCTTGCTGCACTGAGCATAGTTTAAGGTTAGAGGGTTTTGTTTTTTTACAGCACTCGACCTTTTAAACTTTTTCAGTGAAAAGTGCTTACTCGAAGCCAACCATTGTGCTAACAATGATTTTCACAATGGTTTGCTTACTTGGATGACGTCCATGACGATTTCGCAATTTCTATGGAGTTCCCCATCTTACGCCTTCGGCGCTATAAGATCTCTGGTTGTAACCCAATTATTTTATGATGTGCCCGTCACTTTAACAACTTAACAAACAAATTAGCGCAACACCCTGACCTGAAAATACCGGAAATATACTACCATATTTAAACATTTTTGTTAAATTGTCCTATTTCCTGAAAATATTCCGTCATGGAAGTGTTTGCCTGAAAAAGTGGCAACCTTCTCAAAAATTTGAAAACTTGGCCCGTTTGAAAAGAGGACACAGGCAATGTCTGTACAGTTTCAACAGTCCTAACAGGTTGCCATTCGCATTGCTGATGATTCCTTCCCCGTGCTTTGGCAATCAATTAAGATGAGCAGGTGCGGCAATAACGTACGAACGTGCGCATTAAAATATTCATTATGGCCCTGCAGTAGGCCGCGAAAAAAAATGCCGTAGGCGGATGAAGCACTATATCCTGAATAATTCAGTAGCTTCAATGGAAAGATTATGTCTATTCATAAGAAAAGTACAACGACGTCAACACCATTGCTGTTATTTGATCAACAGTTACAGTAAGAACGCCTGTCGTCAAGCCTGGCTAAGTACTAAGTAGTCCAGTCCATGTTTAACTATGGATCGACAAATCCCTTGAACAAATCCACTGATGCCCAATTGTCATTGACTATTTTACTTCTACAAATGTATCGTTAGTATGGTGATTCCATCGAAACTACTGATTTTTCGAATGAATGGCTTCACCCGCCTGTGGAACCCAAAATATGCCGCCAGGCCAGAATCAATAATATAATAAACAGACGTCTGTAGTGACGTTTACAACGCCTCAACCACAAATTCTGTGTCTTGAATGGCCGAGAGCGGGTCACATGGTATACAAATATTGAGTGGCTCAGCGTGGAATGGGAGGAATATTATCGCAAGGCAAAATCTGGACTTTTCCATTTCGCGAGGCGAAGCCGAGTGAACTGGAAAAGTTCCGATTTTATCGAGCGATAATATTCCTCCCATTTCACAATTTAAAGCCACTCAATTCTCGAAGGCGTCATTTGCTTCTCAAAAGTGGGGGTGGTACATACAGAAACTCATGTTTATCTTGATGGTTGGCACCGTGCTTCAGAACGACAGACTTTACAAGTACATTTTATGCGTAGGGCCAATGCATACATGCTGTACAGCGTCAGTTGGTGCATTCGAAATTTATGAGAGAGACCCTAAAACTGTTTTAAAAACTTTTCTCTGCGCGTGGGTGTGTCTGCATGGGTAGGCCTATGTGTTTCATGGCACATTGCGGTATTTTCGTAGGCCTTCCCCCTAGTTTTCGTAGGCCCCCAAATTTTTCGTAGGCCCTATAGGCACAGTGCCTACTGTGCATATTGGGTAATCCGGGCCTGTATGTACGCATGCGCAGAAGCCACAATTCCTCGTTAACCCGTGAAATATGCTTACAGTAAGCACGGAAATGTTTGCTACATAGTAAGCAAGGATTTGTTGGCTAACGGTATAAGCAGCGCCATGAATTTGGGCCCAGGATAATTTTTTATAAGGAAATGTAATCATTACATGGTATTTGAACTGCAGATTTTGTTAAGCAAAATAATTTCTGGGCTTAGCTCCGATCTGTGCTTGAATTTGAAGTACATTATGTTCAGGGGCGGCGGGACCGGAACGGGGGCGCCCCCCCCCCCGATTTTCCGGGGTCTACCCGATGTTCCCCACTACCGATGTTCTCCGAAATCCTTATAGGATTAGGGTTAGGATTAGGGTTGTAGGATAGGGATTTCGGAGAACATCGGTATTGGGAAACATCGGTATTGGGGAACATAGGTATGCACCCGATTTTCCCAGGCCGACAAAAGTGCCCCTCTCGCGGTCATAAATGTGCCCCCTCCCGATGAAAACAAACCTGCCCCTCAAACGCACACATGAAAGCATTATGATCGCGCTTAAAATTGTCTCCTCTCTTGTAATGCAAAAACTGCCCCTCAAATAATAATAATAAAAATAAAGAACATTTGTAAAGCGCCGGTATCCGCCTAAAAAAAAGGCGCTCATGTCGCTGGAGGAGAAAGTCAAGTTAGGATTATGTGTTGTGAGAGTAGGCTTGTTAAGGTGAGATTTTATGTTTGTCTTAAATGTTGTGATGGATTGAGATGATTTGATTCGATTTGATTTGATTTGAGATCGGATGATTTGAGATGATTTGGTTCCATACTCGGGCTGACGCTGCAGTAAAGGATCTGTCACCCCAAAGAGTGGAGGTCCTGGGCTCATGAAGCATCATGAGCTCACTGGAGCGGAGTCCGGTGCGTGCTGTTGAGTACGGGTGGATGAGCTCGATGAGATACTTCGGCGCATTGTTGTGGAGGATGTTGTACACGATTAGTCCAAGTTTGTATTTGATTCTGTATGATACTGGAAGCCAGTGGAGATCTGCTAACACGGGAGTGATGTGAGAATGTCTACAAGTGAGAGAGATTAGTCGCTGCAAACGGTTTAGTTGATTTAGGTTAATGCCATACAATACTGAATTGCCCATATCAATTTCGGATGTGATGAAAGCGTGAACAAGTATTTCAGTTGTGTGTTTGTCAAGATATTTTCGAATGTGTCCAAAGTTACGGATCGACATGCAGACTGATCTAGAAATTGATGTAAGGTGAGGTTCCATGGATAGAGATGAATCAAAGATAATGCCGAGATTGCTGACTTGATTAGATGGCAGGATGGTCGAATCACCAACCCTTATGGATGGAACATGAACTTTACACAAACTGCTGCTTTGAACCTATGATGATAAATTCGGTCTTTTCGTCGTTGAATTTGAGCCAGTTGTGAGTCATCCAAGAACGTACGTCATCAATGCATGTTTCCATCTGCTGGATTGCTGAATCGACCTTATATTGTTGAGGGTCTACTGACATATATAATTGGGTATCATCTGCATAACAATGATAGGATAGACCATGCTTTCGAGTGATTTCACCAAGTGGCATTGTACACAGAGAGAACATGACGGGCCCTAGGACTGATCCTTGAGGTAGCCCAAAATCAAGAGAGACAGTTGCCGACCTTGAATCATTGACCCGGACAAATTGAGATCGGTCATTAAGGTGTGATTTAAACCAGTCTAATGCAACTCCATCTATCCTAATACGAGTGCTGGGGCGGCTGAATAATGTGGCATGGTCAACTGTATCAAAAGCTGCTGGTAGGTCGAGCAGCACGAGCAATGATATCCTTAGCCTTGGTCAATGCTCTCGTCGTTATTCGTCCCGTACGCGGTCAATCGTCGGCATATATCCTCACGCGCTATGCACAGGCATGTAAAAATACAGCGCGAACAGCGACCTCACGCGGCCACTATTTTTATATGCAAATCAGTTGGGGACGATCGAGAGCCTTGGTTCAATCGTCGGCAAAAGCGTAATGTTTTTCTTTATTTTGCGCTGGATTTCTAGCGCACGACCTCGTATGCGAATACAGATAAGTGCAGGCGGGGCTAATATGTGGAGTGTCCAATCACACCTTGGTAAATCCGGACGTCATCAAATTATTTGCAGCTATACGCCTTTTGCGGACGTGACAGGAACCACAGTTGTGTGTATTGGTGCCTGTGGCAGGCAATTCTGTCCCCCCTGGTAAATGTGTCCCCCCCCCCCCCGGACAGATCTACCGGGTCGTGACCCGGTAAATCTGTCCGGGGGGACACTTTTACCTAGGTAAACCTGTCCCCCTCTAGGTAAATCTGTCCCCCTGCACGACGTTAAATGTGTCCCCCCTGGTAAATGTGTCCCCGTGCAACGTCACAAGTCTAGCACCCAGACTGTATATTAGTGAAGTTATTAACTGTTTTTGCTCGGCGCCTTGCTAAATTCGGGAATGGTGCTTACGTCATCGATCAAAGCACAACTCCCGTTTTGATGACGACTTCGGGAGCGAACGATTTGCATGGTGGGCGTGCGCGCGAGTGTACCGCACCTACGGGCCGCGGCCGGGGACGGGGACAACAGCTAGTGCACCAGCAGCAGGCCTGCGGCCCGGTGACCCGTGTCGCGTATAATTTTGCCAATTCTCCTCATTGGAGTCCGCCATTACAGTCACACGCATATCGGCGGCTGATGCGTGAGGGCGTGCTAGCGATAGGTTGAGTGTTACTACGCGCGCCTTCTGCAGAAACATAGATCGGTTGATTAACATCTAAACGTTAATTTCTTTTTGATAATTATTGATGAAGGGTGGAATAATCTAAAAATGTATACCCTGTGCGCTGAATTCATTATAATAACATCAATATAACAACTTATGCGTGCAAAACCAGGGGGGGGGGACAGAATTAACTGGAGGGGACAGAATTAACTGGAGGGGGACAGAATTAACGGGACAGGGGGGGACACTTTTACCTAGGTAATTCTGTCCCCCGGACACTTTTACCGGGGGACAGAATTACCGTCCACACCGTGTGCAGAGACACACAACGTGTACGTGTATGGATCATGTACGGTGCCACGTTTCACTATGCAAGTTTCCACGCAACGATCGACCAATAAGAAAACGACATTTAAGGTCAGCTAAGGCTATTAACATAATGAGCACCACCCCAAAAACCTCAAATGGACGATTGAACCAAGGCTCTCGATCGTCCCCAACTGATTTGCATATAAAAATAGTGGCCGCGTGAGGTCGCTGTTCGCGCTGTATTTGTACATGCATGTGCATAGCGCGTGAGGATTATATGCCGACGATTGACCGCGTACGGGACGAATAACGACGAGAGCATTGACCAAGGCTATGATATCCTGCGCTTGTCCATAGCCTGCGACAGGTCATTCTGGATTTTGAGGGTGGCAGACTCGACGCTGTGATTAGCACGGAAGGCAGATTGATGCTGGTCATGTAAAGATGAGAGTTGCATTAAGACTACCCTCTCAAGGGTTTTACTCAAAAAGGAAAGATTCGACATCGGTCTGTAATTCTTCGTTTCCTCAAAAACACAAATACTCCTCGCATATTAACAAGATGTGAATCTTCTCGAGATTGAAAACTATCCCTCGAAAGCACAATTTAGTGCCCCGCTCGCAACATTGAAACTGTGCCCCTCTGACGATGGAAAACTGGCCTGTAAAAAAAAATTATACGCGAATAAAATGGTCACTGAACTGACCATCAATGCAACAGTGCCCCTCTCAAGATTAAAACAAAATCATGGTGCCTTTGCATATGCCTAACTATAGTCAAAATTATCAAGGGTGGACCCAGAGAGGTTACTGCCGGGGGTGTGCCGGAGGCCGAAGGTCTCTCTCAAGTGAAACATTACCTTATTTGAGACCAATACGGCTATATTGAGACTACTTCAGGAATATGCCTACACTGTGATTTTTTTGAGTGAGGGAATTTAGATTTTTAAAATTTTTAACGCAAACATTTTTAAAAGTGTTGATCAATGTTGTTAGTAAATTGTGTTCCAGGTAACACGTATTCCTTGCAATGTGAACGAAAATAGTTTCAAAATGTTGTCCTCTTTCACACCAACGGAAGGTGCCTTTTTTCTGAGCAAGTGCCCCTTTTTGGTGATGCCCCCCCAGTTTGAAAAGCGTTCCACCGCTGCTGATTATGGTTAGCAGGTGCAAATTGACCCTGGTATGTTTTTTCTTCTTTTTACTCCAAACACAGACCTACAGTGTGGACAAGCAAGTTGGATCCTCGGGCTCTTCAGCCACTGCGTGCTTCTGTGGAGTGAAGGCCAACGACAACATGCTTGGTCTGGACTCCAGAGGGCGATATGGAGATTGCGCGTCCAGTATCGGTGCAGCCGTGGATTCCTTCCTGATTCTAGCCCATCGGGCAGGTAACCATTGAACTTACTTACTTTTCTGGGGCCTATTGTAGCACTGTATGCAGTTTAAAACTCCTAAGGCAAAATATACCTCTTTTTCCCCCCACGGGTAACTGACTCGACTCGAGTCACTGAGAGCGAATGACTCGACTCGACTCGAGTCCCTCATCAGAAGACCTGACTCGACTCAAGTCGACGGCTAATAACACTCGAGTCTCAAAACTGTGCGAAATTATCTTTTGCGGTTACTATTTAAATAGAACAAACTTATATTTCTTTGCGTAATTTGCGTTACCGTCAAGTTGTGGCCGCTTATTGCGTACAAATACACGCCATATCACGGACTTCCCCCTCGTGGTTTTAAAAGATAGCGCACAAACTACTATCCCGCTGAACCAATTCTTGGTTTCATCGTCGGCTTGGGCGATTTCTTAAGCCCTTGCTGGAACTACAGATAATATTGATGTCCTGCTTTCAAAAAAATAATATGTTACAGACAAAATATGACACTTGTAAACAAGTCTAGTAAACTTTCCTTATTTGCATAATTATGCATAAAAGCTCTGGCATTTTTGTTGCCTGAGGGCGCCGTTTGGTTGGGTGTGGTCAGCTCCTTGGACATGCATGACCATATGTACATGTGTATGTACATGTACATGTGCACACCGAAGGAACACAAGGCACCAGTTTATGATGAGCATCCAAAGACCTAAAATATGCTGCGCAGTACCCAATTAGACAGCTTCTCAAAATAATATCTACATTACGTAGATATTTGAGAAGCTGTCTAATTGGGTGCCTTGTGTTCCTTCTTCCATTCCGCTAACCAAACGCTTGCCTACTGCAATGGTGGCTGACCACGGGGAAACCTGATTGCCACGTCCAATGTACTTTGACGTCACAAGATCAGATCCTACATGTAAACAAAGTGTTGCTTGTATAGTGAGATGTGCTTTCAAGTGTACGAAGTGTTGCGTGTAGTGGAAACAAGTTAAAATTATTTCATTTTTGTCGCATTAAAGGAAAATCGACTGGTTTTGCGACCACATCCCGTGTGACTCACGCTACACCGGCCGCCCTCTACGCCCACGCCCCGAGCCGCGACTGGGAGAACGATGGCGACATACCCACGGAGGAAGCGGCCAAGGGCTGCACGGACATCGGGGCGCAGCTTGTCGAGAACGGCCACGTGTTCGATGTAAGACCGGTGTTGAATATTGAGGGCACAATATTCGGGTTGCCTGTCCGCAGTGGCGTAGCCACCGGGGGGGGGGGGCGTGGGGGGGCGACCCCCCCCCCCCCATGAAACCTTGTCGCCCCCCCCCCCCCAGTCGCCCCCCACTGAGATTTTGAGTTTCTAAAAAAATTATCATTGATCTACATGACGCCTTGGGCCCTATTATGTACTACAATGTATCTTTTGCTTAGAAAATATTGGTTAAAGTGGTCAGAAATTGCCTCAGATAGCACCACAGAGCATTTAGAATCCAAAATTTTTCGGGGCCCTTAAGCGGGCCCCGAACCCCACGCCTATAGTTCAGAATTCTGGTAGTTGATTCAATGACTCCAACCTCGAAAACAATGTTCACAATATGCCTTTAGCTGAAAAACCCTCGAAAATTATGTTTAAATTATTATCTTTTGTGCTAAGATAATTATTGGTTAAAGTGGTAAGAAATTGCCTCAGATCACACCACAGAGCATCGAAAATCCATTTTTTTTTCCGGGGCCCTTCAGTGGGCCCCGAACCCCACGCCAATAGCTCAGAATACCGATAGCTGATTCAATGTCTCCAACCTCGAAAACGATGTTCAAATAATTATCTTTTGCCAAGAATATATTAGTTAAAGCATGGAGGAAAGTCGTAAGAAATTGCTTCAAATCACACCACAGAACATCTAGAATCCATTTTTTCCCCGGGGCCCTTAAGCGGGCCCCGAACCCCACGCCGTAAGGGCTTCGCGCTTCGCGCTTCGCGCTTGCATCAGTAATGATCAAGGTATTCCCCCCCCCCACTTTTGAGAAGCGATTGACACCCCTGCTTGACGCCCCCCCATGGATTGTTCCAGCCCCCCCCCCCCAGCGCCCCCCCCCCCCCCCCCCCCCCCCACTGAAAAATTCCTGGCTACGCCACTGCCTGTCCGGTTACACACCTATGTTCCGACACACCTATATGTTCCGACACCCCTATGTTCCAATACACCTATGTTCAGACTGCTCATAGTCCTATCCCTAACCCTAACCCTAACCGGGAGTAACACAATCCAATATGTGCGGGTTGTTGGAACATTCTCCGCCTGTCCATTTAATATGCATACTTTATTGAAGGCACCCTGACTTTCATATTGCTGGGGTTGGTGCTGAATGGGACGAGCAAATGGGTTTTAGGTGCTTGGGTGTAAGTTTGGTCTGTAATATAAAGACAAGATTAGAAATACAGTAAGTTACAAAGTATAACTGGTCAGCACTGCAACGGCAAATAGAGATACGGAACGAAAACATAGAGAAATATGGCTATTTCCGACACCTTTTGAACGTACCCCTATTTCACAATCAATTCGGCAACAATTAATGCTTAGATATAATTATGGTCAAGGATAAATGATCAATAAGGAAACAGATCTTAATCATCATATGAATGAGCTTGAACCACATAATTAGAACAAAAATTAATAAGCCATTAAACTCACCAGCCTATAGTGCAACATGCCTCACGCATGGTGTGCGCACGGAGCGGTCTGTTTCTTGAGGGCACGCTTCACGCTGAGCTGTTTCACTACAGCCGGTGTCGTGTGAAATTTGGACTCCTATAAAATTGAGTCCCTTTTAACCTGCTCTCGGTCTTACACAAATCTTCGTGTTCTAGCACCATGATTTCTAACAACTTTTCATCAATTGTTTCATAGGCCAAGAAAGTCACTTGGAACATTTGCCAGTCAATCCTCATGAATAAAAAAAAGAACAATTTTGAGGTTTCCCCCCAAAAAACAAGTGTTTTGTATTGGTTCGATTTTGATCTGTAATATTCTCCTGCAAAAAAAATCCTATTACTTATTTGATGATGCTAAAAAAAATCCTATTATGGCTCAACGTACATACCTCGTGATGATAATCTGACACTGTAGTTATTGGTAGTTTATTATCTGTCAATGAGCAAAAGACGATAATTTGGCTTTTCTAATAATAAGCTGACCTGGGAATTTAAAGTGAGGCTTCCAATCCCGAATTCTGGAATTGTTTTTCCGCAGGTGGTGTTAGGAGGCGGCCGCCGGGAGTTGACAGGCACCAACCAGACGGACCCCGAGTACCCGGACGAGGTCGGACACCGGACGGACGGCCGCAACATTATAGGTATCATGGCTCGATCAAATAATTATTGCTCGATGGAATATTTATAAAGAGGACAATGCGCACTGCACCTTACCAAGCACTCACAGCCCAAATTCTCAAACTGATCGAGTTTCAGCCGATGCAGTCTGCACAAGTCAATACGTTTAAGCGAATGAGGTGCTGACACTTTCCGGGTCAAAATGACACTTTTCCGGGTCAAAGTAACACTTCTTTAACTTTTTATTTTTGAGTCATTTTGTCATTCTGACCCGGAAAAAAAAGGAAAAGTTGCAAAATGATCCGGTTCATGAGTCAAAGAAGTGCCATTTGACCTGGAAAATGTCTCCAAGTCATTTTGACCAAGGAAAGGGTCATTTTGACCAAGGAAAATGTTAGCCCCCATGGGACCCGGATTCCGGGTCCAATCTGACCTGGGTCTTTTTAGAGTGTACATTTATAACGCCGCCATTGTTCAGGGGACAAAACAGTATGGTATTATGCCTAATTCTAAAGAGAAAAGAAAATTGTGGAAATGTAATTTTTGATATGTAGCAACTATACGTCAAAAAACTTTGCGTCAAAACTTTGTGAAATTGCCTTGCCAATAACCTTGTGAAATACGATCGCCTGAGAAGCGAGTTGTACTAAATTGGTCAAGCTCTGCCAATTTCCTCTCCCCAAATGGGTCGGTGTTGTCTGTTCTGTTTACAGTAATCGGTGTATTACAACCACGCAAGGCCCCCTTCAAAATTAAAAACACCCTAGAAAACACGAGACTTCTAGTGACCGACCGTTTTTTCCCCTCTTATGATTCAGAGGAATGGCTGAGCAAGAAAGCAGCAAATCGCACCAAGTACGTCTGGAACCTTGACGCCTTCAGCAGCGTGGATCCGGCGGAAACAGATGCCCTTCTCGGTATGCTATATACAATTCAAACACAGTCGATACAGGGAATCGCCATTTTCTATTAACCACTAAATGAGGTTATGGGTGCAGACCTACAAATCGACTCCCGTAGACCCCAATGGTAATTACGCGTACATCCAAACATTATTTAAAATACTTACAACTCTCCAAGGTGCTCGAGACACCCATCATATTAAAGCTTATTCATCATCTTTCATGTTCTGTTCATATTTATTGGGGGGGGGGGGTTTAACTGATGACTTTTGGGAGAAAATTCCATCCAAATATGAGCACCTCTAAAAGCAGTCCTGAAACCCATCGCCATTTTGAAAATGGACGCCTACGCTCTATTACAAAAGGGAGCCATTTCAGGGCCTAAGTTCATGCACATTTTATAGATATACGAGCTCGCAGTCCTCTTTCCGGCTTCCACACTTCCTTTTATTTTTTACAAATCCTCAGTTCACGGCCCTCAAAATGCTCTAATTCCTGAGAATTTGAGGGCATACAAATTGTGATTTGGCTCGCGTAGATCTGCACCCTTATATCGATGTCAAGTTTTTTGCCATTGACCCCAGGTCTGTTTGAGCGGGGTCACATGCACTTTGAGGCCGACCGCGCGGATGATGAGGCTGGGGAGCCCTCTATCGCCGAGATGACGGCGAAGGCAATCAAGATACTGCAGAAGGACCCAGATGGCTACTTTCTCGTTGTTGAAGGTATTCATGGTCAGAATATTTGAGAAAGTCCTAAACACACCGTATAACATCCGTAAATGGAAGCCATAAAGTATTTGCAGTTATAACGATACGAACATAATAATGATCTGGTGCTTTATACAGGGTGATTCAGAATGATTTTTTTGGTGGCAAATAGAATATAATTGAAAGGAAAAAACTAAGTGTTTCATAAATTATGAATAGTTATTACCTTGTCTTCCACAGCAATTTTGAATTTTTCAAATTTGTGGCTGTGGTGAGGAGTTATGCCATTTTCATTAAAGTGGCTCATTTTTCAGTCTGCACTCGGAATTTAAATGTATCAATAACTTCAAGTGAGTCAGTCACCATGACTAGGTTTTTTATTTGTTATTACACTGCTTCACATCAGTACGTGATTTCAGTAAATTTGTTGAACCATGGAACCGTGGTCAGAGTGTTTATTTAGCGTGTGTTCTTTTCTAGCGCTGTTCTTCAAAATGGTACAATAGATATACTTGAAACTTTCACCAAATATGTCCTAAATACCAGCTATTATATAACATATCTCATTTGCACTTGTTTTGATCATTGCTACATAACTTTTCACATTTTCTTTTGGGTCCAGATCATTCTGACTCACGCTGCATACCACTTTATATCAAAGCGCTGCACAATTAGTATCCCCGTTCATCAAGTTCACCTGTTTCTGCAGCAGCAGCGCGAGATCAGCGCAATCTGGTTTCTGCCTCCACAGGCACCCATTTATACTCCTGGTCGGAGAGAGGAAAGTGTAATAAAGTGTCTTGCCCAAGAGCAATGGCACCGTGTTCCCCTTCACGGCGCGAACCCACGTACTATTGCACGTGAGTCGAGCCCCCCCCCCCCCCCCCCAGCCATCGAACCACGGCGCTCCACAATGCAAACGACCGATCACATGTTTTCAGAACGTTTATTAAGCGAAGTGAATGTTTCTAAAAAAAGAAAAGAAGAAAAAGTAGTGTCAGGGATGACACTCTTCACTGTAGTTCTTTTCAAAATGTTTGTCTCGATTTTTTCTTCCTTCTCGATGCCAACAGCTGCCCGCATTGACCACGCCCACCATGACGGCAATGCAGCACGAGCCCTAACGGACACTCTAGCGATGGAGGAAGCCGTGATTAAGGCCATGGAATTGACCAATGAGAAGGACACGTTGGTCATCGTGACTGCTGACCACAGCCACACTATGACCATCGGCGCTTACCCGCTGCGGGGCACCCCTATTCTAGGTATGACTGGAAGCTGCGTCGTACAATAATTGTGGTGCTTCTGTTGATGTTGTTCTGTTTCTGCTTCCGTTGTCTGTCGCTGTTGTCGACCCCTCTGTTGCTGCCACGTACTGCAGTTGCTGTTGCATTTGAAATTGTTTCAGCTGTTGCTACAGTTGCTGTCACTTTTGCATTTAAAGTTGTTTTCAGCTGTTGTTACTGCTCTTGCTGTTGCATCTGAAGTTGTTTCAGCTGCTGCTGTTGTTGCATTTTCACTTGTTTCAGCTGTTGCCACTGCAGTTGCCGTTGCATCTGCTGAAGTTTCAGCTGTTTCTATTGCTTTTGTGTTGTATTTGTGTCAGATCAGTGTTGCCACTGCAGTTGCTGTGGTATCTGACGTTTCAGCTGTTGCTGCTACTTTAGCTGTTGCGGTTGATGTTGTTTCAGCTGTTGTCAATGATCTTGCTGTTACATCTGAAGTTGTTTCAGTTGTTGCTTCTGCTCTTGCTTTTGCATTTGAAGTTTTATCAGCTGTTGCTACTGCTCTTGCTGTTGAATTTCGAAGTTGTTTTAGCTGCTGCCACTGCTCTTGCTGTTGCATCTGAAGTTGTTTCAGCTGTTGCTACTGCTATTGCTGTTGCATTTTAAATTGTTTCAGCTGTTGCTACTTCTCTCGCTTTTACACCTGAAGTGGTTTCAGCTCTTGCTACTACTCTTGCTGTTGCATTTTAAGTTGTTTCAGCTGTTGCTACTCTTGCTGTTGCATTTTAAGTTGTTTCAGCTGTTGCTACTGCTATTGCTGTTGCATTTGAAATTGTTTAAGTTGTTGCCACTGCTCTTGCTGTTGAATCTGAAGTTGTTTCAGCTGTTGCCACAGATGCTGTTGCATTTCAATTTGTTTCAGCTATTGCTATACTGCTCTTGCTGTTGCATTTGGACTTGTTTCAGCTGTTGCTATGCTGCTGTGGCTTTGAACGGTGGTTGGTAAAATTTTTACAATCCTGTTTTTTTACTGCTTTAGTTTCATTTTGGTGCTATATTGCTGTGTATAGTGCTTACTAGTGACAGGCCTATAAGGATTGTTGGTGATGCGATTATTGCTGCTGTTGCCTATATGGTTACTATCTTTGTTAGTGTTGCTGATGCTGTTTTTATGGCAACGTCTTTGTTTAAACGGATTTCGCTGATGCTAGTCTGCTGTTGATATTGTTGTCATTGTTGTCATCGTTGTCATCATCAGTTGGGTGGACGTAGTGAACAGGTTGATTAATTTCTAACGTCAATTAGACACATCAATTGTTTTTCTCCACGCTGCTTCATTATAATACATGCTCTTCTCTTTCCTTTCAAGTGGATATCCACATTTGGCCAAGCATACTGAAATTATCAATCTACGTTAAGTGAAATTGGTTTCAACTTGACTGCAGGACTATACAATGATGGCGAAGGCTCGGACGGTATGCCCTACACGACCCTGAACTATGCAGACGGGCCGGGCGGCGAGATAGAGAGAGACAGCTACAATGCTGTGGGGAGCAGACGAAATCTTACCAACGTGAACACAGGTATGGTATATCAAGAGTTGTGCAACTAACCAGAAAGGATATTACAAAAATAAGGGATTATTATATGTTGGAATTACTTACCTTAATAGGCCTGAGACCTAATGTAGTAGACGATCCCTACTGCTGGCGTCCCGACTTCGCTCCCATAGGAAAACGCATATGTAAACAAAGCCATTACGTCATTAGGCCTCAGGTCTCTTAACACCATAAGACAATGTGTGGTTGGATCTGTGGTATACCAGCCATATATTGGTATACCAGTTATATTTAAAGAAAGGAACGGAAGAAACTTTGGGAAAAGAATCATCCGCTCATTATTTGGACACGTTTTCAGGTGGCATTGACTTCAAACAGTCGGCCATCGTCCCCAGAGAGGATGAGAGCCATGCCGGGGAGGACGTGGCCATCTACGCCAACGGACCCATGGCCCACCTCTTCCACGGAGTCCACGAGCAGAACTACATGGCGCACGTGGTGCGCTACGCCGCCTGCCTGGACTACAAGGAGCACTGTCAGATGAGCAGCGCGCCCTCGCGCGATGGGTTCAACCTGTGGCTGATATTGGTCACCGTATTCCTGAGCGTGCGTTTTTGGATTTAAAAAGTGTCTCTGGTTGCCGAGTGGGAAGTTTGTGGGGTTTTGTGGTTCGTCTATGATACAGAACTAAAGACAAACATAGGAGGAAAATGAGTCCTCGATTGGCCAGTCTTCCTCAATTGGAAATATTGCACAAATCGATCGAGAACAGTATAATAGTAATGGGAGAGGCTTAAGATAATGTAGGTTTTCAACAAATTTCATCAGAATGACAGGTGGCTGTCCTTTGTACGTTGCCTCCATAAATTCTCGCAAATGACCCATTAGGAAGACACGTTATAAATGGTGTACTTCAGGGAAACAACGAAAACAGGGTGGCATTTTAATGTCTCTTTATATATCAAGGCCTACTTATATCTCTAGGCATGCGTTTAACGTCGCAAATACCCTAAATCGGGACTCCTCGTGATGCAAACCCCAGAGTTACGAAGTTTAAACTTTGTAAATTTGGGTTGAAATATTAGGAAGACATTACATTTCTGCAGTGATGGTTAAGTGTTATTAAAGATCGTAGGTTTTTTTTTTACATAATGGTACCTTTAGGAGACGTCGATTTAAATGTTATACTTTATAGGGAGACACCGGACATTAAGGAGACATTTCAATGTCTCTCTTATGTCACAGCTCCTAATTAGAGGCAAAACGTTAGTGTCGCATATGGGCTAGATCCATTGCGCGTGGTCCTAGACATCAATGTACCGAAATTTGTGGGGTATAGGATGTGGTATAATTGGGGTTAGTTGGCATTAAGGAAAAGTTTTGTGCACAAGTGTTTGGGAATGTCTCTCAAATGACACGTTTCCAGGAACCAGAATATACACAATCATGTTAATGTTTCCTTCCTATTATTGAATCATGTGTCACATTAAATTCCTCTCAAGTTCCTGGCCTTCATTTCAAATTCCTTATAGCCAGGGGAACAAAATAAAAGGATATAGGTCCGTCGGAGATCTGGATTAGGGCCTACTTGACTTTTGTAGTTACTTCCCCACCAACCCAATCATTCTGAGTACAGCAGCATTACAATGCAGACGTATACACTGCAAAAACTGCAGTGTTAAATTTACACTGTTGGTATCTATATAGGACCATCTGGTGTTAAATTTTACTGGTGTTGTCCTATATAGATACCGAATGGTGTTACATTAACACTAAAGTTTTTGCAGTGTACAATTTTACCGATTTGTATACTACATGACATGAAAAGCCCCAGCAACACATTCACGGTTGGGAGCTACGGATATCCACGATTTAATTTGCGTGATAAACCGTTGGAGCACAGTATCTTCCTTGGGTATTCGTGGAGGGGCTACGGAAGTGTTAAACTGTTCCAAACTTCCGTGGTGAATCGTCATGAAAATCAATCCGTAGTGCAACCGTAGGACATCCGCAGGACAACCGTACTAATTCGTAGTGTTATTCGTGGCTATGTGTACATATTCTTGGGATTCGTAGTAGATCATTCGTGGTAGACATCTCTGTGAATTCGATACGAATGTCCTCCTGCCCGGATATGCTAGGATCCTGCTAAGGTTCTGCCACTACTAAGAAGATGTTTTCGATTGTAGACCTAAAAATAATTAAAATAATCAACAATTTTATATCGAAATTTCATATGAGGTCTGGTGCCAATGATCTATGACGTTGAATAAACCGAGTGATGGAATCGATTATTTGAGAGATCTGACTAATTTTTGTGAGCGTGAGTCCTAGCATGTATAGAGGATACGTGTTAAGTGTCGCATGAAGGATATGTGAACAACTGTAAATCTAGGGAAGAACAGTGATAATACCCAGAAGTTATGATTATGTTACACAATCTCTGAGATTTCTGGGGGATGCTTCTTTCAAAACGTTTATATTACTACTATGAACTCAAATAAACCATTTCCACACGACTGCTAAATATACACCCCTGAGTGCCGGTATTTATCTCTTTTTTTAACGAAAATTTATTATCTATAAATATAGAAAAAGTAAATGAGAAGAGGTGGAAACGTTGGTCCAATTTTGGTTAATCATAGTTGGATATCCAAACATAATCATTTTACCAATACTGAGGAACCACGTCGATCGAACTATCGAACATCAAAAGGTAAGTTTGTACAACTCAAGTAATTAAATTACAATGTACCAATAACGATGAATATAAAGCGTAATGTGGGGTCATCGGCATAATTATAATTATATATTTTGTTAACCTGTTAACTGCCGTTCTTATCAGGTATTTTTACAATGCTACAAATTGGTCCAGATAGTACGATAAAGTAAAATAATAAAATGTACACGAAAGCTTTGGAATCGGTAGTCAGTCGCCAAAAAACAGGTGTATACTTTATATTATGTTTTGCTGATAAACCATTCTCTGTGTGTTCTTTTTCCAACAAAACATTCCATGCCCAATATCCCGAAGATATGTTAATTGTCCTTTAAATGTAACTTTGGGTTTATCCACGAGGACGAATAACTAGTACTTTAAGATTCAATTTAATGTTAACATATCACGTGAAAATCTTATGAAAGATACGTCTATACCTATAAGCCTTCGTAATTAATTACACACTAAATATCGTTGACAATATAAAAGTAGTAATGCCCACTGCTAGGCTAAGGCTACCGCTAGGGGGCGCGCTGCTCGCTTCACAGTTCTCCCTGCTGTCGTCGAGGCACGCAGCGTAGCGGACGACGTGCGCGATGTAGTTCTGCTCGTGGACGCCGTGGATCAGATGCGACATGGGTCCGTTGGCGTAGATGGCTACGTCCTCGCCGCCATGGCTCTCGTCATGGGCTGGAATGATGGCCGGTTGAATAAACTCCAGATCCTCTGCGGAGAGGAGGGAAAAGCAATTTTGCAATGAAACCCCACGGGCAAATTCCCTTGTACAAGCATGACGTTCACTGTGTGGACTTCCGAACAAAAGAGGTCCACGGATAGCAGCGACATTGTGTGGACTTGCCCACGTCCACACAGTGTTCCCCCCTCTCTGAAAAACAGGTTTAGAGGCATTTTGGGTTAGGTTAATCCGTGGCAAAATGCAGAGTAACACTAAAGGGAATCATAGGGGGAAAATGGGTTGAAAGAGTTTTCACAGTGTGAGTAAAATGAGTTTTTCACAAGTTTTTCTCAACTATACGAAAACAAAGGAATGTCCACACTTCGTATGTACCGTAAACATATATATACGGAAAGATATGTGCGGACTTATTGCGACTTAGTTTCAATTTGGTCGATGCTGGATCTGTTCTCCTTTCAGGGCTGTCCATTTTTCGAATAATTTAGTATTCATTTACTCGAAACTGCGTTGGACCGAATATTCAGATATTCGAAACTGACAGCTGCAACTGCGTGCATGCTGCGCGGCGCTCCAGTAAAAAGTTGCACAAAGAGTATGCGCGTTAGAATGTGCGTGCGGCAATCGATATGGGGCGCCGGAGTGGTTTGCAGTAAATATCTAATAATTGTAACACGGCTTTAACATGCTAAAAGGATGTGAACAATGAACCGAGAACCAAAAAAAGTTACAGTCGACAAAAATGGCGCCTGACAAAAGCCCCGCAAAGTTACGATAAATTACATCACAGTCGTGGGTGTATGCCTTAGTTTAATCACGAGAGATATATGTCCCTGGTCCTTTCGAAATTCTTGACTACGAAAGCAGGAATGGACACAGTGTACTCGTGAGAACACTAGCTCAACTTGAAAGAGTTTAAAACATCAATTCCGTCTCGGGTGTGGCTACATAAACCCTTGCCGTGGGAGATTCCGACTCTGTGCAGGCATGAAGCTATGTGTTTCGCCTTGACAACATCCAATCTTAACACGCGGTGCCCGGTAGGACAGTAGTTCCATCTGGTTTTGAAATTGAAGGCTCAATAGGTGTGAAGGCGAAGCCGGGAGACGAAGACGAGATTTGGATAACGCGTACCAAGGAAACACCCTTCTTTTTAAAACTTATTCATTATTTTGTATACCCACCGGTGTCTATGTTGTTAAGGTTCCTCCTGGCCCCCGTGCGATTGTAGCTCCTCATCTCCAGCTCTCCGCCCGGACCGCCTGCGTACAATAGCGTTGGGATCGGTAGGTCGTCCTCGCCTTCATAACCAGAGAGTCCTATCAAAGGAAGAGAGATGGGGATGATCGAGAGCAAAAACCTCAGCCAGTTGACCCCTGGAGTGGTACACATTGCCACTGTTTCTTTCCTGGTGCTGTGTTAGTTACCATGAATGTGTCAAAACAAAAGCGAGTTTGCTAGTGGCGGATCCACGGGTGAGGGTAACCCCCCTTTTCGGCCGCCAATAGGAAAATCATGCCTGTTTACTCCCTCTCCTCCCCCCTTCCCGGGGCCAGCTAACCCCGCATCTTTGGCCAAAGCCGCAGGGATCCGCCCCTGGTTGCTGTCCTGAAAAATCCAACTCTGTGCTAAGGTTGACGTCCTCAACAAAGCACGAACGAGGCGTCTTATAAGTACGATGCAGAAATACACCACGCACACGATCTATGGTATTTTTACGGTTTACTTGATCACTTATAGTTGCCAAATAGCAAGTTCTTTTAACTCCATTGAAGTCAAATAAGTCCGTAAAACTGCCAAGCTGTTTCAAAGAAAAATGAACACAGTAGCTTAGGACTATAGGCATATATGACAACGGAAAGTATAGCTTAAAAAACGCTGTACTGCAGCTGGCTCCGTGCATAAGGACCGTGTAATATACAGGAAAAGACGACATTGTTCTCGTCATGGACCGACCAATCAGGTTCGAGCATTAAAGTTTGCTTTTAATAAAATAAAATACACACGTCTTTCTTTAAATCACGGACTGTACCGTTCCGTTTGGACTCTTAATCCCAATTTGAATTACATGCTAAGGAAAAATAGTCATCGGTATATTTACCTAAGATGGGGTTGCCGCGGTCCGCATAGGAGCCGATCGTCAAGGTGTGACTGTGGTCGGCCGTCACGATGACCAAAGTGTCCTCCTCATTGGTCAGCTCCATCGCCTTGGCAACGGCCTCTTCCATTGAGAGCGTCTCCAGGAGGGCCAGCCGGGCCGTGCCGTCATGATGGGCGTGGTCGATGCGGGCGCCTGTCGTAAAATCACACAATTTAATCCTTGATTATAGATTCACCTGATTGTGAATGATAATAGTTGAAGAGAAATATGTTATATTTTTACATGATCAAACTTACTGATTTTAGAACCACCCCTTAAAATGTTTGAAGACAGTCCGTCCATACGTTTCTGTGTTATCCTGTAAACCAACCAACCAACAAACCAACCAACAAACCAACGCCGACGAAAACATAACCTCCTTAACGGGGGTAAAAAAAAAAGTACGGTATTAAAATTTTGCGTTCAAAATATGCGATTTCAGTGAGTTAAAATTAACGCGCGGTGGAATTTCGGTTTTTGGTCCTCGAAAATCGAGCTGTCAAAGTGCTAGCCTTGATTTAAGTCATACATCCTTTCAGAGAAAAATCTATTTTCTAACACTGTAATTAATTATTGTGGGACCTGATTTCAAAAGGTGAATTTTCTGACTTTTAGAGCTTCATACAAAAGGCCCAGCTACAAAAAAGCAGCTGCAATGTCAGATGTAAGCGTCAACGGCGCTTTTTCCTTTACCTTCTATAGCGAGGACGAAACCATCCGGGTCCTTCTGCAGTATCTTGATGGCCTTCTCCGTCATCTCGGCGAGAGAGGGCTCCCCACCCTCATCATCCGCGCGTTCGATTTCAAAGTGCATGTGACTCCTCTCGAATAGGGCTAAAACCACAAATGTAGGAAGCAAAATGGTAAACAGAAAAAGCCGCCACCCCACTCTGTATTCCTACGGCAAATTACTGTTACATTTATGGGAAATTCGTGTTGAAATTACGGTCACCGTCATTTAAGGAAACCCGTAACTGACCGTAATTGTACGTGTTTTTGTTGGCAACCTGTGTGACAGTTCTTCTACCGTAAAATTACGGGCAACTTTGTTTACAGTGTAGATAAATGTTATTGTTCAAAACCAAGTGATGATTCCACTAACCAATCAGATGGTCCGTTTCATTTGGATCGACCTTGTTAAAGTCATCTAGGTTCCAGACGTATTTGCTGCGGTCTTGTGGTTTGCTGAGCAGCCACTCGTCTGTAAGATTAAGAGAGATCAGCGAATGAGAAAACTGGAGACTTATCAATGTGATGAGTAATCAATTATTTTTTTCCAAGTCGAACTTTTTTAATAACTTGAACAAGATGGAACAAAATTTGCGTGCGGTAAAAGCAACTGTGAATTGTAATACGAAAAAAACGCACGATTCCACGGATCGGATTTCGTAATGTACAATGTAAAAAAAGATGTGTAAAACACTGTTGGGCAGGATTATTTGCCTGTCCTTGGTATGACTTTACCTTGTTGGTTAATTCGGGTTAAAAAAATTTTAATGTATAAAAATTTAATGTATATCAAAATTAAGAACATTGTGTTAAACGCAGTAGTATAATGGATGTCCGTTTTGGAAATTGTTTTTAGTTCTGTGCTATAACCAAAATGTGGAGCTTTTTTTGGTATTCCACCCAAACAATCATCGTAGATCAATGACCTAAGTTTGTAAGAAGTTGTACCATAACATGAAGTGGTTATTCCACTCTTAAATGTCCCGGGACAGATTCGACAGTTCTCAGTGTCGAATTTGACCCGGCACTGTAAAGACTGTATGGCGCCCTCTGCCGATTCTAGGTGGCATTACTTATAATGTTACGGCCGTCCTCGCGGTGTCCGTCCTTTTCCGGATATTCCGGATCGATGAAATCCCTGCTGGTTAGCTCGCGTCTGCCTCCTCCCATAATCACCTATAGAAAATAAGAAAACGGAATGGAAGCAATAATTTGGCATCAACTTGAAGTTGAAGTTCTCTGCGATATGAAGACCGGCTAATGCACATGATCAGTTTTAGGACCGGTTACTGCAATCCAGCCCTAACAGATGTTTTGACACTTCACTCGCATGGACAACCATCACCTGGCGTACACAACCAGAATGTCTTTGAAAAACGAGAAGGCGACCAATGAAAACCTGGATCAAAGGTGTCAAAGAGACAATGAGGAAACACGGCATTTCCCCTTTCAGAGCCTTCATCCAGCTTGCTGGTGACCATCTGCTACCTCTCCCGTGACACGTCAAGGTACAAGCGGACGGATAAAACAAAGAATACTGAACTTACCTCAAAATCTTTACCGTTCTCTGCCAGCTGTGAGCCGATGTCGGTGCAGCCCAGCGCCCGCTCGTAAGACGGCACATCCTCGTCGTCTTCCCAGTAACGGTCCGGGCAGTGGGCATAAAGGGCGGCAGGTGTGGCATGGGTCACGCGGGACGTGGTCACGAAACCAGTGGCCTTACCTGAATTGAATTTAGTTCATTGGTTACGAGTTAAAAACAGAACCTGAATTACTGAACTGGCTTAGTCAATCGGTTAAACGGGTTCAGGAGTAGTGGCCTTCCCTAGATCGAATCAGTTAACTAGTCTAGTTGATTGGTTAAAAGGGTTGAGACGTAGACCAGCTAAACCCATCTATTACAAATGAGATCATTTAACCTTCAGAACCTTCAGCAATTTATACTGCATGGAGGGGCTTTCTAAACATACAGTACGTCATGCATGCGGCAGACGACAGGCGGTGCAAGAAAATAAATTTGATTAAAGGTTATTATATTCTTTCATAAAATCAAATTGAACTGTAACGCTTTCGACAGTGTTGAAGTCGAGGTATTTGTGTTAAGGTAAAGGTCCCACAGCCATTACTGGCCGTAGGGGCAGTGGGATGTTAGAGGTCCACTGTGTCTTGGACGCGGCATATGAGTGGCGGTGCCCAGTACTCTCCTCTCGCCGTCTTACCTTCCCTGAATGAATCAGGTACCGGTACCCATTTTACTGTTGGGTCGTCAGAGAGAGTTTTCCCAGTGTTTGGTCCGACTGGGATTCGAGCCGGCAACCCTCTAGCTCCACGCTCTAATCGCTCGCGACAAGGCCCCTCTTGGGGGCGTAGAGGGCGGTACTTGCGACAGTTACAAAATCATTACAGGTCCACCACAAGTCAATCGCAAGTCATCCAGTCCATACTCACAAGCTATTCAAATTCAGTCCCTGGTAACTTTGACTAGACTTGTGGCTTGATTTACCTGTGACCGAACACGGAGACTTGTATTTTATTCGTGACCAATCACAAGAATCTCGACTTCAACATTAAATGCGTTTTAATATTGGAGTTGCATTGTAAAAGAAAAGGGCCCTCAGAAATTGAACCAGGGATAAAAAAGCAGCTCCAACTGTAACTTCTTGAATCATTAAATGCAAAGATAAATGTGATGACGAAGACAAGACTCGACGGGATGAGGACAACACAAGAGACACAATGGTGACGGAGCAAGGTGACGTTGGTGATGTTGGTGATGGCGATCATCCTGATTTTGATGAGCTCAGGGTAAATTTGTTCATGGTGGTGTTGGTGGTGAGGACGACAATGATGATGGTGATGAGGGCGTCAAGCGAAAATGGTGATGTTGATGATAATAACTGTTGGTGGTCAACTTTGTGAATGTGGTGATGGTAACGACAAAAAGGGTGACCAGACGTAGTGACATGAGTAAAACCTGGTTATCATGGTGACAAAATGAGGAGCAACCGACAGATATGGACGGACTGACGGCTAGCCCTTTGAAAAAGCCATCGTGACTCAGTCCCGCCCTGACTCAGTCCCGTCCCAAATTTTCTGTACGTTATTCTTCCGATTTTCTCGTTCTAAATTTCTCGTCACTCTACCTGCGCTAGGAACTTGAGTCTCCGCTCAATAAGCCTCTAGGCTAAACTGGTCAGTTTCGAATTCCAAAGTCACAATGGCTTTGTCAAAAAGGCTATTTTTTGACGGGCGGCAACTTTGGTCACCTGCTCTGTGAGCAGACGTGAGGAAGGAGTCAACAGACGCGTTCCGCGTCGTGGAGCAGTTCCCCAACAGTGCTGTCTCGTCCAGTCCTAACGTGGCATCGTTGGCCTTCACTCCGCAGAAGAAAGCTGTGGCCGTGGCGGCCGAATCCGACACTTGCCGGTCCGCGCCGTAGGTCTATACCGTAGTAATAAGAAAAACAAAAAGTTCTTGATTGAACTGAATGAAGTAAAAAGGGAATCGTTTTCTCGTCACCTGCTTTGTGGGCCAAGGTTAGGAAGGACTCGGCCGAGGCGTTGAAGGTTGAAGCGCAGTCGCCGACCTTGGCTCTGTCGTCTAGTCCCACCATGTCGTCGTTGGATTTGACGCCGCTGAAGAACGCAGTGGCCGTGGCGGCGGAGTCGGCAGTCTGACGATCCACACTGTAGGTCTTGTTTTGAGATAGAGGGGGGAGGTGTGGATTAGTGGATGGGCTGAGTGTGGTGGATTAGTTGGTGTGTGGGCCTTGGAGGGCTTTGATTGGTGGATGGATTGATAGGTTGCTGAATTTGGTGGATGAACTGGTCTGTGTGGGCTTGCATGGAGAGTTTTGTGGACTTCATTTTAGCGAGTAGACAGTTAGAGGAGGTACAGAATACACGCATAGTGGGTGATTACATGCATTTAGTTGGGTTGACTTGTGTGTGGCCACCTTAGTGAGAGGGTATGGGAAGACATGGTTAAAATGTGGGCTTATTGAGTGCTTTATAAGATCGGCCTAATTCAAGGGCTTAAGTGCGGTTTTCATCAGATTAAGTGGTGGGAAGGGATGGGGAAAATGCATGCTTACAGTTGTTTACAAAAAAAATGAGTTATGGGTGGATGGGTTGAGGGGGTGAGACATACGTGACCTGTAATAGATGATCCTCTGGGTCAATGGTTATTGTGATAAAAGGGTCATCGTGTCTACACAATGGATTTAACCCATTCATAGGCGTTTGGGGGCAATGCTATACGATAACACTGCCCGGGTCAAGAGTGCCAGCCAGCCAGTCGGAGAGTCAGTCAGTCAGTCGGCGTGTCGGGGAGTCAGTCGGAGAGTCAGTCACTCCACAGTCAGTCGGTCAGTTAATTTCCCACCTTAGATAGCCCAAGACTCGAGAAGTCCTCCCAAGCGAGCACCGTCTCTTCCCCCGGGTTGCCGGCCTGTTGCCCCTTGAGGATCCGGGCCGCCGTCACAGTGGAGATCCCCATACCGTCACCTACGAAGAAAACCACGTTCTTGGCCACGTTTGTGTTGAGCGTGCGCTGGCGGTGAAGAGCTTTGCGTAGGGTGAGTTGCGCCTGGTCATTCCAGAATTCGGGACCTGGATGAAAATGTCCACAGCGAAAAGGGGGGAAATTATGGCAGTTAAGAACCCCCTATGCAAACACATGCACATTCTGTGTCAAGTTGTCCTTTCGGTCGAAATCAATCAAGTGACCGTTTGCAACAGTTAAGGGCCTACATACAGCAATATTGACTGGCTGTGACTGTTTATGTAACTTGTTGCAACTGTGCGTTGAGTGTAGGTGATTGCTAAGACAGTTGTGTCACCAGTTTCCTGCTTTTTTCTATTGACTGAATTTGACTAGAGAGAGTACTTGCTTGAAGTATGATCTGACTGTTCGTGACTACACGTAGCCTGTGTAAAAGGCATGGCAGTGGAAGTGGATGGACGTTTTGACTGTATGTGACTGCTCAGATAGCAGGAGGGTTAATGTTTACAATTCGATTCAGTTTACCGAGCTCCATACAAATAAGCTATTATTATTATAATTAAAAAGAAAAAAACTGCTTGAAATGAAAAGTATTAACACACAAAAAAAGCCGAAAAAGCAGAGGACAAATTGTGAATTGTGAATGTGAATAAAAAGTTATCAACGTATCTCTTCAGAACATGTAATTTCTGTCAATTCAGTAAACTGCTATTGTTGTTCAAAGGCATATACAGGGCGAGTAACAAAAAAAAAGAAACCCAAATGGAGCCCCTTATTTTTTAAGGCTGTCCTGCAATTAGCGCTTTCCAAATCTAAGATATGAAAGCCCAATTAATAAGCTTGCTTTTAGTGAAAGAATCATTCAAATCGCTCATCTACTTTTCCAGTTATGGAATTTTGAACACAAACGCCGGTTTTTAATCTGTTCCACGGATCACAAAGACAGGTAAATGACCCTAAAGTAGATGCCTTTGAAACAAAGTTTTTATTGCAGATATACGGTTAACAGCAAGGTTCATAATCGTGTCAACTGAAAAGGGTGAGGTTTTTTATTTCCAAACCTTGCCTTTGTCTCTGGTTTGACCTCATCTTCGGCACCCAAATCATTTAGAAGCCTTTATTTCCAAAACCAAACGACATAGGCGTAGCCAGGGGTGGGGTGGGGGGGGGGGGGGTAAGTGGGGTATTGACCCCCCCCCCAATATTTTTTAAAGACTGCCTTTTGCCATTCAAATGTCCTATTTTCAACAGGCTTACCTCCCCCAATAATTTGTAAAGAGTGCCCTTTTTTTTAAGAAGTGCCCTTTTTTCTGATCAAGTGCCCTTTTTAAAAAATAAGTGGTGCCTTTTTTGCGGCACCTGCCTTTTTTGCTGCCTTTTGGTGAATTTTGCACATGTATCGCATGAAAAGCACTATGGTCGTCGGTTTTGAACAGTGCCCCCATCGACAGATGGTACCACCCCCCCCCCCTCCGCTTTTCGATTTTACGGAGGCCAAGTGTCCGGAGAAAAAAAACTTGTCAACATTTCACCACGGCCGGATTTGCAAGTGCCCTTTTCAAACAAATTTACCCCCCTCAACAAAAATGACCGTGCTACGCCCCTGAACGAAACAAATACCCTAAACGTATTAGGTTTGATGCTTCTGAACATGGACCAATAATTACTGAGCTGATGAAGCCCAAACTGGAGACACCAAGTGGACATTTTGGATTGAAAAAAAATACTCCTGAGTTCAGTTGAGTGCCTGTTGAATGGTATGTTTTTCATATACATATATACCATTGGCTTGGCATTAGACATGCATGTCCGTCGATAAATATTCACTCTGTTAACACTCTAGTTATTTTGGACTAGAAAAAAAAGTCAAACTTGCACAGTTGACCTTAGCTGTAGTCAGCTGGGTGGGTCAAGGTAATAATGTGCTCGCTTTTGCAGTGTACCTCAGCGGCGGCGAAACGCTTTTCAAACTGGGGGGCATCATCACCAAAAAGGGTAACTTGCTCAGAAAAAAAAGCACCTTCCGTCGGTGTGAAAGAGGACAAAATTGTGACCCTGTTTTCGTTCACATTGCAAAGAATACATGTTACCCGACAAAAAATTTATTAACAACATTGATTTACACTTTCAAAAATGTTTGCGATCAAAATTTAAAAAAAAATATATTAGTTCCCTTACTCAAAAAAATTACAGTGTCCATTCCTAAAATAGTCTCAATATAGCCGTATTGTTCTCAAATAAGGTAATTTTTCACTTGAGAGACCTCTTTCGCCTCCGGCACACCCCCGGCAGTAACCTTGCCTCTCTGGGGCCGTCCTTGAATTTGACTAGTTAGGCCTAGGCAAAGGGACCATTTTTTTTTTCGTGAGAGGGGCACTGTTGCTTTGATGGCCAATTAGTGACCATTTTATTCGCGTGAGGAGCACTATTACACTTTTTACAGGCCACTGTTTTCCATCTTGAGAGGGACACAGTTTCACTGTTGCGAGCGGGCACTAATTGTGCTTTCGAGGGGCAGTTTCCCATCTCAATCAGTAATCGCGAAAGGAGCTCTATTGTTTTGGATGGCCAATTTCCCATCTCGAGAGGGGCACAATTTTATTATTGCGAGAGGGGTGTTTTTGGGGGGCACTTTCGCACAAGAGAGGAGACAATTAAAGCGCGATCTTAATGCTTTCATGTGTGCCTTTGAGGGGCAGTTTTGTTTTCATCTCAAGGGGCACATTGTGACAGCGAGAGGGTCAATTTTGTTGGTCTGGTAAAGTCTGGGCGGCAAGTGCCCCCCCCCCCCCCACCGGTTGCGCCGCCCCTGTTGAATTACGACTTTGCGGGTCAGTTGCAAGCATTCTTCAACTGACCTTTAATAATTGAAACTCATAAATAAACAGCGATCCCTTTGGTGTCAGAGTCTTCCCATTGAGTTACGCCTCGTCCCTGAGGGTTTTTGAGAAGACTCAGGATGAGATTGCGTTTGTTAATGTTAGGAACATTTTGTTTTGGTTGTGCATAGTTCGAAATTATAAACAGGTCGTTTACCAAACCTCGGTTCGTCTCCGGTTCCGAATCCAACATCCGAGTGATGTTCATCCCCGACCTGACAAACTCCAATGCAATTTGGATGACTTTTCCCGTTACACATCATAAGTATGCCAATGTTTGATAAAGTTTCATTTTTACTAAGGGGCCATTCAGAATTTTCAATGTTTTAAAATTTCGATCTTTTTTCCAAATAGTGGGTGGGTGGGTCAAGCTAAATAATTGAAAATCGAAATTCACTTTCCATGGAAAAAAGATTTAAAAAAACAGAGAAAGATAGATCTTTCGACTTGCCTGAACTACGCGCAAGCGTTCCGATATCGCGATGCGTGTTTCTTTTTCAACTCCATCCCCTGTATATGTACTGTATATGTACGTCATGTACGTGTATATAGACCCACTGTGGCATGGGAGGGAGGTGGTTTTTCAGTAGACTTGGACGCTGGGCGTTTTTAGCGGTTAGGCCGTGCAGAGGCAGCAGGGTACCTGGTGTATAGGTCGGCTCTATAACATGCCGCGGGCGTCGATTACCAATCGCTATAAAAACTGAACTATTCAACCACTGGACTCCAAGACTACGAGGACCGCAGCCTGTGATGTGATGTCTGCCCAAACCTGATGTTTTTCTTTCGCTCGTACCCCTCCCCCCCCCCCCCCCCCCCGCCCTGCAAACAGGGCGGGGGTACGAGCAAATGTTTTTCTCAGCCACCTCACGTGACAGGCACAACCTCGTATGTCACATGTCATCCACCTCATCCAGAAAACGACAAAACCACGGCCATGTTTGTGGCTTCCAAGACTGCAACCTGTCTTTCCCAACAGCGTATCAGCTGGCAAAACACAAGAAAACTAAGGTCGCCAGTGCAAAAGAGGAAGACCGACAACTTCACGCCGTCACTGAACTAGACACAAATGTACATAGGTATACCTGTACATGTTCAAGTATATGTACATGCAAGTGCATGTACATATACATGTTCAGTTTTTTATTAATCGAAATTAGGGGTGGGTGGGTCAAAATAATTTGGAAAAAAAGTCGAAATTTTAAAACATTGAAAATTCTGAATGGCCCCTAACTCCCCACAAATCAGAAGATGGATTTAAACCGAAACTGTATGACTGACATACGACGTGATTGCACCGCAGCTATAAACTGCCTGTTTATGTCATTTTATTCGTCTTATCAGCGCAATTTTACCCAGTGTTGTCTTCGGTGTTTTGTCTGTCTTTTTTTGACTCCCCAGACAAAATATTTGATATATATTTAGCCCTAATTGTTGGCATTGAGCAGCTGTACGGATAAATCTTTCGTGCATTTATAGTCTGGCACTGCGGCTTTCAAGTTTCAGGAACACCGTTTTTTCCCCTTCTTTATGTATGCCCTGCCAATTAGCTTTAGAGCCTGACCTGAAAAGTGAAAAGGGAGCTATTGAACTCTCAAGTTGCTCCACTGAGCAGATCTGTCACGCCGAATATACTGGGAAATGAAATGTCAAACAGTGCGTGTCATGTCTTGGCTCTGCTCCCTACAAAATAAGTGGCGCGACTGGAGGTCTACCAATGATCGCTTGGGTAATCACCTTTTAAGTTGCCCATTGCAGTAGGAGTTGGGCCTAGTTACAAATAATGCGAAATACGCATTAATGTAGGCCCATAACAGTTTCTGTTTATGGCATAAACACATCCACGTATAGTGCATGTACACGTATATACGTACTCATGCACCCTTGAGCTTCAGGTCTGCACGCTGGTAGCATTTATCCTCGCCCTCAACCATGGGCGTCAATTGATGGGGTGGGAGGGGGAACAAGTCGGTCCCCCCCCCTCCCCCATTTAAAGTGTGTGTGTGTGGGGGGGATGTCCCCAGTCCCACTCCCACTTTTTTCGTCCCTGAATAAACATTGAAGCCTACATTATGGTTCTATAGCTCAGAATAGCTGATTCAATTACTTCAAACTCGAAAATGCTTATGTGATGATTATTTGCTGAAACAAAAATGGTTAAAGTGGTCAGCAAATTGCCTCAGATCGCACCACAGAGCGTTTGGAATCCAAAACCCTACGCCGTTGGGGATTCGCGCTTCATGCTCACATTTATTCTGATCAAAGTATGTTCCCGCACTTTTGAGAAGCGATTGACGCCTAAAAAGCTTGCCCTCAACATTTGCGGGCCAATGTGCTCGGCTCACATCCCATCCAGTTCGACATGTCACGTACGGTTTTCAAGCTGCCATCCAAAGAAAGGTAAATCTAATCCGATAATTCTTTTAGTTGCTTGTCCAAAAGCCTGGACAAGAAAATCTAATCAGATAATCAAAAACAAAAGGCAGATCGTAACCAACTTACCTTGCGAACGGACCGGACAAACGCCGAGCAGAAGAGCGCAGAACAGCGGCAGCGCCGCCGGGGTCAGAAGCCGTCTCAGACCCATGACACCACCCGGCAATATCTCGGTGCTGATAACAATTTCCCCGGACTTCTGGTAAGAGAGTAATGATGTGCGGCCTCGATCGCTCACCGAGCAGGTTTTGCCCTGGTTGGCGTTGGCGGTTATGGTTATATACACCGACTGGTCCCTGCAATGACCTCGCCGTGACCACGCGGATGGGAAACCGCTGGGTTTTGGTTTCGCTCACGCTGGGAGACTCAACAAGCAACTGTAACAATTTTCCAGCTGTGGTATTTCATACTTGTGGTATTTCATAATTTCCTTTTTTCCTTTATTAACGGTGACTACTTTCTTTCCTAACAATACTTCTTGAGCAGGTGGCGGCTGTCACGGTATATTATTCTGTTACCAAAACTTATGCTCTTTGGTATGGTTCACCTGTACTGTTTTGGGCATGCCTGAAAAGACGTTTCGGGTGTTTTTATTCGAGGTTTCGATATTTGAATAAGTTAACACGTCAACCCATGGACGAACCTCAAACGACAAAGTAACTCCCTTGTTCCAAAAGTGAATATTTGTTCACAAATATTGAACAATAGGGCCTATAGGCCTACAGGGTGAGTCAAAAGTTTCCCAATTTCAAAATTATTTTCGAAATATTCAGCTTGCTCAATTTCATACAATTTCATAGCGGGCCCCTCTAGTGCTGTACTTACAAGTTTGTCTGCTTAAATGAACAATTTAAAATTAGCAATTAAACATTCCCTAATGTTTTAAGCCAGATTAAACAAATAAAATGAAAGCAAAATAAGGCTGCATAACTAATCTGGCGCCATCCCATTCAACAGTTAATAATTTATGACGGGTGCATGACAAAAATGGCTACCTCGTGAATAAGTTCCATTACCGCCTGCCCTCCTTTGCGTCACGGCTAATTACAAGCAACTTGGGAACATGGGAAACTGGGGCAATATTGAATATCGATACCGGCACGGGGCATGCAGATGATTGAAATCAGGTCCCAAATCGAAAAACAATACGAACCCATTAGTGCGATTTGTATTTGTATTGATATTGCAATAATAACAGAACAGTGCTTGTAATATCTAGGCCCAATTTTTTTAAAAAGCGTTGCTACATCACTTCAAATGGGGGGGGGGGGGGGGGGTGACACAACAAATTTGACGACTGTCCATCCGTACATGCTGCTATATACAGGTTTTTCCCCTCGGTCACCCTCCACTGAAATCAAAAACTTCTACTGGAACCACGAAATTATCCGCGCTAGTTACTGCATAAAGCAGTGTTGAATAGTCGAGTAATTTCCATAATTGCGACGCCCATGGTGACCGATTCTAGATCTCTGCAACGTACGGGCTATTTCGATTCAAACCATGCACATTTTAAAGGACTCGGTATCGAACATGAACAGACGGATATTAGATAAAATCGGTCATCATCATGCAACGGAAAAAAATTGGATTTAAAGTTGCCTAGTAACAAATCGTCTAAACACATGTTTGTACTTTGTGCGACAAAAAATTACATCACTGACGGATCAAAGGCCGTGGGAAAAGTATGTACCGGGTACTGAACCTTCGGGACACGACAAGCTATACATATTATAGGCCTACAACACACAAAAAAACAGGCATAATTCGTCCCTGTGGGTCAATGAATAGTTGCGTAACTCAGGAAATCGGAGGTGGATCCAGTTCATGCAGTTAGACATTGATGGGGAACCCTCCCTCATCCCTACCCAAAAGTTACTTGAACAATATTTCTACTGATTAGTGAAATATATCATTTGCAAGTACATGTATATAGGCTTATACTCTCTTGCTCGGATATTCATTTCTGGCCTCTGATGACAACCTTGGGTGAACACGACGCTTTAGGAGAAAATATAGGCCCTATTTGGGGGTCAAAAAATATGTTTGATGTTGCCGGCTGTGGGCCAGCATAGGGCGGTTTGCAGTTAATCGGTGCTTTGAAGTCGGTGGTATGGCGGCATCGGGAAAGGGCTGTGTGCGGTCAACGACCTTTGTCTTCCAATATGGAGACATTGACGAAAATTCAGTTCAAACTTCAACATATATTTTAAGTGTTATCGTTTAATTTGCTGGAGACTGTGGCATTTGACAGACATTAATGCAATGGGGGATCCAATGGGGTTGGCTTAACCACTCCCCTTCGGCTGAGCACTGTTAATTATCTACTTAGTTGAAAACAATCCCAATTTCCGTAAGTTCCCTAAATAACGTCATTACTCAATGTTGCAAACCTTGATTCATTGTTTCGGGTCTTTGGTCTTTTTAATGCGTTGACTGCAACGTTTACACCCCCCCCCCCCCCCCATTTTTAATTTTAAATGAAGTACACTTTTGTAATAATAAATAAATCCAAGACAATATCGTAGACTGATATATATGGCATATTTGCGAGACATATAACCTACTTGAGACATATAACCTACATGTATTTGAAACATACCATATTTTAGACATATTACACATTTGAGACATGACATATTTGAGACATATGACATATTTGAGACATATAACATTTGAGAGATACGCCATAATATTTGAGACATTTAACATATTCGAGACATATGACATATTTGAGACATATAACATATTTGAGACACCAATATACACATTTAAGAAATATATACACTGTATATAACATACTTGAAACATATAACATATTTGAGGCATATGTAACATAGGGGCCTACTTGAAACATATAACATATTTGAGACATATAACATATGAGACATATAACATATTTGTGACATATAGCTATTTGAGTCACAGAGCAAGGTGTTTTTGTCGTTAATTCTCAAGATTCCGACCACAAACCTTTTTTTAGCATTGTTAGGGAAGACCACGACAAATGAACAAATTACCGACTGTCATTCACGAAATGTCTGCTATGACTGCAACAAAGGCATATGAGTCAATATCAATCACATTGTGACATACATATGTCCCTGGAGGAAACGGCATCATACCAGCTGCATTCACTGTCACAATATAACGACTGGTTTTGCTATTACGCGACTGACATCAGTCATTCGATGACGTCACATCCTTCGTTTTGTGCGGAGGTGCATCTCAAGTTCCGAGCCCTTTAGACTTGTTTCAAGTCTGAAGTTTGTGCACACGATGAAATGCCTCAAGTTGTATGAGGGATCTGGCTGGTGTTATTTTTGTAAGCTTCCATGACTACACAGCGAAGATCAACAACAAAATTTCAACATTACTGCTAATAATTTATCGAAATGTTGAAAGCTTCATATGATCATTTGCTTTCTGCCAATGTCCGATACCATTTTGGGCTATTTGGTAGTAGTCCTTTCAGTCAGGCATGCGCAACCGGGAAATCACAACAAGAGGAAATTCAAATCTTTCCAAGACTTTTGGTACAATGTTCTTCGACTTTTAATGGCACACATGGGAAGACAAAAAGAGAAGAGGAAACCAGCTGATCGAGAAAAAGTTGCATGCCTGCTTTCTTCAATTAGAACAAGGTTTTTCTCATAAAAATCGACAATTACTTTAATCGACTTTAAACTTTACGACTATTTGGGGGGAAAGGGGTGTAACTTTAGAAAGCTTGGTCAAGATTGTGTTCTACAATTTCTTTCAACTCTACAAGTCGTCGTTACGCTAACTGTGCGCGACCGAAACCTTTTAACTTATGCTAAAGTACATACATGTACTACTACTAGTCGGCTGCGCAGCTGCCGGTCACAAGGTTTCTCCAAATGGCTCGATCTTGGGCAGTCTCACGTCACCGATCTCCTTAAAAGATGTAAGAGCTACATCTTTAGAGAGTAGTCTGGCAATGTACTGTGGGTACATCAAGGAAGGTCTTCCTTTCCAACCCATGGACAGGTTGGTAGAGGGTAAAGAGGTTGACCAGCTTGTCTGTTGGTTTTCCTCAGCACATGTCCAAGCCATTGAAGCCGTGATCTTATAATGGGTTAACAAATACCAGTGAATGACACAGGAACAGTTTGAACATAATTCAGTACAGGCTGCGATTGAATACCAAACGTTACCATTCAATTTATTGTGTCAATGAATACACGATCATACATCATTGAAGTAACTGTTGCAGACAGTTCTACTATTACAGGAAGTGACATACATTGTAATTCTACTGGCTAATCATAAATTCAATAATAATAATAATAATTAAACCTTTCTTATATAGGTCCCTATGCCCTCAATAAACACACAGGCTGAAAAAAAACCACATGTTGTTTCTGGTACACATTTTCAACCGCCTCTTCAATTGTACAGCAGCCTACATGACTGATAGCATTTGTTTATGGTGTAAATCGAGAACACACATGTGCAACATCATCGTTGAATCGAGGACAGGAACCAAATCGAGGACGACGTTGATAAGAAAACGTGTGTGGGTAGGCCTACCTGTTTTGAAACTCGGCAATTATAATTTATCACAGTAACATACCAAAGACAGGATACATAAACACGGTGTTTTCCGCCGATGTAAACAGTCAGAGGGCCAAACATAACGATTTCAAAACTTTCCTAAAAAGAAACAAAATACATAGCTTTGCTGCTATGCCCTCTTTTACGACTGTTTATTTCAATTCATTCCATTCCATCAGAAAGCAGTTTGCGGCAGCTATTTGTCGCTATTGTGTTGTGCCCCATTTGTTGCCAACAGAATGTGTATTTCTTCCAGCTCTTGTAAAATGAAGAAAAGTACAGCACCCATATCCAATGTCGTGATCCGATACACCGTGCCCTCTGGAGACATGTACACAATGGGGAACAAAAGACTTTATACGTCTCCATAGGGCAATTTCTATAGATGAATAGAAACTCCACAAGGTTTTCACGAAATAGATATATGGATTTTACAAAAAAACTAGGAATTTCCAAGCTATGTTGATTGTAGCAAATGGAAGAGTTTTAGAAAAGGGATATTAAGTCCGAATTTCAGCCAAGAAAACTAATTCTGGTTAAAATAAGAGCATTTTGAAACTTCACTTTCAAACTTAAAAACTTTAGTACACGAGAACAAAGAAATGTCTCCACATGGATACAAATTTCAGTATGTGTGTTTACATCTGCTTTGATTGTATTTTTAATATACTTCAATTTAACATTTAGTACATTGTTTTGATTAATATTTTTGTAGATCTGAAACAGTCCTGTCCAGCTTTGAAAGAGATTGTTGTCAAAGATAATATACAATATTTGCTTTTGCGGTAATTTTCAGAAATGGATGGATTTGGGGGTCAGTATTTTATAGCAAATATTGTTACACTGACCTGTTTAAAGTTTGGCGTTCATAGACACTGGAAAAACCAAGAAAAAAACACGTTTTTGTGGTCTGGTTCTCTGACCCTACTTCAGACAAAACGGAGCAATTTATAGACTTCAATTGTCAGGTCAGGGAACCAGACTAGATGGCTTGCACCCGCTCATGGATGTGTAACTGATTGCAAACGAAATGCGAACTAACTAAATTTGGTTAATTGGGGGCAGTATTGGAAAAAAGTCTTCTACTTTTCCAAAGATGGCCGGCCAACCATCCTTACAAATTGATACAAAAATTCCACTTTTCTTCGAAATGACAGCACAACAGGTGCTATGATTTCACGGGATGTTTAAGACTATTTTGCAGTCAAGTAAGGTATTTTATAATAATTTGGTAGTTTTTTTTTTTTTTGCAAATGCTTTATATTACCTTTAAAGAAAAGCACATAAAAGCTGACGTTATCAATCAATTAAGACTTGGGTCTTGATTGTCCCTTTTTCCCAGCCTTGAACTTCTTGCCCTTATTTGTTTGAAAAGCTCTCTTCCCTTCTTCACTTTTCTGTCCACTCATCGTTTTCCTCCCACTTTTCTTTGGCAATCCGCCCGTCTTCTTTTTCTTCTTCCTGGGTTCGCCATTCTCGTCGTCATCAGACCAGAAGTCAAAATCCCGGACGATATCCTCCTTTTCCTCTCCGTCCTCCAGCACCTTGACCTTACCCTTGACCTTTGACATGGGATTAACCTTCTGCTTGACCTCTTCTTCTGCATCTGATGCACCCATATCATCATCATCTTCCTTAATTTCATCATCATCATCAAAATCATCATCATCGTCGTCATCATCATCATCATCATCGTTGTCGTCTTTGTGATGTCTCTTGCCAGGGGTGTATCGTTCCTTCTTTCGCTTGGCGCGGACCAGGATGTCATCCTCGGAGTCACTGTCTGTCTCAAACAGCTCGCTGAACTCGCGCTTGTCCTCCTCCTTTGCCTGCTGCTGCTGCCTCTTGCGCACCGTTGGGATGTCATCATCCATCTACATGATGAGAAAAAGATCAAGGATGTTATCAAACAGATACACTACTACATGGTATCTCAGGAGATGCACTTGTACATAATAGGGATGTCGAACTTTATTAGCACTGCGTACCCATGCTTCCTAAGAAAAATTCAGAAGCACCCTTGGACGGGACTTTAACCCACAACCTCCCACTTCTGAGTGCGCATGTCTTATGTACTAGACCAGATGACCACCAAGCTTGTCGTTCAGCTTGCCAGTTTCAGTCCGATACAAAATCAACAAAAAATGATGGAAATGGGTAATGAAAATTTGTCATGAGCCAATGTCGCTCAGGCTAGCATTTATCTCTGGTTTCCTGGGCATGAAATAACTAAGTACATTTCTATTTCCCATGGATGGGATGCCAGTACATCACATGTTACTCCCCAGCTAAAGCCGGTACCCATTTATACTCCTGGGTGGCAAGAGGCAAGTGGGGTAAAGTGGCTTGCCCAAGGACACAGCATATGGTATGCAGCAGGATTGGAACCCCTGACCATCTGGTTATCAGTCACAAACGCTAACAACCCAACCCTAACCCTAGGATACAAACTTTCAAAGATATGTGGCTGAAGGATTAACGATTACATGTACAAAGATGTGCCCCTAGTTTAAAGAGGTTGTGGAATGCTCGAAGACATTCCCGTCATTTTTCGGGTATATGTAGCCTAAGTTGTGATGAAATAAAAACGACTATTATTTCTGTCATAAAATGAGTACAAAAGGTACTTTTGAGAGCTGTTTTTCAAGTCCTGTCATGCCTGTTTCGACCCGATGCAGCATAGTATAAACGAGTCCTGTTTATTACGTCACAATTTACTGTGTTTTGTTTGCTGCCCGCAACGACGACTTTTACACAAATTGCACGCTCGGGTCGAAACAGGACCTGAAAAATAGCTCTCAAAAGTACCTTTTGTACTCATTTCATGACAGAAACAATAGTCGTTTTTATTTCATCACACCTTAGGCTACATATACCCCAAAAATGACAGAAATGTCTTTGAGCATTCCACAACCTCTTTAAGGCAGTGCCAATATGTGCTTCTAGACATGTTCCTGGCTTAGGGTTTATTTTAAAAAAAAATAAGGCTAATGGCTCTAAAAATGATTTGCAAAGATGTGACTTCTGAAGGACCTCACTGTCATCCTTCAATCAGTTATCATTCTGTAATCTGTCAGGGAAGATGATGAGGGGAAACTCTTACCTTGTCTTTGCCCGCCTCCTCTCGTCTCAGCTCCTTCTCCCTCAGGCTCTTGTAAGTCGCGCAGTGCTTGCTCAGCGTGGTGCCTTGCAGCTTCATCTTGGTCTCCCATGCTCTCTGAGAAGACACCAGGTAAAAGACCGGATCAGCCACTAATGAGGACTTGCTTTCAATAATAATAATTATAATAATTTGGGAGGCTAATCAAGTAATCATCCTTCTCACAGCTGAGAAGCTACAACGTAGTCGAGCCGCAGGCATGTTAAGGCGCCTTTGACAGCCATACTTCTGACTGTTGGTGACTAGCCTGTGTAAAAGGCATGGCAGGGGAAGTGGATGGACTTTTTGACTGTCTGTGACTGTTCAAACAGTAGGAGGGTTAATGCAAGGAGTAAGTTATCACTTACCACTGCGGCATTGTCAGCGACGCCGAAGGTCACCAGATCTCTCTGTCTGTTGATCTCCTTGCACGTCTCCTGGACCTTCTCCAGTAGGCCCTTCATCACCTTGCAGTAGTTGGCCACCTTGCACTTCTTCAGGAAGGCCTTCAGCTGAGTGAGTACAGACAATTAAAGATATAGTCCATCATTTGTAATTTGTGCATTTTGTTCGTTTGAAGCAACAAATGTGCTCAAAATCTAAATCAGGGTACTGACCAACTAACCTGATGAAGTTTCAGCTCAGCTTCAGCTGTATTTTCCGAGAAAAACAGCATTCTAGGATCTCAATTTCAAATCAAAAGTTGCTGAATCATGTTTTTAATTGGGCCTGAATTCAGCGTCCCAGACACGTTCTCACTGAGCCGACTGCAGCTACGCGATGTCGCGCACTAATCCGACGAATTATAGCAACCGCGTGCGTGTGCGTCGGGCCAATGCTTTGCGCACGCTTTGCCGAATAACAAAACGAACAACTAATTTAAATTTCCTACGGTGCGTCTTAAGAAGCACCATTGGAAAGGCCTTCTTTTGTTGATTACTTCAAAATGACAGCTTGCCAGAAAGAATAATTTCACAGGGAGTTTAGTCCCCTTACTATCTTTCAACCAAGTATGTTTTTCAACAATAATTACACCGGTTACTTTTCGGATAGCTGCAAATGATGGACTTTAGCTTTAAGTAAGGATTTTGAGTGTAACCTGCGATGGTAGGGACTGCGTATTTACTCTATGCATGAATCCCTGCATGCATGATTGGCAGCGTTGTAAGACTCACGTCCTGGGGCCAATTTCACGGCGCTGCTCAGCACAAAAATTTGCTTAGCACAAAAAAAGTCTGGCTTTTAAAAGCAGGTTACCGGCCAAAACTCCATGTGATGTATATTGCTCGTGATTAGTATTGAGCTGTTATTTGCTTTATCATGAAAATCACGTGGAGTTTTTGGCTGGTAAACTGCTTTTATAAGCCAGACTTTTTTTTGTGCTAAGCAAATTTGTTTGCTTAGCAGCGCCTTGAAATCGACTCCAACTGGGGTCCATTTGAGTCCCAATTCGGTAGACTCGGACTTGACCCAAGTCACATCTGCAAAAGACTCGGACTCGACCATCATGACTTGGACTTGACGCTATAATGATTCGTGACTCGCGAGTGAGTCACATTTTGTTTTTACCAAAAATATGACCTTTCAAAAACGCAATTGTAATATTTATTTTCCGAAAGTAACGCCGTTATAAAAACCGTTTTGTTATTAAATGTCCCCCCTCTATTTTTCCCACAAGAGCACATTACTTGCAAAACACTTACATGTATGTGCATAATCCATGTCCATGCACATCCATTTACGTATTATGCATTGGTGTATGTGTTTTACATAACCCCTGAGGACGGACACACAAAGGGAGAAGAAAGGATCCTTTCAGTCATCGGGCGTTGGGTCTTTTGTTCAAAACGGTCCTGTGTAGTAGGTTCGTGTGCTTAGTATACGGAAGAGTGTTATATTAAAGGGACAAAGGGAAACACAAAGCATTGTCCTCGGGAGTATAGTAATTCAAGAGTGTGTGTACATTTACATGTACACATCGGCAAATGACTCATGACTCGGACTCAGACATAAATCAAATTACACTGACTCGGATTCGAACAAAATAACTCATGAGACAGACTCAACCCAAGTGACTCGTGACTCAGACTCAACCCAAGTGACTCGTGACTCAGACTCAACCCAAGTGACTCGTGACTCAGACTCAACCCAAGTGACTCGTGACTCAGACTCAACCAAAGTGACTCGTGACTCAGACTCAACCAAAGTGACTCGACTCCAACATTGGCTCTTGGTACAAAGCCAAACTGACAGCTGGCACACTTGGTAAATAAACCAGCAAGAATTCGGCTCTCGCTCATGAATATGTATGAGGTATAGTAATGAAAGTTGGCTAATCTATAATTCTCTTGACTGTTTCTTTACAACAGACTAATCCTAAACTGCTTTAGTTAAAAATAAATACATGGACAGCATTTCTGCAGGTGTTGGGATGACATTACCTGCATTATTGCCGGCAAGGCTAGCTCAGGAAAGCCAATGGTATGACTGTGCACTTGTAGGTGTTCCAACATCAGCTCGTATAATTGGTCCATCAGGCCATCCTGGGGAAAAAAATATCACTTTCTGTTCCATTACTTCTACTAAAAAATGACCATGATAGCTGGGTTAAAGGGATCATTAAGTGAATATTTCTGAGGAACATATTTTGTGCTACTTTCCAATCCTCTTAAGTGTGTGAAAACTAATTGATATCCCTTTATGGTTAATCTTGTTGAAAAGTGCACTTCTTTAAACATTAAAAACATTTTCATGCTTTTCCGGACAACTGAGGGCACTGTTGTCGTGATGTCATTTCAGGGAGAAATGTTCATATTAGGTGTTTTTCTGCTGAAATAGTGAACCCAAAAAAAGATTATTGAAAACATCTGTGAGAAAAGTTTGCTCACCGGCTTACTGCCATGAACTGACACATCAACGAATCACTAATGACAAGAAACTTTACGACAGCGAAATGTCCAAAATGTTGGCAACTTTTTGTGCATAAACTAATTGCAACATTGAGGTTTCTGCCTGATATGACAGCACACTTTTGCTCCGGAATGCGGAAATTCGCATTGGCATAAAAACCAAAAAGGCACCTAAATACCATTGAAAATGACAAAATGAAAACTGAAAATAAGGTTAAAGGGACACAAATGTGCATTATCAAGGATTGCATTAAAAACAAATACATTTATAGGCCCTTTAAATTTGTCACAAGCACTGTGAGAAATGTCACAGATGGGTGGGACTTGAAGCCAAATTCGCAACAGTGAACTGTTTTTAGAAAGGGCACACTGCACAGGCCATATGGTACATGACAGCTTTTTTTTGCAGTTTGGGATGTTGGATACACAAAAGCACCCAGGAAGACAGAAGCATTTCCCAACGTAACATACCTTGAACGCTCGTTCATTGAGTTGTGACTTGGACACCCTGAGCATGACAGCAAAGTTCAGAGGTCGGAAGGACGCGCTGGTGTGCTTCTTGTTGAAGTCTGTCGACTCAAAAATCTGCGAAAAGGAACCCAAAAAATGAATTACTTTCAATCGATTTCAACTGAATTGAATACAACTCAAATCAATTCAAGATTAAGATTCATTTTCTGCCTTTGATATACAAAGAAAGAATACAAACATTTCCAAGGTAACTGCATCAGCATCATGACAAAACTGGTAGACAAAACAAAGTTTTGAAGGGACAACAAAAATGGTGACCAAACAAAACAAGGCAAGTAATGTATCTCAAACACAACAAAAATAAATCAAATAAACCTTTACGATGGGAAACTCGTTCATCGCTATGATTCATCAATGTTTGCCTTTAACTTCTGCAAATACTACTGGCCAATGCGTCTGAAGAGATTGCTCTTGTACGTGTGAAACATAATTTCTTAAGAAAATTTGCTTAAGACCGGATTAAGTACAAACTGTTACTGTTTGTTTTTCATTGCCTTCATGATTCAGCTCCTGAATACAACATAGACCTATTAACTCCTTACAATCCATCCAGGCGATTGAGATCTTCTGATGCTTCTTTGCTGGTTGTCCCTCACACTCACAAATCTTGGGGTGATCGATCATTTTCTTACGCAGGTCCTCATCTTTGGAACAAACTACCCCTCGCCATTCGCAATATCTCATCGCTTTCTGAATTTAAAGTTGCCCTAAAAACCTATTTGTTTCAGACCACTCAGAATATTCTTGTTTAGTTAAATTTAATTGTTTTGTTATTTCTGATTTGATATAATTTTGTTTGCGCCATGAGCGTCATTTATGGCGGATAATGGCGCGGTATAAATTTCCGTTATTATTATTATTAACAAAAATCAAAGCAGTATCCTGTACAAACTCACGGTTCATGTGTCGAACTTTCCACGTTGCTAAATCATTCTTAAGCACATAGTTAGCACAGAAAAAGCATGCATACATGCAGTTTATGTAACTGTTAACATGTTAAATAAATAACCAAGTAAAATATAGTTTTCCAAGAAGACTTTGACGTGGTTCTAATGTACCTCTAGTAGGAAGGGCAGGAGAGGTATGAATGTGCCCGTCGCCTCTGACAGAAGGTTGAGTGAACGGACAACCTGGAAACGTAGCGGGAAGTAGCGAGCAGCTGGGATCAACCTAAAGTAGGGCGAAGAACGAGTAATTGTTTAAAGGGGAGAAAAGGACTGTCAATAAAACAACAGGTAAATTTGGAATGTTTGAAATGTTTCATCGGAAATGTGTTGGCTCTCTACAGGTTCAGCTAATAGCTACATTTCTGGTGGTTACTGCGCAAACAAGTGGTTCTCTCGCACTGGGCAAGGGCATTTGTCAACAACAACAATGATTTGTCAACAACAACAATGATTTCACTGACAAAATCAACAAAATGCAAGAGTGGTCTAATTTAGTCATTTTAAAGCATTTTCCCAAAAGTGCCCTGGATCAAAATATGCATCAAGTTATTTCAGGCATTTCTAAAATTGCAGAGTTTGTCACAAACAATGAAACTTTTGACAATTTGGTGGTTCATAGTATACAAATATTGAGTGGCTCAGAGTGGAATGGGAGGAATATTACCGCAAGGTAAAATCTGGACTTTTCCATGTCGCGAGGCGAAACCGAGTGAACTGGAAAAGTCCAGATTTTACGAAGCGATAATATTCCTCCCATTTCACAATTTAAAGCACTCAATATTTGTTTTATATAACTGACATATAGATCCTTGTCATATGATATGTTTAAACTTTAATTTCAATACAAAATTAGTGGAAAATGTATTTCTCTATTCCAAACCACCCCTTCACGAAAATGTTTCAACCCAAATCTGTAACGTTGGCTCTTTGGAACAATACGCGCTATGCGCAACGCTAAAGGCGCACACCAGCATGCATTTGCACACAACATGGAACAAGAATGATCCTAACTGTTGAATAGTATTTCCCATTCACCATGGCCAAATGGGACGTTTTGAGCCCCAGTGTGAATGGGAGTAATATCGAATGTCATGTGATGTGAGTTCCACCAATCAAATGACAAGGATCTGTATGGCGGTTATATGATATTGTCTAGAGGGTTGCAATTTCTGGTGAAGATCTATGATGATGAACTCACTTGATGACCCCGACGGCCGTCTGAACCAGCGGGTAGATCAGTGGTCTGAGGGTTTCGTCAGCGTGTAGCGTTGCCAGGACACGACACCAGAGATTCAGGCAGTGGATGTATTGCCAATTGTACACAGACCGATAGGTGTCCTGTAACGGTACAAAGATAATTACTTTGCAAGTGAATAGAAATGCAACTTCATAGTCACAAACAACTGACTGATGCAATTGTGCAATGCCATGGCCTCATGGTCTGGAGCAAAAATTGAATTCTCGGTCTCGGGTAATTTTGCAGGTTGTGGGTTCGAGTCCAGCTTGCAGAGCCTGCAGCTATGGTGCGTGTGCCCTTGGGCAAGGCACTTTGTCACTCATTGCTTCTCTCCACCCAGGAGTAAACAGATACCTGTGAGGGCAGAGATGGTTATTGTGATTGATTTTAGCTGCTTTGTGCCGAAATGGCAGCATCGAGCTGTATACTCCCCAGGGAGCTGAAATGGTATTTGGAATGTTTCATTGGTTCAATGAGCAGGGTAATAATGATGTAGCGCCTTGAGCACCAATACTGATGGATACGTGCGCTTTATAAATACATACATTATTATTATTATGATGTTTGCCATTTCCAAGGTTTGCAGCATTGCTAATGTTGCTAGCATCATGACTTTGGGCATGATCCCTGGCAACATGACATATACAAGTTTAGAGCATCCATGAACACAAATATTTACAATGTTGTCAACTGCCAACATAGGGCTGGATGGCTCAGTTTGTAGAGCACCGTAACAGCAATCCGAAGGTTGCAGGTTCAAACCCCGCTCCATTCAATTTCTTTGTGCAATTTCATAATTATTCTTTGCACCTTGTCAGATACCTTAAGACAACCATTTTTCAGATTCCCAACGAACTTTTTTTTTTCAATTTAGAATTCGAAATTAATTTATAAAATTGGAATGAATACAGCAACACGTGAGCAGAAGTCCTTAAGAAGTGTACTACGTACCTTCTTTTTCACTGTGATTGCGTTCCGCAGATGGATGGCCAACTGTCTGATGTAAACAAATCCGTGCTGGTATGCCAACTGCGTGTTGAAGGCAAACATCTCAGTCAGGGAGCGCTGCATGAAGTTGATGAGGGGCAGGGTGGAGGGCGAGGTGAACTTGGAGTTCCTCACGTAGGCCAAGTACATTTGCTGAAAAGCACAAAACAAAACAAGAAAAATATGGAATCAAACATACTCAAACTACACAGCATTTCTCAAAAATATCACTAGCCAGTTTGTTTTAGAGGAAAAGAGGAGAAATCAAATGTCAACTTCACCACAAAAATTTCAGTTCATTGCAAGGATGTACAGTTAAGTTTGTGTGTACGGCATTAAAGTGTGACATGGAAGTGATAATTTGGGGAAAAGTTTGATTCGTCAAACGCAAGGCAACCACTGTTTATATACATGCTACTTCAATTGTCCAATTGTAGGTAGCAATCTCCTATTTTCCAGTCCAATCCAATGCAGTCTCTGCCACCATGCAGCGCCAGGGGAAAATTACGGCGAATACTTGCCATGACATCACATATTTGTGTTTGCATCAAATTTCACGCCGAGTATGAACCGGTCTTAACAGAGACGGTTTTGGGATAGTTCTTCATGCTTAGGATAAAGTCTCATACCTTGAGGATGTACTCCAGCCAGCCGTTCTTCTGCATGCAGCGATGGATCGCGAAGAGAGACAGGAAGGATAAGACACGGACCGCCTCCTCTCCTGTACTCCACAGTGAGACCAAACGCTGCCAAACAATGGGAAATCAAATCACTTGAATAATTACCATCATCCTCTCTGTTACAACCTCAGTGCATGGTGCTCCCCGGCTACTCTAAGACAGCTCCATGTGCATAACACAGTTGTAAGCTTGCCAATCACAAGTCAAGTCACAAGTCAAATCACAAGTCAAACTAGACTTCAGGGCTGTTTCGGCAACTTTTTTGTGACATGTAACAGGTGCGTGTAGAGGGTGCTCTAACATTTTATGACCTCACTGGTAATTTTTTTCTGTAAAGTATAACCTAGCCAAAGACTGACATTGTTGAAAGCAAGTTCACATCTTTTTCCACTTTCAAATTATAAGGCACTTCCGCTTTAGACCGGAAGGAAGGATCAAGTGATTTAGCACATATAGATAAAATGAAGATCCTGGATTACTCTATCGATTCCCGCAAACGTCAAGTTCAGGTCTCTCACAATTGATTTTATATTGATTTGCAAAGATTAAATCTATTAATCTTTAACGTGACGTCACGTCACCCATGATGACATCATCGTGACGTCACTTCAGTGTTCATCTATAACACATCCCAGTCTAGGTACATACCAACTTGCAACTCAATCGGACCTGTTGTTCTGTAGATATAGGCATTCAAAATATGCACTTTTAATGTGACGTCACGTGACACGCAATGAGGTCATGATGACGTCAATGTTCAAAATTGAAAATGCGTAATTTTCCATCAGACACCTGCTGAAAACAAGAAATTCCCTACATAACATGAAACCTGTTGACAAATCGAAAAATGTCACAGCAACATATGTAGCAAAAAGGCATATTTTTGCAGAGAAACTGCATTTTTTTCAGATCACAATGCACTGTGAATCGGACATGATGTACACATCCTCTCCATGTTAAGTTTGATTGTAAGAATGATGACAGCGTCCTCTTGTGTGGTATCTAGGAACTTAGAAGTCGTAATAGGATCAAATGAAGGACAATCAACAGAATATTATTCCTACCTTGACCAGGTCCTTAGCTAACCGTGGAAAGCAACAGTAATAAGGGATCATGCGATGGATGTGTCGCAACACAACACAGACGATGGTGGTCTCTGATAACTGCTTCAAGAGCTAGAAGAAAATTGGAAGACTAGCAGTGAAATGGCTGTGTAACAATTAAAACAATCCAAGCATAAACAGTAAAGATGGTAAGGTTATGACAGAAATATGCTAATTAGCCTTTGAATCTGTACCTTCATGATGTCAGTGATGTACATTTTGATACTGGCTTGTACTTGCTTCCACCGTTTGGAAGAGGATGGCAGATTTCGTCTGAAAAAGATGAAAAGATGAAAACCATGCAAATGTATTAGACCCAAAAGAACAACGACACACTTGAGACACCCTAAATTAAAAAAAAGATGTTAAATAACGCAGTGCCCATGCAAAATGCTAAAAGGGAATGTGAATGCGATGCAAATTTATGATGTCAAGAAACATTCACTGGTGGGCAAGATGGCTTGAGTTCCACCCTGAGCAGTTTGTGAAGATTTTTCTCACAATCACGCGGGACAACACTGAATATAAAGTGTTTATTAAAATGCATCGGTGAAGGGAAAATCCCCAATATTCAGGCATGCAACTGGGAATTTAGAAAAAACGAGGAAACCCCAAACCACACAAGACTTTGTACAGTATTTTTCAATTTGTAATGTCATTCATGAGAAGTAAAAAACGAGGAAATCAGCGGATCTGAGGAAAAGTTGCATGCCTGAATATTGAACGTTCACTGAGTTTGCCACAGTTAAGAATGTACTCAATGTTTGCAAATTTGTAGCCTGAAAACTTCCTGTGACGACCGAGATTTGAACTGACCTACACGATTTTTCAGACGTAACCCTGACTTTGTTACTTGACGGAGAGTGACTCACTTTTTCTTTGGTTTTTCTTCCATCTCTAGTATGTTCTGCAGAGTCGGTTGGACATGCTTCAGGCAGAGACTCACTACGGCATTGAACACTGCAAGGAAGGGAGGACAAACAATAACAGTTCTATTGAATGGCAGTAACTCATATTGCACAAATTTCTTGTACCGATTTTGAGGAGCAAACTGGTTTGCACAGAAAATAGACACTTCAGCAGCAAGAATGTCACGTTTCAGAGTATTCTATTTCAGGAAATGAGGAGTTACTACTGGTACTCCAAAAATAAATGCTCTATGGATGTAAACAGTCACAGCCACTTGCATAAACTTAACAGTTTCTAGACCATTGAAACTGTATTCATTAACCCTAACAGAACTCAACCCATCAAACCCTAACAGCATTGTATTATTGGAATCTGACAGAATGGGTACAGTACCCCTAAACTGACAGCCTTTTACATTGGGTTGGCACACCTCCAGAATCAAAGTCAGAAATATGTGTGTACACTTTCCCATATGGTGTTGGAATTTGCCAGGATGGGTATGGTTCCTAGTAAATCACGCTAGGGAGTTTGGGTTAATACCTGAGGCAGTTTACCCATTCCTATTGGTCGAGAGCCCGTCACTTGGACTCCTATGAAATCTGGTCCCTTTTGCCCATTTATTGATTGAACGTTCAAAATCTTCACTTAAAGCCATGCACAAATACTACCAATGAGTCCGTAATTCGAGAGTCGTAAATTCATACTACACCGGCACTGCTGCGTTCTGCGCCACTCGCACAGTACGTGCCACGCGCTCGCCAATCTCCATATAAGGAGATGTTTATGACTACTCGTGAGAGGCACATACCATACCATAGCTAGAGGGGTGTTTAAAAACACATGAAGTAAAATTGCTGCACAAAATTGTTGGACATTTATAATTTTAGGCTTGTTCTGACTTTTTGACTCATAGGTATTTGTGAATGGGAATAAATATGTGCTTGGCCGGTATTACACAAATACGTTTAAAACCAGCTCAGGGGCCTGGTTGTGAGCCAGTTTTTAAACGTAATTTTTAAAACCGGCAAAGAACATATTAATTCCCTTAGTATTGACAACATTCATGCATAGTATGTACACTGTACATGCGTTATCAACTTACCCCCACTGCCCTCGACTCTGTATTTGTTGCCCTCCTCATCTGATGATATTTGCTGCACCGCTGCTCGGAAGGCCTTCACTACCTCGTGAAAGCTGTTCAATGACGAGGCCTTCAACGACAATAACACAGTTTGCAATGAGCACATGTTAACTTAATCACAACTCCCTCTGAATTTTATCTTTAACAATCCTGGGCCCACCAAATTACATCTTCCTTCAATAAACCAAATTAATTCAATTTTTTCCAACTTTCACTCGGGAGGTAACGCACAGTATACAGTGTTTAAATGTCGGTGAAGGGCAAAACCTAATTTGATTTATACCACCCCGACGCAAAATTCCATCTTATAATAGTTTATGCGGTACCCGCTGCTATGTACATCAGATATAAACCAGCCAACCGATCCCGTTAGCTCGGTGGTCGAGTGGTAAGACATTTGCACTAGAAAGCAGGAGGTTGTGGGTTAGAGTCCCACCCGAGTGATTTTTTCCAACTTTCACTCGGGAGGTAACGCACTGAGTATACAGTGTTTAAACGTCGGTGAAGGGCAAAAACCTAATTTGATTTATATCACCCCGACGCAAAATTCCATCTTATAATTCAATAAACCAACTGAGAAAAAAATTAATTGAGATAATTTTTCATCCAAATGCACATAATACCAGAACTACATCAGCACATTGGACAAGTTTTAGTTGGAGTTTCAGCAGATTTCAAGTCAATTTTCAAGCCCCCTAAAGACTTCACCTGAAGTTGTTGACGCCATTTAGTGACCATCGCCAGGGTTACGTCCTTTCCCTCGCGTTTTGGGGGCTTGACTCTGTCGCCGTCGGCAACGTAATCCTCATCATCGCTGTCAACTTGCTCCTGTGGGGAAAAAAAAAAGAAATGCCAAAATTAGTCCTCAGCTTACCCAGGGCTCGACATGTTTTTGGTCACTAGCCAGCCACTGAAACAGGCCCCTAACTAGCCCATGGGCATTTTCACTTGCCCGCATGTTTTTCTTTTGTCCAGAATCTTTTTAAACATATGTCTGACTTAAAAATGTGAAAAAGTAAAACAATGGCCAATCATGGAATTCTATTTCCTATATTGTGTAGTGACTGCCCCTTTAACCATAACGCGACTTAATGTAAATAACAACATTGGCGTCACATGTAAAGAACTCGCCAATCAACGCCAGCGAACATCTTTGACTGGTACCCTGTAATGTACATATAAATTCGCTGGTGCGTCCACATGTGGTCCGTGTGGGTTTTTCCATGTGTTCTGGCTGTTGGTGAAAAGTTAGGAGTTATCGCGTTTTGTCATTTTTGAGCACCAATCTTCAGCATAATTTTACCAGCGTTTATCATCGTCTTCGTGTGTTTTCGTCAAGTCAGTAATCGTCTGTTTGTGTCCTGAACAATCCTCGTGGATGAAAACTCTATACGAACTGTGGTTCGTGCATCCGCGCCAGGAGAGATATCGCGATCGACCAGAGTCAGTATTCGTCCTGAGGCGAGAAGACCGAGCGAGTGGACTCGTGCCCAATTCACGGACAAATACCTTGGTGAGTTGACAACAGCTTTCGTACTGAGTATGTGAGTGGAGTCAAAAAAAAATAGCTGAAAATAGCTGAACCTGTAAATAACCGAACCTGCGAGCGCGAAGCGCGAAGCCCTTACGGCGTGGGGTCCGGGGCCCGCCCAAGGGCCCCGGAAAAAAATTGAAATGTAGATGCTCTGTGGTGCATTTTAAAAGCCTCCTGGCATGCCTGGGCCAACTATTGGTCGAAAATGTTTTGCAATTTATGCATGTTTTTAAGTTAACTTTTCCTTCATATTGGCTTGAAACTGCCTACCTAAAGTTGTATACGAAATCTGGGAAATTCGACCACGTTTTCCATATTTTAACTCCTTACTGCATGTACTGCACATCGTCATCGCGTGTTCCGGCTTCTGATCGAGTCGCCTAATTTCTGCCCATTAACCATGTGTTCCATCCAAATCCATTTCCACGGATTCGTAACCTGAGGATCGGTCTTGTCAATGTCCGTATCAAACTCCGAACCTCTTTGGATAATAACACATTTGTGTTGCACTGACATCTTGCGGAATTAATAATGTCAAAATACGTTCGAAACATTTGAAACGATACACTAACGTACGTATCAGCATGCAGCGAAATACGCAGCAGGATGCGTGCATGCAATGAAATGCACACATGAACTTTGCCCCGCATGATGCCCTCTACCGGCGCGGCGACAATTTACTAGTCTTATTTCAAGGCTTTATATTTGCAACAAGACGATGTTTACAGCGAGTTATTGTGGAGATCATCGCGTGTCACTACATGCATAGACACAGGAACGGCCGCAAAGAGTCCCAACGCGCTTCATGGCGCATGTGTGAATATTCATACTTATCTGCAGCCAATCACAGCGCAATGACTGTTCGTTCCCTGGTTGCTGTTTACACGTTGTGTACACACGCGGCTTCGAGCTGAAAAATGCATGCACATGGCATCGTATAGTACACACGTACGTACAATGTACATGTACATGTACATGTACATTGAATACTCGCTTGCACGCACCCCATCCCAGAGCTACGTGTATGTTGTAGAGAGCGGATCGCGTGCGTTCGGCGGCGGCGGAAAATAAAATAAACGGAAATAAAATCAATGCTTACGCGCGGGGAAAAAGCGGGGGGAAATCTGGACCATCGGAAAAAAATAAGCGGAAAACAAAATGTGGCACGCTGAACAAAAAAGCGGAAATCCGCTAAATAGCGGAGATTTCACACCCCTGATAACTATAAATATACTACAATTGCATACATTGTGGCTTTGAGCACGTGCAAAGTAATGCGGGGCTAACATCGGAATCTTGAACACAGTTGGCACAGCCGTCATATGACTTTTGGGCAATAGCTTTCCTTGAACAATTTTTCTGGCCTCCTTTTGGAGGATCCATTCTAGGACCTCACCTCCAGTTTGTCAGGCAGTTCGTGGACGGAGCCCTCCTCGTCGCTGGAAAGTTCGTCGTCAGAGTCGTCAAAGGCCAAGAGCTCCTGGTCATTCTCTTGGAGGAACTTGTAGAATTCGGGGTCCGATTCCTTGAGTTTCTCCAACGACTGCTTGTGTTTGCTCGACCTTTTGCTGAAGGAATGAAAAATGTAAAAGGTTCTAAATCTAACAGCCAATGGGGGAGGGGGGGGGGGGGTGATTCCAACTTTAAAATGGTTGGAGAGTCCGGATTAATTAGCAGGAGATGAAACAGATACACTATTGCTTTGAGTTTTACCCAGACCATCCCAGATCCTGCAAAATACACAAACAGGTTTTCGGAGGATTTTGCAAGATTCAGAAAAGTACAATACATGTATGTAAAGCCTTCCAGCAATTGCTGAACATTGGACTCATATCTCTTGGAAGTTTAATCACAGAAAAACTTGCATTTGTTTTCAGCACAGTACTGGATTTTGAAAGACTCAGGAAGGCTTTTTGCAAAATTGCCTGGGCAGTTAAAATTTACACGTTTTTTTTAGCAGAGCAGAGAGTTGAGGCCTCAGTTCTCTAGTTTGTGTAGGTTTATCCCTTAGTTTTCCCCGATTTGTTGGTGTTGTTCCCTGAGTTTTTCCTGACTGGAAAATGAAAACTCATTTTCAAGGTTTTCCCTGATTTCCAGAGTGGCTGGGATCTCTGAACTGGAACACAGCTTACCCATCTTGGGCTTCTTCCGTTGGAATATCTTTTGCTCCAACATCTTCCTCATCATTATCGTCATCTTCAACTCCATCTTCTTCAGCTTCTTCATCATAATCATCATCCTCCTCCTCTTCCTCCTGCCCTACATTTTCATCCTCTTCACCCTCCTCATCAAGATCCTCCTCCTCATGAAGGTCTGCCTCCAGATCAGACAGCTCACTGCCAGAGTCAGAGTCAGAGGCAGCCATCATCTCCTCCGCTGTCATATCCTCTACCTTTTTTCTGTAATCATATAATCATAAAAAACTTGACCAGGTTCATTTCAACTCTATCCTTTAAACATTTATCTAGGAATATTCTGATTGGCTGATCGGCACAAGCACACAATAACCACAACACAGCCATGACAGTGTGGCACTGGACATTTTTTTCTGAAGAAGCCACTGAAGTCATCAATATTTTTCATATTTAAGTCACTCTTGATCTGTTTCAAGTCAATCATTAGCTTCGTGAATGACTGCTGCATGTTTATAAGGTATCTAAATGGAATCTGGTTGGGATAATATAGTACTAGAGGGAAGAAAAGGCGATCGTGTATTTACGGGCCCGGTTCCTATAAGGGAACAAAATCTACTTTTAAATTATTTGACCTACCAAACTAGTTGGCGACATTAAGAACATACAGGTATGTCATAGAAAAAGGGCAGGGTTTTGAATTTTTGACATACGTTTGAGGGAAATTTGGGGGTAAAATGACGATTACACCACACAACGCAACACGAAAATAAAGATGGCGATCACCACGCGATGTACCGTGAGCACGCAAGTCGCCCTGCATGGCATCAACCGGCCCACAAACTGCATTGGAAAATCCTTATTTGCAACTGTTCAACATTTCAAATATTACCAAAAAGATGTCATTACAATAACAAGATTCAAGAAAGTCTGCTTTAGCCTACAACGTCATTTTTTAGTAATAAAAATTTGATAATAATTAATAGGGCCTACTTTAACTTTGTCATGGCCCATAGACTTTGGGAAAGATTCCCATATCTTTCCCATTTCTTGCTTGAACAAACATGGCCGGCTACATAAGTGTCGGAAATACAAGTACACAGGTTAAATCACGGGGTAAAGACCTGAACCGTGATTGAACGACCGTCGACCGTCCAGCCAGTGACTGTCATCGACATCATGGTCATCATGTCACGGAGAAAGATCTAGACAATCATGCACGAACTCAAACCTACAATTGACACACGAGATTAATAATCAACACTAGCACGTCTTATCCAGTTTTTTTTCGTCAGAAAGGTAGTTTTCACCAACCTGTTTTTATTTTTCGACATCGTTGCCTACTTCAGTTTCGCAACACGTGCTAACTCCCATGCGTTTGCATACGATCGGTTCCTAGCTACGTCCCCTAATATCGTAATGATCAATACCATAAGGTCTGGGTACCCGTCTATACTTGTTTGTGAGCGTAGGCGGGGCCTAGGAATTTCGGAGGGTGCGTGGTGGTAGTACTCTTCTACAAAAGCCCTGGTTTCAGTAAAGGTATCAGCAGAGGGATGAAATTTGGCCTTACTAATGTTTATTTTTAAAATTATTTTTGTGTTAGCGGAAACTTTGCTACAAGTAGGCCCAGTACAAGGAAGGCCGCTTTCGCACTCATAAAGAATGAACTGTTGAAAGAAGACTACTGCCATTTTACAAATACGGGCTTCGTTTCGTTTGGGGAATCTAGTTAAAGCCCAAACGAAACAAAGCCGTGTTTGTGAAACGGCCATGCCGGACGATTGTAGTCTTGGTAAAAAGCGTTAGAGTTCGGAATGGACTGCTTCACGGCCAATTTTTAGTGCACGCCCGACGCGTGATTTAACTGATTTGCCTTAAGTTAAAATGGTTCTAGAAATACGTAATAATGAGAGCTCACTTCTGAAAAATATAACGCCCAGCACTGAGAATCTATAGAGAGGGAACAACATCATTCAATAGTACTGTGTCTTGAAACAAGACTAATCTTTCGAGTTCGCGCCACTCGCCCGTGAAAGTTTAAGTAAATATCTTGTAAACATCTGTCAATCTGAATCAAGCTAATTTCCACTTTTAGCCCTGCTGTCAAGTGTTACTGGTTAGACCATCTTCAAGATACTTCCCCAAGAAATCTTCCGTGCTGAGGCTAAAGACGTAAGTAATCTCATGACATGTTGAATGAATAAACTTTTACTGAGTGATCGGATTTGGAGCAGTGGGTGCGGACTCTGCAATAAAACAGATAGGCTACTTGTTGATGTCACAAGCATTGCATGCATTGACAAGTCTGTCTGACCAGCGTGCATCGTGTGAAGGAACACATGGTCTGATGGGGCGGGGAGCTGAGAGGTGCGGTGTTGTTGGTGGGATGGTGTTGGGGGGGGGGGGGGGGGATGAGCTTGGGCTGGGGCAGGGAGATCTCACCTAGACTGCCATATCTGGCATGTCTGGGCAATCGTGTCTGGGCAATCGTGTATGGTGTAGTGTAGTGCCCCTGTTTTGTTTCGATCAAATTAGAAATTATAGAATCAAGAAATTTTTTTTATTTCTAACATTTTAAACAATCACATTATCAACCTAAAGCAGACTTCTCTCAATGTAATGACACTCTTTTTGTTATTTTTGAACAGTTTCTATGATTTTCCTACTCGATTTGCGGGTCGGTTGGTGCAATTGGTTGGTGCCATGCAGCGCGACTTGCATGCTCATGGTACACATGGCATGGTACATCGCGCAGTGATCTTCATCTTTATTTTCGTGTTGCGGTTTGTCGTTGTCATGGTCATTTTACCCCCAAATTTCCCTCAAAAATTCAAAACCCTGCCCTTTATGTATGATATGTTCTTATGTCGCCGACGAGTTTGGTTGGTCAACAAATCTTAAAGTCTGAAACCAACAATGTATATATAGTAACATAAAGATGTTATGAAATTGCGTAAATTTCAGCCTAAATATGCAGTTGCGTCACTACAAAGTCCGGTTCCCCGTGAACCTCAGCACCTAGACCAGCCAACCTGTCCCATTATGCAAGGGTTTGTTTTAAAAGATTAAAGCTTTTTTAAACAAATGTACCATTTTTCTTTCAAATTTGCTATGTTTTTTCTGTCAAATATCCATGTTTGCAGAATTCTGCCAGAAATCTGCCAAAAAAATCCATTATGTCACATTTTCTGTCAAAGTCATTTTTTTTTTACAAAAAATATGTCAAAGTTAGCAGAAAATGGGCTAAAACGGTCACCCTGATAGTAAATGTGAACTTGTCTCTGCTGGTCTGCTGGCTGTACTAAATAAGGCTTGACTATGTGGCAGATTATATAGGGGGAACTTGTGGGCCGAAATAAACAAACACATAGGGGGACACACTACCAAGAAAGGGGGGTGGAGGGGACATCTAAACTGAAACTAAAATTAATTTCTTTTTCCAGAGGGGAGCTACATTACTCCCATTAAATACATCGATGCTGTATACAGTGACACTATGCTCTGCACCCTGAACGTGACCAGCAGGAAGGTCATGAGTTCAAAGTTGACCGAGAACATTAAATCTTAATTGTCCTTACCCTCTTGAGTTCAAGCTGTCACAGAACTATAAATCTTCAATCTTAACCTTGCATTGACCCTGACCTGAACTGTGGAATTTTCCTTGAACACTGTACACCAAAAAAAAAACCACCTTGTAATATTCATGTACTTGTTAACTTCTGTTTTGTACTTCACACTGTACATTTTATCTCATTCTTCTAATAGCACTTATTATACAACATTTGAATAGATCCCCATCATCTGATTGGTGGATCGTTGATCACATGTTATTGAATTATTCGTACCAATGCACGGCGCGCGCGTGGCGTGCAACGTGGCACGCAGCGCACAGTGCAATGGAAGTTTTATTGCACAATGAATAGAACTTCCATTGCACGGTGTCACTGCTGCCGCTGTTTTAAATCGAGCTGAATTGAATATGATTGTACTCAACCTGTTGAACAGTTTGCAATATTAATATAAATATATGATGAACTTGTCGAATTTTTAAACAGTTTTAACCTGAATAAATTGGCTATTAAAAGTCAACCAATCAGATGACAAAGATTTAGTCAGGTGTTATATAAAACAAATAATGAATGTTTCACATTCGTGCAATGGAAAGAAGAATTTCATTCGGTGACAGATGAATTACCATTGCACTCACAAACATTCATTATTCGTATATTGGACACAAAGTGCACCGCTATCTTGTACTAAACTTTACAACTAAATCTTGGCCCTACCACACTAGCAATAGGCCCCCCCCCCAATCATGCAAATCGTGCAAAGAATATTGATAGGGATGTCAAATAAATAATAAAAACAAATTAATAGGCCTGCAAAGTATTCAAATTGAAGTAGGCTTACCAAGAACCGGTTAGAACTGCATTATTTCCATTATTTTGTACTGGCACATCAGGTTTGAAAAAAAAAAAAAATAGTTTCATGGGTGATTATTTAGGTCTTTGTAAATAATTTGTATATGAGGCGTGAATTTTTGGGGTTCATGTGCAGCTTTTCCTCTAGCGTTGCTTACTACATGTGCAACAGCGCCTTAGTGGCAATGCCATTGTGTGTAACTCTTCACTTTTTTGTGATGACCTGACCTCGACAATGTGTGTTACAATAAATGTGTGTTAGAATGAGTGAAACACTTTACTTTTTCCCCCCTAGACCGAGTCCTAAGATGCCTCCCAAAAAGAAACCACGTAAGGTACCAGCGTCCCCACCTACCCCCAGACGAAGCGGACGTACAAAGAAGTCGCCCCACGTTTGCAGTTCTTGTGAAAGTGAGTGCGAGAACACCTGTTCACGGCCGGAAAAGAAGCCGAAAACAGGGAAGCCCAAGACAGCTGCCGGCAAGGCGAGGGCCACACCAGACGTTAAGCCCCCTACATGCACTCCAACTTCCAGCTACAGTTTCCAATGTGCACCTCCCTCCAGGAACGCCGGTATGCCCTCCAGAAACGCCGGTATGAAAAAGGCCCCTGAGGGCAATTCCACGGTTACTCATGTTACATTTTTGATGTACTTTTGAGTTTCCTTGGGCTGTAATTACCTTACTGAAAAGGTTTGATAACTGTTATCCCCATGGTAGATAGAGTAGACCTAGACCTACCTAAGCACCAAAGATGACATCCAGAAAAATGTGTTATGTATGGTGATACATACACAAAATCGGTTACTCACGTTACGAAAATGTAACGTGATTAAACGAAAATGAAACGTGAGTAACCGATTTTGTGCGTCTTGTTTATTATACATAACACATTTATCTGGATGTCATCTTTGGTGCTTAGGTAGGTCTAGGTCTACTCTATCTACCATGGGGATAACAGTTATTAAACCTTTTCAGTAAGGTAGTTACAGCCCAAGGAAACTCAAAAGTACATCAAAAATGTAACGTGAGTAACCGTGGAATTGCCCTTGAAATCTGTTGCATTTTCCCCTAAAGTGACCTATAGGCCATCAGCCAGAGGGTTTGGTCGGTATCAAACGAGGGGAATAATGGTCATTGTATAAGTACTTTTTGGCAAGGTATGCACCGCTGCAGTTGGAAAATATGTGATAGCATTGCAGCGGTGGCAGCTTTTTGGATGCAGCCATGCAACTTTTCCTCAGATCGGCTGATTTCCTCGGTTTTTACTTCTCATGAATGCCATTACAAATTGAAAAATACTCAGTGTACAAATAAAGTCTTGTGTGATTTGGATTTTCCTCGTTTTTTTTCTCTAAATTCCCAGTTGCATGCCTGTGGATTCTATCACTTTACCCCCTAAAAAGATTGCAGCCGATGCATGCTTGTCACCACATATAATTAATCCAGTTCAAACATATTAGCGGCCATTTTTGAAACAAAAAAATCAAAGTGATAACACCAAAAAAAACTGCCATAGCTCACACTACAAAGCTATCGCACATTTTCTAATTTTAATTTAATTAACCCTAACCGCCCTGAATCCTCCAAAATCCTTTTTGCAAATTGGAGGAATTTGCAGGATTGAGGTTACATGGCAAAAGTGCGTTGCTGATTTCGGAGTACGCACTGTGTCAAGGTCTTGGGCCGGACCTTGTGTTGTTTATGCTCATCCGTGCATAAATTTAGTCCTTGATTATACTTTACAACCTCCGTACTGCTCCAGGATGTCACTGCCTCTGCCTCAGCCTATTGACAGACATAGCCGGAGAATTTTGCAGGATTCAGGCAGTGGTCACCCCTCCATGGACAATATTCAAGAAACAACGGAGGAATTTGCAGGATTGAGGCTATATGCTATTTTTCCATGGGGCCAATTGGAGGATTTTGCTGGATTGAGGCTACATCCTAGCAAAAAGGCCTAGGGAGTTAGGGCTAGCTAGATATGTATACCTTGCCAAAAATTGCTATGAGCATTGCTCTTTTCAATTATTTGATACTGGTGGCCCAATTTTTGGACTGAAGCTGTATTGACTTTTTATCAAGCAGCTTTTTGGAGTTTAAGGGTTTCCTGTTGCAAAATTCCTGTTGCAAAATATTGAATATTATAATATTCTGCAAGTGCAGCTAAACCCCTAATCTATGTAACAGACCCTGGCCCTGGCCCTGGCGAAGGCGACCTTGGTCTACTTTGTGCAGCTGCAACCGTAAATTCCCTTATTTTGATCTTTTTTTGTTTATACAGCCAGCGCTTCCACAGATGATCAGTCAGCATCGGCCCAGTTCAGAATCGAAGGCAACATCATGTACAAGAAGGCTCTACAGGAAGGCATCTCGCCTTGTATCAAGATGTCTCGCCTAGAAGACGCGTTGCGGTTGTACACCAGAGCTGCGAACCTGGCTGACGGGCCGACGAAGGTGGCCAAGTGGGCATCTGCCACCAAAAACTGCGGCATGGCCTTGAAGAGGATGGCCCAGGAGCACCTCCTGAGAAACCAGGACGAGTCTGCCGCCCTCCCGTTATTCAAGGACTCCCTGAAGCAGATGGGCCACGCTCTGTTGCGGGGGAGCAGCACTCAAGGCGAAGCATGGCAGAACAAGCTCCGCGAAGAGATGGAGGCCTCGTACTTTGAGACACAGGAGATCATCAGCAATCTTGAAGGTGTCAAGGAGAAGGTGCGAGAGATGCACATAATAGCGAGCTATCTTCCGGCTGGAATGGTACAAGCTGGGGCACACTACCTCCTAGCCAACACCCTCTTCAAGGAGTCCGTAAGACTCCTGGAGAGTGGCGAGTACAAGGAGTGCCTGAACTGCCTCCATGATCTCCACCAGCCAGTAGAGGAAGCCTTGGGCTTCCTCAGAGGGAGAACCTTGGATCAGGAATCAGAGGACCTCCTTTTCGAAGTGAAGGTCCTAAAAAAAGACGCCCGCTACCAAGCGTCATCCGCGGAGTCGATCCAGGCACGCAAGAGCGGCGAGGGACTTCTGGAGCAACTATTCGAAACCGAGGAGTTCATCGATATGGACCTTGTATGGATCACTGTTGATTGGTTTAAGGAAGCCAGCCTAAAAGTGAGTATAATGGCTCGGGAAGTATAATGGCTCCCTGGAAACACCTCCGAGGCAAATTCCTAAACACACCAAGGTTTCGCTGCCTTTGTGTGGACAGCATGTGGATACTCCAGTTAAAGCTATAGTCCATCATTTGCAGCTATCCAAAATGTAACTGACGTGATTATTGTTGAAAAACATACTTGGTTGAAAGATAGTAAGTGGACTAAACTCCCTGTGAAATTATTCTTTCTGGCAAGCTGTCATTTTGAAGTAATCAACGAAAGAAGGCCTTTCCAACGGTGCTTCTTAAGACGCACCGTAGGAAATTTAGATTAACAGGTCGTTTTGTTATCAGGCGAAGTGCGCGCAAGTGTTGTCACAACGCACACGCGCGCTCGGCTGCTATAATTTGTCAGATCGTAGCGCGACATCGCGTACTGAGCTGAAACTTCATCAGGTTAGTTGTTCAGCACCCTTCTTTAGATTTTGAGCACGTTTGTTGCTTCAAACGAACAATATGCACAAACTACAAATGATGGACTTTACCTTTAATGGCTTGCTTGGAAATAGACTGATACATACTGCTCTGCCCACTGTGCACATGCGCATCTCCAGTGTCTTACTGAAAATGTTGAACTTGCATGTCATTTGTGAGTGCATATGTTGCAGATAATCACGGCCGTGTTTTGTCGAACCATTGGGTGGGCCTTAACCCTCCTATGCAAACATGCATCTTGTGCCAAGTTGTCCTTAAGAATCAGTCAAGGCATTGTTTTTAATGATTGACTGGCTGTGACTGTTTATGTAACTTGACACAGCTATGCTTTGACTGTAGGTGATTGATAAGACAGCTGTGTCAACCATGAGTGCTTGCTTGACATATGATCTGACTGTTGGTGACTAGCCTGTGTAAAATCATAACAATAATAATATAGTGCTTATATAGCACTTTATACCAAAGGTCTCAAAGCGCTTCACAATTATTACCCCTGTTAATCAGGCCATGATACCAGTTTCTGCAGCAGCTCAAGATCAACGCAATCTGGTCTCTACCTTCACAGGTACCCATTTATACTCCTGGGTGGAGAGAGGCAATTGTAGGAAAGTGTCTTGCCCAAGAACACAAGCACCATGTTCCCCTTCCGGGTTCGAGCAAGTGAGCCGAACACCGTAACCATTGGACCACAGTGCTCCACAAAATCATGGCAGGGAAAAGGATTGATTTTTGACTGTCTGTGACTGTTCGGATAGCAGGAGTGTTAAGTTTGCTTTTCTTTGGCCGTAGGTCACACCACCAGTGACACCGTACTCTTATTCTTACAGGCAGCCGAGCTTGACCTAGAACAGGAGGCAGCAGCCCTCAGTTATCTGGGCCTCATTAACCAGAAGATCCTCTTCTCGAACGCCAAGGCCAAGTCGTACTACAAGCGCTGTCTGGAGCTCGTCGATGCGGCCAAGCCGAAGACATTTCTGAAGGAGAAGTGGTATAAGCAGTGCGTGAAGGGGTACCAACGCATTCAGGATCAAGAGCGCTGGCGAGACGAGGCAGCCCAGCAGAAGATCAGACGAAAGGTCAGTGTTCATTCCTTCTGTGAGGCACACTCGGAGTTAATATTTGGAGTCAAGAAATGGACTTTTGTTAACCTAGTTTGAGTGAAGAAGGATCAAGGGATGCCTGGTCACTTTACAAAATCTTTACTGAACCTTGGGCCGATTTCTTATCTCATCTTAGGACTTGAGACGAGTCCCCGCTCTCAGATTGATCTTAGCTAAGATGCCTCCTAAGACCAATTTCAGTAAACCCATCATAAGCAAGACCCATCAAGGCTGCCAATTTGATGACTGTTTCATGTTTGTTTTTTAAGCGCTTGACGAAACAGTCCCTGCAAAACCAACTTCCCGCGCCCGTGCGTAGGACACAAACTTTCGTCAGAAATATTACTCCGCTCAATAAATTTCACACTCAAGGTACATGTGGGTCTACACAAGATACGATAGAGTCATTCTTGCTCCCTGTTTCATCATTTTATTTTGAAAAAGGGGTAGGCGTATAATCAAATTGTGCAAATAAGCTATATTTTTATTAAAACTATAAAAATCTTTTCAAATCTGTTTCTACAGCGGTTTTCTTTCTCGAAACTATAACAGTAACTATAACTATAACTATAACTCAAGACGAGTTACACGTCTTGAGATGCATCTTAGCATTTCGTGAAATCAGCCCTGGTATGGAACTCAACCTTCAGATGCTACCTGTTTGACAAGAAGAGGGAGTCAATTGTCACTTTTCCAGAGAGTCGGTGTTGAATGTGGAAATATTTGGAGCTACAACAACTCTTTCCCTATTCCAATACCTGTAGCGCAATTAACATACGAACACAAGAACACCGAGTTGTTTTTGAAACGAAAAAGTTCCCCCTATTTGGGGGATGGGGGGGGGGAGGGAGAATTGCAATAATACACATAAAGAAGATGTAACATTTTATGAGCCATTTTTTTTTGTAATTTTTAAAAGTTGAACAAGGAAATTGACTGGATTGAACCTGCGACCTACGGATTGCCGTTCCGGTGCTCTACCAATCAATCTGTCCAGCCCTTTTTTAGCGGTGCCCTCATTCATTTTGTTTCTTTCAAAGTACCAAGTCGGTTGTGGTTTATTTGAAAAAAAATAAATCTTTTTGTAAATTAGATCCTTGACGGCTTGAAGGACGAACTGGACGCACTGGAAAAGGCCAACACCAGCGCCAGCAGCCTGATGGAGCACCTGTACAAGAGCCATGCGCCGCCCAAGAGCCCCAAGTTTACAAAGAAGCACCTCGAGGAGCTGAAGAAGAACGAGGCTGAAAGCCATACGTTTGACCTTGAGAATCGCAAAGCACGGAAGAAGCTCCTCCTGAAGGCGTGCCAGGACTTCCACCCCGACAAGTTTGTGGACGCGAAGGGAGAGACCGAAGACGACAAGGCTCAACGCAAAGTCCTCATGGAGGAAATCACGAAGATGATCACGAAGTATTACGAGCACCTAAAGCTGGGTTAGTCAGGTATCGTACAGGGTGTATCCAAAAAAGAATAAAAATATTGGATTAAAATTATAAACTTAAGTACATGTATATGTGTAGTAGTTTTTGTCCAAAACTGAATTTCGATTTTACTCAACTTGTAACAGACGCACTCTGCGCAGGTCGTGCAACCCATTCCACCATTTTTTATACTACATGTATTTCTTTTTGTGTAGTAGAATTAACCCTAACCGCCCTGAATCCTTCAAAATCCTCTTTGCCAAAGTGGAGGAATTATATATTTGGAGGATCAAGGTTACATGGCAACAGTGCATTTATATACTGATTTTGTTGGATGCACTTTGTCAAGGTCTTAGGCCAGACCTTGAGTTATTTTTGCTCAGCCATGCATAAATATAGGCCTGTATTATGCTTGAAATCCTCTGTACTGCTCCAGGATGTCACTGGCCAAGCCTCAGCAGGATTTTGCAGGATTCAAAACTTGAAATTGTTTAGGCCCTCCACGGACCATACGCTCACCCCTCCACGGACCATATTCAAGAAATAATGGAGGAATTTGCAGGATTGAGGCTATATGCTATTTTTCCACGGGGCCAATCGGAGGATTTTGCAGAATTGAGCCTTCATCCTAGCAAAAAGGCCTAGGGAGTCAGGGTTAATCAACAATTACAAAAATACCATAAAATGGGAAAAACATCAACCCACTTCCCCCCCCCCCCCACCCCCATTCAGTTTTTGTGAATTTTCCCCCACTACAGCCTGTGCCCAGTACCGTCTCATTTTGCCAGAGTGCCTCACATATAACACAGGTTAACCAGAGCAAATAACCCTACAAAAACCATACAGGAACTTGGGTTTTCCATATAGGCACATATACATGCACAGCTGGCTACATTGTGCAAGGTGAATTAGCACTCTCATAATCTAAGGCCAAAAAAAAAAGTCTCCGGTTTCTGGTATGGAACTTGCCCAAAAAGTGGGGCGGCGACGCGGCTTCAAATGTCGGCTAATGACTGTAAAAAGGTTGCCTGACTGAACTTAGTGCAAATATATGGCAGTCCAGAGAGGCCACATAAAGCTTATTCTCGATCATAACCCCATCTAAAAACACGTTAAAATTGTGCAGCAGCAGGATTCCAGTCAAAAGAGTGAGTTTGGCGGTTTTGAGACATCATCTTTCATTGAAAAAAAACCTTTTTCTTTTTGCCGACGCGCATGGCTATGGCGACGCGCGCTCATACCAGAAACCAGAGACTTTTTTGGGGGGCCTAATACAGCTCTATATAAAATACCTCTTTTTTGGATACACCTTGTATAATATGGGCAGTGCTGGGCCAAGTAGACCGATAAAAGAAAGCCCCGTCCAATGTTGTATCGACCAATCACAGCCATGATTTATGTCTGACATGCATGCACTAAACGTCCGGAAAAAAATTGGTCTAGTAGTCGGGTATCCATTTTAACAAAATTGCCAGTTTTACACGTTTTGTTTTGTGAAAAACAGACACTTCAGGGCACGTGGTTGAAAGAGGTCTTTCAAAAAGTTAAAATATCAATCTTCCCAGTGACACTCAAGTTTTGAAAAGACTTTCCTTGGTAATCGGCAAAACTATGCTCATTTGAGATTTGTGATCATGTCACAAAGGTGTAGGGATTTCCAGTAACATTCCATTTTTCAGATGAACATTTCTACAAATCACCCCCCCCCCCCCAAAAAAAAAATTGCCTTACAGGCAAAACAAATTTGAAACTATTGCAGTATATTTTAGAATATAGTTAGATTTAAAAATACTTTAAAAAAACAAACAAACAAACAAACACCCCCTGAACCCCAAAATCAAGGGTTAAAAAAAATTAGCCCCACATTAGTTTGTGTGGTCCGTTTCAAGCTCTGCCTGGAAGTGTCTGTTTTTTTGTGACAGAATGCATCACATACCTTTATTTTGTAAGGGATTTACAATTAACCAGCTGAATGGCAGAAAGAAAAAAAAACAATAATTGAGAATATGTTTCACCAGTTTATCCCACCTCTGTTCTAAAGGACAAATTTTGGAGTGTTTTCTCAAACTCGGGTCATCACTTTTTTGTCATTTAACACACCGTACCTTGAATTTTCATTTTTGGAAAAGATTGCTTAATAAGGCCTTCCCCCCCCCCCTAGTGTTTTTTTTTCAATGTAAGATGATGTCTCAAAACTGCCAAACTCACTGGTTTGACTGGAATCCTGCTGCTGTACAATTTGAACGTGTTTTTAGATGGGGTTACGATCGAGTATAAGCTTTATGCCTCTCGGGACTCCCATATATTTTGCACTAAATTTAGTCGGGCACCAAAAAAAAAGAAGCCGCGTCGTCGCACCACTTTTTGGGCAAGCTCCATACCAGAAACCGGAGACTTTTATTTTTTTGACCTAATGACAACTCCTTGGAAACAATTCTGAGCGAATGGTTTCCTTTCGTTTTTTTCAAATCACACACCTCAGCAGCTTTTTGTTTTCAATGGCGATACTGTACAGTGTACCGGTAGGTTACATATGTAGGCGATTTTAAACACCTATTTATATTTTTTTATATTTACACATATTTACTTGTATTTGTGGTAGTGTTAGTCTCTGTTTTAATGAGAATTTCTTGTTTTGCATGCGTGAAAATGGCAGCCTCCACTTGTTCTCATCAAGGTAGACAATGGATTTGGATTTTAGTCTCGTGTCCTGGATGTGTTTCAGTACTGGGCGCATGAGGTATGCTCAGGATTTCTTGGGTACCATTGCCAATGTTCTCAAGATTGCATTTGATTCAGTGACCTGTACTGCTGGGGCTCTTCAATGCTTGTTAATTAGGCTGGTTGTAGTTGGGTTGTAGTTGGACTAGACAGTACAGCGTTTCCGGTTGTTGTTTTTTCACAGTGGGAAACAAATTCAGGCTTTGTTGGATAGCAGTTTCAAGCTATCATCACTCAGAACAGGTAGTAAATTATTTAGAATTGTACTGTTTTAATCAACTCATCTTTGCAGCATTCAGTTTTGCTTTGTGTTATTTAAATGAAACTATGAGGTTGTTATTATAAGCAATGCTGTGCTTTACCACTCAATCAAATTCTAAGTAATAACTGCCATATGTAAATTTAGTAAAATATAGTAATGTTTGTAGAATCAGAGAAAAACTTCAGAAGCTTGCATGCTTGCGACTTCCACTGTCAAATCACGAATTTAATATCAGAGAGAACGAGATATGCTGCCCTGTACGGTGGCCAAGGAGAGACAACTCAGTCATAATTTAACTAACAAAAATGTCTTGCATACATGTTAGGAAAAAAGAAAAGATCCATCGTATTGTCTGAAAATGTACGACTCAATGACAAAATTCAGAAACAAATTGATGGAGTTGAAATTCACATTTTAAAAACACCATTTTACTGCCAAAAAAAGTATTGCTCTTGAAGAAGGTTTTTTGATGAGGTAAAGGACTCGACAATAGACCACTGATCGCTATATAAAGACTAGATAGCGGATGCCCAAACACCAGTCACATAGTTGAATTTACATTTTGAGTTCGTCCCGGTCTTTTACATATCTACATGTATAGACAACGCGCGCTGTATCAGGAGTTGACGCGCATTTTGGTTACGTACCGTACACGTATAAGGATACATTTCCCTCGTGATTATATTTCCAAACGCCGCAAAAAGTGAACTGCGGCATTAAAAAAGTAAACCACGTTTGACAAATTGTAAACTGTGGTCAGTGGTACTGGGTGCAGGTAAATAAATCAGGTGAACGACGATGTTACAAAAGTGAATCATACTGCCTATAAAGACAGCAGCTTGTCCTTTATAGATCACCAGCCAGTCTCACCAATACGGCTTCAAATGGCTTTCTTCTGCAGCTTTCTGTACGCTATCCAGTCTTTAGATCAGTGCAATAGACCCATCCATTTAAGCTCCTGTCTACCCAATGGTGTTTTCACAAATCACAGCCATGATTGTGTGTATGACTTCCATGGCCGGTACATGTGGTACATGAGAGGTGCACATGCCATTGCCTCATGCGCAGTGGCAAAGGGGTAATGCACCGGTCTATTACAACTCCAAACAAATTGGTTTATATCTTAGTGTATCCTTAGTACTATATCTGTAGATGCAGAATCATGTGTAGCCTTGAACTGCCCAATGCTTCTGATGCTTCACTAAGCTTCAAACCTCGATGTCAATTGTACACTTTAACATATGAAACCAAAGATCTAACAGTTTGTATAATAAGATATGCCGTTTATTATTGCCAATTTGCCAAATTTAAAAACAGTTCCACGTAGACAATATGTATTTTAGATTTAGTATTTGTTAGCATCATATTCATCGTTTACAAATGTTACTCTTTCTCATAGTTTACATAAATACTGTACATTTTTTTTTCAAAAGCATGTTCTTGCCCTTTCAATCAATAGACTAATCTGGTGGGAGGCTATTTTCTGTGGTGGCACCAGGCTGAAGCGAGTCGTACTCGGGTAATACACAGGCACTCCGGGCTCCTTCGACCAATAGAGTCAACAAAATGCGCACGTGCCTTGTCTTTCAATAAGAATACATGCAGCGTGTGCGTGGTACCACCTCAAAAAATGGCTTCTAATTTTGTTTGCCGAATGCCAATATGGAAACATTGTGAAACAACAAATATAACGCTTAATTTTGTAATTACTTTACAGTAACACACAAGAAGACATGGTTTTATATTGACAGAAATCCAAGGTTGCATTACTGTTGTTAAAACAGCAAGGGCTGTTCTCAGATGCCCGGATTCATAAACAGTCCGAATTGTATGAAACATTTTGAGTACAACAAATGGATCAGTATTGCTCCAGCATTTCAAATTGGGGCTGTAACATTGATAAAATCACAAGTTTGAAGCTAAAACATTTACAAATTTGAAGATGTCAACAATGTCGGGGACTTTACCGTGTCTGAAAACCTGATCTTGTGAAATTTTTATTCATTTCAATCCAGACAACAGAACTTCACAGTAACGAACACAATAGGGTCCACAAAATAGGAGAGCTACAGCAATTCTTGGTCCTCAATGTTTTATGTAATACTTATAGACAGAAAAACTGTTTGGAATTTCCTTCTGTATATTGGTGTTCGTTATCTAGTGGGTTGTATACATGGATCTGCTATAGCGGATCTATTACTCTGTATGCCTGCACAATAAGGAATATCTTGCCTGTGTACGTACTGGGACAGCTCAATTATGGGCTTTCATTATCAATAAACTGACTAAAAAGTGGCATTTTGAAGTGTGTTTTATGTTCCTTTATTGTAATCACAAAATATATTTCATACACTAGCAAACAATAAATTAAAATGTAATTTCATTATACTCCCCCTCCCCATTTCTCATCCAACAGCACCATTTGGGGTAACATATGGGACGGCGTGAACTGACCGTTGTATCGTGTAGTGCACTCCAAAACTGCTACAGAATTTCAACTACATAAAACAAATCCTCTCTTCGAAAATGGAAAAAAAAATTGCACAGTTTGCCAACAAGTATGTGTCTCAAAAAGGCCTCTTCCAACTTCCTGGTTGACTCTGCATATATTCCGTGATATGATCATTCGGTTTTGTTTGTTTATGTGTGATTCCAAACAAATACATCTTCATTTGGACCCCTAGAGGATAAGAGCCATTGTTTGTCACTAAAGAAAACATCCAATTAACAAGACCCCAAAACCCCTAAAACGGGTGTCCTTGTTCCCAACTGCATTATTGCAAATCTTCAACTGGATGGTGATTTGTTCCCGGTACGCTGCTAATGTCAGCTTACAAGGCACCCTTTGTCTATACCAGTGTTTGAATAGACACATGGCCCAAATAATGCTACCTCGTGTATCTCTCGCTTGAAACCGGCTAATGAACTTCAATGACTTCAGTGTCACAAGGTGTTTTCTATTTAAACAGTCCTGACTCTACTTCAAGTAAAGTTTCTGTCGACGATCTCTTTTGGGACTTCAAATGTTAGCGATCCAACATGTCCTGCAGGTTTGGCCGACCTCGTTCAGCAATCACTGACCTTAGAATTGTTCACACTGTTACTCGTACCACACCCTCATATCGAAAGCGCTCCCATTTGCCCAACGGGAACGGACACGGTACTCTGCGCGTCGTCTTTGTCTTCGTCACGGTTCTCCGTTTGGATTCCCAAGACTTTTTGTTTATGCCTCTCCATCTGTCGTTCCTTCTTCTCTGCTCTCTTCTGCTGCTTCAGGATGCGGCTGTTGACGGCTGGCCGTTGACCCTGAAATTGTTGGAGAGGTTGCGAAATGTCAGAGGTACTGAAAGTATTTCAATCGTCATCTAGTCTCAACTCAAGTCACAAACTATTAAAATGAGTCATGACAAAGGCATTCCTTTGTTAATGTTCATCACCTGTTACTTAGGAACTGACTGTTGACTGACTTAATAATGAAAACTCTGACTCTCCCATAGAGCTATATTAAATTACTAGAGCGCTAACTCGCCATTCTGCGTGCGGAAATGCTTCGAAGCCGTCCTGGGCGCAGACATTCATGTGCGTGTTTGTAGAACATAATGAAATTAGATGGATTGAATTTTGAAAGTGTACTCTACATGCAACGCGCAAGTAGAACACGCGCAAACAACTTCAGCGCGTCATTGACAGATCAAAAAAACGTGACGGCAAAAAGCATCTGCAGCGGAGGGACGCGCACATGTTGCGCTGTTTGCGTAGAGCAAAATGACACGCTCATTTGCTGATCGTGCGTTTCGGTTTTGATCGTATTGACTTCGATAACGCACCGGTATGTAATACAAATGCAGATATGCAAATAGCCGTACAAAAGCCATACAAAATTTCTAGGTCTCCATAGGTTTTGTGCACAAACATGGATGCGCCCAGCAGGCATTACTTTGTACACGAAGTTAGCGCTCTAGTAATTTAATATAGCTCTATGGACTCTCCCAATCTCTCCCACTACTAAGTGTTCTGGGGCTGTGCATGTCTTCTTAGAATAACTTCAGGAACTGACTTAAGTCAATCAAACTCATGTCACCCTAACTCCCACCGGAATAACAGCACCGGACTCATGCTTTGGTGTTTCAGAGGCAACAGTGGTGTGGGTTGGAGCCCGGATAGACACTTGTGCCCTTAAGCAAGGCACTTAACCATTATTGCTTCGTCCTTTGGATGGGATGGGACGTAAAGCCGTAGGTCCTGTGTGTTGGGTAATGCAACGCATGTAAAAGAACCCAGTAACACTTATCCCTAAGAGAAGGGGTTCGCCCCGGTGTTTCTGGCCTCCTGTTAAACCTGCCCTGCTGAGTATTTGGGAGAAGAACCAACCAACATTCAAGAACCCCCTCATCCCTATAAATAAAGGCTGTAATCGTTATCTGTACTGACTGACGTCTTTAGCCATGATACTCACCCGACCTCTCCCTCTGCCCTGTGTTCTGTTAGGCTGCGTCTCCTTGGAGTCCTCATCGACAGGAGCACCAAAGATGCGGGACCCTGTGCCTTCCGATGACCAGAGGCCATCCTCAGGCACTCTGGAAGCATCCTGGGAATCGGTTTGATCTTCAAAAGTAAAGAGGAATTCTGCGTCAAAAATCTCAGTTTTTCATATGGATTATTGAACTGCTCATACAATGAACATTGTGCCTGCAAATGCCTTCATTTTTGAGGTTGTATCATCCGTAAGATTTGAGGCTTTGCATGGTGGAGATACTAAATAATGAAAGGTTTGCGGAAACACCATCTGCGAATAATTTCTCAACTAAGAGAATGGTTCTGAAATGAACCAGAGGTATAAACCCGACATTCCGGTCAGTATGCTCTGACCGTCTTCAGGTTGTATCATCCTAAAGCATGAATTTATCACATTCATTAATTTGAAGTTGCGTATTGTTAAGCAGTAAATATGTCAGTAGACGTAGGAAAATGTTTAAAAAAGTCAAGATCATAATCCCAAATGTGGACAGTATTTGGGTACATTTTCTAGGAAGCATGGGGAACCACCAACATAGGGCTGGATAGCTCAGTTATTGGCAGAGCACCGGAACGGCAATCCCCAGTTTCAAACACTGCTTCCATCAGTTTCTTTGTTCAACTAAAATGTTATTTCCTAGTTTACGAAACAGACGCTGACTATTTCCAAAAACAGGGCTTTATAACTTTGAGCACTGGTACGTTATTCTGGAGGTCGCAAGTTCGAAGCCTATTTGAGTCAGTCTCCTCAAATCTTACCATCAGGATGAATGTCCTCCTGCAGGATCTGTAGGATGAAGTCAATAGTTGCCTCTACCTCATACTGGTTATCCTGGAGTGTGTCGCTGATCAGACCAGCATCCTGCATGAGACAAATTACCAAGATTCTTCCAGTAGTGAACAACTTATCAACTATTGTTGTCCGGGACTCAGACCAGAATCTACTACAATAACTTTGGTAACAGAAATAATACAGGGTAGTCCCCCCCCAAAAAAGGAACCTCATACTTCCACTACCCTGACTCTCAAAACCACCTGTACAAACTGATGGACAATCCTTTATAAGAATGGTAATACCAAACTATCCCGATTCGGTCAGGTAGTTTTTGCTGCAGAGCCTATTTTGTGAGGGATACTTCTTTCATGTGGGTATTATTAAACAACAATCCCTCTATCAATTACAATGTAAGTCAAATTCCCGGGTGCGGTTTAGTAATTCATCGGGATAAAATTGCCCCCCTTGCTTCACAAAATAGGCTCTAGAACAAAAACTACTGGACCAAATCGGGCGATCTTGGTTTAATTTTTCTTCTAAAAAGATTCTCCATGCATTGGTACATGTGGTTTAAGTTCAGGGTAGTGGAAGTATATAAGGTTCCGGGTTTTTTTGGGGGACCACCCTGTATAGTAACACATATGGTACATTTTTAACAACTAATCATTGTTATCAGAAAAAAAAATCAAAACATTAATGCAATTAGGAGATGAAGAATGACATCACAGATTGGTTTTTAGATGTCGTTTTATTGGCTGTGGGTTATTCATGAGATGAAATTTGCGACGGGGTGATGTAAAGTTAATATTGGGTTTTGCCCTTCACCGATGTATTTTTATAAACACTGTATACTCATCAGTCTTTCCCCCTCGGGTGGGACTCGAACCCACGACCTCCTGCTCGCTAGCGCAGACGTCTTACCACTCGACCACTGAGGTTGCAGGGGTTGGCTGGCTGGTTCGAATCAAATATAGCAATGTGTACCGCAATAAAACTATTCATAGGATGGAAGTTGCGTCAAGGTGTTGGTTACGAGCACATTGTTGATTATGGGAGTTCATTTCACAGCCTAGGGGCACTCCCCAACCATCCTTCAAAAATTTGACACCTCCTAGTAACCATGGTAGATCATAGACTCCATCTTGGTGGTGTGTAAAGACAACTGCTGTCTTTATAGACAACTGAAGACAACTGCTGTCTTAGCGCTATATTCGTAGCGCTATCCAGTTTGATGCGCATACCTGACAACCAGTAGCATCCATGATGTGTATCACCATGTCGTCCATGCTGCTGTTGCTCCAAGCCCCGGCCGGCACTGTGAAGTCATCAGCAACTGATGCACCGTAGGAAGAGCCGTCGTTCCTGTCTTTGTGTTTGGCCTTAACTCCGACAGTTGCATATTTTCTTGGGTCTGAGGACTACATACATAATGTGTATTGTTACTGAAATAGGAAATATGCTTTTGTTCTTGGGCTAGACACTTTACCATAATTGCCTCTCTCCACCCAGGAGTCTAACTGGGTAGAGACCAGATTACAATGATCTCGAGCGGCTGCAGGAAACTGCTCTCATGGCCTAATGAACAGGGGTCATAATAATTGTGAAGAGCTTTGAGACTGTTTGTATAAAGTGTTATACATGTATCAGCATCACATTATTATTATTTTTGAGTTCAAAATTAGTTGTACACTCTGTACACACAAATGTGTCCTTTCTTAGTTCCAATGTATAGATTTTTTTTTTTTTAAATGACCACTCTTTACAGTTTCGGGACAGAGTCCACAGAGGATTAAAAACTGCTCTTTTACTATGTCATCACTGTACCTTGAATTTGGTAGGGTCTTGTGACTTGTCCCCATATTTCCGTACACTGGAGTAATGGTCTCCATTGTGGTAGGCAATGTGGAGCTCTCTTGCCTCGGGTCTGTCCGACCCACATATCTGTAACAAAAAAGGCATCTTGAATGTAGTGACCAATTGCAAGTGTAAAGCCAGTCAATGCGAGGACCAATGAAAGCAGCAATTGGATGGGCGGGCCAGCGGGCGGGTTGGGGGGGGGGAGATGTAACAAAATTCATAAGATGAACAAAAAGCAAGGTAAAAAGTTCCACAAAGATGTATCAGATCTGAAAACTCTGCACCTAATTCCAGTTCGCGCCAGGATTATTTTGACAGGACCAGACCCAGGCGCGGATTGTTTTCATGAACCACGATGCCCGACGGGTTCAGGCCGTCATCTGCGGGTAGCACACCCTGATATTTCCCGCCTTGCTGCGAGCGGGTCGCAGACAGATATTTCAAGCCTCGCCTGTTGCGTGTTTATCCATCATTTGTTCCGAATATCCCGCAAAACCTTTGCGTGTATACACGTCATCCGATGCAAAGAGGTTAACTGAACTACATGTATAATGTGATGTAACAATGTGGGAGAAGGAGATAAGGCTTCAATACATTGGTTGACTGAGTATTGGTAAGGTGTTCTACAGCCAGCACGTTACAATCCAACTTGGTCCACTTTTTGTGTGAATATATGGGCAAGTGATTCAAAACTCCCGAGTCAGTATTTGGCTTACTTTATGAAATCTTTCGACTACTGAATTCATTATCTTAATTAGACAAAATCGAAACAATGGTTAACTCACCCTCCAGTCTGGTGCATTCAGCTGGTGTATGACCACGTTAAGGCCATTCCTACGTGCAAAGGCTACAATGCTGTCATTGCCAGCGTAGGTACCAGACTTGGCAAGATTCTCAACTGGAACGAAAGAAAAAGGCAACAAGCTGTTATTGCCCCATGAAGAGTTTTCACACTAAAACATTTCCCGTTTTTTTGATGGTGGGAAAATTCTGCAATTTGTCAACCCCCCCCCCCCCCCCAAAAAGAAGAGACATTCACTATTCAATAATACTGAACAATGATGTTGACAAATTTGGACGGCACCAACACAGGGCTGGATAGCTCAGTTAGTAGAGCACCTAGCCAGTAATTTGGAGGTCGCAGGTTCAAACTCCACTCCATTCAATTTCTTTGTTCAACTTCATTTTTAATTATTATCTATAATGTTCTTTGCTTCTTTATATCAAGGGTTACAACTGTCTTACTGTGTCTGTCAAATGGCACATCGTCCTCCACAAAGGGCTCAAAGTCATCCCGGTGTTCTAGAATATATTGCACTGTGTCTGCTCGGTGCCTCAAATGGTTCCGTCCATGTCCCTCAGTTTGATCGCCCAAGGCACGGAAGAGACAGTTACTGTTCAATAAAACAGAACAATCAACAAATATATCACCGCTGATTAAGTGAATGCGCAGCATGATGAGCCTGATTGCAGACTTGGAAGTCTAGTGCAACTAAAAACGCAACAATGTTCACAGTGTTCCTTGTGCCAAAACCCTGGGACTGTCAATGTTGTGTATTTGAGCTATAAGCTATGTACTTTGTACTACAGGGTGAGTAAAAAAAAATCGAAACCCAAATGTCGGGACCATTGTTTTAGTGAAGTTCTGCATGTAGCACCTTCAAAATCTAGGATATGAAAGCCAAATTCATAAGCTTTCTTTCAGCACAAGAATCATTCAAGTCACTCGTGTACTTTTCAAGTTACAGAATTTCAAACACAACCACCGTTTTTAGGTTCTGTCAACGGATCACCAAAAAAGTGCAGTGTTCTTTCAGCAAAACGAAAACAAATCACATAGGGATGTGTGTGAATTGTTTTCGTTTTGCTGAAAGAACGCACACCTTTTTTTGTGATCCGTGGACAGAACTTTAACACGGTGGTTGTGTTTAAAATTCTGTAACTTGAAAACTACATGAGTGATTTGAATGATTCTTGTACTAAAAGAAAGCTTATGAATTGGGCTTTCATATCCTAGATTTTGAAGAACTTCACTAAAACAATGGTCCCGACATTTGGGTTTCGAATTTTTTACTCACCCGTAATGTAGTACTTTGTACTAGAAGGTTGTGAGTGGGAGTCAGCCATCTTTTAACTTCCCATCACTTAGAAATATCCATGGACAATAATATAGCATTTCTGTTCATAACTTGTATCTGGCTTGAGATTCTGAGATATTTTTCTAAAATTTTGATATTGATGAAAATTTTGTAATCACATTATGACCCGTGAAACAGTAGCGAGGACACTATCAGTGTCATTATATAATTCCTGTAAACCAAGTATTTCCCAACAGTGAAACAGCCTAACTGGGGTTTTGTGTTTTGAGTTTTGTGGGTGGTGTACGCAGTGTCTGCCTTTTTTGTGATGTCACTTGCGGGGGGTGGGGGGGGGGGGCAGGGCATGGCCCCCGTTGCCAGTCCCCCCCCCCTGGATCCACCGTTGGTCATAGTATCAACTACAGGATTCAAAGGCCTGCCCCCTCCCCCTCTCTTAGTTATGCCACTGCAACAGTGGGCAATGCACAATATAGCTCACAAGCCTGAAAAATCCTACAGAGAAGACCTGAAAAATCCTAGAGAGAAGACAATGAGGAAATATTCAGTTTGTAAGAGGTGGGAGGACAACCCCAAATACTAGACACTACCAAGTTTTTCCTACACAAACAGGTAGGGATGGACAAATTAAATTGGCTTAGACAGGATTCGTACCCAGCTCAGGTGGAGAAGGAGGGCTAGAAAAGTACCACTGCCCCAACCTTATTCTGGGTATACACAGCAATTTGTGGAGAAATGATGGGTATCTTGACGGTGCTAAACACCATAGATTTGTGCACATATTTAACCAGTTCACGTCGGTTGACGTGTCTACATATGCAAAGGTTTTGCCGTATTTGGAACGGATATACGCACAACGAGCGAGGCTGGAAATATCTGTCAGCGACCTGCTTGCAGCGAGCGAGGCCAGAAAATATCAGGGTGTGCTACCCGCAGATGATGGCCTGAACCTGTCTGGCATCGAGGTTCATGAAAAACAATCCCGTGCCTGGGTCCAGTCGATGTCAAAATAATCCCGGCGCGAACTGGTTAAATGTCTTGTTGGTTGGTTGTTTGGGTGAATGGCCAGCCACCTACCCATCCCCTGGTATGTCTCTCAGCTCCAGGCCTATGGTCTGCAGCTGAGTGGCGAAACCCGCAAAGTTCTCATCATCTGCAAGGTATGAGGCATCCTTATGCTGTTTCCTGGGGGTTAAGGGATAGGAAGGGAAAAAAACCAAATAACAATAAATGCAACACCAATTAATAAATTTATGCACTTTTCAATAATCTCTCTCAACATAGCAGCTATGTAAAACATGAACACTGAATTTTGGAAGGTAATTAGTAGCTTCCAAAAATGTTCCGTAGTGATTAGGCTTATCAAGGAAAGGGTTTTGAATTTGCAAACACAAGTTTTTCAGGAAATTTAGCAAATGTACCACTAGGCTACAGCTAGTAAGTTAGACAACTAATTGGACACCCAGTATTTTAGGCCCATTCGATGGAGTAAACCTTGAGCATGCTAAGGGAACGTCTCAAAAGTCGGAACGGTTGGAACGTTCCACCAGGAAACATTGCCTGTTCCAATTGAAAACAAGCGCTGTTCCCACCAGGAACAGCCCTGGAACGCCAGGTGTTCCCACCTGGGAACTCAGGAATGGCCTGTTTCAGTTGGGAACACGCTGGGAAGACAGTGCATTCCCAATGGGAACAAATAATGTTCCCAAAAGAAACGTTCCATTTTCCATACCGAACGGGAATGTTTCGATTTTTGAGACGTTCCCTAAAGTTTGTTGTGCCCGAGTTTCTTTACCGGTAACCATTGCGGACGGCTCTCTCGTCCCGTTTGCGTTCCTGTGCATCACGTCGCTGGCCGGTCGTGAGGGTCTTGGCTTGTCGGTGGTTGGATTTACTCATCTCGTCTCTCTACTAGTCTTATCTTCTGTTGAAGACATGATACTGTTTGAGTATGCAGAAATACAGCACCCCTAGTCCCCCCCCCTCCCCCCCCCCCCCCCCCCCGATATTTTGCAGTTGGATTTTTTTTACACTGCACTGCAGCCACAGGCATGACAGGAGCAGGGCCTTATCAGTAGGCCAACCCCTAGTCCTACTCCGATCTCCGGGGACTGAAAATGTTGTTCATGTATGCACTTACCAAATGACGATCCCTGCAAATAGCAATCGGTTTGAAACTATGTCAGATTTTGGTATAATTTTGGCGAGCAAATAAACACGATGTCGCTCTTGCAGTTGCACCACTTGTTGACAACATCCCGGTCCCGCACAAAACCAAAATATAATGTAGGGGAGTATGATTGGAAAAAAAGTACCATGAGATTTTTGAGTTTATAAAAGATTCATCAAAGACATTAAAAAGAACCAGAGTTCACCAAAAAGCACAAATGTAATTACAAAAAACATCGTATAAAGGGACTTTTTTGCTTTTTACTCAAAGGATTATGAAATATCGTTTGGACTTTATAGTTGAACCCACCTCTGTCAATTTCGACTCGACCAATTAAGGTGAAGGGTTGAAAGGTCACAGCATGTGACCTTTTTGAGCAACACACAGTGCAGTGCAGATTTCTCAGGACTCGTTACAGATAAATAATTGGGAAATGTCGGCAGATTTTAAGAAGTGTTGGTTCCAACATTCGTTTCTTTCGAATGCTGTGTAAGTGTACCTGACGTGCATTGCAATATTGTTGAATCATGATGAATGGGTATGTTGTGCCCATTCTTGAAAATCACGCAATCTTAAGAATGCGCGCGCATTAGAATGAGCGCGCATTCTTAAGAATGAGCACGCGTTCTTAAGAATGAGCGCTCATTCTTAAGATTGCGTGGGAATATCACGTGCACAATTTATGAATTTTGCGCAATCTTAACAAACATTGCACGACATAATTATGTTAAATGAAATGTATTTAAAAGCGGTTAATAGGGAAACAATTCATATAAAGAGGAAAGAAAATGTTCTATGCTTCTGTACTCTTATAACTACGATAATTTGAATCAAATTAAACCTGTTATTATTGCTTTTTTCTGCCCACTATGGGAAGTTTTGTAATAACGGAGGACTGGGAACTAGTCTGAGAAGTGCTTTGTTTAGGCTAGACAAGTATAAGTCCCTGTATGTATCATATGCATGCCAGGAAAAAAAAAACGATGTCCAGAAGCTGCCAAAATTGCTCTTTTGACTAGATAGAATCCAGCTCTGCGGCGTAATGGTGGGGGTGTGAACAATAAATTGGTGGCAATTTAAATGGGAAATAGCATTAGCACTATGGAATGTCACAGTATTCATTCTCATTCTTCACATTCTTCACATTCTTCATTCTTCCGTCCCCCCTCCCCCCCCCCCCCCGTCCCCCCCCCTCCCCCCCCCCATCCCCCCCCCCCCCCCCCCCCCCCCCCCCCCCCCCGCCTTTATTATCCCAAAAATCAGAATTCTTTCCAAGACACTATTATTATGTCTCTTATTTTTCCCCGGTCCCCCCCCCCCCCCCAATACGCGTATACTTTTCATATCCACTCTACTTTTCAGCGCCTTGCGTTGCAACAGTATAATTATTAAGAATCAGTGAACGAGGATGCAGCTAGACTTGCCAAGCGCAGCAGGTGCTCGGTATCGACAAGACCGTTATCTTGTCGCGCATTCTTAAGAATGTGCGCTCAATCTGGAAGAGTTATTTTTTGCGAAGATTGCGCAAGGATCCAGTTGCACAATCATAAGAATGTGCATGCACATTCTTAAGAATGCGTGATTTTCAAGAAAGCGCACAACAGATACAACGTGTCGTAAGGCAAGTGCGATTGCGAAGTTACGGGCCCTGTTCCTTTAGAAGAATGAAAATCCACTAAGGTTGGACTCAAATTAACTCAAACTCGAAATAGGGGAAAGAATGTATTCAGACATCACTTCAGCGGTTGTGTTCAACTGAACTGCACAGTCTATGGAGCTCGAGAGTCAAGAAAATTTTATTGCCTAACAAAATTGGAAATGCATGTCTTTTTATCAATTGTGCAAGGACTGACCTTTATTGTTGAGATGATATATGAAGAAAAAATGCCATCAGGTTGCAATATTCTTCCCCAAATAGGAAAGTCATGGATAGATCTGGGCAGGGTTTTTATTTTTTTATTGAAATTTTGGGGCAAAATGACGATGAACATGACGAAGATGACAAACATGACAAATAATAACAAAACCTTATTTCCTGATGTATTTTTGTTAAACTTATTATTTTAGATGGCGATCACCGCGATGCAGTGTGAATCCACAAAATAATTCACATTCTCTAGCAAAACGTACTGTTCAAAATTACACAAAAAGGGTCTTGAGAATTAAAAGAAAATTAAGACTGCTCAAGGTTGCTGATGTCATTTTGGAAAAAGATGAAAACACTCCAAGGAAGTTAAACAAAAGAGGGGCCCATAACTTTAAAATCACCATCGCAAGACTAGTTCAGAAAGCTGAGGTGGGGCGATACATTATCTGGTAAAGGTCAATTAAATATCTGAATGGCCAATGATAAAAATGAAAATTTTAATCAATCTTTTCTTTTTGAGATGAGTTTGATGCGCTGTACCAGATCGATTCCAAAGAATGAAGGGATAAAGAGGATGAGTCGAAAAGTTGTATCTGGGAGATTTTGTTGGCCTATCATTAAATTTATTTTTTTTCTCTTCCTCCGTATTTCACGTGTTGCAGCCCTGCCGAGTGTAATGATAACATCTGCGTTGTTGGAGTTTTTGGAAAGAGCCAACGAGCGAAAGGTTTGATGCTGAACGGTGTCACAACTAGAAACGGTTTCAAGGTAAATATGGCCAATGAGGAATCACCTGGGCTGGAATGTTATACCCTAACTACATGAACAGGGAAACAGGACAACTCGTACTCGAACCAACTCATATGCGAGACAACTCGTACGTGGCTTGGACATTTCATACGCAAGACAAGACGTGACCCAAATCGTACGTTAGACAACTCGTACACGGGCCAACTCGTACACGAACTAACTCGTACATCAGCCAAAATTAGCCAATTTAAAGAAATTGAACGATATGCCATATGAGTTAGTCCGCGTAAGAGTTGCCCCGTGTACGAGTTGGTCACATACAAGTTGGTTCGCGTACGAGTTGACCTGTATTCAACTACAGCAGTGGCCCAAACTTGGCAAGTCTAGTCCTAATTAACTGCAGTTGGGACGGTACCATCTTTAGAAGCTATAATCCTGTCAATAGTTGGGACAATCCCATCTGTAGTTGGGAATCGTACTATAGTTGGGATAATGCTTTAGTTGGGGTGTCCAAGTATCCGTATTGTGCATTGCACTATCCGTACTGCATTATCCATTGAAATTTTATACGCTTCAGATAGTGATTGAAGCGGATGACACATAAAATGTACAATACACATTTGGTTTTTGGTGTGGAATTGAAAGAAACAATGTAGTTGTGGGATAAAAAAAATATTTATGGTTGGCATTAAAATGTTTCAGCTGTACTCTACGCGTAAACTAACACGGAAATTTCAGTTCGGCTACTGGTTTTGGGCTTATCCTTCTTCAAAATGCAATGAGACGTGACCTACCTGGAATGTTGATTCATATTTCTGGAAATTTGAGCTTTCCATCCATTTATAAGGTTGTCAATCTGCTGTAACTTTGCCAGAGTCTCCCGTTCACTACACACATTATTTACGCCGCCATTTACGCCGGCTTTGATTTTCAAGATGGCCTACCCTGAGAAAGGTCTGTTGGTCACTAAGTATCATTGGCTTTTTGATGCATGCAGTTTAAACATGTAGGAATGATTCATAAAACAGAATGACTCAATGTTCCACTGAGCATTTCACCTCGAAGAGGTTATTTTCAATTTCCCACATCTTGCAGTAACTTAACCTATTCCGGTAAAATCGCATGAACGCAGCTTGTGAAGTATTGTCCAATTACATGATATACAAATGGATGCAAAACGCGCAAAATCTGAGACAAACAAAACTCAACGTACAAAACTCCATGGGGTTGTCCAAGGGGTGTGGCTGACTCGCAAACGGCGATAGGTTAATTGACGGTGCTGCCTTGTCAATGCGCTGTACTACACAATCACAAATTTGCATTTGGAGGTCTGTGAAAAAAAAAACGAGGGGTGGGGCTTAAGAAAGTTAAGGGTGGCTTCATATGTACATGATAATCGTATTGTGTGTTTGTTTTTGACAGGATCCTAAATTTAACCCACAGAAGATCGACGTTGACAGTGTAAGTGTTATAGTGGTCATTCTTTTTCTAGTATTGCATGGCTAAAATACAGATTAAAAAAAAATAAACCCCTCAACTGTTTTGTGCGGAAATGTAACCAGTCACACGAGTGTAAAGTAAATTCCATCAAATTATTTTCAAAAGGTATAAACCATGACTGTGTAGATCTTTAATGGATACAAATTATGCATAATACTGCTACTTAAGGGTACAGTACATCATTTGTCATTTGTACATTTTTTTTTAATTTGAAGCAACAAAAGTGCTCAAAATCTTAACTAACCTGATGAAGTGTTAGCTCAGTGAATGTTGTTTATTTCAAGAAAACAATATTGTAGGATCTCGATTTCAATTCAAAAGTTGCCGAGTCATGTTTTGAATTGCGCCCTAAATCAGTGTCCAGGCAACTTTCTCGCTCAGCAGATTGCAACTTTCGCGATGTCACACACTGACCCGATGAATTATACCAACCGCGCGCACGTGTGCCTCTTGTCAACGCTTGCGCGCACCCATTCACAGCTTTGCTGAATTAAAAACGAACTACTAAAGGAAATTTTCAAAAATTTGTCTGCAGGCGCATCTTTGGAAATTACCTTCTTTGATTGTTTTCTTCAAAATGACAGCATGCCAGAAAGAATAATTTAACAGGGAGTTTAGTGCCATTACCATCTTTAAACCAAGTATGCTTTTCAACAAAGATTTTGTCAGTTACTTTTTAGATAGCTGCAAATGATATACTCTACCTTTAATATTTTGATTGTGTTTACAAAAATTGTGCTGTTGGCTACTTGCAATGTTTGATATATTGTTCACAGATTTAAAAAAGTTTTAGTAAACATACCAAGAGATGAAAGGGTAGAACTCTTCTCATAACTGCTGATTTTAGTATCATTCTGATCAAATTGTTGTTGCAGCCCGAACCCCATATATTAAGTTGTTTTTCTTTCTGTGAATCAGTGCAGCATTGAGTGCTTCTACGATGCCGACTCCAGGGTGCTGTATCTCCATCTTGTCTCCATCTACGACACGCCAATGCTGGCACGAGTCTGCCAGCAAATGCAACAAAACCTGTCAAATGCTGTAAGTACAATCCAAAACCTGTAATAATTATAGTTTATTAACTTTCCAAAACTACAATGAGGGGCAATGTGACCAGCACCCGATTTCACGAAGCGCTGCGACACGTCGCAACTCAAGTTACGACGTGTAACACGTCGCAACTCGCGACGCGTCGTATCATCCATTTCAAGAAAGTTGCGATGTGTTGAACGCGTCGTAAGTTCCTTGACAACGGCTTAAAACACGTCGCAAGTTACGACGTGTCTAGTGGTCATCGCAAAATACGAAGTGTCCCTTTCTAAGCCAGTTTAATGCCATAAACATGACAAAAACGAGATTATAATACCGAGGCAATGTGTGTAAAGTTGTGAATAGAAAATTCATTGAATAATTATGAATTAGACTGGAATATTGCAGTTGAAATTTCAAAGTAGCTATACGGTCCAATGAGAGCTTGTTTTCCTTCAAAATTGCATCGCACGGCCACCATTTTGTTTGATGTTTTAAGAAATTTCGAGCTGAGATCCGACAACTCTTTGTTGAATATCAGACGACTATTTACTGTACGCTGACTATATACATAAAACAGTCACCGAGTTGTGCTATAAATACACCTACGACGCATCGCACTTACGACGTGTTTTGTGAAATGGATCGCAGGACGCGTCGCAGCTGCGACGCATCGTAGAGATACGACGCGTCGCATCGCTGCGATGCATCGTAAGTTACGAAGAGTTTGATGAAATCGGGTGCTGCTCATCAAAAATAAGTCTGCACCCGATTTCATGAAACTCATCGTAACTCACGATGCATCGCGGTTTTTACAGCAGTAATGCTGAGATTGTGCTCTATTCAAATCTGTAATAAAAATGTTTTTGACCGGGGTCCACAAATGACTCATTTAGCTTGATCGCATCACATATGTTTTTGAAACTTCAAACAAAGATATGTGAAATTTGTTTACAGAATATACATGAGTATTTTATAAACACAAAAATACTGGAGCCAGGTTCAAGGTTGCAGATTCAAACCCGCTCCAGTCAATATTTCTGCAAAGATCATCATAATATGCCATACCATTTTAAAAAGATACTGACTCAATTTTTGCTATTCATACATTGTACATTAGAATCAAGATCCCTTTTTTTAAACAGTAATTTATGTGTACATTGTATGTATTTTCTCTGCAGGATTGCCACACATTTTGGAAGGACCATGTGACGAGCCACGCCAGGGCATTGCTGTACATGTTCACTGTCTGCCACATCATGGTGGTAAGACTAGCTCAAGTTCATACTTAAACCCGCCTGCTGTTTCAACAGTCACAAGCAGTCAAAAAAATTAATCCTCTTCCCCTGCCATGCCTTTTACACAGGCTAGTCACCAACAAAATAAACCAAATATGGGTGATTTGTTTCTAGAGGGTACTTGTGCACCTGAAGGGGTCCATTTGAAGAGTTTAAATAATTTTTGAGTTAAAGGTACATCATTTGACACTATCCAAAAAGTAAGTGAAGAAATTATTGGTGAAAAGCATACTTGGTTTAAAGATAGTAATGGCACTAAACTCCCTGTGAAATTATTCCTTCTGGTATGCTCTCATTTTATAGAAAACAATAAAAGAAGGCCATCACCAAAGATGCTTTGGAAAGTTCCGTTAGTAGCTCATTTTTAATTCGACGAAGCCATGAATAAGTGCGCACAAGCGTTGACACTATGCACAAGCGTGCGATGTTGCTATTAATTGTCAGTTCATAGCGTGACATCGCGTAGCTGCAATTTGCGGAATGAGAACTTGGCCCGGATGCTGATTTCGTGCGCAATTCCAAGCATAACTCGGCAACTTTTGAATTGAAAGCGAGTTTCTAGCATATTGTTTTCTCGGAATATACATCATCCACTGCGCTAAAATTTCATCAGGTTAGTTGTTAAAGCTATAGTCCATCATTTGCAGCCATCCGAAAAAGTAACTGGCGTATTATTGTTGAAAAACATACTTGGTTGAAAGATAGTAAGTGGACTAAACTCCCTGTAAAATTAATCTTTCTGGCAAGCTATCATATTGAAGTAATCAACGAAAGAAGGCTTTTCCAACGGTGCATCTTAAGACGCACCGTAGGAAAATTTAAATTAGTAGTTCGTTTTGTTATTCGGCACAGCGCGCGCAAGCATTGGCACGACGCACAGGCAACTTCGCGTATAGCTACAATTCAAAACAATTCAAAACATGATTCAGCAACTTTTGATTTGAAATTGAGATCCTAGAATGCTGTTTTTCTCGGAATATACAGCTGAAGCTGAGCTGAAACTTCATCAGGTTAGTTGTTCAGTATCCTTCATGAGATTTTGAACACTTTTGTTGCTTCAAACGAACAAAATGCACAAATTACAAATAATGGACTATATCTTTAAGCACCCTTCTTGAGATTTTGAGCAATTTTTTTGCTTCAAATGAAAGAAAATGCACAAACTACAAATGATAAACTCTACCTTTAAAGGCTTTAATTTTGGACATGTTCTTCTTTTGTGTTTTTAACAGGTGGTCCATCCGAAGAACACATTTGATACTGGCTATATCCAGCTGTTTAGAGCCCTGCAAAATCTGAGGTAAGCAAAGAGTACCAAAAATAGAGGCTACATAAAACATAGTACATGGTGGGAAAAACAGAATCTGCTCCGTTCACAAGTAGGGCCCCCTCACCGGCAACGAAAGTACAGTTGGGGGTGACCGACAGACGCCATCTTGCCCGAGTGCAATTCGTTTGCTGCGAAGCGCGGCCATGCACTGCGTGTACAAAGTACATATGCCCTGGTGTAGTGCGTCACACACAAGGAATGGTGCGCGTCAACCAGCGAAATGTCCCGCCCATGGGAAGTCGTTGCTAGGTAAAAGGGCGCCCTCTTTAGTTAGTGCACGAAGCCCATAGATGTATTGTAGAGTGAACATTTCAACCTGGGGATGTCAGAATAATGACTGCGGCACAGAGATAACAAATATTGACCTTTCTATCACCGATGTGTGGTTGGCACAATACAGGTTGCCAAACTATGGAAGGTCAAAACTACAAAAATGAAGAATATTTATTAGGCCAAAAAAAAAGTCTCCCGTTTCTGGTATGGAGCTTGCCCCAAAAGTGGTGCGGCGACGCGGCTTTTTTTGTTTTGTTTTTACTTTTTTTTTTCTACAAATGTCGGCTGATGACTGCAAATGGTCCCCAACTAAATTTAGTGCAATATATATGGGAGTCCAGAGAGGCCACATAAAGCTTATACTTGATCGTAACCCCATCTAAAAACATGTTAAAATTGTGCAGCAGCAGGATTCCAGTCAAACCAGTGAGTTTGGCAGGTTTGAGACATCATCTTTCATTGAAAAAAAAAAAAAAATTCATTTTGCCGACGCGCATGGCTACGGCGACGCGCGCGCATACCAGAAACCGGAGATTTTTTGGGGGGGCCTTAATGATTACAAAAAGATTATTTCAGTTTTGAAAATACAAAATTATCAGCAAACGCTGCACAATAATTCCTGAACATGCCTTTTTCTTATGTTATGAGGACTTTTGGAAAAAGTGTGTTGCCAACTACGGATTTAGTGCTTGCGGCAACCCATACAAAATGGCGCTCAACGTTTACAAACAATCAAAAGGTCTGTATGAGGATCAAAGCTTGAGGTTTGAAGGACGAGGATTACAAAATGAGGACATTTTTTTGTGCTCTTTCTCTGCAGGGAGAAGCTGAATTCCTCAATTTCCAGCATCCTGAAGGAAGTGCCGATGGGGAAGGAATGTCAGAACAACGGCCGGCTGTGTACACCACGACTGCTCTTTATTTGCCAGCAGGTGAGCAGGTTTGACAGAAATGAGGAATAGTCTCAAAATAATAGATAGTTTAAAGGGACACGATGGCCTGGAATACCCCCAATTGGGCTAAAAAACATGTTTTAAATTGTATTATATTAATTGGAAAGTGCATTTAAAGATATGGTCCATCAATTGTAATTTGTGCATTTTGTTCGTTTGAAGCAACAAAAGTGTTCAAAATCTAATGAAGGATACTGAACAACTAACCTGATGAAGTTTCAGCTCAGCTTCAGCTGTATATTCCGAGAAAAACAGCATTCTAGGATCTCAATTTCAAATCAAAAGTTGCTGAATCATGTTTTGAATTGTTTTGAATTGCAGCTATATGCGATGTCGCGCACTGATCCGACGAATTATAGCAACCGCGCGCGCTTGGCCGAATAACAAAACGAACAACTAATTCAAATTTCCTACGGTGCGTCTTAAGACGCACCGTTGGAAAGGCCTTCTTTCGTTTATTACTTCAAAATAACGGCTTGCCAGAAAGAATAATTTCAAAGGGAGTTTAGTCCACTTACTATCTTTCAACCAAGTATGTTTTTCAACAATAATTACGCCAGTTACTTTTCGGATGGCTGCAAATGATGGACTATAGCTTTAAAAGTAGGATATAAACGTCAGAACAACCATCCTTTATAAACTTGGCGTTTTTGTGTTATTCCTGCGAGAGCCATGAGAGAACGAATTTCGCGGTCACAATTTTGTCCCAGAAAATACGAGCTGTGAGTGCTAGTTTTGGACCCTGTCGCACATTGGTTTGCATTCTGCAGACATGCGAGAAACAACATTGTGTATTGGTGCTGTGTGAGTGTATTATGTGACACACACACACACAATGTGTACACCGTGCCCTCTGGAGACGTGCGCACCATGCCCTCTGGAGACGTGCGCACAATAGGGAACAAAAGGTTGTATACGTCTCCACAGGGCAATTTCTATAGATGAATACGTCTCCACAAGGTTTTCACAAAATAGATATATGGATTTTACTCAAAAACTAGGAATTTCCAAGGTGGGTTGATCCGTCGCAAATGGAAGAGTTTTAGAAAAGGGATATGGAGTCCGAATTTCAGCCAAGGAAATTAGTTCTGGTTAAAATAAGAGCATTTTGAAACTTCACTTTCAAACTCCAAAACTTTACTATACGAGAACAAAGAAATATCTCCACAAGGATACAAATTTCAGTATGTGTGTATCAGATCAGTTCATTGAATAGAGATGACTTTAAATATGCATGCTTATGTCACAAGATGTTCGCTGTGTCAGATGTAAACAACTGGGCAGGGTTTTTCATCTTTTCTTGGGAATGGTAAGACATTAGGTTAGTTTCCCTTCAACCAGACCTTTGAAATAGGATAAGTAAACAATCCAAAAGTTAAACTTTTAGGGGATTTCAGGCCGTAACACCCCTTCAATAATTGAATTATATAGCACATTCTGGATTGATTCTAATGGAAAATCTAGACTTGATGCTTTCTTGAGTTTCCAACTGTCAACACGTTCTTTTTTTCTTTCGTCAGACTGACATGACAGAAGACGAGTTGAACTCAACAGCAACAGTGTCTACTACAAGATCCAAATTCAAGGTAGGTGTCCTCTTCCTTAGTTTCCTGCCCAGGTGGGAATTGTACCCCCCATATAAAGCAGAAGTAAACTAACAGACCCAAGTAAGAATTCCTTGCCCCTATTAGAATTCAATCCAGGGATAGCAGCTTTTTATTTTCATGTAAATGAAAACCTTATGGAATTTTTGATGTTGAAGGAATATCTAGTTTTTTCCACAATTTCAGTTTCTCTAAGCTCATTAAATGTCATGGTCCATGGTCCAATGCTTTTGGGATTCTACTCAAGTACAATGGTAGGTGGGTTTAGACTCTGAAAATGAAAATAGTGCTTCTGTTCTTGGGCAAGAAACTCTACTCCAATTTCCTCTTGCCAACCGGGAGTATTAATGGGCACCGTTTGTTCGTTCGTGTGGTCGCCAACTTGATCAAGATTGGTGCTTTAAACGGGCAAACTGGAAGAAAGCCAGTCTGCCGTGTCATCATGTAGATGGATGATGCCTTCCAACCATGTGGAGCCTGGTAGATGTTGCAGTTGCAGACAATATGCTCAATGGTTTGTGATTCGCCTTACTCATAGGTGTCGGATGGCTCAGCTCCTATTTTATACAGGAAATGCTTAGTACGGCCGACACCTGAGCGTATTCAGTTGAGATTGACCCATGACTTGCAGGGGAGGTCACAACCACCAGTGGAGGTAGAGAGCAGATTGTGAGCTGCTGCAGGAAACTGGTATCAAGGGCCTGATAAACAGGAGTAATAATTGTAATGTGCTTTGAGAGCTATACAAGTTCCAAAGTTTTCTTATTTTATTTTTTTCAGCGCTGGTCTTCCCGTAAGCTCTTACAGCATTCCTTGGAGGACCAGATCTACAGACTCCTGCGCAAGAGCCGCATTCTCACCAACAATTTGTAAGTCTCAATTGTCTTCCCGATTGAAATCACTAATATAATTGATTCCCCTTAATTAATAAAAGTGTTAAATATTCAATACAGTGCATCACCAAGCATATATGTAATGCGATCAAGCTAAATGAGTTGTTTGTCGACCCTGGTCAACTTTTTTTTTTACAGATTTGAAAAGAGCTCAATCTCAGCATTACTGCTGTGAAAACCGCATGCTGGTACCTTCTTTAGTTCAAAAATTATGGAAGTTGGAACACCAAGAGATGTGATGAAGTGATGTGATGAAGTGGCCCTATTTTGGCCTGAATCTCCAAATGAAACTCCCGACAAACCACTCATTTAGCTTCATTGCAAATATACATGCATTGATGAAACCTCCTTTTCAACTTTAGTTAGCCTGCATTTAAATCGTGCATTGAAATCATTATTTGTGACACCTAGATTTCTGTACGTATATTTATTTTTTACAATTCTGCAAGTAGGCCCTTTTCAAATTATTCAGTTTTCCTTCAAAGCTTCTCGCTGATTTCCCTGAACTTCAAAATCTAAGAAAACGGTCCTTTCCAATTTTAAACCTTTTTTGTCTTCTTTGAATCGTGTTCGCAGATCTCATTGCTTGTTCACTGTGCCCGGAAACCAGGCCTTTGTGCATTTTCTGGACCAGCAGAGTCTGGCCATGGACCCGGTTTCATTTATGATTTCTGAACTCAACAAAAACTTTCAGCCCTTCAAGAAAGGTAAGTGTCTGTGAATGTCAAATGTCACGTTTAATCAAACACTTTTGCAGATTCCATGTGCTTGTGCATTCCATGTCCCTTTTTATAAAAATTTTCCTGGGTCCAGTTTAATCAATTTACGTCGGAGGACGTCATAACACGCACTGGTTGTTTTTATACACAGGCACGACTGACAGGTTAAGACATCAAGATTGCTTTGACTCGCCTCCGGGTGACGTCTAGACACGTTAAACCCTCGTGCCTTTTGTACACACACAAAGTCGGTTAAGTCTGTGGAGGTTGACCATGTGTTGATATTTGAAATACTGAGAACCTCGTCTTTGCCTCATAAAAAAGTTTGGAGTATTTTGTTGGCTAAAGAGTTAGTAAAGTTGGTCTGAATTTCTTTTGTGTGCTTTTCTGCACTCAAGGGGCCAGTCTGATGGTGTACATGTATCACAGACTCTGTGTTGTTCTGGCGTTTCAACAGCCCAACAATGTGTGGATTTTTCGTTCGTTTGATCTCCATTCTCTACCCTCGTTTGGCTTATTTATTATTATTATTGTTTTATGTAAAGTCAACACCAAATTACCATCAGCGACATCACCGCCGGTACCCTCAGAGCAGTTCCAGATATTCACAGATACAATACCAACTGTGGAAGAGCCTAAGAAAATGGATGACCTGAGGTCGTTTCTATGGGAACACATCCAGCTGGTGCTGGATGGGAAGGGATTTGATGATGGAGTTGGGCGAGGGGCAACACCACATTGTGAGGTCAGTATGATTGGTCAGTAAAACTCCCCCCCCCCCCCCCGCATGGTTATTAATTTTTGTTTAAACGATGGTTCTTAGCAGAGGGTATAATTATGGATAAAACCGTATGGACTAAATGAAAAAGTACTATAGATTAGGAGTTGTTACATTTCCTCACTAAAAATAGAAAGCTTTTACAGTGCAAAATTTGACTGCCCTTTTTCCCTTTCGTAGGGACTAACATGTGTTTTAGGTAAACAATTGCACAAGATTTATACAGGGTAAGTAAAAAAAAGCGGAACCCAAACCCCCAAAATTATGTTTCATATTTTAAAAAAATGTGCCGCACCAAAACTTAAAAACGGTTGGAAAACCAATTTCAGAAACTACTGAAATTGCTCAATCCGTTCAAAGAATATCACCATTTAAACGCAATGACCCTAAAACCTGTTTTGTCCAGAAAAAGCAATTTATTGTGTGTTCTGACTGTTTGGAACAACACAGAAAATGAAACACATTTCTTGTTTCAACGACTATCAACAACTGTAGTACACAATATCTTTATTAACATCAACCAGATGATTAACAAAATCCACTTTTTTTCAAAAGACAGGCCTTCAAAACGACTTTGTTGAATATTTTTAACTGTTAAACTGAGGTTTTATCGCTGGTGATGTTTGAAGGCAATTGTGAAGACGATTCTTGAAATCACATTTTTGGACGAACGAGGTTTTAGGGACATTGTGTTTAAATGGTAATATCCTTTGAACGGATTGAGCAATTTCAGTAATTTTTGTGGAGTAGTTTATGAAATTGGCTTTCCAGTCATTGTTATTTTTGGTGCTACATATTTTTTTGTACTCACCCTTACATCTAATGACAAGTCTAGATCTACCATCAAAATGAAAAAAATGTCATTATCTTCCATTTTGTCCCCTCGTTTTCCAGAGCCTCAGTTTCAGCAGGTGGCAAGCCGTATCCAGCCTCCTGTACGAGTTCTTCATGAGCGACTCGGATGACCCCAAGGTCAGCAGTCACTTCAATGCTATGACCTCTGCCCTGGACCTGGACATGCGATTCTCTGAAGCGTAAGTAGCGGTGATGTCGCCAATTTGCGAGAATGTATAACATAGATCCTTGTCATTTTATTGGTGGAATTTAGTCACATGACATTAAATCATGTATCCCATTTCATTGGCAAATATTCCTTTGTATGATTTATGTCATACGTCACGCAATTTGGTTCCATTTACTGTACATTTTGGTTCCATTCAGTTCGCTCCTTTGCACGCACACCTCAGTATCGATTTCGGAGTATGAACTTTGCTATTGCTATGAAAGAGCAGCATTACGTGTTGACTGTACTTGGCCGAACATACTAACACTGTGTCGATCGCAACCTTTGACACAAACCCTGACAGTTATAATGAGTGCGTTCGATTACCTCCCCCGTGTTTACTTGTGCAAGCGCGATAGCGTTCGATTTACCTCTCGCGTGACTTGCCGCGCTTACTCAAGCCTGGCCCAAGTAATCGACTCGCCGAGCCGGTTACTTGGGTAGGTATCCCATAAGGCCATGCAATAAACATGGCTGCCAACGTGATGTCCGGCAGGCGCCTCACTAGGCAGGCGGCTGTGTCCGAAACGGGCTTCCAGAGCTACGGCTATGTCTATTGTCAACTCGTCCCCGCGTATTTTCAATGGGTGTGGACTTAGACCTAGCTCTAGACAGTTGATTCGGATGCAGCCTCAGTGTCTTGTCAAAGTTCAACTTTCCAGCTCCTGCGCGAAACTTTACCCGAATCCGTTCATTTGTTTAGCTCCACTGCGCATTGTCTGTCATCTAACGAGGAGCCAGGTGCGAGTAGCTGGGGGAAGTAATCAAACGCACTGAAAGTGGATATGTAATTGGGCCAAAAATTGATAATTTTTATGACTGCAGATATGGTAAACTTTTTAGATGTGGGACATTAGGTAAAAAAAACCCTGAAATCTGTGTTTTCTCCCTGATTCTCAGAGGATTCATTTCTGGCCTTTACCCACCTTGTGTAAACATTTGACTTAAAGTGGTAATGGCTTGTGTTGACCAATTAGCAACTGTAGTACATTGTATCACATTGTGTATATTCACCGATGATGAGCCCATAAAACCATAGAGTGCTTAGGCGGTTTCAGGGAGTAATAGGAGGGTAGTTTGGGGTGGCACATGGGCCTTATTCGCGAGTCGGCCATATTGAATTGAAAGTGAGGTAAAATCTTAATTTTTGGAACTTGCGAAGAGAAGTGAAAGCAAGTCATTTCCTAATTACATGTAATTCCAGTCGACTTCAATGAATAATTTTAAGTTTGTAATTAAAAATTCCCTAATGTTAAAAGCCAGATTTAAAAAAAACCCAGTAAAATAAGGCTGCATTGTGCCTGCATAAATAGGTTGGCACCATCCATTGAACAGTTAACACAATAATGACATATGTTCAGGGAACTCGACAAAAATGGCCAACTCACGAATAAGGCCCATGGTGGCTGATGGGTTTAATTGTCATCAGACTGACCAATCGGGTTATTTCCTTTGCTTGACAACAGGCGATGTAACAAAGTCCTGCCCATAGCAACCAGGACATACCAAGAGGGGGCGCCCTCCCACTACACAAGCACTGTCCATGCAAGCAGGGTGAGTTACTCATTCTGCGTCTTTCCTCGCCATATACCCAGGGTGACCATTTTAGCCGATTTTTTGCTAGATCAGACAGATGTTTTGGAGGAAAAAAAATGAATCTAGTAGAAAAATCTAGCACAATGAATTTTTTGCAGAATTCTGTAAAATCGGTGATCTTAGCAGAATAATATAGCAGATTTTTTTTCAATCACTTCAAGCAAACCTTTGAACAGCGGGGATAGGCAGACCAGTCTAAGCGTTGAGGTTCCCTGACGTTTAGGACTACACAATATGTACTATAGCCATTGGAAGCCAGGCTAGACACATGCTAATTTGTTTTTTATTATCAAAAAACGGAAAACGGAAATTTCATGATTGATGAGTATAACTGTTTATAATGTGTTTTTAAGTAATTCTGGATGATTAAGCAGATTTGCTTTAAAAAATCTATCAGATTTTTTAAGTGCATCTAGCAGAAACTCATGCATATTGGATGTGTCATCCGTTTCAGTCGCTACCTGAAACGTATACAATTTCAACGGATAACGCAGTATAGCGCAATGTGCAATATTGATACATGGACGCATGCATGTCTTTTGTCGAACAACTGAGTTGTACGCATCACGCAGTGCGCACTACGTTTCAGCATGACGGACACATGGATTTTCAGCTTAGTTCTTTTCCACTTACACCAATGGGAACACCGAGCTTCCAGTGCACGTTTTCCGTTGAATTACTGGAACTTTCTTTTGTCTATAACCCATTTTTTTTGTAGCTGGCTCAAGCCATGAAGGTGTTTTCCCAGCACGCCCGGGGGCCGGCCTTTGAGAAGTACGCCAACCAGCTGCAGGCCGAGTGCCAGCTCTTTTGGCAGAGTGGACGACAGCTTTGTGAGGTGGTCAGTCTGACGGGCCACCACTGCATCCACAAGGTAGCACATGAAAACTGGAAAAATTGTTGTCCGGTTGTTTTGGTTTTGAGTCTTTGGTCAGGGGGTTCATCTTTCATTTTTTGACTAGAGGTTGATTCATTGCACTATAACAGGAACAATATGCGCAATGCGCACACCTGTATGCATACGTGTGTAAACAAACAACGGTTGCTACCTTTTTGGCTGTTGTATAGGGGCAATTACATTGTCACGGATGCTACATTCTGAGCCCCAAACCAAATTGAAACAGTAAAATACCTTAAAACCCTAACTCCCTAGGCCTTTTTGCTAGGATGTAGCCTCAATCCTGCAAATTCCTCCAGTTGGCCTCATGGAAAAAATAGTATATAGCCTCAATCCTGCAAATTCCTCCATTATTTCTGGAATATGGTCCGTGGAGGGGTGACCACTGCCTGAATCCTGCAAAATCCTGCGGCAGTGACTGTCAATATGTTGAGGCTTGGCCAGTGACATCATGGAGCAGTACGGAGGATTTCAAGCATAATCCAGGCCTATATTTATGCACGGCTGAGCAAAAACAACACCAGGTACGACCCAAGACCTTGACAAAGTGCATCCTACAAAATCAGTAATGCACTTTTGCCGTGTAACCTCAATCCTCCAAATTCCTCCACTTTGTCAGAGAGGGTTTTGGAGGATTCAGGGCGGTTAGGGTTAATGTACGTTATGACGTTGTTATGGATGTTACATAATAATGTTACGGACATTACGTGTCTAAAATAAACTTCAAATACATGGTAAAAAAATATACTAAATCACAGTATTCTAAGTTCTGTGTGATGTATTCATGTATAGCGAATGCTAATGACTCACTCTTGACAAATCAAGACAGAGAATCTGAAGTGTTTAGGAACTGTTCTCTTCTATCTTTGCTTTCTCCAGGCTCATCTCTTGCTGGACAGCCTGATTGACCCTGAAACGGAGGCCGTGATTCCCAGAATGCCTCATACCAACAACAATCGCACCCCTTGCGCCTGCAACTGTGGGCGCACCGTGGGGCAGAGAGACGATCCGTTCACCCTGAAGGTTAGGCCTGGTCCCATCTTTCATTTCTCTACTGATTATGGAATTCCACTCTTATGATCAGCATAGAAGTTTCTCCCACTACTGCTACGTGTAAACTAACACAGAAATTTTAGTTCGGCCGCTGGTTTTGGGCTTTATATTTATAAAATCCTATCTCGAAATACAGTGAGACGTGACCTACTTAGAATGTTGATTGATAATTTCGGGGAATTTTAGATATAGATTTATTTATAAGAGGTTCAATCTGCTGTAACTTTGTGAGAGTTTACTCGTTCACCGTACACAAAGGCTGCCATGTCTGTTTGCGTTATTTGCCTCGCTTTGATTTTCAAGATGGCGTACCATGAGAAAGGGTTACGGGGTGTACGCATATGCATTAGCCAAGGTTGCTCACTACCCTATGAAATAAGCACCAAAATGTTTCTGCTACAGTAAAATCTCAAAACAAGTCGAAAATTCACAATTTTCCAACAATTCTGCCCAACAATTGTTTTGTTATGTTCTTTCAAAACACCCCTCTGCCCGTATCTATGTTACATGTACATGCCTCGCACATGCTGTGCTAAAAATCGCCTTTCATGGAGGTTGGGGTGCACGTGGTGCGTACTGCGCGATGTGGCGCAGAACGTACGGGCGCAGGAATAAAGTGTTTATAACCAGGCAGTGTTTTATCAGCGGCTTAAAACCACCCCACGTGACGTGCTCTCCACCAATGGAATGGGTAATATGTCTTAGGCATATTGGAATAAGTACGTTCACGGTATTATGCGCCATTTTGTTCACGGGGCAAAAGTACACGTGTGCTGTGTAGGCATCATCAATTGAAAAGTTTTGGCTTCCAAGTCCTCATGTGTTCATTCCAAAATACGCCCGGGTCAAACAACGCATATTTTTTTGCCCCATGAACAAGATGGCGCATATAACCGTGAAACTGCTGATTACATGTATTCTTTTGAATGTCACTGGCTTCTTTTCTGCAATGGCGCCAAAGAAGACTCATACATACTCAGAAATCTTAGCTCTCTGATATCTCTCGCTCCTGCAGCTTGCCAACTTTGACTTCTTCCAAGGCCTGGAGGAACGCTGCTGCAGCAAGCTCAGGCGACACAAGTTCCTGCTGTACGAGGCCAAGCGCCGCGACTCCACAGTGCTGCTGGCAATGGCAATGGCAGGCAAGGACCAAGCAAAGGATCCTGGGAAGGAGGCCGGAAACGAAGACAGCCTGAGCAAAATGGCTGCCGAAAAGCTGAAGAGCGGTAGGATATTGTTTTTTTGTTTGGTTGTTGTTGAGGGTTACTGTCACAGCAATGGAATCAGGTACAATTGAACCCTGATAAGAAGAGCATTTATACAAAATCTGTTAGGCCCCAAGTCCTTGTTCTTCTTTGTTTTCCTTTGTTTTTCATTACTGTTAATACAAGGTACTTATTATAACAAGGTAATTTGTAAAGTCCCAAGAACCTTGTTATAAAGGTGTTCAACTTTACTTGCATCGATGGCAGCCACTCCGTGTGTTTTTTTTAAGGCATGCAACATTTTCTGCAGATCAGGGGCTGATTTCACGAAACTTGTCTTAACTTACGACTCATCTTAGAACTTGGATGAGTCTTCGCTCTAAGATCGATCCTGGCTGAGATTCGTCCTAAGGCCTATTTCACTAAACGCACCATAAGCAAGATGCATCAAAACTGCAAATTTTACGCAGTGTCATGTTTGTGTTTACCTTTTGAAGAAACCATTGTTGAAAAGCAATGCATAAAACTAATTTTCTCGCGCATACATAGAACACGAAATTTCGCCTCAAGTTTGTCTACCCATTAAATTTCACACATAGGTCTCCAGAACACGAGATACCTTTTTATAAATATCCTTATGACTAAACAATTTGCCCCTTGAAAACACTCCTCAGTTCTAACATTTTTGTATCGTGTAGTAAATCAGCACCCTCTTGTTGTTACATCCTCGCATTTGCAATAGGAATAATGTATATTTTCAATAGAGGGCGCTATGTTATTTTGGCCAAAGCTTAAAAAACAAGTAAGCTGCATTTAAGGTACTTAAGGTACTACATTAAGCGCACTAACCTTTCCAGACAAAGTAGGTGAACTTCACAAACTGCCATAACTTGCTTAAAAATTGGATTTAAGATCTCAAATTGCGCATGAGACATGCTTGTTAGTGTAGCATTTTGAGGTATATGTTGTGTGAGCGTTTGGTAGCTGAATGGTGAGTAAAAACAACGTCAGTAGTAATTACGGTCCCAGTCCGGTTCATGTCTATGTTCATGAGCCAGGTCAGATCATGATCTGTCACAAAAAGTCTGAATTATATTATCATCCTTTGCTTTTTTTCTCCAGAAAACACAGCGAGCATTCCAAATACCTTCAGCCCCGCTCTCAGCCTCGGCCAGTCAGGGGCCAGCGATCTGCTATCCCATGATACCCACAGCGGGTTGCCAGGCAACAGCGCGGCCAGTCTGCTGAGCATGGGCGATGGCATCCATGAAACTGTCAGGGGTAAAAATCTTCACTCCACCATCTCTGAAAAAGCTGCAGAGTGTCCCCTTGCAAACATCAAATAACAATCACTTGTATATCTGCATGGCTCAATATATAGTTGCCAATCATCGGACAATGTATGCATTTCAATTCTGAGATATAAAATAGGTTCACATGTATTCTTGATTCTTTGAATAATAAAGCTGGAAGGCAGATTGCGTAAATTACATGTTTTCATATTTGGGTTCCACTTTTCACATTTGGGTTTCATTTAAACATTTAGGAAAATCTGTGAATGGATTTTGAATGTGATTGTTTAGCCCATTAGACCTTGAAACCACCCTAAACCGCCCTAAACCATGCTCATGTCACCCATGACCCGACAACGATTCCACGGCGTGGACAATCATGTGACTTCTTTAACAATAGCTGTTAAAGCGTGTTAAACCGTTCGCTGATTGGCTACACAACGAAATGAGATGATCTTCATGCGCACTCGACGTTGTAAATTCACACGTCGTAGGAGTTGAAATATTTCTACTCTTGCAACTGTTTATTTTTTTTTAGCACCATCTGATGCGGATCGTCTTAATATCATCGCAGTTACACTCAGGTTGCAAGAAAATCGGCAACTAAATTGTTCCCAACGGTCGTAACTCAGGTGCAGCTTGATCATGAAAAGTCAGTCGCCGACTGATCTGTGTCATCGCAAGGTTGACCTGAGGACGGCCTTAGAATTACATTAGTGTAAACAACATTTTACCTGCCTCACGTAATACCCTGGACTTTCCCCACTCGCAGAGAAGCCTGTGTATTTCCGAGAGTCCTCAACAGCCGAGTACCTACAGGGCATGATGTGCTCCACCTCCCCCCGGGGCCTGCTGCCGCTGTTCTCATCCTGGTCGTTGCTGTGCTTAGGCAAGGCATCGTTGTACAACCCCAGCAAAGGTGAGAAGATGAACACTTGTTTTTGGCCTCAGCTTATGAACCTTTTAAACCCTCCCTCTCTGGCTGTCAAATTCAACACAGCTATCCCAGCAATCAAAATCAATCAAGTGACTATTTTTAACAGTTAAGAGCTCCCAGTCTACTTAAAGCAGGATTGACTGGCTGTGACTGTTTATGTAACTTGAGACAGCTTGGCCTTGACAGTAGGTGATTGATAAACCAGCTGTGCCAGTTACCTGCTTTTGTCTGTTGATGGAATTTGACTAGTCACAGTGCTTGCGGGAATGTGATCTGACTGTTGGTGACTAGCGTGTGTATAAAGGCATGGCAGGGGAAGAGGAATAATTTTTGACTGTCTAAGAGGGTTAAAGGGTCCTTGAAATGAATTTTTCTTAATAGGAACATAATTATTTTGTGCAACTTTTTACTCATCTTAAATGTATGAAAACTTTTGGCCATTCCTTTTTGGTTTATTTTATTCAAAAGTGCACTTCTTTACACATTAAAATAATTGCATGCTTTTCTGGACAATCGGGGGGCTGTTGCTGTGATGTCATTTCAGGAATTCAAAAAACTGTTTAGTAGGGGTTTTCTGTTCTGATCAAATTGTGATTTCTGTTCAAAATCACGAGCTTAACACTCGGTTGGCACTTGAACCATAGAACCCTAGACCTTCTGCTTTACTAGTGCAGAGATCTTAAAAAGACACTTGGCCATCTGTGTGATTTTTTAACCTGCTGTGAAAATACATTTTCTGGGTGTTTTTTCCAACCCACAACAGGACTGGAGCAGCCGGGTTTCCTGCGGAATTGTAACTTCCTTGTTCCCTGGGATCTTCCCGTTCCCAAAGGGAGCGCGCTGGATCCTTCCTGGCCGGTGCTGAGCGACACGGGAGGGAGCAGCCGGAAAGGAGGAAAACACCGGGACAAGAGAGGGGCCAAAGGTGGGTTGTCATCATTTCATCGATTGTTTTCATGTAGTATTTAAAGGTAATTTACAACATTTGCAAACATCACAAAACAAAACTACCAAATGATTATGAAATACCTTACTTAGCTGTAAGTGAATAATAGTCTCAAACATCCTGTGTGAAATCATGGCACCTGGTGTGCTGTCATTTTCATCCACGTGTGGCTCTGGATCATAGAGCTATATTGAATTACTAGAGTGCTAACTCCGCATTTTGCGCGTGGAGACGCTTTGAAGCCGTCCTGGGCGCAGACATTTTGAATTCATGTGCATGTTTGTAGGACATAATGAAATTTAGATGGATTGAATTTTAAAAGTGTACTCTAACTGCTACGCGCCAGTAGAACATACATGTACCAGCAAACAACTTAAGCGCGTCATGACGGTTCAAAAAACGTTAAGGCAAAAAGCATCTGCAGCGGATACGCGCACGCGTTGTGCTGTTTGCGCAGAGCAAAATGAAACGCTCATTTGCTGATCGTGCGTTTCAGTTTTGGGCGTATCAACTTCGGTAACGCACATGTATAAAATACAATTGCAGATATGCAAAAAGCCGAACAAAAGCCGTACGAAATTGGGTGTTTTCCATAGGTTTGTGCACAAATATGGATGCGCCCAGCAGGCATCACTTTGTACATGAGTCAGCGCTCTAGTAATTTAATATAGCTCTATGGTCTGGATAGGGTTCGAACCAGGGTCACAGAGGTGAAAGGTAAGAAAGTACCTCTGTGACTGAAAACCTGATCCACATGGTCATTCATGGATTCGAACCTGGGTAACAGACTGATGAAAGGTGAGCAAGGCAACACAATGACTGAACCCCAATCCACATGTAGGTCTGGATAGGAGTCGAACCTGGGTCACAGATGTGAAAGGTAAGAAAGTACCTCTGTGACCCTCTGAAACCCAGATCCACATGTTCATCTTAGGATAACCAAATCCATTTATGGGTCTGGGTTGGATTTGCACCTGTGTCTCAGAGGTGGAAGGTGGGGAAGGAACCACAGTTACTAAAAACCGAATCCATACATGGGATTCGAACCTGGGGCCCAGAGGAAAGTACTAATGTGTCAACCTTACAATAATAGCTTTGTATCCCGTACTGCTTTCAGAGGCCTACATCGGTGACGAGTACGAATGCCCGCGGGGCCATCGCTTCATCTGCTCGGGCCCGGACAGTATCGTCAAGGCAAGCGGCAGTGGCATCGTCAAGGATACTGGGACGAAACTGGTGACATCCGACATGCCACTGTACTGTCCTTGCCCTTGCCGGTAAGAGTGTTTGCAGTTGAACCCTCCTCGTCCTTGTCAAAGACCCTGTACTTTCCCTGCCCAAATTTCTCGTTGTATGATTTTTTTTTACCCCAAAAGGCAAAACTCTTCCTTTTGTATTTTGGGCACCTTCAAAAAATGTGGCTTTTGGGTTGATGTTGAGGATATCAGATCCGCATTACAAGTAGACCGCGTCCCCAGTCCCTACATTATCAAAATTGAGGTTAGGGGTGGAAAAAAACAGTTTACTCTACGAGAGCTGAATTATTGTCAGGCCAAAAAATAAATCAGAATTTGTAAAGGAGTTACAGGGATTTCTTTGGTTCTATGTCCTATCTCAAAGTTGAATAACTTGCTAGAAAAAAGCAGTTTACAAAAAAAAATATCTATTTTTTGTGATGAAACCCCAAATATATTTTTCAATTCGTCGTGTCCGATCAGCAAGGTCGAATCTCCTAAAATGGCTTAAGACGTCATGTACGTGAAACGCGAGTTTTCAATGTCAAAAGGTTGTATCTTGCTTAAAATAACCCAGATGTACACACAAAGTCAATGAACATCGCGAGATACGACCTTGTTACACGGAGTGTATTCACGAGAGATTTGACTTAGTTGCAGAATGCGAAATACGACCTTGTTGCAGGGATTGTATTCACGAGAGAATGACTTAGTTGCAGAATGCGAGATACGACCTTGTTGTACGGAGTGTATTCACGAGAAAGTGACTTAGTTGCAGAATGCGAGATACGACCTTGTTGTACGGAGTGTATTCACGAGAGATTCGACTTCGTTGCAGAATCCAGTTACGACCTTGTTGCACGGACGTGACGACTTGTTTACAACAAAAAAAATTCTTTTTGGTTTCCCTGGCTACAGGACCACCAAGCCCCCACTTGGCCAGCTGATGCGGGCCTTCATTGTCACCCCTGACGTACCCCTTTACATCAAGCTGAACCCCCGCCTCAGGCCCGACCAGCACCCCTGCCCGATATTCCACCCCGAGATGAGTGAAGACGGGATCACACTGACCAGCAACAGCCTGTGGGTGCTACGCTTTCCGTATCCTTTTATTATAAAAAAAGTCTGAAATTGTTGTTTATGGACTTGAACTAAGGACTAGTAGACTATTAATGTACTTGTCAATGCGCATGCGTGCGCGCGCGTCTGGATGGAAAGTTCCAGTACTTTCCCTCTCTTGTTCAAGTGATAGTTTTGAGTGACAACATGTTTGCCCACTTTCGGCACTTTCTGAAAGTTATCAAAGTCTCTGTGTCAATTATTGAGTTGTAAAGTTACCCCCAAGGACACAACAGAAATCATCCAAAATTCCTCATAGTTGTTTATAATTATAGCAAGTTTGAAACCGTTGATTGGTTATTTAGTCCTTAAGTGTCTTCCTCTAGTTATGTTTATGTGGATGAAAACGGCCCCGTCCGTACCCCGACCGACAACCAGCCGATCCCCTCTGCCAAACTCCTGAGGGGCATGTACCTGACCACGTCGCAGAAACCACCAGACAGCTGAAAAAAACAACGCCCACCCCCGACCCCATCCCTCACAGAATCCCTCGGTGAGTTGAGATGTTGCTTCTCATGAGGCAGGTTCATGCTGGTGATGTTGCCGTAATCCGGTAAGGAGACCATGTTGTCTTTATCTAGCAGCCGATACGATTATTCTCCGAAGCTTGAAGAAGCTCTCTAAAGTAGATCCAAAAAATGAAGTAACGAAATTCACCAAAGCTTTGGTATTGTAGCATTAATGCAGGAGAGCCAAGCCAACATGCTCTTCTCCTGAGCTGCCACAGTATTTTCAGGCATGCCATCTCTGGTGATGTCGCTGGTATGTGCTTTGAAGCACCTCAATTAAGGTTGCAATATTTACAATGACATCATCAAAAACTTCAGAGTAGCATTTTTCAAGATGAAAGTCTTCAGCAACTTGAGTGTACCCTGAAAATGGATAGAGGGGATTCAAGCTGAGAGTGGTGAAGTGGTTAACAAGAGGAGGATATGGACATGGTGGCCATTAAAATGTTTCACCCAACTTTTCCTGCGTTAGCTTTGGAGCTACCACAACTTACGTGTATCTACATCCAAGCATGACAGAACAGACAGTTCCAGCCAGCAGCTGCAATCACATGGGTTTTTTGTGTTCATCGCTGAAAAAAATACACAAATTCCTCATTTTTTTCACATCATCCAAGACATAAGAAAAAAGCAACTAAAGCTGCCCTCAGGTCGACCTTGCGTCGATACAGAAAGAACAGTCAGCAACCGACTTTTCAGGATCAAACTGTGCCTGAGCTACAACCGTCAGGAACATATCAGTCGCTAATTTTTGCGACCTGAGTGTAACTGTGGTGATATCACGACGATCGGCATTTGTCGGCGCTTAAAAAGAATTCAACAGTCGCAAGAGTAGAACATTTCTTCTTCTGTGACATGTTCTGGACAGCGGGAATCAGTCGCAGTCAACCTGTGTGAAGCTCATCTCATCAAGCTCATCAAGATCATCTTTTTTTTATTGTGTGGCCAATCAGCATGCTCCAAAATGGCTAAATGAACGGACACGGCCATGGAAGTTTTTTGATCGATCAACATGCTTTAACTGCTATTGTTAAAGAAGTCACATGACTGTCTATGCCGTGGAATCATCATCACATCGTGGGTGACATGACCATGGTTGCAATTATTTTGTGTCGAGATGCCACTTGTTCCACGAGAATCACACAATTTCACAGTACCTGGTTAAAAAAAACATGGGTACCCATTAAAGAAACCCATCCCAAAATTCAAATCTTGGAAGTTGCTGTTCAAATTGTTCATAAAGGTCCGCATGATAATACTATCACATCTGTGTGTCAACGCAGCAGGATACAAGTGTGTACAGTGAGCATAGCCTTATGATGTAAACTGCAACTTTCGCGAATGTCATAAACGTGAATATGTAATTGTTTTCACATTTCGCCTGGTTTTCATTTTGAAAGTTCCCCAAAATCGACGTCCAAAACCTTTCTTTTTTTATTGTCTGAGAAGTTACTAAGTAATTTGTAAAGTTGGTTACTGGTACCCGATCCCATAATCTGGAACCGGTTCCTGACATTAACGGTCGGGTACTCGGGTACCCGGGTCCGATGCACAGTCCTAAGCTGAATGTACATGGACCGGTAAAATGTGAACATTGCTAAAACATAAAAATCATGAAAAGTAACACCTTGAATCTTGATGCCCCAAAGCTTTGGATATCTGCATGTGAATAGATGGGGGTAAGGTGATATACGACATCACAGTGCTGTTAAATCATTTAGGGTGTTTGACGCCTGTGCTGTGGTACGTGGGGTCGAACCCTGACATGGTGCTTGTGTTCTTGGGCAAGACACTTTACTACGATTGTCTCTCTCTACCCAGGAGTCTAAATTGGTACCTGTGAAGGTACAGACCAAATTGCGCTGATCTCGAGCTGCTGCAGAAAAAAGTCTCACTCCTGATGAGCAGGGATAATAATTGTGAAGCGCTTTGAAACTTTTGGTATAAGCGCTATATAAGCACCATATTATTATATAAGTTATCCCGCAAGCGCGAGTGGAACACGGAATAATGTAGTGCGTCTGTGTCCCACTTCGGCCGAGTGGTATGTGGGACTCGGATGCACTACATTTTCTGCGTTCCACGAGCGCGAGCACGATAACGAATTGATCTTCAAGCAAACTTGACGTACAGTAATGATGGAACTAGCATGCTTCACATGAACCTTTCAGCGTTTTAGCGCATGCAGCTGGAATGTCGCTCGCATCTTGGAATAGCGCAATACGCAGGGTGCGATATGGACCGTGCAATACAGTATAATATCACACTGTTGTTGCCATGGATCGACCAATCAGGATCGAGGATACAAGTTTGCTTGAAGATAATTATTATTATTTTGCTATATCAAGCCAACATCATGTGATCGAAGTGAACTTAAATGGTAATATAATTGAAATTAACATTAATTTTTGTAGTGCTTTATCCCTAACCCCCTAGCATGATTTACTAGGAACCATACCCATCCTGGCAAATTCCAACACCATATGGGAAACTGCACACACATATTTCTGACTTCGATTCTGGAGGTGTGCCAACCCAATGTAAAAGACTGTCAGTTTAGGGGTACTGTACCCATCCTGACAGATTCCAACAAAACATGCTGTTGGGGTTGGATGGGTTGAGTTCTGTTAGGGTTAATTATCTAAGCAGATCTAAGTGTATAGAGAGTGTTTTTTGCAATGGCGGTCTGAAAATTTGCAATTTGATTGGAATCTTCACGAGCATTGCATCAGGGAAATCTGAACTCTCTCATAGCAAAGTGCACATGTAAACAAAGTGTGACGTCATTTTGTCACGGGTCTGTTGAATAGCCCAGGTGTGAAAGCGTACTTGTGACTGCAAGCATGTGTGGTTGACCCCCTCTTTCCCACCCCTACCAAATAAAAAGTAACATCATGATAATCAAGCGATCATGTTAAATCAGTAAAAAATAAAAGAAGTTCGAACAATCATGTCATAATCAGAAATTATAGTCCTGTATTTTTTCTGTCAGAGAAAGAAAATAAACCAACTTGTGCAAACTTCAAGGAGATAACATCAGATGTGTGATTTTTTTGACATTTTTATTTTCCTTTGGTCAACATTAGTAGTTAAAATTAATCAGATTTATTTGCACCATTTATATTCCATTGTTTAGATATTTATTTAACATAAGGATAACTTGGAAGGGCGCCTCTATAGAAAGATGGTGTCCTTGCAAAGCCATTTAGATAATCATTAAAGTTATAGTCCATCATTTGCAGCTATCCGAAAAGTAAGCGGTGTAATTATTGTTCGGAAATGTTCTTGGTTGAAAGATAGTAAGGGAACTAAACTCTCTGGGAAATTACTCTTTCTGGCAAGCTGTCATTTTGATGAAATCAACAAAAGAAGGCCTTTCCAACGGTGCTTCTTAAGACGCACCATAGGAAATTTAAATTAGTAGTTCGTTTTGTTATTCAGCGAAGTGCGCGCAAGCATTGGCACTACGCACAGGCCCGCGCAGTTGCTATAATTCGTCGGATCAGTGCGCGACATCGCGTAGCTGCAATCTGCTCAGTGAGAACGTGTATTGGACGCTGAATTCAGGCCCATTTCAAAACATAATTCAGCAACTTTTGATTTGAAATTGAGATCCTAGAATGCTGTTTTTCTCAGAATATACAGATGAAGCACAAATTACAAATGATGGACTATACCTTTAATGCATTACCATTGAACATCCTGACAAATGCATGATCCACATTTTTTTTCTCCTTTTTCCCTGACCGTTTGTATTCATGGGTACAAGCTCCAATAGTCATTTTCAAGTTAATGCCTTCACTGTTGGCTCAATGAAAGCTTTTAAGAAGATTGGTATATTACGTTGATTGATGAGGAGCAAACTTGAACTCCAATATCGAAAAAAGGGGGGGGGGGTACTAGACTCATTTCTAAATGGAGGCTGGGATGAAAGAAAACAATCATGAGTTCACATCCCGCCTGAACAGGCTTGTCACAGGATCTCTGTGAGTAGAAATAGTCAATGAGGTTATGATTTATAATATAGTCAAAAACCCCAATCCAAAATTGTAGTGCCTTTGCAGCAATGCCCATTGAGTATGCTAGGTTTGTGCACTATTGCATTTTCAGAGTCACAGTATATTCATTAACAAATACTGCAATACAGGGTGACTAAACAAAAAAATGAAACCCAAATATCGGGACAAAAAGGTAAGTGTTCTTTCAGAAAAAATGAAATCAAATCACTTAGAGATGTGTGTGAATTGTTTTCGTTTTGCTGAAAGAACGCACACCTTTTTTTTGTGATCCGTGGACAGAACTTTAGAACGGTGGTTGTGTTTAAAATTCCGTAACTTAAAAATTACATGAGTGATTTGAATGATTCTTGTACTAAAAGAATGCTTATGAATTGGGCTTTCATATCCTAGATTTTGAAAGTGCTACATGGGGCACTTCACTAAAACAATGGTCCCGACATTTGGGTTTCGTTTTTTTTTTACTCGCCCTGTTTTTGGTATTACCAGGTACTTTTCTTGGTAGACAATTATTATTTCATCAGTAAGACACATGGTCATAGTGTCAACAGCACTTCAGAAACTCTGCGTCATGACTTGTAAGCAGAAGTATGATCGGTTATAAGTCCAGCACCACAAGTTTTGTCTCATCTAGATACAGCGTCCATAAAGAATTCAAACTTATCCATATAGGGCCAAATCTTGGCAAGTCGTTTCTCGTTTTTTGTGTCACCTACACAAAGTTTTTGGGGGACACTCACCAGTCCTAAATTCTGTATGACCGTATCTCTGTATGTTAAAGGTTAGATTAGGTTTTGAAAAAAAAAATGTATAACTTCTACATGCTTTCATGGATTTTGATGAAACTTGGATGCAGTGACCCTTGGGTGGGGAAGACACAATTCCTCATCGGATTACTGAGGTTAACAGTCATGTAGGGGTCATTTGAGGTTATTGTTCAAATTTGCTTCAAATGTTTCTTTGTCTACGGAATTTGATGGATTTTAATTTAACTTGGATGGAGCGATCCTTGGGTGGGGGTTCATGACAACTCTTCCTAAATTGGAGGTCAAAGGTCATCTACTGGTCATTTGAGGTCGTTTAAAAATGGCAGAAAATGGCGATCCA